CATCATGGCGAGAATATCATGAAGTAAGTTATAACGAACCTTAGCAATCTGCGCAGTTTTCGAAACATCCCGGAGCAAAAACAATGAGAAAATCGAATTATTGTTTTGGGATTAGAAGCATACATCTCGGCGTCCAATCTTCTCAGTTTCCTCACGTGAACTTTCGTGGAATACCTCAGTAGCAACAATAGTTTTCTGACGAGGCTCATAAGAAAAGCAGGTCGGTCGAAAAAATTAGTTCTTACCTCGACCGTGAAAGTTTTGAGCGTGTTCTGATCCATTGTTAGTTGTTTGTAAGAGTCCTGAGCGAACACGAGTGGGCAAGGGCTGACAATCTTATGAGCCTATTTACCTCGTGAAAGCAGATCGCAGGTAGAGGGAGGGTGTCAAGTCCTGGGATGCAATGCATATGCGAAGGTTTGATATATATACGCTTGCTCCCACCACGTGGATCGCAGCGATATCGATTACAGTGTACATGTCGCGATTTGTATCACGAATCATGATCATTTGTGTCGTTCTGCCGTACGAGCAAAAAAAACGAGGTCAATAGAAGGGAGGAAGGAATATTAAACGCCTTGGTCCAAGATCTGAACGCCGCACAGTCCGGGGAGTATCCTAGCGTGGCACCTCACCATCGTCCCAAGGCAGGACTTCGACGAGCTCGCACCTGGCTCTGGAGCCGTTGCTGCAGACCTAGGCCCCACCCAAACGCCCGTCTATCGTTACTAAACCTGTTACAGGCCCAGATATGAGAAAGTTCGTTGGTGGCTTACTTTTCCCCAACAAAACTTGTCTTCCAACGATAATTCCAACCGTGATCCATGTACAAGCTACGACTATAGTCCACAGGCCGCTATCTCTCAGTCGGGATACGCTTCTTCCCCAATCGCACTAAGAACGTGGAGGGGAGTGTCGATGTTGTCGATGAAGTTTCTGTTGGGGTGTTGGATCCTGGCGTGCGGGAGCAAGAGTTATCGGCCTTGGAGTCAGAAGAATGAATGACGGAAGAGAGGGTGGTGGAAATGCAGGCGCTGTCGATGCAGCCGGTCGAAATCACAAATTCCATGTGCCCGAAATCTGACGCGTAGGAGAGGGAACTCCCAGTTCCAGAGCCAGAGTCTTCCCTAGAAGTTCCGCCGACATTGTCTTCTTCGATTGTCCATGAGATTGCCCCAGCGCTTTCTCCCTCCTCATACGTTAAAAGACATTCATTTGTTCGAAGGAGTTTCGGCGATGTACATGTGGGGCATCAGACGTTACAGAGGGTGTAAATGGTGGCGGCGTCGGCTGGCGTCGGTGGAACCTACAGAGTGGAATTTTGGGGCACAGAGCAGGCTGCGATCTAATTGCGCCTATGCACGAGTTGTACTCGAATACAAGACGGTCTAGGGACGAACGAAAGGATCGTGTATTATAACGTAAGGTAATTAAGGAAAGGCCTCACTAGTCATGTGACATTCAACTCACCTCTATCGCTTCGCTCATGATCAAACTCAAACTTGGCACCACCTACGGAGTCGAACTCGGTAGCGGCCAAAGTCTTAGCTCTACAACAACTGTGGCCTTCTAGGTCATCGTGGACTTCTACTGGAAAAGGCACTTCGCAAACTTACATGCTGTCTAAATTTTCAGCTAAATTGGAACGAACACTAGGAAGGCGGGTAGCATTGGGTGACATCTGGATCGCCAGTGGAACTGGCAGCGACGTATACTTTTTGAGGTTTCAATTTGGATCTTTGCCTTTAGCTTTGTTTCATTCAAATGTCGCGCTTTCGTTCAGGCTTTTCATTCTGTATCACTAATGCTACTCGAGTCATGTCTTCCTGGCCGTCTTGATTCCGAGCAATCTTGAAGGGATCGTCGACTCAGCTATTGACCATACAGAATGCGAGAAAAGAAGGTGCAGTGTTTGAGGTATTCGTCCTGTCCGTATGAGAACTTTCTCGTGTACTTGCGCTTAGTTCTGCCATGATTCAACACTCACGCGATACGAGGTGAGGGTCAAGAACGCGCGGTCAGCTCCCTTGTTTCTCTCATTCACCTTCTCTTTGTGGTTCTCTTGCAACCTGCGACACGAACCGCGCAAGAAAGACCGGCACCAGCTTCTAGCAAAAATTCTGGAAGCACCAGTTCTGCTGGAGTTATCAGTCATCAATGTGCCTCCAGTCCCACTAGAATCCATCATTCCAGCTGTTGCTAAGCCTCCCATGCAGTACCTATACACCTGTGACATTGAAAATTTAACATTGTTACTACAGTGAAGAAGTTCCCTAGCACACCCACTGAACCTCCGTCTCTGTCTGGTTTGGTATTGTTGGCAGACCGGAATGGGGCTATGCACTACGCGTGTTAGTACGATGCCCTTATCCTAGGTCTGTCATTGTCAGTGTACCGCCTTCACTTAACGGGCGGGAATTAAATTGATGGATAGTAGGGAAGCGGATAATCTGTGGCTTGACTAGGAGGAGGAAGATGAGGTTTGAGATGGACCAGTAATCAAGGGGAATAAAAATTCGGATAAGACTAACGCTATAAACGATGGGAAGAGTGCAGAGAGTACTGCCACCATCGCAAAGCGACAGGTGATTGGCACTGAGCGCGCGAAATCCGAGCTCCGCGCTATCAGCGCCTCTATCCATCGCTCCCGCCACTTTCTCTTTAACCTGCGCCTTGTCTCGCGCCGTCCCTCAACGCTCCAACGTCTCGCCTCTCTCAACACTCTCACGTCCCGCATATTCCAACACTGTAACGTCCCGCCTTTTGTCCTGTTCTCCCGCGCCTATCCGCCCCTCCCCAATTTTGCTCCTCATCTCCACACAACCCTGATCTCTACTTCCACTCGTCTATCCGTTCCCTCGCGACTTCGGTAGATGACACCACGATCCGCTGAGCAATTGCGTGCCTTGTACGCTTCTCGAAGAGCGTGCGGCGTATCGTTATCCGACGGCCCAGGTTTCCTATACGCGTTCGTTGACCATGGCGATCTGTGGAAAATCGGGATGTCCGCCAATTACGAGCGACGGAGAGCCGAATGGGACCGCCAGTGCCCGAGCATTGGCAGAATTTGGCTGCCACCCTTGCGCGTTCCGAGGAGGAGGAGATCTGGTAATCATTTGTGCTATCTCCTCTGAACGTGCTCATCCCTCTCAAGAATCTCTAGCCCATATTCTACTGGAGCTAAAGTGCCTTGATAGACCTCGCCTCTGGTGCACACGATGTACGTATTTCTTATTTACTATCACTCTATCTTAGTGTCTACCTCAATTAGGTGGTAGGAATCACATTGAAAAATTCACCTTCCTTGGAAACTGGAGACGCGTTTGGCGAAGGAAAATTCGGCCAGTGCTTGTGCGCGCTGCATCTTTATAAAGGTGCGTTTTTTTCTTTCTACGCTCGTTAATCTACTAACTGACAACTTCGCAGACTTGAATAGCTATAAATTTCACTACGTACACATTGATATATACTCTACCTAGTTGATATATAACCCAGTACGGCCAACAGATGTGCCTTCCAAATTCCTCCAAATGCCCATGGCCCCCAAGATAAGTCTTTCGTATAATCATTATACATCATCCTACTAACAATAATATGTGCCTAGCTCATATCTCTCCCTCCCACCCTACCCTCCTCCCACCCTACCCTCGCATGAATTAATTATCAAGACAGATGTACATACATATTACCTGTGCAAATGAATCGAATCTCAATCTCTAAGTCACTCCCGAAATCAGTAGACTCTCACGACATCCCGACATCAGCGACATCCAAACGTCCCGATATATCGATGTCGGATACGTCCCGACGTCCCGACGTCCCGACATCGGGTCACCATAAGCTGGGCGAGCTTATTTTGAAAAAGCGCATGCTTTGCGCGAGGCTATTTATATGTGAAAATTCTGAATTATTTCTGGTAGAATATTGGGCCACTATCTATACTAAGCTCTCAATTTTCTCTGTATTTCCTCCAACAGCTTTCAATGGAATAATTTTGGATAAACGGTCCCCGAATAGATTGAAAAATCGGCTCGCATTATGTCAAAATAGGATTGTGAATATTAATGGTAGGTTTTTCATATAAATTGCAGTATATTAGTACCATAACATGCAAACAAATTGTGAGCAAATATTAACAATTTTCGGGGCTCGGTAATCTGAATAATTTTGTACCAAAGCTCACTATAAAACCAACCTTTCGGTCGCGAGAAAATCGGCTAATCCCCGCAGTGTAGTCCGTTGCCCTCCAACGGTACGTCCCACTAAATGATCCCGACCGCAGCACCTAATATACACGGTTGAAAATTTCAGGATAAAACTTTCAACAATGTATATTACGCGCAGCGGACAGGATCTAATCCTATCCAAGAGTCCCTGCCGTTCAAGCCCGACGTCGTCCTGTCCTGCAGGAAAGCCAATCCTGAGTTTTCCTTCGAACCTCAACAACTTTCAAAAGCCTCGAAGAAAACCAACAGAGATAGGAAGAAGACCTGGTTCTCACCTGATCCTGGTAACGATCCACGCGATCTGATAGTCGAGCAGACGAACCAGCGGACCCTCCAACGACTTCGGCCTAACATAAGACCTAGTCCTGGTGTTTCGACTCCACCAACTTGGACTCCGAAACCGATCATCAGCCCTCTTGCGATGGTTCTTGATCGCCTCGTGCGATTATAAGAGAAAGAAATTCAGGTAGGAGAGAGCGCCTTTATTGATACAGAGAAAAAGTCGTTTCTAGCTTCCTTTCAGATTCGATTCGTCTTACACCCATGATTGAATGTTCACTATGCACTATGTATTTATGAACAGCATAATTTTATGGAATAGGAACTGCTTGCCTAGGTTAAGAAGGCTTGGCGGCGCGAGCTTGAGCAGTTTGAAGCTGAGTGTCGGTCGTATGGAGTGGTATCGATGGTGGACGAGAGGAACGAAGAACAACCGTGAGAATGTTCCAAAATTGTAACTGTTCTTGCCATCGATGCCCACATAGGGGCCACCAACTCCCAGTGTCTACGTACCTTCATTGTTTGACTACTCATAGGGAGTGCTTCTTTCTAAGAGCAAAGCCGTCTACCACTGTCTACTTATATGAACCGTACCAACCAGATACAGTATTGAGTCACAGTGGTAGTAGACACTGGTTATTGCCATTGACTTATGGTGCGAGATTAATGCGGAAGATAATGCCATTACCAGGAAACGTCCATACAGCAATTCTGTTACATAAATCACAACTTGGGTCGTTCGAAAAATGAATCGAAGTAGGTTCAGCCCTTGAGCAGCAGACCACCAACACCTTCTCTTTATTTCACAGTAACTCCCATCTATGTGAGGATACGATAGAAAGCGACAGAATCGGCTCGACCCAGCTACAACACTGCACATCAAATGAAAAATGATTAGACATGGTCATTCATCTGACATTTGGGGTCTGCTTTACCTGTGATTCCAACAGACCAACCCATATCGAGAACCTTGTTCATGAAGAATCATAAACAAGCGATATTATACCGCGGCGGTTTCCTGGCGGTTTCTCTTGTTCAGAGCTTCGGGTTTGGGGATCCGGGATGCAGCAGGCCCGTGATGTCGAACTTCTGGAATCAGTCTCAAGCAGGGAATTAGTCTCGAACAGACATTCTCATCGCATTAGAAGTGTATAAGTCCAAACCGCTGCAAAGTATACCACGTTCGATGCGCAAACAATGAGTGAAGGACTTTTAGACGGACCATGAGTTTTTGCCCTGTCTGTGAATTATTTGTGGGTCCAGTTTTATAGTCAGTCATTTTGGTAAACCACCATCATGAGCCTACGATCAACATGCCCATTCGCTGCGTTCCAAGAACCAGCTGCTATCGTGCTATTGTACCTCTAGCCGAACAAACGCGTCATCATTTTAATCAGTCCGAAAGCATTGCGTTTGGGAACTGGATGGTTCTATGAACAAGGATGTAGACGTGTGATTGTTCTGATAGATCTGGTTAGATGAATTGAAGCTGGAAAGCACGGTGAAAAAATGACTCACCTCTTTGAATTGCCTCCTTGTTCATTCCGCCGTGTCGGGGTCTCCGAGGAAAATGTGGCGCGAGGGCGAGGCGGTGAACGACGGCGTTCATTTGCGAAGATTTCCAGGAAAGAGCAAAATCATTACACACAGGTACGGGGATCATTTATCGTTCTGCATATATTTGCAGCATGGAAAGCGCAAGTTGGGCAAGGTTAGGCATTTGGCGGATCCGTGGCAAGCAACGAGCTGAGCTAGCCAATTTCAGTCAGCTCAAAACAAGTCAAAAGTTCCAGAGCGCTAGAAGGTTTCGAAAGGGCTGGTGGAAAAAGATGGGCAGTAAGCGAGGTTGTAACAAGAGGTCAAAGCGGCTTTCCCAATCTTTGGGACAACAAATACCAAGTACGATCTTCAAGCTGTTCAGCTCCTTATTGAGAAGATACCGATATGATCTGCAGCTGCACGATGAGTACGCGTTGTAAGTATATTAGATGATACCACGGAAGAAGGTACTTACGTGTATCGCGTTTAGACGAGTCATCGAGAAAACGAGTGATGTTTAATTCTCAACTCGTCAACTTGCTAGATAACCAGTCTGAGGCTTTGGAGCGACAGAGGGTCCTTGATCATGATTTCAATACAACAACTTTATACCATGAACGGTATAAAAAGACAGACCTTGGTGGCGTACTTTGGTAAAACCTATTCTTGGACTACATTCTCTTCTCAATCAACACAGGGTTTCCAGCATGTGTTCATTCCCGGTTGGAACTGTTCCGCTTTTGACAACAGATTCTACATTTGTCCCACCCATCACAGTAAGCGAGGCAACTCGTCGTTCAACGATGTTGAAGAATGAGACTGACCTAATCTAGGGCAAGGGTCCTCCATTCAGACATTTGTTGTCCACGGTTGAGGCGCCACGACTTTTCATGCTAATTGAGCACGATGCTCTCCCGTCGTTCTCCTCAGACCCTCTGTCACTGCTCCCCGAGTGCGCGCACTTGACGAGCTTTGATTCGATACCATCTACCCCTCTGCACACGCTGATCTCGCTCGGTCTTGACACGGCCAAGCCGCAGGCTCTTCACGCTAAATCCAATGTTCAACTTGACGCAGTTACACGATACATCTGCAATGTTGGATTCGGGGGTGCTGGTAAGGGTGATAGACATGGACATTATCCTACACCGCACGGTACAGTCGCCAGGACGAAGGAATCCCCTGGTACCTTCAACGCAGCATCAAACATGGCTCGGAAGTTTCAACTTGATGACGGCGACTGCAAAGACATTTTTATCCGTTGCAAAACAACGGTGAGCATTACGAACATCTCCTGACCACCACATCTAATTCTCGATGATTATGTTTTCAGGATAAAAACATAACCAATGAGAATTATACAAAGGGACAGGAAAGTCAGTATCCGCAGTCCCCATCTCCTAGCTCCGGAGATGTGGTCCTGTCCTGCTGGGAAACTGGTCCTCAGTTTTCCTATCATGGGCGCAACCTGGGAGCATTCAGCCCCATCCCTTGCCAAAGGGGTTCCTCGACAATCCCTGATCGCGAGAACGATCCGGTTGTGCGCCAGCATGTTGGGCAATGCTACACTCGACAGATACAAAACAGTTGTTATGCACCACGTATGCATAACAAAGTCTTGACGCTGGACCCATTGAATGTACCCCAGGTTCAGATGAGAAAAGTTGAGGACCTGGAGAAGGTAACAGATAAGTTAGTGACGGGGGTACCGGCAGGATCGCTACTGTTTTCCAAGTAGATTTAATCCACGAATGTTCAAGAATTATTGTGAATAGATCTGTATGAGAACGGAGAACGTTCGAGGAAAGCATCATCTTAAATCATCGTAGAGGAGATGAGATGAGATAACAACTTGAAGGCGTGGGAGTGCCGCATGCAAAGTTTTCAACATTGCTCATCATGGAAGATCGATGATTACTATCTTTGGACATGCTTCAAGTTTTCAAGTTTATTTCCTATCTGCATCGATATGTCAGGCAGTTTTTACCTTCAATGACTGCTCCTCATAGTTGAGATTGAGTCATTCTTCAGAGTGTACAAGTTGCTGCCGGTGCAGAGCCCACTGCTACTGCACTTGTCAAAACGCCTTGTTATACAACGAAATACTACGAAACCCTTTCAATATCGACACCACTCATGTATAAACCTGAAATACAAGTTATTGATATAAGATAGAGTCCCATTCCATCCTAACCGAGACATACTGGCACAACCCATTCAAAAAATCCTAATCTCCCAATAACTCAAACACCAAAGGACTAACCCTCAACTACCCAACAACATCCCACGTCTCCACACACTCCCCCGGCTCCCTAAACACCCTCAACATTATTCGAAACGGCAACACCCCTCTCGCTTTATACACCCTCATTTGCAACTCGTATCCTTTCTGTTCCGATTCCGTCATGCGCCTGAGCACGACGGACAATGTGGTGGACCCTATAAATCCCACGGATCCGCGTTTGTTGGATTTGAAAGATGTGTAAGAGGTGTATGAGGCATTGGAGTGATTCAGCCAAGGTGTTTTGGGTGTTTTGGGTGTAACAGAAGAAGCAGTTGTTGTGGGTGTCCTCGTTGTTATAGATGATGACACTGAAGAATCAAGAGCCAAAGGACGCGCGATAGCAGATGGAGACTGCGCCGTGGTTGAAGAGTCCGCGAAATCAATAAATGGTCAGGCTCCGCAGTCAGAGGTTTCGTGTCGAAATTGTCTGCTGATTTAAGTCCACCACCACCGACAGGAGTCTTCCTCGACCCAGCGGTGTAGGGAGCATTCATACTCAGAGGAGTCAGAGAACGCGATGGGGGACGGGAATCAGAATGAGAATTAGAGTTGAAGAAATTTCCTGGGAGAGGGGAGACAGGGTATGTGGGGCATCGAAACTTGAAGGCGCAGATTGTGGTGGTAGCATCTTATCGTACGAATCCCCGGTGGCATCACCCAACGGTTCTCCTTCGCCCGTATCTCAAATGAATATCGCAAACATTTGATTTGCTCATTCCCGAGCCAATCTATACAGACACAATGAAAAAAGTAAACATCGAGGGCCGGCTCGTAACGCACTCTATATAAATCTCTGGACTACATCCTCATCTCAATTGACACAGGTCTTTCAGTAATGTGTTCATCTCAGGTTACAACTGCGCCGCTTTTCACAACAAGTTCTACATTTGTCCAACCTATCACAGTAAGCGTGGCAACTCGTCGTTCAACGATGTTGAAGAATGAGACTGACCTAATCTAGGGCAAGGGTCCTCCATTCAGACATTTGTTGTCCACGGTTGAGGCGCCACGACTTTTCATGCTAATTGAGCACGATGCTCTCCCGTCGTTCTCCTCAGACCCTCTGTCACTGCTCCCCGAGTGCGCGCACTTGACGAGCTTTGATTCGATACCATCTACCCCTCTGCACACGCTGATCTCGCTCGGTCTTGACACGGCCAAGCCGCAGGCTCTTCACGCTAAATCCAATGTTCAACTTGACGCAGTTACACGATACATCTGCAATGTTGGATTCGGGGGTGCTGGTAAGGGTGATAGACATGGACATTATCCTACACCGCACGGTACAGTCGCCAGGACGAAGGAATCCCCTGGTACCTTCAACGCAGCATCAAACATGGCTCGGAAGTTTCAACTTGATGACGGCGACTGCAAAGACATTTTTATCCGTTGCAAAACAACGGTGAGCATTACGAACATCTCCTGACCACCACATCTAATTCTCGATGATTATGTTTTCAGGATAAAAACGTAATCAACGTGAATTATACGAAGGGCCAGGAAGATCACCATCCGCAATCCCCATATCCCAGCTCCGGGGATGCGGTCCTGTCCTTCTGGGAAACTGGTCCTCGGTTTTCCTATCACGGTCGGCCTCACCCATTTCCAAGGGTGGTTCCTTGACGATCCCTCAACGCAAGCAACGCCCGAACGGACAGATTCACCACAGGTCACCACAGGTTGGATCCGTCGCAGTGGGAGACGGGGGGGATACCAGCAGATTGATTCGTTACTGTTTTCCGTCGTAAGAGTAGAGGAGAGGAGAGGAGATGAGACAAGGAGTTGAAGGCGTGGGTGTGTACCGCATGTAAAGTTTCGCAGAATCCCCTTCTCCTCGTATACTTTCTTCCCCTTCTATGCACACGTCCCGGTCCCCACGCTCACGATCTCCAAGTTGACTCCGAGTGAGAAGTGAGAAGTGAGTGAGGCAAGGATTTGTAACGCGTTCCAGTAATTCTGTCATCACGTGCGAATCGTCACACCTGCAGTGTACCTCGAGGTTGAACGATGTAAAGGACCGCATCGATGGAAATCCTCTCAACGATGCTCTCCGGACTCTGCCTCTGCTTCGTGCTCAGCACCTCACGTGTATTGGTCCGCGCAAAAGGGGAGGGAGGGGAGGGTAGGGAAACGAAGGTGGAAACGGTCACGGTCGGGATCGGGGGGTAGGGGTAATGGCGCTGGGACGTCGTCTTCTAGAATACAGGTACCCGATTTATCTACTACGCGTGGAGGCTCGGTGGTATCGACGATTCCCTTTCCTTCCATGAACGACACCAGTAATCTCCCAACTTCTTCCGCTCATTCCAACCAACACCCATCACCACTCCCCCTGCCACTCCCCTTACCCTCCTTCATCACCCCCCCAGAACAAGATCAACTCCAATTCCAATTCCAATCCAAAGACCCCAAGGACCCCGGGGATGACGATCTACAAACACCCCTTCCTCAGTCACGTTTTCTCGTTCCCGACAATGATGATGATGACGATGAATTACAAATGCCTCTTGCGTTATTCCCTATTATATCTTCCCTACCTGTTCCGGTGCATGTATGTATTATGTATCACACCCGATGTATGTTGCAGTATTTTGTTTGTAGTCTGATTCAAAGAAAAAGATTTTCGAATATGAAGGAAGGAAGAAAAAGGATTCATGATTCAACCCGGGCTCGAACCGGGGACCTTCTGTGAAACACTGGAAAAGGTCAAGATGTTAGACAGATGCGATAACCAACTACGCCATCGAACCATGCTTACTTTTTTTGGGTATTGACCTAGGAATTTAGTTGGAAGAGGGTGAGTGAATCAAGTCACCTTGCTTGCAATGGTCCTTTCTTCCTCGATATTATTAGCGCGCGCGAAAATCGTCTCACGGCACCAGCGTTAATCTCAGACATCTTGTAGGCGGCCGCACATCCCCCTTCCTGCTTTGCAGTGTCCGCCATTTGTCTTCGATTGCGCGAGATCGCCAGACCATGTTCCATCTTACACCCCTTACTCAGTGAGGTTTTGCCACCTGTATATAAATCAACGCCCTGTGTGTAGTTACATACGGCGCCAGTAATGTATGTTTTTGTAATATATAACACAACTCTTGTAACTACCTTTGAAGTAGGGGGCTGATTGACACGCGATCGCTATTTAGGTCGCGAAACCGGTGACTCAAGCAAGGTTTGTGTCCCCCCCTGCTAGTGGGATTATATCAGGTAATCTCAGTGCAATCCAGTGCCTACTTCCAACGCTAAATCTCCATCCAGTTCTTTCATTACAGCATATCAAGTTCAAAATTTAACACCCAACTCCACCCGTTTGTTTCATTCACAGATGGTTTACAGTGCACCAGTATCCAGCATTCCTTGTTCCTCAATGGTGGATCTTCTTGTTCCTGAGGTGAGATGGGAGGTCGTTCACATGGATTTAGTCCACATACACAAAGTATGTCTACTGAGTCTCCTGAATCCGGTCTGAATCTTGGGTTGCAGGTGTGATGCCTTGACCACAACCAAGCCAGCCCTAATACCAGCTTCACGATCATAGATTATACAATCCCTACCTCTCCATCTTTGTACCTCCCCAAGACGGTACATCTTTTTATTGAACCATCACCTCCCCCTATCACGTTTTTTTCTTGGTCCATGTGCACATGTAATGGTCGAAAAGGTCACCTAGAAGCATTTCAAACTTACTCCATGTCTTTGTCTTCACTCTCGCGGGTGTGTGCGTGATCCCTACCCACAAAATCACTGCAGAAACTCTTTCCCCAAGGTTGGGTCATCAAAAGAATTCGGATAGATAATCCAGGACTGCATCGGGCGGTATAAAAAACGCTACAGAAACATTTGTTAGCACTAGACGGAAACGTATACGTACATAAACAACAATACCCCGAACCAGAAAACCCACACAGCCGCAAGACGCGAGACGCTTACTCGAGGATCTTCAAAGCAGCAACAAGAGCAACACATGCATACCCATGGGATGCCAAGAAGCGTTATTCTGCGCGGAAAAACAGGACTGGGGTGTCTGGAGCAGACGTCACGGAGGAGGAACTTTCAGGGGGGTTGTTGAGGTCGACAGTGGATTTGACACGGTGTGTGTTTACTGTGTGGGGGGCGAGAGAGAAGATTAGTAACCTGATAGCTTTGTCATTTGGGCCTCTTCCGATGGACTATCGATTATTTCCCGTTCCAGAAGACTCGGCAGAAACATTCGTAGGTTGAATGGACGACTTTGGAGACAAGAGAGCGGTGGTCGACGTCGAATCTAGAGGATCAATTCGGGAAACGATCTTCTCTTTATTTGCGAAGAGTGCCAATTTTAGCGCCGTGATTTGTCCACCATCCTCGCTCGTACCTACAAAAGCTCTAGAGGCTCGATCCGGTTCGTTCTTACGCGGGACTTTTCGGAGGCATTATTGGCTGCGCGATACAGGTAACGGGATGGTCGAAGGATAATTCGGAATGCGAATTTAGGGAATTATGAAGGGGACAACAAGATGAGGGGCCGAAACGCCAGCTGTATACGACATGGCTGTGTTGAACGGGTGTGCAAGCTCTAAACGACGACGCTGCGGCGCTTTGAGGACATGAGTGATTACACTTAGACCGAGGGGTATTGAGATCGTGATACTCCCAATACTCTCCCTCTTCCACTCCCTCTCCCGTTTTCTTCTGTTCATTCCGACTCAACATCACTACTCCCCTTAACACACCCCTTATCCTCCTTCACCATCCCGCGTGAGCAACTCGAATTCGAATACCCCGAAGACAATCTACAAACACCCTTCCACGATCACGTTTCCCCATTCCCATTGACGACGATGAATTACAAACCCCTCTCGCATTATCATTCCCTATATCTTATCCCGGTGCATCTATCCTCCTACGTTCAATTCGAAGCACTAGTGCTTCGCCTGTTCCAGTGTCCACTCTGGCTCTTCCTTACATCACCACCGACCCCTCCTCACCCTCCTAATGACCCCCCCATTTGCAAATCTCCCTCTCACCAGCTCTCACCGTCACCCTACTCCCAACATATCACTATCCTCCTCTCCCCAACCAACCTCCCTCTTTACCCTCGCCACCTTCTCCACCCATGCTGATGCCCTTCATGCCCAGATCCAGAAAAGAAAGAAAGAGCCCGCGATCCCGGGGAAAACCACGTGTACAACAGTTTAGTGACTTTAGCAAGGATTGGGAGGTTGTACAGGAGAGCGAGCGAAGCGAGGGGAGGGTGGAGGTGGTTTAATTTGACATGTGGTAATGATAATACTAGTGCTCTCGTTCCCACTATTGGTACTAGTAATATCTCGTCCAAGGGCCTTTTGTAAATAATAATCCAGGGTTTATTGTCCTCAAAGCTCCGTCTCCCCGCATACGTAAATTTCATGTATGTATTACAGAGGATGTACAGTATTTGTTATTGAGTGTTATGTGGGAGTTCACTTCGTCGAAGTAACGTACCCCTCCATACCCCTCCATCCATCCATACCCCTCCATCCATCCAAAATATATATATATATCTCGACTCTCAACCAGATGATTCAATCCGGGCTCGAACCGGAGACCTTCTGTGAAACATTTACTAGCATGTTAGACAGATGCGATAACCAACTACGCCATCGAACCATGATGTATGTTTAGGTATTTAGTTAGAGAAAGTGAGGAGAATTGAGTGGAATGAGTCCAAATGTCAATTGGCATTGGCATTGGCATGTACTGCCCCTTTACCCTCCTTACACTTACACTTACACTTAGTCTTACTCTTAATAGTTGTGGCATAAACATTGATAAACCCAGCCAGAGAACTTTCAGAAAGTTTGTTGAACAGTGTGATTCATGAACTTGGATGATTAGAAAGAAACCTTCACATTATAAATCATAAATGTTACTGTCAAGTACCCAGTACGTTCTGAAACCAGCCAGTGGCATGGTGGTGCTCATGATAAGTTCCCATTCCATTCTATGATTGGTGCCAGTGGAAATAATTCTCAGCGACTGAACTTGTAAAGCCGTAAGGACCAGCCTGAGTGATGGACAGAATTTTGGTCAACTTGAACCATGTTGATACATTATGCAGTGTTTAGGTGTGGTATACTACACACATGCATAGCCTGTATCAGCCTGTATCCGAGTTCTGGGATTGTCCTTTCTACAGGATGTCATTTAAAGTTATGTTCTTGATCTGTACACGTAGACGCTCAAGACAGATATAGACAGATAATCATGTCTCGTCTGGGATTCAAGGTGAGTTCTCGGGACAACAGGTCTGTTCGTGTAGTATTATTCTGATATTTACTTTTTCTCGAAATTGTTTCTTGGTACTAATTCTCAGTACCAATTAATTTAACAAATCACTTTCAACATCGTCTCGGATGTTCAAGTTCATCCAACGAAATCCACTCGACTTACTCTAAACCTTAAGATTCCCTCCCCTCTTCCCAGAAGTGAACTGCCCTTGGACGTTGAATAATTGATTCCCAAGATCTTCGACTCTAGTAATGATCCTCTGACTCTGGAATCTCACAAAGTGAAAAACCCGTCAAGTGCTCCAGCACAGGCTTACATACATAACAAGTTAAAGATATCACCACTGCTTTGATGAGCGCTAGAAGGCCTCAAGCCGCAATTGAAGAAGTCATCTCATAGGCGCTGAAAGACCTTGAAAGACTCGGTAGAGGGGAAACAAAGTTTGAACAGTGTGAATGACCGATGATAACTCCGACTATGTGTGACCCTTTGTGAATTCCTCAGTATCCGAACACTTCGTAAAGCCGATATGCAATACTGGATGCAATGACTTCTATACTGCCAGAACAGGAGGAGGAAGTTACTTAAAAGACTTGACAGGATGCGAACCATAGTCCCAAGTTCTAGCTTAGCTTTTCCCCTCGACTCCAATCTCATACGCTCAGATTGATCTCTGACTGAGCGACGAAAACGCCTACCACCAATCGATCATCGATTGATATTGAACAAACAAAGGAATGTAAGTACACACCGCACTGTATGGCATTTTTTGAGGCTGATTTTGATTTCTTTGATTTCTTCTCTCCTCGTTATCGCCCAATCTTCTCTAGGGCTTACTAGTAAGTAATCACCTCCTCCGCTTCACGGATTTTGGGAACTGGAATACATACTCACTATAATCACTCATTCATTAGCTGTGCTTATGGCCAACATCATCATCATCACCACCACCATTACCCTTATTCACCCCTCCCTCCGTTCCCCACATATTCACCATACTCACCATACTCACCGTTACCGCCGACACGAGTAACACCACCTGTGATACCCCCACTGCCGCTTGCCAGACCCCAATCCGCCGATCAAGATTATTGGACTGGTAGTCCCCGCGCTAGAACTATATTAACACCCGCTGCTCTCCGCCCAAACAATCAGTCGAAGCCGAAGAAAGTGAAACCTAAACGGGAGAAAGAGTTATACGTCGCCCCTGTTAGACCACCACTTCCTGCTCCTCCGCATAATGTTTGGTTTTATTCTACGCCTCCTCCTGCTTCTCCGTGGGCACCGGCGCCGTATGCGTGGACAACGACGATTTCGACGCCGGGTTCTGGGTATGCGGTGCATGTTGAGTTGAAGCCGGAATGATGTATTGGATTGATTAGCATGGGGGAGCTGGGCTTGTTGACTATGAGGAAGTAGTATTGCTAGCTGGCTAGCTGGGGGGTTGTTGAAAGGGTTTGATTCTGATGGATACTGAGTACTGAGGCATGAGGGGTTGGTGGTTGTTTGTAGAGGAGGAAGGGGAGGGGAAGGAAGACGGAAGGAGGACAAAGCAAAAATTGAAGCGATGTGACTACGGACGCTATATGTATGATTTATTCTCTGTTGAATGTTGATACCTTGTTAGTTTCTTGATTTCTTTGTTAAATACCATTCTGGACATTCTCGATATATTCAATATTCAATGGCGATAGTAAATGCGGGACTTTTCAGCCATTTGACTCACTAAATATTCAGATATGTATGTAAGTAAGGACACCAATGTTTAGCATTTTGACGACGTACTTGTCGGGTTTTGTTGTCCAACCTCGGTACATCCTCACGCCGCTGTCTCCCCTTATTTTCCTCAGGTCGAGCGGTTCCGTTTCTTGAGGTAAATCTTATCGTTCCCAACGGGATAAAGCCGAATCTGCATGGAGATTGTATATTGAAATGTGAAGTTCTGAACGATGTTGATGAGCAATGACATAACGCTCACCACGCCCACGTGCAGGTTGAACGCGTTCAACCAACTTCTTTGCTTCTGATCCTCACATTACAACTGTTACTTAAGCTTTATCGGCATGGCGTTCCACAGACTTGACTCTTATGATGATTCTGCCCACAACTATTATCCATCTCACGACGATTCGGACGACATTGCGGATGAATATGAATATGGTCCTTCCAGCAGCACGGAAGGAGGATACTCAGGATACGCCTCCACGGATTACCTAGGATCATCCTCCGCTTCGGTCCCCAGATACCAGCCAGGTCAGCATCTTGCGCCCATACATACAGGAGAAACATTACAGTTTGATGAACATTCAACACTTTATACGCAAAGTAATCCTTCTTCCACGCTGTCCTACGCGCAGAATTCACAATCACATAATAATTCTGTGTCGGAGGAGTACTTTGGCTACCAACCAGAATATTCTGCAGCCTCAAATCATTCCTATGCTTCTCATTCCTATACTTCAGCTGGGTCCGCTTATTCATCTACAACTGGGCTTCGAAGCGTTCCTCCTCCGCGGTCTCGGTCTCCGACTCCCGCTGGGGATGATGAAGACTATTATGTTGTCGGGAATGACAGCGTTCACTACACAGGAGGACTACATGACCCGGAAAAAGCAGATGACTACAACAATTACTACAACTATTCATCCTATGACTCTCGATACGCTTACGACTCTCTCCCTACTCCGACCGAACCCATAACCCCCGTCGAGACACGTCATTTTGGTCCTGCCCCAAGTGGTCGAGTCACGCGTAGACACAATATGAAGAAACGAGTGCAGTTGACTAGAGGGAATCTGGTCTTGGAACTCCCTGTCCCTCCAAATTTAGTTCTACCACGCATGGGAGAGCCAGAGATGATGCAGACGCGGTATACCGCTGTGACGTGTGATCCGGATGATTTTTCAAAGCAGGGATTCTCATTGAGGCAGGTGGAGATGCAGAGGACGACGGAAATGTTTATCGTGATTACGATGTATAATGTGCGTTGTCTTGTGCGTTTGTTTGTTATTGGTTATATCTGCTAATGAATACATACAGGAGGACGAGATTCTATTTTGTCGAACCGTCTATGGTGTCATGAAAAATATTCAGCATTTGTGTACGCGGAAAAGCTCGCAGACATGGGGAGCTGATGCTTGGAAAAAGGTTCTAATTCTCATCTCATGTTACCCAGTTTCAACGGTATTCATTGTATATCCCAGGTAGTAGTCTGCATCGTCGCCGACGGCCGAAAAAAGATTCACCCGCGCGTCCTCGACTGCCTCACCCTTCTAGGAGTCTACCAACCCGGACCTTACATGAAGAACTTTATCGACGACAAGGAAGTCACCGCGCACTTGTTCGAATACACCGCGTCGTTCGGGTTGGACCCGAACTTGCATTTCAAGTATCCGGACAAAGGGATCGTACCGACCCAGATCATATTCTGCATGAAGGAGAAGAACCAGAGGAAGATTAATAGTCATAGGTGGTTCTTCAATGCTTTTGCAAGCGTTTTGCAGCCAAACGTCTGCGTATTGCTCGATGTCGGAACACGACCAGGGAATAAAAGTATCTATCGACTTTGGAAGACTTTTGACCTCAATTCTAATGTGGCGGGAGCGTGTGGCGAGATTTCCGCGTACAAGGGCAAGAATTGGTCTTTACTCTTGAATCCGCTTGGTATTTGTTTCACTTTCCACATTACATTATGTTGGGTCCTTTCGCTGATGATGCTTCCCATGGGCAGTTGCGGCACAGAACTTTGAGTACAAGATCAGTTGTATATTGGACAAACCCACTGAGAGTTTGTTTGGGTACATCAGCGTTCTTGTAAGTCTATCGGAACTTGGCTCCCATAACGTGTCATCCGTACTTAAGAACGAGATCCGTCATTTGGTTAGCCAGGCGCGTTTTCTGCGTACAGGTACGAGGCCCAACTAAAGAGCCTCTTCAAAAGCTGAACTTTCGATAACAGATATATTGCACTACAGAACAACGAGAAAGGCGTCGGTCCACTGGCGAGTTATTTCAAGGGAGAGGTTCTCCATGGGCGTGATACGGATATTTTCACTTCCAATATGTGTGAGGATATTACTGCACAACGTTACCTTTGCTTTTTGCGGAACAGACACTAATAATATCCGCTTTCATTATTTAGATCTCGCTGAAGATGTATGTACTTGAATTTCCTCGACATCGAAGATGGAAGATTGTTGATGACCCCTTCTCAATCTATAGCGCATTCTCTGTTTTGAACTTGTGGCAAAAGCTCAGTCGAACTGGTACATACGGATCTCAGATTATACGATTCAATTTGATAGATTGATGCTTGCTTTCTTTTTCCTCGTAGGATCCTCAAATACGTTAAAGGTGCAGTCGGCGAAACCGATGTCCCCGACTCCCTTCCCGAGTTCATTAGCCAGCGTCGACGGTGGTTGAACGGCTCGTTCTTCGCAGCAACGTATGCAATTACCCATGTTGGGCAGATCATGCGCTCAGGGCATAGCGCGGCGAGGAAGGTTGTGTTGTTGTGTGAGACGATATATAATATTATTAGTATCATATTTGCTTGGTTCAGTATTGTAAGTTGATTCATCACTTTCACTCGACGTAGATTTGCTGAGCTATTATTGTCTTTGGTACTTCTAGGGAAATTTTTATTTGTTCTTTGTAAGTCAATATCTATCCTCATCAATGTGAAAAGAAAAAAAATAGTGAACGCTGGGTTGTTTGCTGTGGATTGAAGGTGGTATTAACGTCGTCGTTGGAGGATGAATCTTTTGGGATGACTTGGATCAAAGACGTCAATCCCATAATACAGGTGAGCCTGGCTCATTGCGAATCAGGGCAATACTGAAGCATCTTGTGTAATAGTACTTTCTAGCATTCATGATCGCTGCGTGTTTCCTGTTCTCCATGGGCAACAAGCCTCAAGCGTGAGTGGACTCCCCTCCATCACGAAGACGGAACTGCTGACGAGAGGAATCTCTACATACAGGTCGAAGTTCAAATACCTACTCATGACTATTCTTCTTGCTCTCTCCATGGTCTACATGTCCTTCGCTGCTGTCAAATGTTCGATCAAAGCAGCGCAACAAGGAGGGAGTGCTAACTCGGTGATGCTTTTCAGCGTGATTATAACCTATGGATGTGAGTAATTCGGTTTCGTGGGGCCTCTGATGTCTTTGCATTATCTAAATCATGAATCTAGTATGGGCCACTAGCAGCGTGCTAGCATTCGATCCGTGGCATATGCTCACCAGTTTCATTCCGTATATGTTACTCTCGCCGACGTATATCAATATTTTGAACATATACGCATTCTCAAATCTCGACGATGTGAGTACACCTTGTAGTCGTCCGACTATTTCTGTGATACTCAATCAAGTGCTTCGCTGCCCTTCCTTCTATACGGATCTCAGATTTCCTGGGGAACGAAACAAGATTCAGTGGAAATCGACCTGGGGGCGGTGATGAATATTGGGAAATCCCAGGTCGATGTAGAGTTGTTTTCAACGGCTGCGGATGTGAATGAGATATACCAGGAGGCTATAGAGAGTTTGAAGCAGAAGAAAATGAAAAAAGTTCCTGCGAAACGGAATGGGAGACCTACGATAAGTGCGGCTGAAAAGGAGCAGGCGGCGAAGGATTATTATGCGAATGTGAGGACAAACGTATGTCCTGAATCTATATGTGTCTGGTGCTTCCCTTATATCTGAATATCAATCAGGTTCTGCTCCTCTGGGTGGTTTCCAACGTGAGTTGACTTGATAGAAGACATACCGTTTTACTCACATTGAAAGTTAACAGTGTCTCTTGATCATTGCCATACTCAAGGGCAGTGACACTTCCGGAACGTTTGGCGACTCCAATTCAACTGGAAGGGTGAAGGCGTACTTAATTTTCATATTGGTGTTCACCACTATAACCAATTTGGTTGTACGTCCCCGTCATTTATCTGCCCTCTGTATCTTGCTGATACAGAGTGATTTCATAGCGATTTATTGGTTCTACGTTTTATCTTCTAGTTAGGTTAATAACGGGATAATTGTAACTTCAACAAGGGACATATGTATAAGTGATGTGACGTATACAAGACTTTCAGAAGATCGATTATTAGTATCTTGGGGGACTAGACAAAAATATTTTGGTCTATGTACATGTTCACTGCCAATGCGAAATCACGAAGCCAGTCAGATGGTGACTCATACTTCTGGAGGGGATAATGATTGTTCATTCTAAAACCCCCAAGCAGAAACCTGTCCTTCACCATCTTTTTCGACACAGTACCTTCTCCCTTTTTTTGCTCGGGTGTCTTCGCCAGATGGACATCCTCCTGGTTGTCTACCTTCTGGATGGAACATCCTAAGTCTCATTGTGGCCAATGTTTGTCCTTAGGGTAACTGGGGGGTGAATTCAATTTAGAGATACGGTGTTATTGGCGGAGTGAACATGAATTGGGGAATACCAGAGTGCGGTTGTAGTAACTTACAAAAATGTTTGTCGAAGTGGCTACTGTATCTACCAGTTCATCTTCCCTCTAATTCAAAAATACTGCATACCGTGGAGGTCCCATAACCGATTCAAACCTCGAAACTAAGATTCATAGGCGCGTAACTTCATATGCTGAGGAACTAGATTACGATAATAATTTATGGTGGTAAGTTTAATTACCGGATAACAGAGTGTTTGGGTTTTGTTGTACAAAGAGAGCTGTCAAACAAAAGAGTAGTGCGTACTAGCACGCAGGAGTTATTTCGGACTCAAATAAAATTTAGGAATACAGATAAGCATACAAAGTTTTCGTTTCTTTGATCGCAGGTGGAGAATTACGAAGTACCAGTCGCCGCGGGGCGGTTCGCACACGAGAGCGAGAAGGTGAAGAGGTGGAACGCTGTACAGGCCAACGATCAGAAGGACCGGTTTGCCTCAGGTTTCGGGGAGATATTGCCTCCAAAGTGCGCTCTGGATCTTCAGACCCCACGCGCATAGACATCGACGTGAACTGCCGCTCCACGGAATGTTCTGCTTCGGACAATTCACCATCTGCATCAGAGTCTCCGATAACGGACCACGTGTCTGTGTCCAGCTCAGGAGACATATCGTCAGACTGTGATCCGAGTTCGTCGATGTCAGATAGGTTATTATGTGCTGCCACAATGCCAGGTTGGGAGACGACTGATTCGGCGTCAGAGTCAGCGAAAGCTGAAGACCCGAAATCTGTGTCTGAGTCGAAAAGAGAAGAGGAGGTGTCGAGGTCTGTCACGGGAGGAGTGTCCAAGGATGCAGCTGCTTGACGGTCAGGCTGAGTGACATTAGGTCGGAGGATATGCGTAAGCCTTGAGCCCAGAATATCTTTGCCTTGCAAATGGGGCTGTCAGGGAAGTTCCAAGCTTGCGACAAAATCACCATATACGTACTGAAGCTGACAACATTGTGATACCTAGCGCAGCAATGGACAACATAGCGAGCGAATGCATCGTCAGAAATACGCCAAATGAGGAGCTGTGGTGTCCGGAAGACTTCTATGATGGAGCCAGTATCGGAAACAGGGCGTCCAACAACCTCAGAAAAGTCTATGCTGTCAGCAGCATCGGGGTTGAGTGTAATGCCTCCGGCATCGAGCCATTCCAAAATCTCGGCTTCTACTTCGCGCACTAGATGTTCAGCTCGATACCCAGCCCGACGTAAATCACGGCGCATCCCCTTTATGCTGAAAGAGAACCTGCCGGCATCTGCAGAAATGGGATCGGTTACCGGTATAGATGTGGCTAATATCTTGGTGTTGCGGTGTAGATAATTAGGGAGGGGCTCTGGGAAGGTCGTCTTCGGTTCATTGAGCTGGAGAGTGAAGTCCTTCCTGGTCGGAAGCGCAATGTGAGGGTTCTCGATGAAATGCGCTGGACACGGCGGAGGCCGATAAGGATTTCGGATATTCATGAATTGAGAAACCTACCGTTTTCCTTTCGCCTAATCCATCGTCTACCTTCATTATCATCTCTCTTATTCTTCTTGTATGTTCTCGTGGGTGCAGATATGTTTCTAGGTTTTGAATCATACAAGTAGGCATATCTATCCTTTATTCCTGGATTGCGCAGAATCGCAGGAAATGATAAAGGGACTGATACATCTGGGAAGGTGTTTGAAACTAAGTTTGTTGGCTGGGGCGTTACAGCAGAGACAGCCTCGACGACCTCCATGACATACAAAGAGAAGATGATTCGATGCAGAGTCGATGACAGTGAATTCGGAATCAATGCGGACCGGGAAACGCATGAGTCAAAAGACATCCTCAAAATAGCTACAATATATCATAGATCCATATGTATACATATGTCTAACGTGCAACTGTTGTGTTCTCCGCCTCTTCAATGAACATCATTCCAGTACTTTCCTTTGAAAAGACATCTTTTGCTTTGCGAAGGAACTCGGGATCCTTTTCATAACCCATTTCTTCCATCTCCTCCAAGGCGATAGTGTACCGAGGGTCGCCGTTAATGGCGCACTTCTTCACCAGAGATTTGTATGTAGTCGCGGGAGGCTTGAAGCCTGCACCTTTCATCTCTTCAAGATATTCGAATGCTTCTTCATATGTATCTTGTGTTATGGCCAGCTCGATCATCAGTTCGTAAGTACGTGATTCCAAAGCGATGTCTGCTTCTTTCATGTCCTGCAATATTCGAGCTCCCAAGGGTTGGTGGCGGGCGGCAACCGCACCTTCGAGGAGTAGATGGAATGTATTTCGGTCTGCCTTGACGTTATAATCTGGGAAACTCTTATACGCGCCCACAGCACGCTGCAGGTCACCCAAAGCAACGGCTGCTCCGATGATGATGTTTAGGGAGGATACTTGTAATGGTCTCTCTTGGTGTATTTCATCCATGAGAGCCCATGTGGAATCGAAGGTGTCAGTGTTCTTCTTGACATGCTCGAGGATCGGGAGAAGGGTCGAAGGTAGCGGGGGGGTAGTTTCTTGCATAATGTCTATCGTCATAAACGCCTCCTTGACCTGACCTGCTCTGCAGAACGCTTCAATGAGCGGCGCGAAGTGACGCTCCTGTAATGGAACGCCAGTCAAATTAAGCACTCGAAGAACATCGGTAGCTATATCAGGTAAGCCATGGCGAGCAGCAGTGTGAAGGACGCCCATGCAGATACCTTCGCCGGGACTTAAGTTAAGTTCCTGAACGATATATTCCCAGCATTGAACGACGCCGTCTTTCTGTGCAAAGTCTGGTGCGTTAGCCTAAGAACAGGGGCGACGTGGTTCAAAATTACTCACCCAAAGGCAACTTGCAGATGCGGTCAGACAATTCACCCATACATCCGATTCCAACCTGCGCACGGAATCCGACTCAAAAGCATTCACCAAATCCAATGCCAATCTCGCATTTCCTGAGTCCGCGGCAATTTCAACGACTAGTTGCAAGGTTCGAAGTTCAGGTTCAGTCCCCTTGCTTTTCATGACATAGAGGTAACGGAGAGCGTTTTCGATATTCTTTGCAGAGGCGAAATAACTGATGATGAGACCATAAGTGGTTGCATTAGGCTCAACTCCCATTTCCTCCATAGCTCTGATTATAGGCCACAAATAAGCTGAATTCCTATGTTGGTGTGCCTGTGATATAATTATGAATAAGACCAAGCTACATAGAAGGCTTTGACCAACCTCTATAAGAGCATTAAAGGTCTTCACATCCGGTTTTATCCCGTATAGTTTCATGTCCTCAAAAATGGCCCATGCATCTACGCTACGCGTGTTTCCGGCCATTGAACGAAGGAGAAGATTGTAAGTGTCCAGGTCTGGTTTAGTTCCTCGCCGCTTCATGTCTGCGACTACTTCCAGAGCACGATGAGAATCACTTCTAGTCGCTGCACTGGCAAGTTTTGAATTGGCTCGGGCCAGGTTACTGCCATCCCTGGTCTTTTGAAATTCGAGGTTGGAGGCACTATCAAATTGAAACGGTTTGCTTCGAAGTGCTTCTGCAGAGCCACTTCCTATGGGTTGATACTGTAAAGGTTCGGAAGTAGGAGTGTCGCTATGAGTATGAGCAGAGGTGAATGGGCGCGCGCAGGAAGCTAAATAATTGCCGGAAGACATTAGATGTTATGCAGACAGTATAATGAGTCCCCACTTGTTGGTTTGATTTGAACACATCGAGAAATTCGCGACGAGACGCGCCGAACGGACGAGCGAGAAGAGCCAAGCATGTATCTCAATCTGGGAAGGATTAGGTTATGTAATTTTAGCTGAATCCCAAATCATGTGATGTTTATTGCGAGTGATTTCGTGGCGGTGCAGGCGCGTCTTTCGTTTTCTTGTGACCACCGCGACACCCTATAACCTCTTTCGCGCCATGGTATATTTCAATCTAAATTTAACGCAAAAACTCTGCTCAACCGATCTTAGTTTTACTCAGAAGCTATTCTGTCGCGTCGCGGCCCTCTAGGCAAAGTATGGCTTGCAGCCCACATGGAACGCAAATTATCCAAGACCCAGACATTGCAGACTGACATCGAAGAATCAGTTGGTGAGTCGCCATTTGGCATCACTGTTACTGCTTCTCATCTTTATGCAGAGGCTATCATACATCAAGAAATTGAAGTGATGGCATTACGACTAAGCGGGCAACTGTTACTCGGAGTGGTTCGCATTTACAGTCGGAAAGCAAAGTATCTCCTTGAGGACTGTAATGAAGCTATGTCCAAGATCAAAATGGTGAGGCTTACATACCCCAATGTCCTTTCGCCTGACTCAATCGTTGCGTAGGCTTTCAGTCGTGGTATCGTTGACATGGCCGAAGAACAACTCGTGGCAAATAAGAACGCCATTACCATTCAAGCAAATGCATTCGACTTTGATATGATGCCTGACGATGACTGGTTAGATTTCTATTACACCATTTCCAATGAGTTCCTCATTTTTCTACCTAGGCTTCTGCAAGATTTTGATGAAGACAGACCTGCACCGGCTCACGGACAACATCAAGCACGCATTGATGACATTACACTTCCTCCTACCGACACCTTCGAACCACTTGATTTTGACAATGACAATTTCGACCTCGGGCCGTCAGATGGTATTGGTTCACAAGATTTTCTCGACCTCGGTGTCGATTTTGGCGATGCCCCTATTCAGAGTGAGAAGGGTGCGGATGAGTCTATGAGCGTCGACGGAAGTGTCGGTGTTGGAAGGGATGCCGCATCACATCGTGACTCTATCGGTGACCAGTTCATGGATTTGGATGGGAACTTTGACCTTCTCTCGCGTAGAAGTAGGACCAGGGAACTTTCAGAGCACCCCTTCGGAGCAGACATGGCCCTTGATATGCCTGAGTTTGGGGACATCGATTTAGGGGACCTTGGCATAGGTTTTGATCCAATACCAATGGATATCGACAAGACGCCTGGCCAAACGAGGTCTTCTTCCAGAGCATGTGTGCCTATTTCATTTTTGACGTCTACGTTGGTCTGATCATTGCGTGACCAGCCTCTCCTCTCAGCTCCGTACCTGCAACTCCCCCGCCTGATGTAGGGATCACCGAAAACGCAGAGGCAACTCCCACAGTGTCGAAACTCAAACGCAAGATCAAGGAGAAGAAACAAATCATTGACATGGTCACCGAGCTTAAGGATGGACCAGGTGCCAAGATTGGTAGAGGAAGAGATGTTCAGAATAATCGCGACTTGAGTGATATCCTCACCGAGCCACATTTCCTCCCTCGCTCCGCCGTGGTCATGCGTCTGCTTGAGGTCCACCACGATCCTATCTCCCACTTTTTACCTACTAAGGTTACACCAGAGGGCAGCTTCTTCTGCGCAGCGCCTCCGGGGCTAGCTCCCGAACTTGCAGAACTTTTCATGTATCCTCTCAACACCATTGGCAGTAAACGACGAGGACCCTCCCCCGGTGGTAAAGGTCCAAACAAACGTCAACGCTTGGATAACGCTGCTGAAGATGAAGAGATCGAAGTTGGTCGTCGGGCGGATAGTATTGCCCCCGCAAGCGACATCCTAGGAAGGGGAAGCATGGGACCTGATGCTCTGGAATTCGGTGACCAATCGGGAATCATTGACGATTTTCAGTTGGATATTCCCCAGTTTGATCCTGTAAACGTGGATTTGGATCGGAGATCCAAGTCGGCGGCTCCTTCTGTACGTAGCAGAATGTCCACCCCCGCTGTGGAAGGAGTTGTACCTGAAGAGGGAGATGAGAACTACGCCAATTCAGCTTGCCCTATCTCTGCATTTGATTCTCAGACCCAGACACAAGTCACTGGTACTGAAAAGGGTGTCCAACCGGTCGATAGTTACAGTAGAAACACTGTCAAAGCCATTTCTGTTATTCGAAAGGAGCTTCGCCCGACGGAAGGTGATGCCGAGGAAAAAGTTCTTAGCTTCAGAAAGATGGCAGACAAGGTTGGCATAATCTATATCGTTCGCTTTTTTCCACTGACGGTTTTTCTCGTTAGGCATCTCGACGTGCTGCCGCTTCGTTTTTCTTCGAATTGCTCGTCCTTAGCACTCGCGATTGCATCGCGGTCAACCAACCCACCCCTTTCGAGAACATAGAAGTTCGTGCCAAGGACAAGCTATGGGACGTTCAACATCACGCCCCATCAAGGATGACATCCGTTGCTCCATCAATTGCTCCTTCCACAGCCCCTTCTCGAGCACCATCTGTTGCCCGATCTCTTGCATCTTCGTTAGGATTGTAGAGGTTGAGCATGGCCTTTCCTTAAGTTCGTATCTTGTGGTCTGGATATATATACTCTATCTAGCGCAGGACCTGATTTTGTTTGCGGACCTGTTGCGGACCTCTATTAGTTATTTCTATCGTTACGTCGTACGTATATATCGCTATGTGTTCGTTTTGTCTTGTATATCTTAGTTGTTTGTATCAGTCTCTTAACTTTTTTGCACGCAGTGACATGTTGAGCTGAGTCGGCCATTGAACCTGTGTTATATGATACATGCTTTGTACAATTCATACCAATTTACGTCCAAGAGAGAGGGCTTCTACTGAACCAAAGTACCATTCTGATCGATACACCACTCTGGACGAGCGCAGGGAGGTTGAGTACCAGCGGGTTCGGGACCCGCATCCTGCATCAGGAGGGCGACTACTCCATGAGCTGGAACAGCTTTGGCAGTGAAATTGCGAACAGCGGTACCGTTATCGGTATGAGTCCAGAGATCCTAAAATGTATAGTGTACATCAGCCGGTTCGTCACTCAGTGCTTGAACAGGTAAAGCACGTACTCGGACGGCATATTGCCTGCCTGCATTGATCCACGGAGACTCGGTCAAATTGAAGAACATGTCGGCGGAATCGTCGAGGACATTGAGCTATAATTTGTTGATTATTGCGACCCATGTGTGTTAGCTCAGAGCACACTCACCAACATGAATATGGTCCCATTCTGACTCTCTCCACTCCAGTATTGCGCGGGATGAGTAGCATTGAAAGTCCAGTCAGGCTAACAAAAAATACAGTTCAGACGAACGGATCATTGAAGTTTGTTTGTATCGACATACGTTGACTCCCCAACGGAAAGGAGAGATGGAAGTGCCGACAACAGGATCTTGGTTGATCGCTATAATTTCTTTGTTCGTCAGGACCTCAAGGGTTTCGTTCGTGACAGTGGTGAGCTGGAACGATTTGAGCTTTGAGCTGCTTCACCAATGTGGTACTCACATCCGTTCCCTAATGAAAGTCAGTAATCACAGACCGACGTAAACCTGGTGCTCACAATCAGTAGCGGAGATTTCATCAAACTCCACGCAGTGTAGTGAGATTTGGCTTCGTCGAATGTAAGATTTCCATTTCCCCTGCGTATGAAACAATTGAGTGTTAACAGGCAAACATGCGCAATCGAAGTTCACTACACTTCGAGCTGCAAAACATTAGATCAGCAGTTTGCGAAACCAATCAGATGATGAACCTACAATGTCCATATCATTGTGTCCATAGAAATCAGAAGCCCAGGTGATGAATGAATTCCTGGAATGTTTCCTAGTAGCTACATAACGACGTGTACGAAGATCAAACTCACTGGTTGATTATACTAGCAAGGTGGTCCCAATCAGCGTCGATGTCGTCAGTAGTCTGTGTAAATCCAGGATTGAATGTTTGGGAGTGTCGCATGGCAGAAGTAATCTTACTCTCCACGATTGTCCGAGCTTCCTAGCCCAAAGCCACGGTTGCTCCTGCAATGTTCAGGATGAGAATCCAATTCCGTTACTTCTCAGCATCGAAACTCACTCTCCCCCACTGACACAGAGAATAGAGCAAAGGAGGCTGGCCTGTCGTTGCGGACAAGTTGGCAATAGCATCCGCCATACGGGTGTATTCTGTTATAACAATGAACGGGTGGCAATTACATTGGGCCTATAGGTAAACTCACTGCCAACCATTCCGAGATCGATAATCTCGTCAAATGGTACTAGAATTTCGATAAGGGGTAGCTAGTTTTGCATGGAGGAAGAACACACCTGCGCAATTATCATACCTGGGGACAACGTTTGTGAGCTGAGCTGACCTCATCTGAAATCCTTATACATACTTCAGAAGGTCGAAGCCCCAATTCTGAAATTGCTCCGCATCTCTATTTCGATATGAACATCATTCTATCAAACTGAGCAAGGGTGTAAACTCGCCTTGCCTCATTCAGATAAGACCCTGGGTACAACTGGCAAGTGAACCACCCAGAATCGCTGTACTGAACCGTCGTTAAACACCGTTGTTCACGTCTTGTAAGTTTAATTTTCTTATGCATTACTCACGATACCGGCTTTCCTGAAATTTACGAGGATTTGATTTTGTAACCAGCCGATGACAAGAACAAGTAAAGACGTACAGTCCCAAGTCATGAATTTGGCTTGTCAAATTGTTGAATCCTGAGGGAAAACGGGTGGCATCTAATCGAAGACAGATTAGGTACAGTAGGAAATAGGACATCGCTTTTAACACACTAGCAACAAGATCTCCAGAAGCACTGCGGGTTTTTTCTGCCCAGCAATCGTCGATATTCATGTGCTCATATCCAAGGTCCTATAATGCCTTTCCAATTCAATGTGACATCTATATTCCGATGTACGACGGTTCTTACCGCAAGTCCGAGGGATTTCATCAGCTGTGCAGTTTGAATGATCACATCTTCATCGATATCACACTGGAAACGAGATAGGTCAACATGATCCTTGAAGTTTGGAGGTGAACTTACATGATATGCATTCCAGGCTGAGATTTTATAGTTGAATTATTTGATACATTTCGAACTACAATGAAAGCTCACTGTTGTATCCCATAACTGAAACTAGTGTTAGTATTGATCATCTCAATGTGATCACAATGCTTACATGGGAGTTTTCCTACTCCATTGTTTAGAGCGGCAGTTGGCAACGGCTTGGATGGCAAGGAAAGGTATGCCAGTGAAGCAGCAAGGCTCAAAGCGAGAAACGTCATGATAATGGTATGGGGAGTAAGGACAATCGTAATGGACCGTTCCCTCGAAGACGAAACATTAAATAGAGATTGACTGCTAGGAAGCTGTCCATGACGGCACTTTTCGTTATGCGTTAAGCCTAGTGAGTTTAACACTGAGATGAGCTTGGACATCGTGACCCCTTGCCAATTCACGAAGAACCATTGCACTGACATGGCGATGCTCCACCCGAGCAAGAACAATCTGATGTCCCAAAAAAGCCAGTAAGTTTCGGACGGGGCTTGCGGGCCAAAATGAAGTAGATGTACCATCATGGGGTTGATAGAAATGAGGAGATCCTAAAGCACGAGATACGTTTCAGAAGGAGCCAAAACGATAGGAAGTAGTTGAAAAGATTGAAGATGAACCCTGGGGATAGCAAGACTGCTCGCAAATACTCGGCGCAGCTTGTGCAGTATAATTTCGTGCATTACAAGGGTGTCATGTAGATGAATGGAAAGCATTCAAGTCGGTCCATCGTTGATTCGTGGCGTAAGCACTCAGATTCAACTTTCCTGACTTCACAGGATCTCCCAGCCATAGACGTCAAAGACGTCAAAGTCATAAGATGCTCACCGTCCATAAGGTCAAGCAGTAGCTCCGTGAAGTCCGGAGTTTGGGTAGCCTGAATAAAACAGAAGAGAAAGGTGCACGGTTCACAAATATTTTGCACGGACAATAATGATGATGTCATCGCCGAACTCTGCCCGTGGTAAACATTCTAATTGCCATACAAGGCCATACAAAGCTGCAATCCTCTGTAATATTTTTCACGTAGGAACTGGCACGGGTACATCCATCTTTGCATCTACATTCAAAGCAACAACAAATCGACTAATGAAACTATATCCAGCAGCAGTCGCAGTAGCTTCTACGAGCTGTGAGTCATTCAGGAAAGTCTTCAGCGCATTGAACACATCGTCCGGTACGTGAACGTTCTTTGTGATCCAGTCTGTAAATGTCATTGCTGCAACAAGGTCAGCACCGAGGATCGAGGTTAAGTTCACGCCTTGCGATGCGAAAAAGGGTGGAGCTAATCGGATAGCCAAAAGCTGTTCCGTGGTGAGCCCTGCCATGCGTCCCACTGATTCGTGCTGAAGCCTGGACAGACAGTTAGTTATTGTGATAAGGATGAATGCAGTATTACCATTCATAGCTCGCATTGTTGAGCACAGCGATGCGCAAAATCTGATAGAGGAAGTATATGTCAAGGATCAGACAGCTCTTCAACGGAAAAGAAAAATCTGAACGACTCACGAAAAGCTCTCTCATCGCAGGTGGTAAAGTATTGTTGTCTCGAATGACCCCGAATAAGTCATCCTCCCCTTGAGCAATGAGAGGAGCGTTCAGCCTATTGCACGGCCCGGGGTATGACAATCATGTTAATCTTCAGTAGACATAAGATACATACAGGACACCATCTAGGTCCAAAAGTGTGCCATTTGTTCGCCTCGCTCGAATAGCGTCTGCTATCTGGATCGAAAACCCAAAAATAAATAAACAGCGATCTGCAAATTCATAGGTAACCGACCGGGTCAGTTCCCGGGGGAGGGAAGACATATGGTACCCGCGCAGGGAGATTATCATCTCTTTTCTCAAGGTTGCTACCAGGAGAAGGACTACCGCAGGATACTAGGCAGCCAAAAGCAATGAGCAGCAAACAACAGGATCGAAGCATGGTCAAAATGGCATATAAGCTTCCAAATGACAGTTTATATACCAGTTGGAATCCCGTGTTGGGAAAGCAACAATGTCATACGACTGAACGCAACTCGGGAGTGGGAGACGGTATCTGGACTTGGAAAGACCCAGTGACCGACGATATACGAAGTTCCTGATGGAAGAATCCTTTGAGAAGTCATAGTCAACCCTTGATTACACGAATGGAGGGCTTGCTGTCATCGTTGCCGCTCTCACTGGCCGCAACGTGTGTTCGCAAACAAAGCCTAAATCGTCCCAAAGATCAACCTCCAAGTGTCGAGTTTACAAGTTTCGTAGATAAAGAAACCCATCGAAGATTCAAGTAAGTAGATGTCCCAAAGTACTAGCTTAGTAGTTTTTGTGCGTAGTCCATGAAGTATTACGTTGATAAATACCGATGAAAAGTTCAATGCTTCATCATGACTGAGGAGTGTAGATTCTTAGCGAATTAATTTCCCAGAAGGCATTTTGGAAGGCCTCCGGATGGTTGTTGACAACTGGTTATTTGGAATATGAGAATAGACACATTGATAACAATACACCACATCACGCACGATCTTGGCAAGTCCCTGGCCCACATCCTGCGGTAGGAAACGCATTTCCTGCCCAGTCACCCTGCTTGAGAATCAGTAACGACGCCACAAACATGCATATATTCAGCTCACACATAGAGTTAGGTCGAATATTATTTGATGTGGATCAAAATGAGGATTGTAGTCACACTGCGACCAGACAAAAGTTGAGTCTGGTGTACCCCAATTGTCCCCTGGAGTGATAGGATCGCAGTCACTTTCACTTTGACGAATCTCATTCGGAACGTTAGGCGCATTCCTAGGCCAAAACCAGTGGGAGATTGCATTGGAAGACCTCCAGGTAACGATCCACCCTCCACCGTTGTTGTTGAATCCTGATCCGTACGAGTTGGGAGTGGTTGAAGCGACGCCGCAACCCTGGTTATAGTTCACTGCCGCATCGCAATTTGAGGATATTACTTGTCTGAACACCCCGCTATTATTCTGTGCGAACCGATTCAAAAGAGTAGGAAAGACGCACCCAGTATGGTTTCGTGCTTGTGGCATGGTACAATTTGGAGTGGTGTGAAGGGAAGCAAGGTTGTTGCTATTCAAGTTTACCCCTATATGCTGATTCAGTGAAAGTTTTCTTCGCACCATCTAATACACACACCTTCTATGATATCAACCTCTCCGCCGTGCGGCCATGGGCCATTTTTGCTAGCTGTCCAGTAGGCAGGCCATGTTGCACATCCTTCAGGCATATGGGCAAGGTCGAGGATCAGAAGCGATTCATCCCATGCATCATGCGACGTGATACGAACACTATCGCGACCTCGGGCGTAGGATGGAACTATTTGGTGATAATCCGCTCGCATAATAAATACATCGTCGTCGGCTGAATTTGGAATGTTATGAGTATTGTAGAGCAGTCGGTGAATAATAGACGATACCATAGGATAGATTTGTGTTCAGAGCGGTCCCTTGGTTTACGAAGTTGACTCGCCCATGTGTTGGGTCGTCAAAGGTCTCCCAGTTAAATGCTCCGAGAAAGTCTTTGCCTTTGAATTGGGCGTTTGGTGCATACGATTGAGACAGAGCTGTGGGAACGAATTTTGCACTAAGTAGCAAGGTAAGGATAGAAAATATGTCTAGGGATAGCATGCTGGTATAGAAAGAGCGCAAAATTGAGGTTTAGTGTGTGATAGCCGTGCCAAATGTTGGTGGGACGATGTGGAAGGAGTGCCCATCGGTTTTCCTTTTTTTGCAACGCGTCGAACATGGAAGAGGAAGTATAGTTTCCTAATCAGGAAATTGTTCCATCTCATTAAGATCCCACGTTTTGTCCTGATTTGTCACCACGGTCCAGCGCTCCGCGTCCGTTTCTCATAGCATACATCGGGCATACATTGCTTAGCATCGCTTGGCGTGAAATTCTTTGTCTCTCGTGTGTATCCATCCGCCGACAAATTCTGATCAGTTCACATCACGTATAGCGCGCACTCTGGATAAATTGGTGCTACCAGGAGTCTGAACTTGAGCTAAGTTTAACCCCTCTTCCTTTCATATTTCAAGAGATTTCTGTGATCATAGAGACACACCAGTACCAAACAGAAGCTCAATACCAGATTCGTAGCAAAAGGCTTTCTGTTTTGCGTAGTATACTGGAGCCCGCGTTTGCGCGTGTGTTCATAGGATAAATCACGATAAACAACGATAGTTACACCAGTTCGATTCAGAGGCAAGTTATAATAGAGGCAAAGAATAGTATCGTTCCACATTGAATTCTGTTTATTAGGTGACTCCTCGGTTCTTTTTCGGAGCATCGTAAATCCAGCCTTTGTGGACCGATTAAGACCGATTCATGCCACATGATCCCGTTTGTTCCTTGACGATGAGGAAACCTTCATGAATCCGAGTCCAACCATGCACCTACTCGAAACGGTTGTAAGCGGTTATATAGCTGCACTTTGGCATATTTGGAGACTCCTTGGAACATCTAGCCGATATTCGAGTTTTAGCGTTCCTCTTGCCTCGGACGACATGTTTTCACTGTTTGGATATGGACGACACCGATGTGAATGGAAAAGAGCAGATACCAGCCTCTATGGGAAGACGAATCACTTTTCTTCTGATTTGATACTGTACTTGTTCTACAATGGGCAGAAATAACCCGCGCCATCAAAACTCCTAGCTTTGTTTCGACATCGTTCATCGTTTTAGGCAGTAAGAGGAGAGGGGGGAATGATCATGATAATAGGACATATTCAATCACAGAGATCTCACTTCCTGTTTCTACCAATCCAAGTGAGTTCATATGACCCCTTGGAGACAACTTGAAGCAAGAGTAAATTCTCATGCTATGTTGGCTTAAGTTGGACGCACATGGATACCTTATCTTTGTAGTATTCTTAGTGTATATAACATAGTTCAAAAGCCTCGAGTCTCTCTTTGCACCTCCTCCTCGACTTTGCACTACCGATGTCCGTCAGAGCCCGCATTCTTGGTCGACAAGCCTCAGCCGTCTCTGTTGATGGCTCAGTGACTGATCTACCGGCTGTAACTCCTGGTGTGCAAACTACAACGAATTCCGATGCAGTTTCGGTCGATGGGCCGGTGACAATGTTGCCTCCGGAAAGTCCAGGGTTACAACCTGCCAGTGCAACTGTCACATCGGACTTGTTCACACTCAACACTTTTGGGATAGGCCTGCCTACCCCTGCGGCGACAAATTCCAGCGCTGCGACATCTTCGCTTGACGGAGGAGCTATCGCTGGTGGAGTCGTGGCTGCGGTAGTAGTGGCCGTTATTGCAGTGGCCCTCTTATTGCGCTATCGGAACAAACGTTCGTCCCGTCACTGGAGAAATAGAATCAAGGGAGGAGCTTTTGGACTACCCCACAACAGGTCCGGATGGCAGAATTTAGATATAAAGTCTGATGCTGTCAATGGTGATTCGGGATCCCAGGCTGGTCGTTCTAATCTCCTGGATGACCACAAGTCCCCGATCACCTCTCCAGTCACAGCCAAGTTCTCTACGCCGCTAATGACTTACCCACCGGGTGCTTCCCATCTACCAAACGAGAAGGAACTTGAATCGATGAGGATCTAATGACTGCGAATCTGTCCAAAGTTGTTGGTGAGTCTAAACATTCACCAAGAAGAGTTCTTCATATATGCGGTTTAATTTTTGTTTTTCATAGTGCATGAGCAGTTTAGAGTCTGTAGGATAGCGTTGATGTGTTTTTATGAATGAGCGTTGTGATCGCGGCAGTAAGTTAGAATGAAAGTTAGAAAAAAAACCCTCGACTAGCCTCGACTTGAGTCTTCCCATCAGCGCCATCATGATGAAAGTCGCGCTAGCCTTTTTCATAGTATCTTGCGCCACACTCTTGATTCCTTTCAGTCATTGTTATCCTGGCGAGTTCACGAATGTCATTCCTATCTCTCGACGCTCTTCGCAGAGTAAGCGAGGTTTGGCGGGAGATTTCGATGTTTCTGTTGCCGTAAGTCGCGCGTATTTACTTCCTTTCAAGTTGTACTCTCGAGTCTTAACGCGCCCTGGACCTTTTATAGCGTTATGAACAGCAAAGCACGTACCAAAAGTACTTGACTATGGCTCCAGGAATCCTTGATGGAATCTTTCCTGCCCCTGAAAACGATATGCAGGATTTTGTTCAGTCCAACTATGTCAATGAAGTCAAGCCAGACACAGACACCATTATGGAGCAAGTCATAGGTCCTGTAGACGTATCTGATGTACTCTTGACCATGGGCATGACCGATGTGATAGTCAATGAGGTTGATATGCTCTACTACGGAGATCTAGCCATCGGGACGCCTGGTCAAGGCCTAACATTCGACGTTGATACCGGTTCTGCTGATCTCTGGGTACCTTCGCCTTGGTGCGGCAACTCGAAGAACCATTACGATGGAAGTCAAAGTTCAACGTATGTAGACCAGGACAGGAGGTTCGCAGTATCTTATGTGAGTTGTATACGTTCCGTTAACGGTATTTCAATAACGTTGCACAAATAGGGCTCCGGTACTGTTTACGGCACAACAGCGTCGGACACTGTGGGCATAGCAGGGACCGCCGTTCTGAATCAGACGTTCGGCGTTGTCTATCGTGAATCCCAAGACTTCCAAGAATACCCGAACGATGGCATATTAGGGATGGCGTTCGGTACAATTTCTCGATCCCGTAGCTCGACTGTATTCGAGACGATGATGAAGCAAGGAAAACTCAAATGGCCGTGCTTTTCTATACATCTCGCGCGCGGTCAGGAAACCGGCTCAGAGGTGATTTCTCTTGGAAAAAAGATATCATGAGTTTTGACGTTGAATTTGACGATGGGCAGATGTGCTGGGGATGTTTCGATCCAACGAAGGCGACTGGACCTATAAGTTGGTTTCCCGTCTCTCATCGGGTGAGCGACACCCATTCGTTATTACAAGCGTTCTTCCTGTTCATTCTCTGACATACTAGGCATATTGGTCTATCGTGAGTGCACGGCCTTCCTCTCCTTTGTAAAACTGAGAGGTTTGGTACAGCCAATGAGTGGCTTCGATGTCGCAGGTGAACGCACGACGTTCGATGAAGTGATCATTTCCGTAGCAGCTTCTGTTCTCATCTTGGGAAATAGTCTGATTTATCGTATCTAGGCAATTGACACTGGCACAACGTTCTGTTATTTTCCTGAATCTGTAGCAGCTGAGATCTATGCGAAGGCAAGATTTTTAATGACACAAACATTAACACACGTTGAAGTTTGCCACTTTACAGATTCCTGGATCTAAGGATGCCAGTACAACTTACGGCTCTGGTACGTGCACATGGCTACTGAGTGACGTTCCGTCCAGACTTCAAGACAACGTATAGGCTTCTACACTTATCCCTGCATCTCCGAAGTCGAAATTGGGTTCCTGTTCGGAGATATCACCTTTAAACTACATCCAGATGACTTCAACCTGGGTAAGTATATGAGTAACAGTTAGAATTTGAAGTTCATGATGGTTTCAGGAATGTCCATGTATAATCCTGCGTGCGTTTATAAATTTTGCGACAGACAGGACATTATAACAAGCTGAATCGGACTACGCTTCATAGTGAATGTATAGGAGGTATTTTCGCGATGAATGCTGCTCAATGGCCTTCGAATCTTGCCATCATAGGTGACCTCTCAACTGGGTGTTCTTGGTATATCCCTACTGACAAACTGGACGCATTCTAGGTGATGAATTCTTGAAATCCTGTGAGCGTAACAGTCGATGCCTAAAATTAAATAATGACTAACTAATCGCTCCGACCCAGGGTATTCTGTGTATGATTACTCTAACGGTGGTCGAGTTGGGTTCGCTCCTAGTGTAAACAACCAGTAGATAATATAGATATGAGATACTCCATTATCTTGTACAGTACTCAATCCGTTTTCTTAGCTGTCGAGGTTCTCCCTGAACCAAATACCTTACGCCTTTGTTTTACCATATGGGTGTACATAATATATAGACCTAGGTACAGGCGTAATCAATACTTCAACACGAGGAATGGACTTCAGATACTAACCTGGCCACCAGATCAAGAATAGAGTTGCGCGAATGTAATCGGTTGGTGTCCACATGCCCATTATCCAAGAAGACCAGCTCGGGATTGGAGATGTTGATGGAAGTGTAGCATAGATCAAAAATGCCTCCGAAGATGCGCCTAGTGGATATAGGACATAGAAAGTAGTATATCGGAGGTAAAGGAGCTCAGATGGTTCATAACCGAGTAGGTTGCAGGCATAAAAAGAGTAACGTATGACCTCGGTGAGTGACCACGCAAAAACCATCGATGTATATAGAGGGTTCGAGCGGACCTGGAGTAGATGTTGGGACGCATTGAGACCAAAGCACTTATCAGCTACTCACAGAAGCAAATTGCTCAACGATTCCCCAAACCAAAAATAGCCTACTCGATACTTGCATAGCAGTAGTCTGCAATGGACTGCGCACCCAGCCCAACAATACATGTACGACTTCCAGCAGCGCGCAACTTTGGACCCAGGCTGTGGTGACACCTATACGTCCAAACGTTGTCGCAGCACGGCGGTAGACGGGTACCAATAGAGGGTGCAAACGAGCCTCTAGTCCACCGACCGTATTGAACTTTTGGGTGGACTTTATGAAGGGAATTGAGGAAAACAGTCGACCTAGGGTGGAAGACGCGGTGGAAGAAGAAGAGGTAATCGAGGTAGATTTTCCGTCCAGGTCAAAAACGTGGATGATAGTGAAAATGAGAATATAAGCCCAGCCTATTGTAGATAGGACGTTGTATGCGAATAGATAATACTTGACGAAAGCGGGGGCGGCTAGGTAAATCAATGAGTGCGCGTTATCCAAGTGTAAGTAGCTCCTGATTACAGGCCTTTCTTGTTAGACTTTACAGCCTTTGAGAGAGGCCCCGGTACAACGTTTGCCTTTTCTTGTGCCATTGGAGTCAAGTTCGTGACGGTTGCAAAAATCAACGAATATGCGCACGGGCCATACAATTGAATCGCAACCAAGCAACGACCCACGGTCATGATTATTATCAATGAATTCAGCCCTATTTAGCCCTTTGTTTTTTTTTTTTTTTTTTTTTTTAACTCTTTATTAACCGCAAGCAAGTAAGACTATGGTACTAAGGCGCGGGGAGCCGCGGCGACCCAATGAATACAGTTTGTCGCCTGCCTCCGTTACTTGGTTCTGGGTCGTGGTGATGAGTCTGCAAGTGTAGGTGTAGCTATGGGTCATATTGTAGTGTATTGTGTAGGTGTCGCGGTAGAGTGTGCTGTGCTCGACTGCACATTTGTGCAAATCTTGTAGAATGAAAATAAAAATGAAGTCGCAGTTTGGCTCAGGATCACGTCTCGGCTTCCGAATCGCTGGAGTCAACTATCTCGTCTCTCCAATCTGCTTCCTGAGTTATGTCTTCCTCTTCCATCCCTCGAGACATGGCGTTTAAGTCCTCCCAAATCCCTAGTGGCATGTAGTTGATCTCCGTACGCTTGGACCGCGGTTTGCCTGTCACAGTGAAGGCACCGCTTTCTTTCAGAAACTCAGTCAGGGCTTCGATGCCTTCACTGGTCCCGAGTATGTCTTTCAGGCATATATCCTCTGATGCTTTCCGTAAAATATAGCGGAAGTCTTCATATTGTGGACATGCCCTTAAGATATGTTCTTGAGTCTGCAATTCTTCGCCACATGGGCAGTCAACGTTCTTATTAGGGACAAATTGAGAGTAGTAATCGCCTAGGAATGCATGTCCTGTCCTACATTGCATTAGGCGTCCAAATAATTCTCTTGGTGTTTCTCTGAGTCTGGAAGTAGGCTTCAAAGAAGGCGGTATTTGGTTTGCAATAGCAAAGCGGCCATGTACAGACTTCAGTTCCCACAATTTCTTCCATTCTTTTTCGGCTCGTACCCTGCTCATTCGATAAGCGTTGGATAAGGACCTAGTCCAGGTGGCCTCGCTTATTCTCTCAGTTCCGGCTTTTGCAAGAAAGTCCGCGCGTTCGTTTCCTTGTATTCCTGCATGGCTGGGTACCCATGCAACTTTGACTGTGTGTGCCGGATTGGAATCTAAAAACTTCGTCACTTTGTGGTAGAAATTGGAGCAATATAGCTGGCCTGGTTTCGGTGATGTATCAAAGATGGTATCAATGCTAGATGCATTGTCTGTGAAAAATTGCCAGTGAGTTATTCGGGGGTCTTCAGTCGATAACTCTGTTGCCATTCCCGCCGCATAGCTCAAGGCCACTATTTCTCCATCATATGATTCTGCATGGTTTCCCAGCCCAATGCTACGGCTGAAGATTTCCTGATTTCTCTGGTATGCAACAAGTCCTGCTCCAGCTCTTTTAACCTGATGAACAGGTTTGAGCAAGCCGTCAGTGTATATGCAGATGTTGTGTGTAGAAGACTGAAGAGTACTCAGCTTTTTTTGATGCTCTTCTACGCATTTCTGTTGCCATCTCTTCTTGTCATCGTCTTTCCCTTTCAGAGGTGGCGGTATAAGGCAAAGTCGGTTCCCGAAGTCTGATTTGACTCTCCACCATGGCGGTGTTGTAAATGGGAGAATGCGTTCAGTCGAAGAACTTGTAAGTTGTGCTATATTCTGTAATTGCGTTGTGCGTCTTGTGTCTTTCTTTCCCTTCCGATTCAATTTGTAATGTATTGCAGGGGGGTGTGACGGTGGGTGACCTGCTCTCCAGGTGTCATCAAGGCATTGGATGATTGGGTTGGATGTACTTAGCTTGTTGAATCTCAACGCACAGTTCCGGTTTAGGCAGTTGAGCTCTACCCGAATTGGTGGGATGGATGCTTCGATCTCCATTGCAGTGATCGGAGTAGTGCGGAATACTGCACAGATTAGTCGTAGTCCTTGGTGTTGAACTTTTGTCAAGTCCATGCCTCGGGTCTCCATTCCGCCGCTCGGTACTCCAAAGATCCACTCTTATTGTTCTTTCTCGCTACACATACCCTTTCGTTCTAGTCTCTCCTTATTGTCTTTTACCCTACCCTGCAGGTACTACTCGTATAGCTCCTAGTAGTTAGTCTGGCGCTCCGCACCGATGCGCCGCTCCGTAGATATAAATACTGCCTGTACGCTACTGTAGTTCCTCAGTTTAATTATCGACTTAGATCAACTTAGATCTCCCTTCTCAACTCTCACTCTTCTCTAAGTCTTCAGGCTCATCACCTTGGAGTACTCTCTACTATAACCTTAGAACTTAGACGTTCTCTGGTTCGCTCCTCGTCACCGGTGATACCGCCGCTCCGACTTGGCTGCTCCTCAGTTCCTCCCTTCTCTACTCGCGATCTCCGGGGACTAACAGCGTAACGGCGGTGTTGTTAATAACTTCACTACTGTCCCACTCGTCTTCCACACTTAGACACCTTGTGGCTTCGGCACGGTTACACGGTGTACATGATCTTAACAACTTTCTCCAGCATTCTTTCGTGGGCTTTCTTTCCGGTCCACCATGTGGCACTTGCATATGTCATAACTGGAATCACGCAACTTTTGTACATCATGCACATGTGGTATGGAGACAGACCTTTGACTGTGTTCGCAAGCATAATCAGTGACCCTACTGCTTTACCAGCGCTACCTGCTAGTGTCCTGACATGGTGATTGAAGAGTAGCTTCCGATCGAAATTTACTCCTAACCATCGAACTATTGCTTGCAGTGCTACGATCCGGGTTTGGCCATTATCATCATCAAATGTGATGGAGGGCGATATGTTGTTGTCACATTTTCGTCGGGTATAGTGCATTAATTCACGTTTGTCAAAGTCATATGATAGGCCCACCTTCCTCCCCCAGGGTACAATCACTTCAATCCAGATGGCTTTGAGGATTGCTGTGTTGAGCTCTAGGGAGTGTGAGCAAACATGTAGTTTTCCATCATCTATGAACATAAATAAGTTTGGAGGCGGTGTAGCTTTGCCCTCTGAACCAGGTGCTTGTTTGTATTCCTGTGATCTGCATTCCAAGATTTCAAGGAGTTCAGCGGCATAGAATGCTGACAGTATTGGTGAGAGGGGTGATCCCTGTGGGGTTCCATTAGTTACAGGTTCCAGTTCAGAGATTATACCATCTACGCAGACCGCTGCTTTACGATCTGAGAGGAAATTCTTTACAAACTGTACTATCTGTAATGGTATCCCTTTGCATCGGAGTTCTGAGAGGAGGCGGTCATGGTTTACAAAGTCAAAGAAACCTTTGATGTCAAAGGTTAGTGCCGATGTTACCATGCCCTGATTCCATGCTGCTTGGACGTCATTGACAAAGGATAGGACAGCATCAGTGGTCGATAGGCCTGCCCGACCGCCAAACTGTTGCGCTGGGATTAGGCCATGAACGGACGCTAAGTATTGGAGACAACGGGCCACAATCTTCTCCAGGATTTTGCCTAAGCACTCTAGGAGGGTAATTAGGCGGTATGCTCGTGGTTTTGAAAATTTTGGTTTTCGGGGTTTCCTTAGAGCTACCGCTATGGCTTGGCGCCATGTCAGAGGGTGGTATCCCGCTTTTAGGCATCTCCTGTAAAGTGTTGTTATTATGTCGCGCTGGGATTGGAAAGCCCACTTAACTTGTTGGTAGGACTGTTGTGAGAATCCTGGTGCTGACGTGTTACTTGTATCTGCTATCGCTTCTGCAACTTCGGTATCGGTGATGTCCTGAAATAGTAGATCACCTGGTAGTGTATCTGTAAGATTAATCGGGTACTCATCGGGAAGACCGGGTGGTGGTTGGTTGTCATGCCTTGCTTCACCGTACCTTTCCCTTTCCTTTCCAGAGCTCCGGTTCATCACTTATACATGTTTCCGATATTCTATGCACCATCCTTACGATCTTCATGATACATATTACCTGTCACTCCAGTAGCCACATGACATATGTACCTGACAGCCTCATGTACAGTATATAGGCTAGGGACTCCCCTCGGAGCTCCCCAGCGTGTTATTGTCAAATCTTACCTGGAAACTCTTCCTACCTGGCTTGGTCCCTTTAGTACAGTCTACTAGTGTCATAAAGTACGCAGCCCCTATCATTTTCCCTTTCTCACCGTCTCGACACCTTTACTTGTACAATACATCATCCCATCGCTGTCAATCTCCATCGATTACTGATCTATCTATTACTGATCCACCTGACCCACCTTCTCTTTCTATCGGCTTCCGCCTCCTTCCTTGCCCCTGAACTGTACAGTATTACATCGTTGTTTCTCGCAGACTAGATTATGTATATATAGCCAACCCTCCACAGCCTGGTCCCTTATCTTGACCTCTCTGTCATTATCTGGGACCAGGTATGTGCTTACTTATTATTACCTATGACTACGATACTCAATATATCTCTGTCATTATCTGGGACCAGTTCGCCTCCGCTCCGCTTAGTCGCTCCGCCTCACTCACCTGCTTAGTCGCTCCGCCTCTCTGCCTGGCTTAGTCACTCCGCTTCCTGCTCCGCTAGTCACTCCGCCTCTGCCGCTTCGTGACAACTAGTACTTGCTAACAGGGCCTGACATGTCTCAACAGTCATATATTTCCTCATTATCTGTTTCCTTTATCTCTGTCTCACCTCAACTCTGTTTCTCCTCTCTGTTTCCTATCTCTGGCCTCTTTCTGTCAATCCTCGTATTGTCTACGCCTCTACTTCGACTCACCATCTACATTGAGGCTCTAGAATTCGTCCTTCATCCTTTGGAACCTCCCATTAGGTTCCCAATTCCGCTTCATTGCTCCCTAAGCTCCCCACAGCTTCCCACTCGTATCGGCTACACCTCCCCTCCACATCGAAGCGGTGGTTACGCATTACGTTCTACACCTCCAGGACCCTCTATTAGGTCTACCCAAGCTCCACAACTACCCCTGGTTAGGCTCCCCTTACCAGTATCGGCACTATCCCATACCTCCTCATACGGCCTAGGCGGCTACTGCGTTCGCTTAGGCCCAGTCTGGGTAAGACCAGAGCAGGCCTTCTGTGCCGGGGCCTCACACTCTGTCAGCATGTGTCCAGATTCGCTAACTTGCGCCGCGAAGTTACTGGGGAGCAGTCTCTTTTGAATAGCATCCTGTAATTTGAGTGCGAGCAGTTCGATGAGTTCGATGATTTGGTTGGCTGGTGGGGCTTCAGCTTCGAGGTCAGTGTCGAGGTCCATGTCAGACTCCATGTCGCTCGCGTCTGCTTCACTGGGATGCGTATCTTTGGAATTGTTGCGTCGTTTGTTCAGCGCCTTCTTTCGCATGCGTCTGATTGCGGTTAGGTCGGATAGTTTCCGTGTAGGTTGTCTCTCATAGGGCTTCGGCACGTGTGCGTTCACTCTGACACGTTTCGCAGACAAGGTAGGAATTGTGACAGTGGGGGAGGGTGGTCGAGGAAGGTTGTAGCCAGATGGGCGAGTCCGGTTTCCCCGAGGGGTCCGTTGCAAGTCTGGGGGCTTGCTGGGCTCTTGCGAGCTTTCTATCTCATCCAAGCTCATTGGATAAGTGTTTTTAAGGTTGTTTATTGCCTACTAATTGATTCGTATCCTCTGCTCGATACTTCCTTTCAGTTTAAAACCGTGGGAAATTCGTAAAAGGTGGAGGTAAAGGTTCAAAGTTCGGCGTTTAGCCCTTTGTGTTTACCAGGTGTTTATACCTCAGGTTTACACTCAAGATTTCCTCATGCCAATACTTATACGATATATTCACGATATATTGATACGGCGTCTGAATCATACATATAACCTACCAAAGGTGTGTGCGCCCGGCGGGTACAGGTCTGTCAGCAGGTATTCATGTCTGGGCATTGGCATTGGCTGACTATGTCTGTGCCAAGTACCTCCATCCACCTTCACTTCAAATAACAACTCCCGGTCTTCTACTGCCTCCTGAATGTCTTTACCACACAAGTCGCTGACTGACTTTTGTTACGATCACTTCTTTTTCATCTTATTTTTCTCCTTATCCCTTGTCTTATCTTTTATCTTTTGTCTTATCTTCTATCTCCCTTATCCTATATCTTGTCTTATCTTGTCACCTGACCTATTATTTATGCTTACTGATACAACATGCGCTTTTCATTTACTAATATTAAACACAGCAGTCTCACAACACGTATACAGCATGGCGATCGAGCTTTCATTACTTACACATTGCTTTACTTATGTTCTACTCATGTTTACCACTAACCCAGGGCGTTGGGCATTACTAGGGCAGAGGGTTGTTCACTAGTATATAGGCTGTAGCTACTTGCTGTATTTCCTTAGCTTTGATCTCGTCTATTCTACCTGGTTTAGCCCAGAACTTTGCTTACTTCCTTTATCACTTTGCTGTTTAAGGTTTTCTTGAGTGTGACACCTGGTGACACCCGTTACTAGAACCAGTCGCTGACAACTTTTGAACATATCGTTCTTAAATTTCTCACTTACGCGCAGGTTTTCTGCTTGTGTTTTGTCTCAGACTTCATGTGTGCCAATCCGCCTTTACCCCTTACTTTGTGCCGCACCTGCGACATGTTGTTCTTTATCACTCCCCTTTATTCCATTTCACTGGCTTTCAGATACTTAACGTTGAACCTGTTCCACATTTATCCCCACCAATTATGTATGTATGCTTGTTTGTTGTCGACCCCCCCGCTATCTCATTTACCTCCAGTTCTGTATGACATCACATTGACAGACCTCAATGACAATCTCTGGTTGGATCTAACCACCTACCTCGGTCTATTGAACATCACCTCATTATGTGCTGTCTCCAAAACTTTGGCAGCTACATGTATGCCTGTACTATACTGCTCAGTCAATGTCTCAGCCCTTGCAACACTTTCCAGCCTCAGACTGTTTGTGTTCCGGCTATGTATGTGGACAACATCCTGCTGCTTATGTCTGCAAAGTTGTCATTGGTTCCTCGCGCCGTGAAGTCCTCCCTTCCACGTTTCGGTTCAACTCGTTGTAGTCAGGCTGTGTTGTTTTAGAACAGCTCCGATAATATATGTAACTGTATTTTACTTAAATGCAGAAAGGTGCGATTTGCACCTGATACCAGAACACCTCAAGCAAGGTTTGTGTCCCCGACGGGGGCAACTAGTAGTACAGCGACTCCCTATTCTCCTCTTCAATGTAACTCATTCTTTTTTTAGTGCATGGCTGATTAGAAGAGGAAGTTGGCCTCCAACCTCAATTTCCCCTTTAATGTAAGGTCGTTGCACTATCGAAGTTCGATTGATGATGTTCTCTTTAGGAAGTGCAAGTTTGATTTCAAATGCTCGTACAAGCGTGAAGAGTAACACTTTCATTCTGAGAAAGTGGAGTGGATATTAATCGAAGATGATTGAGAAAGAGTGGACTTACTCCAAAACAGTGTATCGATATCCAATGCAGCCATGGGGACCACCGAGAAAGGTCATCATATTTCCCCATACCCCTGGAATCGAGTTGACAGTCTCAGGGAGTTTGGATAACCAGCGTTCTGGCCTAGCAGATATTCTTCAGACGGGTTCAGGGAATTTTGGATATCTCACTTGAAATCCATCGCATCTTCACCCCATATCTCTTTGGCCAGATTCACTCCGGATATTGCGAGAAGGAGATGTTGTCCTTTTTTGATACTGTTCCAATCCCTCAATCAATAGGAAAAATGAAGATCAGCATAACTCTGCCACTCTCACCAGATTTCGCGGTGGACGATACCATTCTTGTCAGTAACAGGCGTGTTGAGTGGGAGAATGTCGTCTTTCACTGCGACTCGCGCCGTCTCTGGAGCAGGACTATGGAAGCGTAAAGTTTCCTTCACTACAGCATCAAGGTAAGGTAACGAATTGAGATCTTCCATGGTTGGGCGTTCCGTAGGTACGCGTAACAGTTCTTTGCGCAGGCTATCCTGTACTGAATCATGGAGACTGAGAGCGTACAACGACCACGCTGTCCCGCTTGATATCGTGTCATGACCTGCAAAGACGAAAGTCGGGACCTCTAAAAGGAAGGAAGACATCAAGACTGTAAGTCGCGATCGATGGCGAGCACATACGAGCGAGCACATCTTCATCACTCATCCGCTGCCTATACGGAATATCCGCATTCATATTCGAACGAACCAGCAACGAAAGTAAGTCTTTAGAACGCCACGTATCTAGCTTCCTTCCAGAAGTCATGAGCTGGGCTTTGCTTTCCTGAAGCAGCTCTTGGCCGATACGATCCATGGTCTTTTTCGCCTTGCGGAGCTGAGCACTTCCCGAAGAAGGCTGAAGCGATGAAGGAAACAGGAAAAGCCACGTTATCTTCAAGTTTGCTTATCCCAGAACGGGTTTGTAATGCTAACTCACCATCCAGCGCGTCACAGGTAACACACTTTGGATCATCAACCAAATCGAGAATCTGGTGGCAGCGTGAAAACCGATTGACAAGGCCTTGTTTAGCTCGTTGGCGTTGCCCTCTGGGCTAAGAGCATGGAAATCATAGTGAAATCCTACTCGGGCGTGATTAACTCCCCAAAGGGAGTGTTTGGGTCGAAAGTAATACCTCACCAGTACGACCAATAACATCCAGAGTCATTTTACTGAGCCAAGATAGAGCATCGACTTGCGTCACATTTCCGTCCACTTCGATTTGGGAGGCCCAGATATCCCTAAGCTACGTTTGTGTATACATACTCTTCGGTTCAACTGGACAATCATGTTTACTCACCTCTTCTGCCTTCTCGAAAAAAGTCTCACTGAACCCACGGAGTTGGCCTGGACTGAACGCAGGGCTCTTCAAGATTGAGTTCCATCATCAGTTGAAGCAAACATTGGTAGCAAATGCAACCAACAATTATCTTGCGTTGAAACTTGTGTTTGTCCCCTTGCACGTAAAATAAGCCTTCAATGAGAATTCAGTAGGTCTACCAATTCTGGCAGAAATCCAAACCAGGAAACTGTTAATACTCACCAGGCCCGGTTAATCGTCCCAAACTCCATTGAGTTATCCTAGGTTTGTGATAAATGTACTCATTATGGAGGATGTGGTTGAGAGCTTTAGTATCCGCAGTATAAAGGCGACTCATCTAAACAGTTACGAGGGGGAGGGAGGATCATTCAAATATTTGACACAGGACTCGGACTTCACATATAAAGCTCACATTGAAAAAGACCTTGAATTGCATAGTAGGCCCGTATTCGTTGGCCCATTTCTTGTAAAATATGGTATTTTCCTTCGGCCGTGACACGCAATCAGACCGCAGAGAGAGAGGATTGACACAATTCGACGCACAGATTCTTGCATCTCAGGAAAGTTTCCCTTCAGCCAGCTTGTAGAAGGAGGTCCGGGAAGGTCACGGAATGACGAATTGTATTGTTTGTAGAGCAGTACAAGGGGCAGGTACAATGCGTATAGGAGGAGGGCTCCGAGCCCCAAAGCTGAGCATATGAGTTGTGCTGATATTTCGGACATGGTTAAATTGACAGTGACTCAGGAGAGCATGAAGATTCGGAATCGATTGTTTTTGAGGCCTGTAGTTTTACCGTACATCCGCGAGCATCAAGGTGTAAGATTGTCTAGCAGATTGACTGACTAAAAAGACTTTGAGGCTTGCATTGTGCAAAACTGCAGTTTTACCGTACATCCGATTCCGTGATTGCGAGCGAAACAATCCCTAGCAATCCAGAGAGGTGTGTACAGGACACGAATTGTTGATTCCATGATCATTTGAGCAGCCAGATCCCGATTAGCCTCACCCGAGGTATTTCAGAAAACAGACAGTTTGTTTTTCCTCGTGAAAAAGAAATCCTTATATGTAACGACTGGGTTACTGAGTAGGCAAGAGGTGAGGGAGATTCAGATCGGGTACACGATTCTCACGACCCCCCCCCCCCCCCTGTCATAAAGTACGCAGCCCCTATCATTTTCCTTTTCTCACCGTCTCGACGCCTTTACTTGTACGATACATCATCCCATCACTGTCAAACCCCCATCGATTACTGATCCATCGATTACTGATCCACCTGACCCATCTTCTCCTTCTATTGGCTTCCGCCACCTTCCTTGTTCCTAAACTGTACAGTATTACATCGTTGTTTCTCGCAGACCGGATTATGTATATATAGCCAACCCTCCACAGCCTGGTCCCTTATCTTGACCTCTCTGTCATTATCTGGGACCAGGTATGTGCTTACTTATTATTACCTATGACTACGATACTCAATATATCTCTGTCATTATCTGGGACCAGCCTGCCGCCGTTCTGCTTAGTCGCTCCGCCTTGTTGCCTTGTCCAGTTGCTCCGCCTCACCGTTCTGCTTAGTCGCTCCGCTTTCCCGCTCCGTTAGTCACTCCGCCTCTGCCGCTTCGTGACATTAGGTCAAGATCCATTACTGCACTGACAGCCTACCGATAAGGTTGTCCTTGCAGGGTCTATAGACACCACGTCTTCCCCAGTTCCGCCCGACTCTGAAACACCTGTTGACAGTATAGACTGCTCCGCACTCCCGCACGCACTTGACCCCAGAGACCAAGCTCACGCCCATAACAACGACGATACTTGGCGCGATTGCCAGTCTCAACCTTGCCCCAACGCCCTTTCGAACTCAATCCGAGAGCCACTCACTGTGAGCAATATAACCTTCCTGCCGATTCCCCAGCCCCGATTGCCTACTCCCATCATGTCGACTCCTATCCTGCCTGCCCCAAACACCTCTGCGGAGGATCTCATGGCTCAGCTCATCAGACAAGTAGCTAACCTTGCTACAGCTATGGAGGAACGCTCATCCTCTAAGTCAAGCATGAACAAACCCGAGGTTTTCAAGGGTAAAGATGGCGCTGAAGCCCGTCGCTTCATGGCTCAGTTTCAGAATTGGGCGTCAGAACAACCGGATCTCGCCAAAAGCCAAGTAAAACTCATCAAGTCTGCCTTGGGCTTCTTCACAGAAAGTGCCGGAGATTGGGCAACTCCCCATCTGCTACATTTCAATGCGGAAAATCCCCCTTTCGGAGGAAATTGGGAGGCGTTTCTGAAGGAATTTAGCCAACGGTTTGAACCAATGGACCCAGGTATGGAAGCCCGTAGCGAGATCAAGAATCTCAGGCAAAGTAAAGGACAGACAGTTGCGGAATTCGCTCAGAAGTTCAAGGATATCGGAGATCGGACTGAAATGTCTGATATTGACTTGCGGGAACGTTTCTTCACTGCATTACTCCCAGAGATCCGACAACACCTCATCACCGTAAACATTGCCCAAGGAATTGCTCCGACTCTGAAGGAGGCAATCAAACGGGCCATATCGGTGGATGTCTACCTGCACGATCCCACCATGACTGGCCGGAACTCTGGATACCCCCCCACGCATACTGCTCATACTACCCCTGCTGACCCCCACGCTATGGACATTGATGCAACCCACACCAGTAATGGGAATACTAGGGAAGCATTCCTAGCTCGCATGCGAGGACGATGCTTCGGCTGCGGTGCCCAAGGTCATGTCAAGCAAAACTGCCCACACCGAGAAACCACCTGCCGCTACTGTGGACGTCGAGGACATCTGGAAGCAGTCTGCCAAGACAAATTCATGGGACTCGGACGAGACCGAGGCCGACGCCAGCAACCTCGACGCCAACAGATATCCGCTACGGGACCTGCGCCATTCTCCCTATTCCCAAACGAATCCGTCCAAATCGCGTCCTCGACCCCAACATCTGCTCCTGCACCCGTAGCTGCTACTGCGAGCCCCCCTAACCAGGACTTTTCCAATCAGATTGGTCAAATAAGGGAATTACTTGATCGTGCTAACGCTATGTCCTCCTCGTCCTCTGGCTTCCAACAGGGTTTTTAAAGAGGGTACCCGCTTCGGCTGCACCGAGAGTACCCCGTAATCAGTTTGTTATGTTCGCTACTTCCTCGTATGACTCGCACCCATCATGTACAATATCGTCGATCCGGGAATTAAACTCTACTTCCCCACATTTCCGAATTCATGCGAGACTAAGAGGAAGGAATCACAGTATAACAACTGCAGCCATGGTAGACTGTGGAGCTACCGCCCTGTTTTTAAACCAAGACTTTGTCACCCGGAACCATGTAAGATGTGCACCCCTCCATAAACCAATCGACGTTTTTAATATCGATGGAACACCTAACCGAGCTGGACGGATAACCCATTTTGCACGTCTAGCACTCACAGTGGATAATCAAGAGCGATGGATGGACTTTCTGATCACCAACCTAGGAGGTGAAGACATCATCCTTGGACTCCCCTGGCTACGGAAGGTAAATCCGGAGATTGATTGGGAGAAAGGACGACTTTCAGTAAAGCCTCCTCGAGTAACGATAGAAGAAGTCCCAGATGAGGAGATCTTGTACTCTCATCTAGCCGCCACTCACACAGAAACCCCGATCCTCGAACTCCCGGAACTGGAACCTCCCGCAGAAAACCCCCACATTGAGGTGCCACTAGAAACGACCCTTGAACCGAGTGAATCAGCAGCGGTGGAAGAACCACCAATACACCGAATTCGAGCCAATCATAAAACTCGCCGGGCATGGGTAAAAGCAGGAATTCTAGAGGAACAGACGGAGGAAGTCTGGTGCGCCGCAGGATTCACTTACTCCCAGCAGCTAGCAGAGGAAGCCAACCGAGACAAACCCGTTAAAACCTTCGAAGAAATGGTCCCCGAGCAGTATCGTGATTTCAAGAAGGTTTTCTCAGAATCCGCCTCCGAACGATTACCTGCCCACCAACCTTGGGACCATGCGATTGATCTCGTACCTGGAGCACCGGCAACCATGCGTACCAAGATTTATCCCATGTCCCTAAACGAGCAGGAGGAGTTGGATCGTTTCCTAGAAGAAAACCTACGGAAAGGCTATATCGTCCCCTCAAAATCACCAATCTCATCACCGGTCTTCTTCGTAAAGAAGAAGGATGGGAAACTCCGTTTCGTACAAGACTACCGGAAACTGAACGAGTACACTGTGAAGAACCGATACCCTCTCCCATTAGTTGCTGACATCATTAGCCGACTTCAGGGAGCCAGATATTTCACGAAGTTTGATGTCCGCTGGGGTTACAATAACATACGGATTAAGAAGGGGCATGAATGGAAAGGCGCGTTCGCAACAACCCGAGGCTTGTTCGAGCCTAAGGTCATGTTCTTTGGTCTCACAAATTCCCCTGCCACGTTCCAAGCACTTATGAATGCTATATTTGCTGATCTCATTGCAGCCGGCAAGGTGGCAGTCTACCTAGATGACATCCTTATCTTCAGTAACGATCTCAAGGAACACCGACGAATGGTACGGGAAGTATTAACCCGGTTAGAAAAGCACGACCTCTACCTACGACCCGAAAAATGCGAATTTGAACAACAACAGATTGAATACCTCGGACTCATCATCTCAGAAGGGGAGGTGAGAATGGATCCGGTAAAAGTAGCGGCTGTTCGTGACTGGCCAGTCCCTACTAACCTTCGGGAACTACGAGGGTTCTTGGGATTTGCAAACTTCTACCGACGCTTTATCCGGAATTTTGCCAAAATAGCACGACCTCTGAACGACCTGACGAAGAAAGACACCAGCTTTACCTGGACCGACACTCGACAGAAAGCATTTGATACCCTTCGAGAAGCCTTCATCTCCGCACCAATCCTTGCTCTATGGACACCAGACAGGCCTACTCGAATCGAGGTAGACGCATCAGGCTTTGCCACGGGAGGCGCCCTTATGCAGAAGCAAGACGATGGCCAATGGCATCCGGTAGCCTTCAGATCGGCATCCATGCAGCCAGCGGAACGAAACTACGAAATCTACGATCGAGAGATGCTTGCCATCATTGAAGCACTGAAGGATTGGAGGAACTTTCTAGAAGGACTCCCTCAACCATTCGACATCATTACGGACCATTCGAACCTCGAATTCTGGCGCACTGCACAAGACCTCACCCGCCGACAAGCCCGATGGGCCCTCTATCTGTCACGGTTTGACTTTCATATGATCCACCGCCCTGGCAGAGTAAACACCCAAGCTGATGCTCTCTCCCGCATGGCAGTTCATCATGTATCGGACAGCGATGATAACCGACAACAGACAGTCCTTAAACCTGGCCACTTCGTAAAAATTGCAGCTTCGATCCTACAGAACCCCTTAGAGGATCGTATCCGGAAAGCCTCAGAACGGGAAGCACAGGTATTGGAGGGTCTCAAAACAGTCAAAGAGCACGGACTACAGCGCTTGGCCAATGGGATAGCCGAATGGGAAGAAGACAATGGGTTGGTCTACTACCGAGGTCGAGTATATGTACCAGCAAACGACGACCTACGCACTGAGGTACTCCGTCAATGCCACGACCATCCAACTGCAGGACACCCCGGACTACACGGGACGCTCGACTTGGTCAGTACCCATTTCTGGTGGCCTACGTTGCGCTCTTTTGTGGAAAAATACGTTGAGGGATGCGAGGTTTGTGCCCGTAAGAAGATCCAGCGACACCCATGGGCCGTAACTCAACCATTAGATGTACCATCCGGTCTATGGGAAGAGGTAGGGGTTGACCTGATAACACAGCTACCTAACTCCCAAGGCTACGATGCTGTCTTGGTTTGCACAGACCTGTATGGAAAACAAATTCACGCTATTCCTTGCACCAGCTCCATCACAGCCGAAGGCGTTGCCGATATTTACTACCGAGAGATCTTCCGTCTCCATGGTCTTCCTCTTCACTTTAAATCCGACCGCGGACCCCAATTTGCAGCTAAACTCATGCGATCCCTTCTCGCTAGGCTAGGAATTAAATCAGATCTAACCTCCGGATACCGTCCTCAGTCTAATGGCCAAACCGAACGAGCAAATCAGGAAGTAGAGAAATACATCCGCCTCTATGTAGGACGACGACAAGACGACTGGGCAGAGCACCTTCCCATGGCGGAGTTTGTGATTAACTCACGGACTCATTCTGCGCTAGGCATGTCCCCGTTCGAGCTAACCTACGGCTATCTTCCCCTGTTCAATATCCCAGTGGGCCAACGCAGCGGTATTCCAGCTGTGGATGACCGTATACGGATTCTCCGAGAAGCGCGACAAGATGCCGGAGCTGCCTTACACCTAGGAAAGAAACAACAGAAGGAGGGATACGAACGCGGGAAGCGGAAAGCTCATCAATTTAAAGTTGGAGACCTAGTCTGGCTCAGTGCAGAGGACATTAACCTTCAGCTTTCCAGTGAAAAGTTAGGAGATCGACAGCTTGGCCCTTATCGCATTCTGGAGAAAATTGGCCCTTTAGACTACCGCCTTGACCTTCCCCTATCCCTAGACCGCCTTCATCCCGTCTTCCATGTTGATAAACTATACCCCTGGAAAGGTAACTCCATTAATGGCGAAATACCAACACCACCAGAGCCGGTATACTTAGAGGATGAAGACGAACCGGAATACGAAGTAGAGGAGATCTTAGACAGCCGGGTTCGATGGAAGAAGTTGGAATATCTGGTTAAGTGGAAAGGTTACGACGCAGGGCACAACTCTTGGGAACCCGCAGCCAACCTCAGTCGAGCACCAAAAATTGTTCGGGCCTTTCATAAAAAACACCCAACAGCGGCAAAGCCTTGACCATCGAGGGCAATGGTCATAAGGAGGGGGGTAATGTCATAAAGTACGCAGCCCCTATCATTTTCCTTTTCTCACCGTCTCGACGCCTTTACTTGTACGATACATCATCCCATCACTGTCAAACCCCCATCGATTACTGATCCATCGATTACTGATCCACCTGACCCATCTTCTCCTTCTATTGGCTTCCGCCACCTTCCTTGTTCCTAAACTGTACAGTATTACATCGTTGTTTCTCGCAGACCGGATTATGTATATATAGCCAACCCTCCACAGCCTGGTCCCTTATCTTGACCTCTCTGTCATTATCTGGGACCAGGTATGTGCTTACTTATTATTACCTATGACTACGATACTCAATATATCTCTGTCATTATCTGGGACCAGCCTGCCGCCGTTCTGCTTAGTCGCTCCGCCTTGTTGCCTTGTCCAGTTGCTCCGCCTCACCGTTCTGCTTAGTCGCTCCGCTTTCCCGCTCCGTTAGTCACTCCGCCTCTGCCGCTTCGTGACACCCCCCCCAATGAATAGAGAGTCCAGGCAGGGTCTATTTGTAGAACTGTCTCAAACGCCCTTCAAGCTCATATATACCTTCCAGACTGTACCTAAGTAGTTGGATATCATCAATAAGTGACACAAACACAGGTATTCGAAGATTTCGAACAAGTTTTATGGCCTCTCGAACCGTCATAGGATGCCGTGCAGCTCGGCTTGGGCTTGGTCAGGGCCTTTCGCGTGGCAACATAAGTACCCCCGATCTGAATCTCCCTCACCTCTTGTGAGTAGGACTGTGTATAGAATGGGAGAACGATATAAAAACCCGGATAACGTCATAAATCATCGTGGATTGGATAAATAGCTAGATACGTGAAGAGTGTCGAAACAAATGTATACAGAGATACCACAGGCAGAGCAGATAGTGAAAAGGGGGAGATAAATTCAAGGATAGACACAGATGATGGCAGTAAATGTAGAGTCAAATGAATGTAACAACCGAAAGCGAACTTCTTCCAGATTCCATCCCTATATGTACAAGCAGCAAAGCGCAAAATAGAAAATTGTACGTACTTAGACTGTGCGTAGAACGTATGAAACGTAAAGGAGTGTGCTGGATATGTTATTATGTGCAGGGGAGGGCAGGTGCAGACTTTGAAAATTTGAACATCTGATAACCATGCAGCATGCGGTAAGAAGTACGAGTTGGACGACTTGAAGAGGGTGGACAATACAGTGAAGGCAAGGTACCAATGATAATGGGAAGTGGAGGGTAAAAATGTAGATATGGGGAAACGACAGAGAGGTTTGCTGGCTGTGAGTGCCGCGTGTTTGGATACCGTTGAGGCAATGAAGGATTATGTGTGTGGGGAGGGTATAGCGTGGCAAATGAAAATGGGCGACGGACGGTACCACGGACAGCACAAGGCAGCAGTGGTAAACGCGATAGGGTGACCACGATGTTTAACGTTGGCACACCAGTACGTGTATGCGATACCACGACAGCCTGTAATACATTTCCGTAGATGAGAGGGGATTCGGTGACCGAGCCCAAATCCATCGTTGCTTTACAGTCCGTATTGTTCAACGCGCAGTGTCGAGGATCGCTCTCACATCCATCACAGAAGTCATATCCGCCAAAAACGGGACCAAGTCAGGGAGTTCTGCGTCATGCGGATCATTGAACCACGAAGATACGGGAACGGCGTTTGTGGGATGAAAGATATAGGACGCGGGAGAATTGTCTAGAATGATAGTGTCTGCTATAGGCCTGCCCAGCTGTGACAAATCCTGGTATGATAAAATAGGTGAGAAGAATGGACCTAATTGAGAAAGAGTAATGAACCTTAACATAGTTCCCTTTATGACTAAAACAACTTTCTCTAAACAGTCTATGTGCGACAACTTTTGATATATCGAGTTGGTCCAGCACCGGATCAGCGTACTGACGAACATAAGAGATGAATAGGTTGTGCGGTCAGTATCACGTTTGCCATAATGCTCACCTTACTCAGGCTGGCTGTAAACACCACAATCTCATATATCTGACCCATTTCCTTCAAGAACGAGTCGACCCCGGGACGTTTTAGAACGTGAAAGTGATGCCAGTGGGACTCAATCTCTACTGGGACGATGAAATCTGGCTGAGGAATCGGCTTGAAGGAGCTGTGAACGAGGGTTTCATCAAGGTCAAGAACTAGACATTTCCTTCCTGCATGTTCGGGGGCAATTGGTGGGAGTAGAGGCATTGGTACGCCATCCTATAGATCAAATGCATCAACACAACGAATGAATGGGCAGCAGCCCTTCGCTTCGTGTACTCACAGGACCGATCGGTATACCCGAGCCGCCATTCCGTATCAATCGCTCTTCCTCCGCTTGTTCCTCTGATAACAACGACTGTTGCAAATCCTCTCCTTGATCTTCTGTGAAATGTGTCCCATCCGTGTCTTCATCTGAGTCGTGTGTGATTGATCTGATAAGTGGTTCGCCAGTGGAGCCAGGTGGTTGCACGGCACCCGAAGTCACGCCGTCTGTCTCGTCCTCTGGCAATAGCTGAGTGGAGGGTGGGGGTGGAATGATGATCTCCGAGTCTGTTGGAGAAGGTGGGGTTGTGGAATCTTTGGAATTCGATGACTGCGGAAGCGTCAAGGTCTGTGAGGGCATAGCGCTCGCACCGTGATTATCTGCACCGTTACTGACACGATGGGTAGGCTTGACGCCTGACATTGACACGGGAGCCATTTTAACCTCCGACATTTCATCAACGACAATGTCCCGTGGTCGGTCGACATCTATGGCTGTGGCGGTCATATTTTCTTCGGATCCAACGCAAGGCACGACTTTGTACACGACTCGGGAAAGAAACGAGGGTCTGCGGCCGTGTCTAATGCTGCGACGTGTGGTCTTGAGCTTTTGATTGGTGATGAAGCCGTTACTGTGCGAAGTAGTAGATGACAAAGCGCCTAAGTCAGAAACGGTGGACTTGTTGGCCTTGCTGCGACGATAAAAGGGCACTTTGTGATTGCCGCTAAGTGTAGTGTTAAGAGATGCCTGTTCTCTATCGGTGTCTTCTGGGAAGGAAGTGGAAGCAGAAGCTAGCATGGAGGGTCCTTGCCTTTGGCTTGTTTCTACTGGACTGTGAGAAGCAGAAAGGACTAAGAGAGAAAGAAAGTGACCTGACTGCACAGTGGCATTGGCAACATCCTGGCCAGGCTTTTCCGTTCTTTTCCAGTTGCTCTTTGGGTCCGTTCTCTTAGAGTGCGAAAAAAGACGTTTGCGAATAGATGTTTTATGAGAAGTGCTTGGTATAGGAGGCTCTGGACGTTCAATAGCAGAGTCGACAGTCATGGGCAGCAGCAGAGAAGCGACCTGTTGTAATTAATTTCGGCGGGGTCGTGAGACTGATTGATCGGAACTATATAAAAAAGTTGAATTGGCGCGGCCCGAACTAAGCCGCGACTGCGACCTGCAATGGTTCGAAGTCTTACGAAGCCTTACGAAGCCTATGTCTTGAGCTTGAGCTCTCTCTGCCAATCGGATTCCTGAAATAACTCGTTCCATCAACGTTCTATAAGTAGTTGGAATAACGGCTTGAATTCCCCAGTGTCTCGGCTGAACGAGTCTATGAGAAAGTAATATGACTGGGGGAAAGGCCGCAAGCGGCAGGTGCCGAACACTTTATGAAAGTGGCCAACCACCATTTAAATAAACTAGTGCCCCTCCTAAAAATAAGAAATCAGGCTTCAGCAGAGCATTTGAAAGCTTACCCTTACAGTGAGTATTAAGTTCAAACATTATGCCAAGTCTACTTGCAGGAGAATCGGCTGGATAATCCATCCACGGACCACAACCTACCTGCAAAACCTGTATGTTTGCTAGAGCAAGGGTATTGGCTGGACTTGCTTTCAGTGCTTTCAATGCTGGGAAGTGCTCTCAGCTGCTCTCGGATGGTTAGCCAAAAATACATGTTTTGCAGATGTCATGGCCTCAAGCTCAGGCTGACTGATTTGCTCTGTTTTGTGCGAGACTCAGAAATCAATAATTTTTTTTAGAATATTTCCTAGATTGTGGGTTTTTTTGGCATTCTACTTAATCTAGGTTAGTATAGAGTAGATAAGAGACTTCCAGACTACTGTGCTCCATGTCATTTTTCTGAGGATCATGATTTGAAGTACATAGCTGGAATTTGGAATTACCTAAAGTTCGGCAATGACCATACGGCGTATCCCGTATTGATATATATAGTAACTGTTGCCTATATATGGGCGTGGGAGGTGGGACAAGGGCCAACATACATTCTACGAGACATTTTTGTAAAGAGCCTTACCTAAAGGTTCGGCAATGAAATGACAAATCGCACGGTCCATGTGACCCAATTGAACTGCTTATGTAGGCCTGGGATTACCTGATGTCCGACTTAGTCATCCCCACCAACCTCGAAGAATCGGAGATATAGAATGCTAAGCTACCCGCAACCAGTCCTCAATGCGCCTCAGATGCAGGACTCTCAACAGCAGCCGTCTCCCACACTCTCGGAGACCACACCTGTAACTCAGGCCGGCCAAGGTCAGCCTTCGAATTCGGTCCCTGCCCCCCGCACTTCACGCAAAAGAAAAACGCCCCCAGCGTCTGAGCAGAGTTTGCCTCCACCACCACCGCATCTACAACATGTACTCCCACCTCCACATGCTCTGATGCACCCACTACCGCCTGGGTTTGCGTATGCCCATCCACCACCCGGAGATTACACAGTAGGTGGAATGCTGCCTCCTGGTCAGCCGCCACCGCAGTCTCAGCCGGGTGAGGCACAATCAACCAATCAGGCAGCAAACCGGCCACTCAGCAATAGTAAGCGGGCAGAGCAGAACAGGAAAGCCCAAAGAGCATTCAGAGAACGCCGCGATCAGTAAGTTGTTGTTCTACTTCATGGAACTTCAATTGATTGCCTTGGCAAGACATGTTAAAGCGTTGGAGTCCCGTTCTCAGCTCTTGGACGCTGCACTTGCTTCGGCTGATGAAGCAAATCGTCGGTGGGAAGAATGTCGGGCTTTGGTTGACCAACTCCGAGTTGAAAACGCTGCGCTTCGTGCTCACCTAGCTCAGCATCTACAGTCATTGCCTCCTCCCCCAGTGATATCAGGTCTTCAGCCTTTGCCTCCAGGTCTTCATCAGCCTCCACCTCCAGGCCAGCCTCAGCCCGAGCAGTCCCAGCCAGTAGAAGAAAATCAACAGGAGGTTGGAGGAGGGGGACAGGATACAGAGGAAAAGGAATAGTTTTGCTCGTAGTCATTGTTGATTGTCATTTCGTCTTTGCTTCTGTACTGGTAGTTTTGCATGTCGTGGTAGTACAAACGAAACTTCGTCGCCGTTTTATGTAACCTACTGTCTTTCATAAGTCTTTGTCAACCTTTGTCATCGAACTTGTTATGCGGAACACAGCCAAAATAATGATGGACCTCTCGCTTGATCATGCATATGACACGAATTCATCCTTACACTGACTCTGAGCGTTGAGGCCGAGGCCTTGACATCGAGGGTGCCCGCTGCTGACTATTTGATATTTAGTAAGTCTTTTTGGACTCTTCAATAATCGCAAGTAAGTTATCAACGCGCGGGGAGTTCAAATCAGGTGTGAATCGCACGTCTCCGTTCTTCGGTTTGGGTCATGTTCCGAGTCTGCGCAGGATGGGTAGCTTCGATACTTGGTGAATCAAGTGCAGGGTAAGTGATACATACTTCTTCCTAAGTATGTAGAACGGCACGACTGGTTAACTTGAACATACATTCCCCACTGCAAACCTATATCTTCTTCTTCCATCCTTTCTCAATGTCCAATACATGCTCCCCAACCCGGGCCAGTCCAACCCCGTATCTTCCCAAGGGATCAATCTCTCAATTTTTTAGTAGAAAGCAAGTTCATCAACCATTACAACGACGTATTAAATGAATATTCACCGGTACAGTAGAAACGACATGCGTATTGCCTCGCAGCCGCATCCTCAAGTTCTCAACCCTTTGTAACAACTTGGCCAAGTTCAGCTTGAGGTACTCAGCGGGTCCTAATCTACCTTACAACAAGTACTGATGGGTAACGCCCGCTGAAGCACCAACGTACACACCACTGGGCATCGGGGAGGAACTTGAAGCCATGTTCCATGGCCCAACCGGGGAAGAAATGACTCCGGAAGCTGATTGGAGGGAGGAGGTCATAGACTCCGACAACTCCGATACCGAGATATAACAAACACAACCTATACCATACCACCACCTACTAGCCGAAACACAAAACCCGAGACCGTTGGTGCGGCAAGCTCACAACTTGCTAGCGTGGGTTTTGGCTTTCCTGTTGCAGGAGATGTAACAGGTTAGCTGCCCAAGTCCAGCAAGAGCCAGATAGGCCACAGAGCGGATACGCCTGCAATGTGGACTTGGTTTTCCCTAACGGTTATTCTCCTTACACGGGCAGAGTGTGAAAACTTTCCTTTTCCTTTATCAGGCCATTTTGCTGGCTGAACACTACTTTATACACTACAAATACATACCGAACAACCCTACGACCCACAGCTCTACCACCACGCAGGGACCCAATCAAGGTGTACCCATATCAGAAGAATGGAGAAAGGCAACAGACGAGGATATTACTTATTTGTTTCCGTGACTCCCCGCGCCTTAGTACCTAGACTTACTTACTTGCGGTTAATGAAGAGTTTAAAAAATAAAATAAAAAAAGATGGGTAACGCCATGGCCGTCGATGACAAATCCAAGCAGAAGAGCCTCTATCGTATTCGCCGTATTGGTCTCCTCGAGTGCCTCTCCTTCTCCCAGCCTTCTCCCTCTCTCTATAACTCTCCTGATTCCTTTGGTGTCCCGGCCCTTTCTCGGTGTGCCGTGAAGACGCAATGAAGTAATTTAATGCAGTACAACCCGGTGCGGGTGTTCCGGCCCGAACATTGCCGGCACGGCGCCCTTATAAACAGCCGAGCCCTTTTCTCTTCTTTTTCCTCTACAGTCGTCTCGTCCAACATTTTCCATACTTGCTATGGTCAAACTTTGACTTTCTCTGAAAAGTTTTGCTGTTGGACGCGTAGAGGAAATAGGCTGGAGCTGGGCATGTCGTCTTGTCGTTTTACTCCTACGGACTGGGTGGCTAATCAGCTCTGGGTACACTTTTTTGTGTATGGCGTCGTATTTGTGTTTGATCAATAATTTTTTTTCTTTGCTGAAATGGTCTTCATTTGGCTTGTGGAATTAATGTTCCTTGAGGTGCTCGTTGGATGTGTAAGCGGCAGAGTGTTTATTACAGACATGTATGTAATTAAAAAGTAAACCATATGTGTTCTGCTTACATCTTGGACCTATGTAGATAGGTCTTACTCATCGAAGTTTCCAGCGGCATCGATCTCATTCATGTTATCACTTTACTGCTGTACTTCTCGCCATCTTCAATTCATTGCATGGGCGATGGGCCAAAGCACTATTTGCCCTTCTCACTCTCACTTCCAGGAAACCGAAATCGATATCTGACCTTTTCTGACTTTCTTTGGAGGTTCGGGATTCTTCAATTCGATCATATATATATCATACGTGACTGTCGTAGAGTATATTCCACCTTGAATTAATCTATGGTATTGAGCGGGACCTTTCTTGCTTAACCAATATGTTTCTCTTGGATAGGACTTGTTGGTGTCGTCGCTCGATCGTTGTGATCCAATTTCAAACATCTCTCGATAAAGTCTGTCACTAACACAATACAATGGTCGGTTGACCCCGGCGGAATTTTGGACTCCGAGTCGGAATTCCTTCTTAAAGCTTCCTCGAGGGTGATCGGTGGTTTCAGGTCATGGACGCGTCGAAGGAGGTCACCTAGAGGAAATCAATGAAATTGTAGGTTGTACTCATTAGTATATCAAGTAAAAAAAGCATTTGAAAGCTCCCCCTCACTCACCATCCTTCTCAAAATCCTTGTCCCTATTTATCGCGCGCGCAAGCATAGCGGGAAAAAAACCGCTGTTGACCTGTAAGCTCCATCATCTTCGCCAGGTGGTCGTCCTCCACACTCCAACTTTCTACTTCTTTCCCACCTTCGGGATAAAAGAGGCAGCGTCCCACGAGTAGTTCAAATGTCTGTTAGGGCAAATTGAGATTGAGTTCGAATTAAGATATGGTTCATGATTTGGGGATAACACGGGACTCACGAGGTACCCTATCGCCCAGATATCCACAGCGGGAGAGAAATCCAACTATAAGACGAGTTCAGGCGCTCGAAGGGCCGGTGCGCTGAAAAGTTCCGTTGCTGGTGTTCTCGTGCGTGTTGTGCTAGTAGTTAAATATAAACAACAAAATTCAGATGGTAGGAGAATTTATAACTTGATTACCATGGCCCAAATCAGCAAGGGTAGCGCTCATTAGCTCCGCTTCATACACACGCTCTTATACGTCCATCTATGAGGGATATGTTGTGTCTTGGGAGACCCATTCTCCAGAGTCTCCACTGGATTAACAGCAAGGAACTTTGTTGATCTTTCCTCGTCAGAATAATCGAGGTTGTGTATTAGTATATTGTCAGGTTTGATATCTATACATAGATTCGTCAGAGAAATGTAAGGTCGATCAATTCGGTTTATGAATCGCCTCACCGGTGTGAATAATATCAAGCGAATAGAGAGCAGTAAGACCTTGGAGAGCCATATAGATGGGGTGGCAAACCATATACACCGGTAGGGAATTGGTCGGGGAAGAGCAGCGTAGCGCGGAGACAAATGTACTATACAAATTTTGGACAAGACAAAAATGTCGTCGGTCTCCCCCAGGTCCAGTAACAGTGAAGTGATCCAGAAGGATGGGAACGCGTTCGAAACCTTCACAATCCTCATCATCGTCTTTATGATCGCTTTCACGCGCGCTTGGCGACATCCCTGAGTAACTCGAGCTCACGGATGAGGCCATGTTCGACGTCATTGTCATTTGTTGCTTCAGCGGTGAGGATTTTGACGATATGAGGAAACGTCCCTAGGTAATAACTTCGTGAGCTAAACAACGCAGTGTCTGGAAGGCAGGAAGGAGAAGAAGAACCTTGGGTTGTGGGCATCATGAACAAGTCAAGTCATCGATGCCGAGCCGTCGAGTTTCCTGATAATGGTGTAGCGGTTATCATGAAATGGTATGTTCCAAAACGGTAGGAAATGGATGGGTCACGGAGATTTGGTGGACATGTTTTGTCGTCTAAGAAGAAAGGATGAAATAGCGGTACCTCGCAAGGAGCTGCAAGTTAAAAGATCTCTTCATCGTGAATGTTGTTAGGTATTGTCTTGATTTTGTCTTGCGATGGGTGATAGCCTGGCTAGCCGTTTTGTAAAATATGGGTCTGAGGAAGAAATTTCCAATTGATGATCAGTAAATCAATTGGTGACAGATATTTGCAGCTGACATGTGTGTGACCACCTTTCGTCGCGTCTCTTGCTCACCCTGCAGTGCGCTGTCCTTGTTGAGACGATTCCCTAATGAGCAAAGAACTGCAACCATGGATCCAAAACTATCTCATTCAGATTGCTGAAACCAAAGGAGCTGACTTGTCTTCCGTTGAGTGGTCACTCAAAGTGAAAAAAGCGCAAGTCATTGAGGTGAGTCGCTGCTTTATTTTCGCTTGCTCTTCCTTGCCCAGTTCATTCTTCAGTTTCTTACACATGGATCTCAAAACAAAGACGAGGACACTGCAATATGGGCACGGGTGTCGGACAAAAGCCATTATATACCAGTAAGATTTAATGCCGAGGCAGCAGCTGAATATCGAAGGTGACTACCCCAACCTGAAGCCTCGCCACAACGCCTGATACTCCAGCTTCTGTAGAATTAATCGAACCCGACTCAACGAAGTCAAAACAGCCCTTATCACTCTTCGCAAATACCGCCTCTTTCACAGCCGTGTACCCTCGGCGCTCAAAGGACATAAATTGACCCATTCTGCGTGCCTCGCTATAGAATGCAGCGAACTGCGTCTACTTGGATCAATCGGGGAACCAACTATGGGCAATCCTGTAGGAGTTGAGACTCATCCAGAACTTTGGAAATATACGAAGGAACTGAGGAATCCTGGCGGAGGAGCGTGAGTGTTTCTTCATTGTTTGAGTGTTGCCTATCATGATTCATCAGGCTTGTAGAAATTTTCTTAAGCTACGAGCAGGCGAGCGGAACCAGAAACGGCAGGATGTACAAGAGAAAGGGGAGAAGAACGACAAATACATGGGCTTTAACAGAGAAATAAGCCGATCTCCGAGATCTTCAGTAGGCCCAATCGCTGGGCCGTCGTCGCCCAGGGAAAAGATAGGAAAATCGCCGAGTGGGTCCTTGGTGAGGTATTTTGTCCATCCATACACATTATCCCCCTAACTAATTGGTCCTAGAGCAAAATCAAGAACATGCCAATTGCAGGTTCCAAAATTGAATCACTAATGGCATCAAGATCGAATAGGCCTGAATCAGATCGCGTTAAGGTCTATGGACGTGAACTTGCCCGTAGATTCGTGGTAAGTCTTCTTCATAGAACTTATGCCCCGGATCATCAGGGCTGAGCAGCGAGCTAGTCAATACCGGAAACCCGCGATTCAAATAGTAAACAGAGAGTGCATGACTACTGTAAGCTCTTTCAGGGTTCGTGAAAATTTCTCCTCTGCTTATGTGACAATCACTGAGTTACTCGTCTCGTTTATAGATGCGGGCATTGATCTTCAGCAACTCCAGCAACTAGAAAGTGGAAGAGACAATAAATGTCTGATCCCCTTGAATAGCCCGTCTACCCAGTTAGGCAAGGGAGTGAAGAGAATTGGACTGTCGAGCTCAAAATTTCGTACGGAGATGATCAACTTCGACTTAACTCTTTGTATGCTCACTCCATAACATACGAAGTTCCAGATGCAATTCAAGATTGTATGGGACCAGAACAAATGCAGAATGCGAGGGAAACAAGATTCCAACGAAACAAAGAAGGATTCTGTAACACATCGGCAATAAAGAAAGTAAATGTGGTCGCTTCGAACTCCGCTCTTGTCGAGTCCAATACCAAGAAAGGTAATCCTATTACTCATCGTGCGAATATAATCTTCTAACTGCGACTCATAGTCCGGTCGCGTTTATCACAGAAGTCCAAGGGATCACAGGAATCCAAGTTCAGCCAGCAACTCCACACACCTGGGACTTCATCGTACTCTTCTTATTCATCTTCCTCTCCTTTAAAACCTTCAAGTCCTCAGTCTGTATTACTTACAGATTGGTCATCCAGTGATTGCGGAAGTCCATATGCCCGTCATGTTGAGAGGAAAGAAAAAGACATAGAGAAGAAAAACGGTCCTCCGTCATCACCTACTCCAGCTCAACGACAAAGGTTATCTTCTGCTCGTCGTACTGCACTCTCTTCCTCAGGTCTTTCGGTCAGTGATAGTGCTCACAAACGTTCATCTACACCTCTTCCTCCTCCTCCTGCACAACAGCCTAAGGTGCATCTTGCGCCGAGCACTGCACCTTCTTCATTTACACCAGATGACAATTTGGTGGAGATGCCCTCTTTCGATCTCAATTTCACTCAATCTGTCAAAGATGAACGTGTATCGCCCATCCAGGTACCAAAACCAACATCTGTTCCTCGCCTTCCTCGAATACCTCCAGCCTTGCCCCCTTTGGGCCCCGGGCACTTACAGAGTGGGGATACTTCTTTTGTGCAGCAAGTAATCCCTGAATCTTCTCAATTTCGACCTGCACCTCCTACGCCCGCACAACGTCGCCGACCAGAGCCAAACTCATATCAGACTCCTGAAGAAACTCGTCCATTTAGTATGTCCAATCCTGCTGGTGTCAAATCTTTCATTCCTTCGTCATCAATCCTACCGCATGCTATTACCAAACTTACTAGTGCAGCGACAGCACCATCGAACCTCATGAATACTAAGTTTCAGCGGAAAATACCGCCTCCACCTCCACCCCCGATCAGGGACGGTGAAGGGAGTCCCAAAGTACTTGCCCCTAATTCAGATACTTCGGGGACACAGTCACAATCACATTTCGGCTCGCAGTCCCAATCACAATCGCAGGAGTTTCGAAACTCGTTCTGGCATCCTCAACCCTTGGGCAAAGTACCCGATCCTGGGCGTGTATCCCAAACTGAGTCTGACTCTCAGCCCCTGGATGTATACACACAGAAGCCCCTTCTTACATCTGAGGTTGCTTATGAAGAATTTGATCCTTTCAACGATGATCACGATTCACTATTTTCTGAACCGGATGATGATGATATAAGTCACCATTCTTCGTCCGAGGCCGATTCTCAACACTCAAATCTGGCTCAGAATGATTTTTTGCAGTCATTCGAGGATCATCGACGCAACAGTAATGCGAAAGATGATCCTATCGCCAGCACGTCTTTGAAGGTTCACTGCGGGAATAGCATTTCAAATGACGAATTGGGTGTGTGTAATGACCTACTGGGAGTTCAAACTGCTCGGAAACCTGACGTTTCTTCAACTGTTTCTTCAATTATAGAAGCGGTTGGTAGCATCGATAATGTGCCTGGTAGCAGCAATTCACCGCCAACAGATTTCCTCAATCCGTTTTACTCTGCTATTGGGACGTCCCAGAGATCGAAAGAGATACCAGAGACGCTTCAAACTGTCTTCAAACCAGTTGCTCATGACGCTGATGCGTGGTCGTTGCCCAGTTTTTTACGTCACAAGAGAACCGAAAACACGAGGGCGAAGGAACTACGACCTGTCAAAACTTTTCACGCAGAGAAGCTGAAAGCCAGATTGTTTGAAGTCGGCTCTGGTGCTCCTGTCGGAGACCCTCAACCTCGTTACCAGAAACGTTTTTATGCTGATCAAGGTGAGACTGGACCCTCGAAGAAGAAACAGAAAATCGCGTTAGCGATTTCGCCAGAAAAGGAACGAGAACAATCCGCGCCGCTACGTAAACTCGACGGTTTCGATCCTGGATTTGATGATATCCTGCCAGGAGAATCGTTTATGTCCTGGGAACAGTTGCGAATAATCTCACTGAAGATTGGTAGAGCCAGAGTCAGACAAGCCCAAACAGGTTAAAGGCTTAGCTTATCTTCTCTCATGAATCTGTATGTTGTGTTATACTTTTATTTATTTATATGTTATCTCCGGCACCGAATCTCACGCAATCAGTGTACACGCAAGCCCCCGGTGAGTCGGTAACAAACCAACAAACCAACGGATGAGGATCTATCAGGATCTATCAGTGATGATGTGCTCGAACTCGGAGAAGAGGACCGGACATGCAAGGTCAGACGATCAGATGCAATACATATCGAATCGCTGAACAGAACGGAAAAGGGTAGAAAAGCCTCGTTCTGGTCTTCGTAATCGGACAGGAGGTGAAAAGAGGTGAAAAGATGCATGGATTTATGACTCGAACCCGATATTGGGTCGGACATCCCGAAAAAAAAGTGATCCCCAAGCAAAAGCTTTATGTTGGACCGATTGAATCACGGTAGTGTGCATATCTATGTACGGTAAAGAATACAAGATGGCACAGGCAGGGCACAGGTATATTGGGGACAGATTGGGGAGACCATCAAATTTCAAAGCCCGAAACTATGTCACACAATATCAAAGCGTGACAGTGTGACAATCAGATTTATCGTCCCGTTCTCTTCTACAGACTGTGGTCGCCTTTTGCAGCGGCCCAGCAACAAACTGTCTGCCCACACGCAATCTAACAGTCCTATTGCCAACCCAGGTCATTTTAATCTCCTGCAGAACTCCCCAAGAAGAGACACTCTTTTTTTGATGATGAGTATCTCTTTTGGTGGCCTGGGGCTTATGTCTATCCGTAGACCCTTCTCGGAGCTCGCAGGCATAGTTTTGGGCAAAGGAGACATCCAATCTATGTTTTGTCTCGTTGTTTTTTGTATCGTCTTCTTTGTACTTGGTTAGTGTGGCTCTTTTCCTTCGTCCTCTTCTGACTCTTTTCCTCCAGCTTACCTCACAAACCCTTCCGAAAACTCTTTCAGAGCTTATCTTACGGAACTTTCCTTTCGCCAGCATCTTAGCCGTTTAGACGACAACAACGACGACGACGATCCGGTCGTCCCAGAAAAGTCGTCCGCCGGTCATCTGTCTTTTCGTATCGGTGCTGTTGGTATTCACCACAATCTCCCTATCGAGAATCGCTCCCCATTCCATTTTGCCAATCGAGCCTCAGTGTCCCTGCGGACACCCAAGCATGTCTTTCACAGCTTTGGTATATTCACGATTGCCGCAATCATACCTCTGGCTAAAACAGATCGGGCACAGCAAGATCAAGGGGACAGTACAATATCTGATTCTTGGTTTATTGGCGCTTTTGGAAAATGGTGGAGGGGAGGCGTTTTTGAAACTTGGTATCAGGACGTTATAGCTCGTTCTGGAGATGAACAGAGCTGGAGTTCGGGAATTCTTGGTATGAAAACTCTGGATAGACACAACGAATTGAATGGTGAGTCATCTTCATTTCTTGACTATCTATTCGTACTGAAACAAAAACGCAAAGCGCTGCCAGGGCTTCCTTTCACCACTCGAAATCTTCCTCCTCATGGGCCTTCACGCGGGTCGCCACCCCGGTTGCGTAATCGTGAAAAGTCGTCTCAGCGCAATGTCATAGTGTCTCCTCGTAGCTCTAGTCCTCCACCTTTGCCAAAGTCGGTCTCTCTCCCTCTGCATGCTCCTCGTACTACTCAGTCTTTACCGGAGCGAAATGGTCCACACGCGTTGGCCCATTCCCATTCTTCTCCTATGCCTTCCGAACAGATCAATAAACCGGCTGCTACGACGCCCACATCGTTCGATCAGTCTCCGAGAGTGGTTGAACTTCTTCATCAGATATCTGCTTCTAAATCTACCATACTCGACCTCCGTGGACAATTAAATGAATATCATTCAGCTGCTTCACAGTCACATGCATCGCTGCAGGCTGACTTGGTTGCATTCCGCGAGCGAAAGCGCCAGGAGGATACGACTAAGAACGACCTGAAAGCTCGCACCAAGACGCTGGAAGACTCTAAACGTACCGCTGAAAGCGCGAAACGAGACTCAGAAAAGAGGTTACGTTCTGCTGAAAGCGCGCGCCATGATGCTGCGCAACGAATCGAACATCTGGATAAGGAAATCACTCAGCTGCAGAATCGCCTCGCCGACGATACCGCTTTTTTGACGCGTAGCCAGAATTTCAATCTCACTTCCGAGGCCGAACAGATGATAACTACGGAGTTGGAACACAAAAAGAAGGAAATTCGAGTTGCTGAGAATGTGGTTACTGCACTTAGTCTACGTGCCCGGGAGCTTGAAGAAAGACTGGCCGAGAAGAAGGAAAGGGTTCGTTTAATGCTTGAACGTGTTGAAGCTCAGAAGCAAGAACAAGCAATACCCCCCTCCTCTCCCGTTGAACATTACGACACCTGGTCTCCCACTTCCGATATTCCTGACAATCATTTTCCAGTCCACTCTCATAATTCGTCTGGCTATACTGGCTCACTGGATACGGACGACGTATCACACAATTACAGCGGTGAAATGCCTGTCAGTCGATCCTCCAAGTCATCCCTCAATCTGGTCTCCGACTTCAAAGAAAGTTCACTCTCGACCGCCAGACCCGTGAATCAGGTTCAAGGATATTTTGAAAGGCCGATGAATGTCCTTGGTAGACCTCCCCTGCCACTCAATTTTTCGCCATTCGAAGAAATGCCTCAAACACCCGCAGTGGTAATATCTCCTTCAACAAGCTCGTCACTGATTTCTTCGTCGCTCATATCGTCCCTGGATGATGTTGACGGCCTGTCTCGCTCTTTCCAGTCCGAAAGTGATATCTTCTTAGAGCGAGACTGGAAAGAGAAGAAGGCACACGGCCGTCAACAGAGCTTACAACAGCCCGAAGGAAACATCGTCTGTACGCACACCACAGTTTCCCCTACTGGCGACAGCTTTGAACACGATCCGTTTGAAGTTAGGGTCTTTGCGCCGCGTGGACATGATGGCTTCGCTCAACTTACAGATAATTCTCTCAAACGAAATAACTCTGAGTCGTTCACTTCCGTGCATATCAATGCCGATCTTGAACCTGTGGTCGCAGACAAAACCCATAATCGTCGATGGTTTTCGCTTTCGGCGAAGACCAAAGCCAAGAAAGGACTCAACCCTGATGCCAAGGTCTTCGATTTCAATCGTTCCCAGAACAAATCCGTCCCCGTACCTGTGATGCAAGGTGTGAGCCCGCCCGTTTATGATGCGCTCAATCCCAATGGTCTAGGTTCCACACTTGTATCTTCCACAACGACTGACAACAATTTCCTTCGTGCGTTCGCTCCATCGCCTGCAGAGCGAGAAGCTTTACAACGTGCTCTGGGAGGATCCAGCAATGGCAGTCTTGAGCGTCTTCCGAGTCTGAGTGATGTGGGAAGTATTCCGTCATCTCCTTCCCATATTCATGCCAAATCAGTCGATCATGCGTCTCCGCCGTTCGAGCAGCCGCAGCGACACGTTCCTTCATGGCTGCAATCGCTTCCTCGTATTCGTAAACCTAATTTCAGCCCGTGGGATGACGAGGAATCTGCACCGACGTCCACTACGGTTGTAGGTGGGCCTCACCGATTTCTGGGTGGTGGGAAGGCGTAAATTGAAGTGTGTGGCATGATTTAAAGAGGTGTAAAATTTGAGGTGAATGTATTGTAATCGAGGTGTTGATGCGTAAAAAATTGCTTGTGGGTGGTTATTGGTACGGGGGCACTGGTGGAAGTTGGCCTTGTTAAATGAGTTTCAAATGCAATATATAAATTATCTATTATAACAGACCGAAGTACATGATACGATTTCCAGCTGGCTCCGTGCGATTCACTTCAAGAAGGTGATCCCTGGGTGATCCTAATTACTGCATTGATCATGTGGCTACTTACTCGCAGCTACTCGCAGTACTGCCAAATGCCCATCTTCCGCAAAAAATCGGATGCAAAGCTCAGTCGTTTGTTTTCCAAGTTTCTCTACTTAGCTAGACTTATCTCCGCAACAGCGGCAGCTGCTCAATGACCACAGCTCTGAGCGTACACTATAGAAGTAGATTCATGCCTCGGTCCCAAGCTAGTAGAAGCGTAACTGTAACTTTCATAAAGTCCCTCACAGCTTTTCCAATTCTGATTTTGATCTTCCGCTGCACAGTGAGGATGCTTTAATAAAATCCTAGGCATCGATAATGGAAATACTCACATGATGTATAGGTCAAAAGCCTACACACATAGGAAGTACTAGCTGGACCAGAGCAAGATCCATGTCAATCATAGAATTTCGAAGGATGCCCCCAGGTAGATATCATGAGCAGTGCACGGACGAATTCTCAAAGGAACAACCGATGTAAATGCTACTTTGGTTACCATCATATACGAGAAATCGTGTTCAGCTCGTCATTGCTTTTCATCCCAGTTCGTGAAATGTACTTGATAGGTAGCTAATAGGTGAAAGAGATCAAGTCCATCGTCCGTATCACCTGTGCTTCCTTCTTCGTCATGCTGAATGTAAAATCCGCTACGGACAGAATTAAGTGGTATAAGAAAGCAATACCGAAGTATGTATACTTGAAAAGAGCGTGTAAAAACTTCGCGCGCATTCGAATCGATGACAAGGAAAACTCTCAGATGAATATGCGCAGGATATTTATGCCGAGAAGGGACCGAACAAGAATGATGATGATGCGAGGGCGAAATTATTTGCAAAGGGTATAAAGGCGGCACGAATGTAAGTATAATGCGAGTCAAATCGTTAGGAAATGAACACGCCAGAATGGCGGGAAGGGGCGACACACGGGTCACCAACAAGAGAGAGCCATAAGCGTAATTTGGTCGTTCTCTTGTCCTGGATTTTATCGAGCACCATCCAACACACCTCTTACATCATCAACTTCGCCGAGATCCCCGAGAAAGGGTACCAAATCGGTCAGCTCTGTGTCGTGTGGATCGTTGAACCAAGACGAGACTGGGACTGCGTTGTTTGGGTGGAAAATGTACGACGCAGGCGAGTTGTCGAGGATAATGGTATCCGCTATCGGACGACCTAGTTGGGAGAGATCCTATAGAGAAATGAGGACTTGTCATGCAGTCCAGTACGATGTAAGAATACCTTCACATAATTCCCTTTATGGTTGTAACAGCTCTCCCTGAATAGCCTGTGTGTTATCGTATGGCCGACGTCGAGACGATCGAGGACTGGATCAGCATACTAACTCAAGATGGGTAAGATGCCCATGCTTCTGGAGACTGGTAACGTACTTTGCTAAGACTAGCTGTAAACACCACAATCTCGTATAATTCACCCATCTTCTTCAGAAAATTGTCCACACCAGGACGTTTGATCACATAAACGTTATGCCATGTGTATTCAATCTCCACGGGTACAACATAGTCGGCCTGTGGTATTGACTGTGCTCTCCAGGGTCAGTCATTCATAAGCTTTGTAACCGCCTGAAGAATACCTTAAAACTACTGTGGACGAGTGTTTCATCAAGGTCAAGCACAAGACACTTTCGCCCTGCATGTTGAGGGGCAATAGGAGGTAATAACGGCCTTGGAATACCATCCTGAATAATGCGACGTAAAAAGCGTGTACTTTGTAAGGAATAAACAGAACACATACTGGACCAACGGGTATACCCGCGCCACCATTAGATATTAATCTGTCTTCCTCATCTTCAAAATCGTCCAAGTTATGGACGTCCTCCAATTCATCGTCGTCAGTGAAGCTGCTGGTGCCATCAGAGTCCTCGCCATCAGCAGCGCCATTTGTCCGCGATGTGGAGTAATGCGAAGAGCGCTTGCTGTCTACAGTACCGCTAGATCCAGGAGGTACGACAGCCCCAGATGTCATACCCTCAGTTTCTGCCTGAGGCAAAAGTTGATTGGTAGGTGTCGGAGGAAGTATGACATCTCCATCTTGAATAGTCGGAGTGATAGCTACAGGGGGCGTGATGCTTAATGGAAGAGGAATGTTTGGCTCGGAAGTGGAAGCGTTTGGCGTCGCCTTACTCGGAGAAGGTTCTGAAGCAGAAGTAACTTCGGGAACCTCCTTCAAAGGCTTCGGTTTTTCCAAAGTCGTCACAGGAGCCGTTTTGGGCTCGTCAATTTCGATAGGCTGAGAGTGAGGTGAAGAAGGAATGCATGGTATGAGTACCCGGAGAAGTCTAGATAAAAACGGAGGTTTCGGCCGCGCCGATTTAGTTTTCGGGCTTTCTGGCGGCGCAACGGTCTCTGACGTTGAAGACATTTGGGCTTTGCGTCTATGAGAACCGTTGGGAGTTGTAGGCGAAGATGAACCGTCCTCGGCCTTCTCCACAGGTTTTTCTGTGGATTTGACTTCAGGAGCCGACGACACGTCTTTTGCAGCAAACTTGGCGGATGGAACTGGCGAAGAGCTTCGCGGCTGCTCTGAGGGTGTATTGTCAGCCTCTAGAGGGGTAGTAGAGGCTTCTTCGCCACTGGACTCTGGTCGTTCAGTTGCAGTGAGCTGATCAAGAACCGGCTGAGAGTCGACTTGGTTCGTAGAAGCTTCCGTTGCAGGTTTATGCACAGCTGTTCCTGCAAGCGAATTTTTCTGAGTTTCCTCTGACTGGACGTCGGGCGGAGACAGTGAAGACGCGGTCATAGGTAAGGGGAGGAACTGAGAGCAGATGGCCGCGCTGCCCAAATCGGTTCACCCATTAGATAAGCCGTATTATGTGTATATGTTCATTGAAAAGATTTATCTATACGAACGTCTACGGTAACGTTGTATGTACAAAGCATAGCACTGTCTAATCCAGCACCGCATACTTCTTCAAGTGAGGCGGTATAGCGTCCTCCAGCCTCTTCGCTTTGAGCCACTGTTTGGAAAATAAACGGCTTTGGTATCTATGTGCACCGTCGCACAGAATCGTGACAACTCTGGAACCTGCCTCGGCATCAGTTACCTTGCAGCTCCATCAGAACGAGTCAATATGCGTTACCTTTACCCAACTTGACGGCAAGTTCGGCGGCGGCGACGACGTTCAATGCTGAGCTAGCGCCCAGGTATAAGCCTTCCGTATCGAGCAGATGATAAACCATCTCGATCGACTTGGTATCGTCAATCGTGAAAGCACCAGAGAGCTGGTTGATAAACGTTCCAAGATTGTTCGTTATACGCCCCTGTCCAATCCCTGTCCCAGGACGTCTATCAAAACACCAGGGTATTATCCGACGTTAGAACAAAGCGAACCTTCCGTTATGGAACTCCCAGATCTTTCCACCAACTTGCCACCACTCGCGACATAACCTTTGGTACTGAAGTCAATTTTGGTCCAACAACTTGTAAGTCGAGATTCCAGAGACGTACTAGTTAACACACTGCCCGGGGGATCAGCCAGCCATATTTGAGTCTTTGCTTGACTCTTTTCGTGTAGAAACTTGCCGACACCAGCCAATGTTCCGCCAGTGCCTGTGGCGCAGATGAATCCATCCACCTGGCCTTTGGTCTGCTCCCAGATTTCTGGGCCGGTAGATTCATAGTGAGCATTTGCGTTCGCGGTGTTGTCGAATTGGTCTGTCCATATAGCATTAGGTATATCCTTAGCAAAGTCGCGTGCTTGGTGGTTGTAGTTGGCTGGATTTTCGTACGCCACGGCAGGGACAGGATATACGTCTGCGCCAAGCATGCGGAGAAGATCGATCTTCTCTTGGCTCTATGTAGATCTATGGGATTAATTGAGCCTTGAATAAGGAGGATCACTGTAACTTGCCTGGGTGTTGGGCATGAAAATCACGCATCTGTATCCCCGTGCTCGACAGACGTGGGCCAAACCGATCCCAGTGTTTCCAGCGGTGCCCTCAACAACAGTGCCGCCTGGCTTCAGGCTGTACATCCATTAAATAGACAGCTTCGAGCACGACATGGAACCTGCTTACAGCCCTCGCTTCTCTGCGTCAAGAATCACTCCGAGAGCAGCCCGGTCTTTCACACTACCGCCTGGATTTTGAAACTCGGCTTTGCCGTATATATGAGCACCTGTCTTCTCAGAAAGGCCTTTCAAGTAGATCTACTTGGGCTTCGGTGAGAACCCCATGAGCGAATGTTTGGTGGACTCACTAGAGGCGTATTTCCGACAGCGCCTGTGAAGCCATCGACATGGTTGGTGGTAAAAGTCCTACGTAATAATGGAGAGCGGGCTGCAGACAACATTAAGGAGGAAAGAAAGGGCACCACACGCCATACTAATAGATTTTTTGAAGAAGCTCAATACAACGGAATGATGAGCTTAGCACGACATTTCTATGCCTAAAGTCTAGACTAGATTAGATTTCTGTTTCTTTAGCGCTTGGCACCTCAACATCACAACGACCAAAGTATGACATGTTGATTCACTCGTAGAAATTTCACAAATACCATTATTTCGAACGCGCTGTAATTATTTCCCAGCTGCAGTAATGGAAGACAAAAGACAGTAGTGAGATAATGAATTCAAGGGGACGAAATTTGGCCAATCTTGCGTCGATCGTAGGATACAAGACCGCGCAAATCCTCATCGACATCCGACACCTCATCAAATCCCTGAAACCGCAACACCCCGCACAGATCGATCCGTATTTGTTGGGGGTGCAGTATATTGTGAAGAAGGTGTCCCTCCACTAGCAGTCCTCAAGGAGGCGGGCAGGCTATTCCAACCGGTAAACGAGCCGAGCCACTTTCTCTGAACTCAGACTCTCCATCTCACTCAGGACTAGGTCGTATTGGCATAGAGGATGTGAAGCAGACAAGCAGAGTGCAGGTCCCGTTGGTCGGTGCTACGATCGAGTTTTTGATGGAGTTTCTGCTGGAGGATCGCAAGGCGAAGTTAGAGAAGATGAATCGTCCTTTCATCCCATCAGGCAATTTACGATGCGCTCGAGACCAAGTAATAATTTGATTCCCATGCGAGGTGATACTGACACTACAGAACATATGATCAAACGTAGATAATTTTTGGAATGCAATTTGGGTTGAACTCGTTTTCCCTTTCTTTCCTTCTATGATTCTATGTTACCTACTTTCATACCTATATAATTTCATACTCACCTTTTCAGCCACCCACATCTGTTGTCCAAACTCTTTGATCATCGCATCCACCTACTTACACACACCTTTTGATAAAACCGTTACGATGCAACATCTAACTAAGACAGTATCCACAATACATACATTCACTACTATACGATACTTGGCATTACTGGTACTTGGTACATAGTTTTCCCCGCTCTTGGCTCCGAAATGGTGGCCTGCGGCGGTTAAATCAACTCTCTCTCTCTCTCTCTCGTTGGCAACTTTGAAGGACGCACGGCATCAATCGGCAGGTGCGGCAATTCCAGCGCTTAAATGGTACAAACAGACATCAACGGGCACCAATTGATATCTTCCGGAATTTGACGGGTGTCACCCCCAGGTCACCGGTCACCTCCGGCATAGCTCCCAACAGCGAAATTTGATGAAGAGGCAAATGGCTCTTGGGCTGCTAGGCAGGTCTTCAATTGAGGCTTGACAATGACTAACCTAGTCCTGGATATTTATCGCATGAAATCTGCATCCATTGAAGTATACGATAAAAACCAACCACCGATGAAAACGAACGTTCGTGACAAGTAGATAGACGGTATGCAGGTAGCAAGAAAGATATAAAAAACAATGTGAAAATGAAGAGACAAGGGCATGAGAACAATGTGAAAAGAAGTCCATTCGACGTGGCAGTATCATGCATGGCCATAAGGGAGGGTGACATGCTCTGGCGAGCACTAGGATGGTGACTATTAGTGGGTATCAAATGCTCATTGGAGCTCTAGTATACGAGACGATTTCCGGGAGGGTGAAGACAGCGGCAGAAAATAAGAACTGCCAAGGTGAAAGACGCAGCAATTATGCAAATCATGACTTCTGCTTCTTCACAGTTTGTGATAACCATTGTAAACCTTCGAATAGACCCTCTCCGGTTGTGGCACAGCTGTTAAACAAATGTATCAGTACAAGGATATACAACCTCGGGATAGAAGACTTGCCTAGGATGCACATACCACGACCTGTCACGCATCTTGTGTAGTCCCAACTTCTCCGTTACCTCCGCCGGGGACATTGCTGTTAACAAGTGTTTCAATTGAGATCGAAAAGGAATTCAACTGTGATCTACCTCCAGGAAGATCCTGTTTGTTCGCAAATACTAATAATAAGCACTCTTTCATTTCTCGGTCGCCCAATATCCTATGCAGCTCCTGCTTGGCTTCGTCGATTCTGTCCCGGTCCTGGCTGTCAATGACAAACACCAAGCCTTGCGTTCCAGTATAATAATGCCTCCAAAGCGGTCGAATCTTGTCTTGTCCTCCGACATCCCAGACGTTGAACTTGACGTTTCGGTATGTTACAGTTTCCACATTGAAACCAACTGTAGAAACAGTCGTTAGTAATTGAACGAATTTTGAACGGCATGAGAGCGTAAGGTGAGCGGACCTGTTGGGATGGTTGTTACAGATTGGTTGAGTTTAAGCTTGTAGAGGATTGCTGCAAAGGGAAATGATGTTAACGCTGAAAGAAAACTTGAACGAATTAAATGCATTGAACCACTCACTCGTCTTGCCAGCTGCATCGAGCCCTAGCATGAGCAGCCGCATCTCCTTGTTCCCAAAGATCTTTCCTGGTACATGCCAGACGAAGGGATACAAAGTAAAAGACCAAAAAAAGGTTCAGAGAGGGTTCGTTGATTAGATGCAGCAAAGCAAGGTGTAAAAGGCAACCTCTCACCTAGCGCCTTGGAAAGGTTCGCACCCATTTTCTAAAGTTAATAGCGAGATGTAAAAGAGCGACTAAAAGGTGAGAAGAATGTCGCAGACAAATGAGCAGGGGGGAACAGGTTGAAGAAAGTGTGAACGGCGGAAAGACAGGCTGTTACGTCACGTGCTATAAGCGCACGTTAAGCGAGTATGTATTGCTCTTGGCGCTCATGAGATAGCAGGCTGAGTTACGCGCCATGAATCTCCATGATTTCCAGGTGCCTTTTACATTTCTCGACCTAACAAAGCTTCGCGATGCTCCATTCCCACCCTCTACCGTACTGGCGTCGTGGCCCTTGTCTCGAGATGATAACGAAATTGCCGCAGGAGCTATAGTCGGTCTCGCGGATGGATCCGCTCTCCTCCTACGTAGCTCGGAAGTTCAGGAAAAGCGAAGCAGTCACACAAAATCCTCATCTCCGCGGTTGAGCTCAACAGCACCGTCGCGAACATCTGCGACTGCCTCGCGTTCAAATTCCCCATCTGGATCACATAGCTCGCACATCTCACCATTTTCAGTTACTCAAAGGTCCAGAGTGGTCTCCGGAATCACCAGCGAACAAGTCGAAGCCCCGAAGAACTACGTTGATTTTGATGATGAACCGGAAAAACTGAAGGATCTGCTTAAAGGTCGTGGTCCTAGAGAAAAGGCGAGCTTGGACAGTCATCGAGAAAAGGATGGCAAGACGCCAGCCTCAGCTGAATCGAAACTATCTACAAGGAAACGGAAAGAGCCTCCAAAGTCAATGCTATCTGCCACTGCGTCTCCCGCTCTTTCTCCTTTATCTATTTCGGCCCCCCCATCTCCCAAGGGCCCTTCTCAGACTCGAGTATCCAGAGAGTTTGAGCTCGTTTGCCACATGGTCCCGCCTCGAATCGGACAAAGACATCGTGTCACTGGTATAGAGCTGTTGCATAATAATGATTTGAGTGCGGTGCTACAAGAATCTGGGTGAGTTATGCGCGCCTTTGTCCAATAACTCAGCTCATTTATAGTTCGCAGGAGTCTCGCTATTCTCTCTAACCGAGACGGGAAGAACTTGGCCAATGTCCAAATCGCCGATACGAATCTCTCGTCTTCTGATGGAGCCAAACATAACCATTCTATACATGATGTTTGGCTCTGGACCCATTTGCGCTCGTACGTTGCTGGTGAGGTACGTCCAAAGTCTTTAGTACCGGTTTTATTTCGGTTCGAATATTATACAGAACGTCCTACTGCTAGCCTCCGGCACGGTTGCTCCCGAGTCTGTTTCTACAAATCTTAGTGATCCCGATGAAAATTTGAAGGATAGATGTAGAGTTGTCCTTCTCGAGCTGTGTACAAACCACCTCATAGGCACACTCGAAGTTAAATTGGAACTTATCGGACAGTGGTTTTGTGATGGGCTCCCACAGGCGGTCGGTCTACATTGCATGAAAGATTGTAAGCGTTGATGATTTATTCGTCCTGTTGCTCCTCTGAATAAATCCTCTCAGTATCGTTTGTGTTTTACTCACTAAGCTCGGATGGTAGATTCGCTGTACAAAACTTACATATCTTACCAAACCTACCTATCGTAACCCCAACGAAAGGCCCACAAGAACCCCAGCTCAACCTAAACTTCGTTGCGTTGGGTCCCCTTCCGAACCCTTTCAAGAGTAAGCCCAAATCTCCTGACGACGACATCTACGTGGAACCCACCCCAAAGTCGAATAGAGTTCAACTGGACGACGCATTTGTTATCGGTCAACTTTGTTCAGAAGGTTCTCAGCTTGCCTACAACTTTTCATCGTTTGGTGATGACTTGAAAGGTGTAGGCTGGTCTGAGAATGAACTGGTTGTGAGTCCCCACACGACTGCAAATGGTGTTAAATCTCAAATTGGAGCCTATGCAGGCTTTCAACTATATAGATGGAAATTTCATCTCGCTCTTTTCCTACCCACTATCTGATGTTTCTGGTGCACGGTGGTTAGATCCTAATACGATCGCTGTTATGATTGAGGTTTGTTTCCGGGAAATTGATAGCCTTTGCATTTTATTCAATCTGAATAGGAGAGATGCGAATTATACAAAACAGTGGCCGTTGATGCAAGTGGCGAAGAAATCCCGTCCTCCGCAACCACTGGGCCGGTTTTGTCACAGTGAGTATGACAACGCTCGATATGTCCTACAATGTAAGACTGAAAGCCTTCTAAGACCCAGATTGTTCAAAGCGCTTTCAATTGCCTCGTTCGACGCCGTAGAATTCGCAACGGCTTTCGAGCTTCTGACCGTGGATTGCAATCATCAAGTCACCAGATATTCATGGTATGAAAAACCACAGCGGTCACCAGAGAATCTTGTTCACACTTTATGGCGTCGCCCAAGAGACACTTCACCAAATTCGGTCAAACTAACCGCAATATTGCCTCTTGATCTCGATTCCATCATCTTGGGCTTTTGTGAGTACAGAAGATCCTTGCCATAACAGTCAAACTCATGGCATATTCAGCTAACGGATATCTTCGCCAGTCGTCATTCCTCAAGCTATGTGATGAGAAACTCTCCAGTCGTGACTGTTCAGCGTGCTCTGACTTGGCATTGGATGGCAAGATCGTTAGTCTACATTTAGCCACCAATGAAAGAACAAATGTCAAGTATTTGGTTGGTGGAGGAGATGATGGTTCAATCGCCATTTGGACCACAGAGTAAGCCTTCGTTCGCGCAATACGCTTACATATCTAACTATAGTCTACTGCAGATTGAAACTATGTGCACGATGGATCATTTTCGGGACTCCTCTTCACCAGATGGCTCAATTTCCCAGAATCAAGGGAGCGCCATTACGGGATGCTATTCTTTGTGTATCAGAAGACGGAACTATTGCAGTCGTCGCGCTAGACGGATTCCAATTGTAGGAATGCAAACTTCTATCGTTCAATGGGTTGACCTTGCAATATCTTTAGTTTATATGTTGTTCCTGGCTCGCCATTCCCTTTGCAACGAGTTTTCCTAGGAGAGGATAATCTACTCTTGGCATACGCTGACCAAAGATCACGATTGTGGGACGTCAAGACTAGAGAATTTTGGCGGTCAATGTCCATGGATAAGGCCGAGGAACTCTTTGCTCAAGGTGGCTGGACAGAATTGTACGTGTACAAGTCGAATTATTACTTGTCATACTTTAAAACTTTCCAGAGACCTTGATAACGGTAGAATATCCTTGAATCGGGTTTTGAAGAATGTATCCTCCTGTAATCGAAGCCCGGATGTCGGTCAGTCTCTTGACTTGTATCACCCTTAAGGAGAGACTGATATCTGGTCGAAGATTGCACTCTGACTTTGAACCTCAATACCTTCATTTCTGATTCTCTTTTGGTTATCAAATCTCTGAGTACGAACAAAACCCAAACAAGAAATATTTTGCTGGCCCGGGAACACCTACAGTCGGCCTTGTCCTTACTTTTGACCCCTGGTTTGAATCGGGATATTGACACCATATGTTCTGAGCAACTTGGCGTTAAACAAACTAATGCATCAGTGGGATTTTCTAAGTAAGTTGTCATTGAACGCCGAAATAATAACCTATGCTTACCTTTTCGCTCTTTACCAGGGACGGATTCATATCCTTGTATCACTATCCCCAATCTGAACATTGTTGGTGCCTTTCTGGTGATGTTTCTGCGGCTCGGGCTTTGGCTATAGTTGCAACCATTCGTGCTCTCAGTGTTTTCGAAGGTACATTCATTGCGCTTCATCAATACTCGCGAAACCAACTTCCACATTAGAACTCTCGGAAAGTGCTAACACAGTCATGGCTTTCTATGCTACGGGATTAGCAGAATCCGTAGGACACGCCTACAAACCTCCAAATCTAGCTTTTCTTGCTCGGAGGTGGTTCGAAAGCTCCAGTATGCTCAATGCACACGTAGAAATTGATCTGACCTTGGGTGCTCATCTACCACTTGCAGGTGAACTTCGACATTCTGTGCGACTGCTGTTCGATGCAGCTGTGATCAAATTGACTGATGAAGAAACCAATACGATTGTTGGTGAATGGCAGCATCAACGTGAGATCAACTAGTCTCGTCTACTCAGTTCATGATCTTACTCATTGGTTGTCAGTACCCTGCCTACAACCCACTGCTGACAAAGAATCTGCCTTGGCTGCCCTCTCCTTGTTTCTTTGTGGATACCTTGCAGCAGACAGATACAGTCTACTTTCTTCCAGGTATGACTCCAAACGTGTTGAGGCGCGCATTTTCTGAACAGCCAGCAGCGCACTAATAGACATTGCCAAATCCATCACCATGTATCTTCATGATGAACATTCTGTTCACCGCGTTTTAGCCATTGATTTATGTTCACGGGGATTTCACGTTTGGCAGCATTATATCGATGCTCTTGAGATCCTGCGTTCTCTGTTCTCTCTTGCCACGAGCTCCAAGAAGGAAAGTATCAACGCACAAAACGTCGGTGCTCAGGCGAGAATAGCTATATTACATATCGCCTCATCCAATACACCTTTGTTTATGACGACTTTGGGTCTCGATATATTGAACCCCACGAGCACAGAGCACAGGAAATCGGTCATGCAAATTGTTGCGTTCTTGATCAAAAAGGCAAGACTACGATGGGTTGTCGATATTTCTGTTTGCCTAAATGTCTATTCTTTCTTCTAGCGACCTCTAGTTCTTTATCCGAATCTGCCTAAACTGATGGAAGCAGTGGTCAAATCTTTGGATCCCAACTCAACGGCGGATCGTGATGCGGTCTTAGATACAGCAACCGAAATTTTGGGCTATGTAGTGAAAACGTGCGTTGCAACTCGCTCTACGTCGAATGTGCCGCTTCTCAATGGTAGTACAGTTTTCCAACTGTGGACTTTCACATGCCCAGCCAGCGACTTGCAGTTGGTACCAGCGAGGGTGCGATGGTGATGTACGATCTGAAGACTGCTATCCGTCTTTACGTGTTGGAAGGACACAAGAGGAGCATCTCGGCGTGTAGTTTCTCACCAGACGGGCGGAGATTAGTGAGCCTGTCTTTGGAGGAAAGTGTGGTTCTGGTATGGAAGGTTGGAACAAGTTTTGTTAGCTTTTTCAACCCGGGTGCACCCCCTCGACAAGGTCACTCCGGAACGGAGCCTTTCAAGACGCTATCCTTCAACGTCGGTGATGCTGGTAAGTGTTTTCCTCCTCTTGATGTCCTACGTAAATGAGCTGACGGATTCCCGGAAGGAAACATGTCTGTCGCTGAGACGTTGCAGTTCGTGCATTTTGACTGGACTGCTGACCGAAGTGTCAAATTGAAGATTCGAGATAATATACTTACATTCAGCACTTAAAAAGAGAATTTTGGTAATATAATACATATGAGAATGCAATCTAAAGATAATAGTCCGGTTTCCTTGCATTGATCCCATACTCCTGCAACGCCGCACTGAGGTCATCCATCGTCAATGTTGTTCGTGTTCGATCCTTCAAAGATCCTGGACCACCATACAACGGCTGATTGGCACGGGCCCTTCCCCCAGCGGCATTTGTCCGGATCCGTGCATGCTGGAAGGCGTCGGCGGCGATGTCTGAAACAAACTTTTGTGCGGCGAGAGATAAAAGACGTTTTCTGAAAACGATGGGTTGGTTGAAGAAAATCACGAAAACACGGGCAGCTTACAGTCTCGGATCTTCGCACTCAAATCCTACTTTCTGTAGATAATAGTCCGTCACTTCATTGGGAATCTAGAGCATATCCAGCGTATGAGTAAATGATCGGGATTCCTTGATATCCAAGAAGGCTCACTAGCGGCTCATAGTCATCCAGCATTAACATAAACTCCGCCAACGTCCTGTCCTTCCTAGCATCTTCAGCTGCTTGCCGAGACTGACCTGACCCTGGTCCATTGGCACCAACTGTTGAAGATCCTGCTACTGGAGCAGACGACGCACTAGTGACTGGCTGACCGATATCGGAAGACAGGGGATAAGGTACAGGTGCAGAGTCTGACATGATCACCAGATTGGTATATGGTTAATGGCTTCAAACGCTCAGAGTTGTGGCTGGAGAGTGGCGCTTGTGCACGTGGTGTGTAGCCAAGCAGATACAAACAACCAAGTACTTTAAAAATCACAAAAAATTTATTTTTTGTTTATGTACTCATCTTCCTGAGAGAACGTCGACTAGTAGGTCACTAGGTGCACTTGCGTACGCGACTTCTATCGTTGAACATGGTGAGTTTTCCGTCTCTTCGTCAGCTTGTGAAATTCTCCACCTACAAATGATGTTTGAGGCATTTGGCTTTACGCATCGGTCGCGTTGTCTTGACGTGAGCGTGCACTGCAGAAATTTATCTCAGCTACCTTCGGGCTTAAGCCCGCTACTTCTGAACTTCTCATGTATCTTCGTCGCTTTCATTGCCAGATATTCCTTGAAATGATCTGCATTTTGCTGACTTGCTATTTCAGATATATCTTTGATGGCATGAGTTGGGCATGGGAGGCGTATATCTGTAGTGTATCATCATGTAGGGGTGCACCACAATATAAAAGCGAATACGATCTCTCTACTGCAAATGTTGGCCGCGGTCACTGAGTGAATATGGGTTCTTTAGTTGTCGAAGAACTGAACCAAGCGGTTGCAAAGCCACTCTTGAATATCGCATTACGCACAAGTGTTTCTTCCCAGTGGTCGGTCACCTTCCAGCTCGTCAAATGAAAGACTCGAGGCCGGTTCAAGTTGTCTTTAGTTGAATATCAGGTGGATAACATTCAAAAAAAATCTCTCCAGTTAGTGATAATATGCTGAGATAGATATGGGGTATATGTGGATGCGTATTATGAGAGAATGCATGTATGAAATGAGATGACGGATAAAGTCGAAAAAATAAATCCACGATGTAGTAAACATAGATGCGAGGAATGGCACAGAAACTACAAAAATCTATGCTATGAAGGTGACGGCGTTTTCATCTGTGTCTGACTAAATATCTTCAACCACCCATCACCCATGTCCTGTTTCAAAGCCTCGATTCTTCTCCTGAACGCCTCAGCCTCGTCAACGATCGTGTTCGTCTGTCCTCCTGCAAACGAATCACTGTCGTTATCCATACTAATAGGAGGCTCATATACCGACGCCGAAACTCGTTGCCTCCGCGCGGAAGATTTTGCAGAAGAAAATGTCTGAGAGTTGCGTGAACGTCGGAACGAGGGTACCGCTGGAGATGACGGGGGTATTGAAGATTTGTTACTATCGGTGGGCCCCAAGGTCGGACTGGACTCAGCAGAATCGCCTTCGGTGGGTAAAGCGAATTCGGTTTGATACCGCGTATGACGGGATCTGCGGTTTGTGCGTGAGGAGAGGGTACCGGAAGCAAATCCAGTTTCGGTACGACTAAGTGGAGGCAGAGAGGGTTTGGGGGAAGTGGATGATTCTGATCGCGTTGTCGCTGTGGATGTTGAAGCTGAAGCTTCGGGTTGTTGGGTTTCACCAGTTGACGACGTCGTGGGTGGAAGGTTCTGCGGTGTAGCCAACAGTGAAATGAATTGACCAAAAGAGGGATGGTCCACAGGTTGAGGTGCATTGACCTTCTGAGGCTTGTGTTTGAATGCGTAAGACCCGTTCGACGTGGTTCGTTTATGGTTTGAGCCTTTGATGGAGGCACTATCCTCACTAACGTGATCTCCGTCTAGATCCACAATTCGTTTGACCTTCTTCTTCCGTGATTTACCGCTGACACCAACCGCACCTACAGGCCCTAGTTGTGGGGATGTACTCGACAAAGCTGGAGGTGGCGCGGCTGTTGGTGAATGATTGCTACCATCAGCAACTTCTACAGGTGGTGAGTTTGCTTGTGAATGTGGGTGTGAGTGAGGATGGGTATGGCCAATCGCAATCGTAGGCGGAGAGTGGGCGGCTGATACTGGACGAGAAGTGTGTGCCTGTTCCGGCGGAGGAGCGGTAAGGTTTTTCTTTTCATAAAACCCAGGCGGACTTCCGTCGAGCAATATGGTTTTACCCTCCTTCCAAAAGAAATCGAAGCACGTCACACGATAACTTTCCTCATACTCGGTGAACGGATTCCCTTCGATCCAAACATTGGAAATGTTGGGAAGAGGGGCAAGACGACCAATTTCGGAGCTTTCCTCGATGGCGTTGTGTCGGAGGTCAACACGTTCGAGTCCGTGTAGACGTTCCAAACCGCATATAGACTCCAGCCGGTTACGGGATAGGTTGATAGATGTGACTGAACCGAGTTGCGTGTAGATACCTAGTACTGACTCGATCATATTATCACATAGGTTGAGCGAAACGAGGTTATAGAGGGCACTTAGGCCTTCCGGGACGGAGTTCAGCAGATTAGAAGAAAGATCGAGGTGAGTAATAGATGTGAGGTATAGTGTGAGTTCGGTTGGGAAGAAGGTGAGGTCGTTTCCAGAGAGTGAGAGAAAGCGCAGTGAGGCCCATTTGCGGGATGAGAGCTCGGGAGGCGTTGTAGGAGGAATAGAATTCGTTGGTGAAGATGTCTCTTCATCAGCAACCTCTTGTACGGTGTCAGGAAGTTGAGCAGAGTAGAAAGATGTGTGCCGCTCCGGACCATAAGGAATCCTTCTCATTCGCTTTCTGCTCGCGCTCCCAGCTCTCCTTGCCTGATCATCGAGCACTGCTCCGATAAATATGTCTGAAACATCCTCGAGACCGCTCTTCTTAATCCTTAGGCTGATTAAGCTTTCAGCAAGGTAGTCCCAGCCCAAAAGCGATCGAGGGTCGATGTCTGTGCATTCCAAACTTTGCAAGTTCTTGAATGAGTCCATAGGGATGGCATTCTCGTTCGGCGGTTCATTGGCAAGTTCTGAGATCAAATGGCAAGTAGGAGCAGTGACAGAGAGAGCTGGAAGCTTGGTAAAGCTACTATAGATGTACTTGAGCTCTGTATCAACGTTGGGTGGTTCCGGACGGCCCCACCAACCGACACCGAGTGAGAGAGCAGAGACAGCAGAGAAGGTGGAACGAAAAGAAGAGAGGGAAAGCGTCTCCGTCTTGTCCGAGTCAGGAAATAAGTTGATGTAACTCAGCGGCCGTGAAGGAGAATCAACTCTGACGTCTAAAGTGCCCACAGGCAAATTGAGAGCTTCGAGGCGCATAAGAAGATAGAAGAGATGGTGAGTATCGATGGACATGACAACTGATTTTGGTGGAGGTCCAGTCGATTCGCTGCCAAACCATGTCAAGGGGTTGTAGAATGCTGGGCCATTAGTCTCTGCTGGTCGCCGAGGGTTTCGACGGCGGACGAAGCCCAATTCGGCAAGGTTTCGCTCATTGCCCCGTATAAAAGCTGCTATTCGTCGTATGTAGTCGTCCCCATGCTCATTCTGCATGTTGCTGAAGATATTTAGAGGTTATTACAGCGTTGACAGAGAGTAAGTGAACTTGCCGTGAACGTGCTGGAGAGAAGACGTCAAGTCACGTGCTGTACCAAGGACAAGCCTACGCGTCTTCCGGTACGTCCATCTTCCTCTTTTTATCATTCCCTAACTCACCATCTTTCTTAGCTTTATCATGAAAGTCACTGTAAAAACCACCCAGCAAAAAGTTTTTAACGTTAGTTGCTACTTTTCATCCATCCGTAATGTTCCCACAACCAAATATAATTTATTTCAGATCGACGCTGAGGCCACAGAGTCTATCGGTGCCATCAAGGCAAAGATTGAACAATATCAGGGCTTCGCAGCATCTTCCCAGAAGGTCATCTACGCCGGTCGGTTTCTCCCACTATCAGCAGTAAACGCAACTCATAATGTCTTCACATTCAGGCAAGATTCTCACTGACGACAAAACTCTTGAATCATGTGGCTTCAAGGAGAAAGACTTCTTGGTTCTTATGGTCTCAAAGGTACGATCTACTGCGTGATCCGTAAATCGTGTACTTACTGGTTTTTTGAAGCCCAAGCCCACACCGTCACCCATGCCTGCGATCACTTCAACCCCTGCTCCTGCTCCCGATGTTGCTCCCGTCGCTCCAGCTGCCTCCATGCCATCTGGTGAAAGTCCTGCTACTCCTCCTACCTATGCTGAGTCTCCTTCCGCGTCGACACCTGTCCCTGCATCAACCACTCCCACTGAAAGTCACGCTGCTGGAAGCTCTTTCCTTTCTGGTTCCGCCCTGCAAACCTCCATTCAAAGTATGGTGGACATGGGTTTTGAGCGTGAACAGGTCATGCGTGCCCTCCGAGCAAGTTATAACAACCCTGAGCGGGCTGTAGAGTACCTGATGACCGTACGCGCAAAATCGCTGGTCAAGTCCTGCATTTGGCTAATCTTTTTTGTTTCTGCAGGGTATCCCGGCACATCTCGAAGCAGAAGCTGTTGGTCCTGCTGCGGCAACTTCTCGGACTCCTGCTGCAACTGCACCGGCAACTCCCGCTGCTGCGCCTGCGCCTGCACCTGCAGCTGCGACACCATCTAATCAACCTCAGAATCTGTTCCAAGTGAGTATCCTTTATGCCTGTTAAAAGAATATCGTTTTGACGCGATCATCGCAGCTCGCCCAGCAACAACAGCAGCAAGGTGCCGGTGCTGGTGCCGGTCTTAGTGCTGGTGCAGCGGCTGGCGCTGGTGCTGGCGGAGGTCAACAACTAGACTTGGCCGCACTAGCTAGCTCTCCCCAGATGCAGCAACTCCGTCAACACCTCGCTTCGAATCCGGAGGCCATACAGCCTTTGGTTCAATCTATCGCTGCTCAAAATCCTGGTCTCGCACAGCTCCTTGCATCTAACCCGGAGGCGCTCATGAATCTACTTGGTGGGGGCGACTTAGAAGGCGAGGAAGGGGATTTACCTCCTGGTGCACAGGTTGTGAATGTAACTGAAGAGGAAAGGGCAGCTATTGAACGAGTGAGAACTTACTCTTCCGTCTCACCTGTGTTGGTTCTGATAACTTTCTCCATAGTTGGAAGCGCTTGGATTCCCTCGGCAACTTGCTATCGAAGCGTATTTTGCGTGTGACAAGAACGAGGACCTTGCCGCAAATTATTTGTTCGACATGGGTAACGACGATTAATTCAAGCTCTGTTGCTTCTTTGTGCTTGTGTTTGTAGATTGCCTCGAATGTATGATATATGCTAAGTATACAAAAATTTCTCTTTTTCTTTTCCTGTCTCCGACTTGAAATCAGTTTCTAGAAGGATTAGAATCTCTTCATTTCAAGCATAATCTTCGTATTTTTATGGAGTCGGACCGTTACTCGCACACGTGCACGTTCGTAAATGTGTACAATGACAAAAAGTATGAGGGCTGGTGTAGAAAACGCGCACCTGGGCTGGAAAAATGCAAAAATCAACTCGAAATCTTTATAGCAAACGTGCGGTTCGTCTTGGTCTATGTGTTTCCCCTATGCTAAATTTTCTCCGATCTGATTGGATAACCAACCACATCATCGTCGTTATTTTCGATTTGCCAAGTGCCCTGGCTGGCAAGCGATGAGAATTTACTAGCTTCCAGCGCCGCGTAGAGCTGTTAAAAGCCTCTGAGTCAAAGCCTTTTCGTTAGAGCACAATATGCTCACCTTCCCTGCCTTTTCTTCTGGTTCGATCCAAATTAGCAGCTACCAGGCGGCGAGCACAGTGGTGCTCGTGACATGTTTGGTGTTGCTCGTCGTGTCGCGCTTGACACCGCAGCTCACATTCATCTGGTATTGTTTTGTCCGTCCGTTGACTGGAGCCAAAGACCAGAAGACGCGTCTTGATAAGGTGAGTCTCTATATTTGATGCTATACATTGATACTCTTCATCGTTATGCAAATAGTTTTATGAAGGCCAAGCAGATGTATACGACGCTACTCGCCGAGGACTCCTCCGTGGTCGAAAGACCATGCTGAATCTCTCCGCGGGACATTTGCGTACCCTCCGTGCCAATTGTCCTGACAAACGTCTTGTATGGGTAGATATCGGCGGTGGCACCGGACACAACATCGAACTCATGGACCAATTTTTACCCATATCCTCCTTTGATGCCGTGTACCTCATCGACCTCTGCGAGCCCTTGCTGCAAGTCGCCCGGAAGCGATTCGCACAAAGAGGCTGGACCAACGTGCATATTCTTTGCCAGGACGCATCCGACTTTGTGCTTCCTGAATGGCAAAACTCGTCTTCCGTCGACCCGAAAGGAAGCGTTGGTTTCGTCACTCTTAGTTATTCTCTTTCTATGGTTAGTACTTAGGCGCCGATTATAAATCCCAGCTTGTGAACGAACGTTTGAATTCTTCTCAGATACCCAATTTTTATAACCTCTTGGACCGGATTGATTACGTTTTGTCCCCTCAAGAAGGCCTGCTTGGCGTCGTTGATTTTTATACTGCCGGAAAGAACGCTTCCTTACATGAAAAGGCTATTGGTGGTGAGAGTAAAGAGTGCGGGTGGATTTCGAGGTGGTTCTGGCAAATTTGGTTTGATTTCGATAATGTTTGACTTGAAGTAATTTCCGTTGTGTAATGCGAAAGCTGACAGACAACCCCAATACAGGTTCATCTCAGTCCCGCAAGACGTTCATACCTTGAATACAGATTTGGAACAGTGGGTACCTCCCGTTAAATGAACATTGAACGTAAACAAAATTTGGAGCTAGATCAAAAGTTACAACGGGCGCAATCGTTTTGTTCTCCCTTTCATCGTCAGAATGTGCGAATCCCTTGCCAAACGTTATCCTGACATCACCGTTGACCTGCCTTTATACAGACCTTATTATATCTGGCTCGGACGTCCACGCACTGCAGACATTTCTAAAAGTTGTCATGTTTTCGAGGTGGAAGGGGGAAACACCATTGGGAACTGTTCTCCTGCGTCCTTGATTAATGTGACCAAGGAAATTGATTCGACTTCCGTGCCTCCGCTTGAGCTGGGTTTCTCCATCATGGAACAGCAGTCCGAGTCCAATGCCGTAATCGTGAACATCACTCCCCCGTTAAGCTCCTTTCATTATCAGGTAAACAAGGTTAGTGTATTCCTGAAGCCTATCACAGATGGTTGAGCTTATGACTTCACACGTAGCCCTGGAGACTTCCTTATTACGAGCACCCGGTCCATAAGGAATTTAGAACATTCGTTTATTCATTCACATGGGTAAAATTTCCTACCAGTCGCGAGAAAGGGAGGCTGATTCTATGTTTCTCTGTAGGAGGATCCATATGTCGATGTCATGCATCTCGAGCTCACCAAGGACGACTCAATGTTCGTCATAACATCGGCCGGTGACAATGCACTACATTATGCTATAGCGGCCAGCCCTCGAACAGTGAGAAGGTCTATATCTGAGTCCCAGATAAACATTATATTGATAGGCATCCTCCCTTCTAGATACATTGTGTCGACATGAATCCTTGGTAGGTCAAATCTCCGGCAGTAAAATACGTTGTTAATATGTTGAATAGCCAAGGTCATCTCCTCGAGCTTAAACTTGCCGCAATGCAAAGTTTGGACTATGCAGATTTCTTTACTCTATTTGGCGAGGGCTATCACCCTAACTTCCGCTACCTCCTCGACTCCAAAATTGCTCCGCATCTTTCCTCGAGCGCGTATCAGTTTTGGAGAATTAATGTAGATGCGTTCACTACTCCGTCGAAGCCATTCTACCTCCACGGTTACAGTGGCTGGGCCCTCAAACTCGCCCGATTCATCTTCACGATAGCTGGAGTCCGCACGGATGTCGAGCGCTTGTGCGAATGTGAAACTCTAGACAAGCAAGTACAGATTTGGCAGCAGAAATTGCGGCCTGTGTTGCTGAACCCAGTAATTGTGGCGCTGATGAGGAACCCCGTGTTTTGCTGGAACGCATTGGGTGTACCCATGAATCAGCGCAGAATGTTGCTGGATGAGGGTCAGTCGTATAACCATTCTGTAAATCTTACGTCTTCTCAATGACAAATTCTCAGGGAGTGTATACGAGTATGTGAGAGATACGATGGATCCGTTATTGTCGACGTATCTGCTGAAGACAGAGAACTACTTTTATCTGCTGGTAAATCATCTATTCTCTTCTTCCATTCTTGAATTCCGCTTGTGTCTTACTACCCGGTCCTTGAAGTGTTTATTGGGTCATTACACACCTACATCTTGTCCGTTGTATCTCACACATTCCGGGTTTGAAACCCTGAAAGCTAACGAGGGAAGTGCGGCGAACTCTTTCAGGCTGCATACGGATTCCATATACAAGTAAGTAACTCGACAGTTCATTTCTGAATACCAAAGACCTCTCTTCCGCAGCGTCCTTCGTGGGCTGAGCTCTTGGTCCTTGACCCGGGCTCTTATCATGGATCATCTCGACTGGTTCACAGTAAACTCTAAAGACGTGGACGAAGAAGTCACACAGCTGGCTCGTGTTGTAGCTCCCGGTGGGTTCGTCTTTTGGCGCTCAGCAGCGAAACATCCATGGTACAACGAAGTGTTCGAACGCTCCAAGTTCCGTGTCGAAGCTGTCGCAATCCGCACAGGGTCTGAGGTCGCTCTGGACAAAGTCAACATGTAAGCTCTACTTGCGGCCGTCGGTTAATTGCTTACCTTTTGTACAGGTATGCGTCCTTCTGGAAGGCGACCAAATTATAGATCCCAAAAATGCTATATGTAATTGAGTCCCGTATGGAAATATTCAAATGACTCGCGTCGCAATTGTATTCTGAATGGTTTACAAGAGTAGACAAGAGTCGGATTGATACTGCATAGAACAGAAAATGTATAGACCATTGAAATCACTTCTTTGACTTCCCTGTCGCCCTTGCCTTCTTCGACGTCTGGATAAGTTTATCGTGACTAATGTCTTCAATATCTTTGGTGTTCTTCTCGTCATCAGAGGCATCTTCCACCATTTCATCAAACTGAAGATTGAACGGTTCAGAAAAAAACTCATGATTGGAATGCATCCACTCACATCAAACGCTTCCTCAAGATCAGGGACTTGTTCAGCTGCCAGTTTCTTGGGAGCTTTCCCAAGGTCCGTCGCCTTGTGGAACGGAATGGGGTGTTCGGACGAATTGTACCTGTACTAGTCAGCACAGAGCCTTCGTCAACTTTCTGAATGGCACGCACTTTCTAGTGAAGGTAGTCTTGGTCGCCGCTGGAATTTTCTTCAGGATTAGGTCATCTTTCTGTTCTCCCACTCCCAATTCTACAACAGTATCCCAATCTTCCTTCGACAGATAATACTCATCCATACGGTTAATGATGTGATCGACGGCACTCTAAGTGAGGACTGTTAACAGGAATGCCATTGACCTGCAGAGTACATACCGATCCTTCTTCCACAAGAGGTCGAACAATAAATGGATGCAAGGCGGGAATATATGATTGCCGAATCTCATTTTTGTCCCCCGACACTTTGAGCCGCATGCGCACCTGTACGTCGCCAAGTTGACGGCTCAGTTTATTTTGTTTCGAGTTCTGACCGAGCCACCTAGGAAGAAGATGAGCCAGTACTAAACCAAATATAAATTCAGACCCACTGTGGGAATGACATTGAATTTGGTCCCCCGTAATGCGCACCCGTACCATAAATAGAAGATGCAGGTCGGATTGTAGAGCATACAGCATGCAGCGGCATCAAAGACCAATGTTGTTCAGGTCTACAGGAGTTCATGAAACCCATGTGAATCGTAATTCGAGATTGAACTATACCCGTGTATCAATCCGTCCACTAGGTCTCCATCGGAAATAGAAGAGGCTGCTTGGTCCATCAACTGTAGTCTTTTCAATTCCTTTTCCGGTCCTTGTTCATTTCGGAGTTTTGCCGGTTCAGTTTTCAGGTAGTTTTCCTAACAAGCAAAAGCATCAACAAAAGATCGAACTAATACAAGGAGGACGAACCTGAATAAATAGTGGGATAAAAGAATGATCTTGGAAATATAGCTCCATCTTGTCACCTAATGTCTCTCGCGCAGTATGAGAAAAGAGGTAAGGCCCAAGTATTTTGGATGTAAGATCGAATGGGCTCATGATTGTGTATTTTTCGTTCATTTTTGACCTGCAATGAGTGAGTATTCAGACCCTTTCCTTTTTGTAAAGCCATCTTACAATTCTTTGCCCTCGTCGAAGGTTAAAGAATCGCTTCGCAGCTTCACCGTTGATAATATGTTCAAAACTTGTCGTATATCAGATTGAGAACCTGCTATGAGTTGGTCGATGACATTGGCCGGTATCTTCATCTTTTCCCTGCGTCATGTCATGATGAAGGCAACAAGAAGATAATCAAGTAAGATGTCATACCGATATGCGATTGATAATATTCGCGAACGGATCATCGAAGCTTGAGGCCTATTAATGATGGTGATGAGTATCTGACATCAGGTTACTCTAATGGCTATTGCTGACTTGGAGAAAGGAAGATTGAAGGTCGTGCTCATGAGTGGCTTGAGCTTCTGAGCTTGTCTGTCGTTTACGATGCAAATGATAGGAATCTGAAAGGACTATCAACTTTCGGAACTATCTGATACTTAAAAACACACCTTCGACTTTTTAATCAGGGCGTTCAAAGCACCGACACCACCTCTATCACCAGCAGACATCCCGTCAACCTCATCCATGATCAAGCAGGTCCGATCCGTTATCATTGTGCCCACAGGATTGGGTACTGACTAGAACAATCTGGTCAACGTTAAAGGTAGGAAAAAAATATATACATACACTACCGCCAGTAATGAAGTTATCTAAAGACTTATTATTGATGTTCATGCCGTTCTAGAGGGAGATGAATGTCATTCCAGAATGAATGCGGAAAACAGACTTCGACGAGTTTCTTGCTTCTAGTATCACTGGCATTTAGTTCGATTGGTGTGTAGCCGGCAAGTTTGGCGCAAAGATGTGCACTGGTGGTCTTGCCGATACCTGGGGAACCACTAATAAGAACAGCACGATACATATTCATGCCGTTCTTTCCAGGTTTCTTGAAACTAGCTCTGTAGCTTTGGGGCCTGAAGAACAAGTTGGGAATTAGGAGAACAGTAGAGACAAATGTGATGTACCATTCTTTCAACCATAGCTCCAATTTTTCAACTGCGCTTTTATTCCCACAGACATCTTTCAAAGACTGTGGAGCGTATCGGGTGGTCCATAACTGGGTGGAAGGATCGACGACTTTCGAGGAACTACGATTGAACACATCAATGTTTTGAGCCAAGGTGCCGATGAAGTTTGACGGACCCTGTTCCAGATTCTGCTTCTTTCATTGCCTTTTTCTCTTTCTTCTCCATTTCCTGAGCTACGGCTTTGATCGCATCTTGTTCTTTCTCCATCTTCTTTCTCGTCTTCTCGTCAAGTCCCTTACCACTGCCCTTGCGCGTGGCAATCAGATCAAGAAACTGATCCTCATCGAGGGTCTTGAGACCATGTTTCTGAATGGCTTTCAGTTTGGAGGGGCCGGCGTCCTCTCCTAATACAACATAGTTCGTTTTCGAAGAGGGCTGGCCAACGACCCTCCTAGTTACCATCAGCAGTCTAGAAATCATCCTAACAGTGTAGACATACCCTCCGAACCTCTTAGCAATGTCTGTAGCCTCATCTCTCGAGAAACTGCTCAGTTCTCCTGTGAAAACAAAAGATAACCCCAACAAGCAATTATCTTCTCCGTCCGGAACAGTCTTACTTCCAGGAGCGATGGGACCCCGAGCTTTGACCGCTTTTAAGGCAGCCCAACTATGGGGAATTTATCAAAAGGTGATGTGAGCCAGTACACGTATCACGCACTTCTGCTTCTTTGGTTCTTGAGGTTCAGCTTTGTCCTTCCCTTTACCCTTGGACCTATTGCTGTCATTGTCCAACTTCTTCTTTACAGTTCTCTGAACAGGTGCTTTAGCCTTTGTCTTCATACCCGGCTCATCCCCGTCACTTGAAAATCCCTTTTTGGTGTTTACTTTGGTCTTGATTATCGTTTTATGAGCAATGGGTTTTTTTCCTTCATCGCCTGAAACCATTTCGTAGTCCCCATCATCACTCTTCATCTTCTTCGCAGGCAAAGATGCTCTCGCTTTGGGTTTTGATGATGAACCACCGGCAATAGCAGCCTTCTTCTTGGGTGGAGAGAGCATTTTTCCGCCTTCGTCTTCACTATCAGAAATCGGTACCGAGAGTTTCTTCCGTTTTTTAACAGGTCGGGGGTCCGCTTCGTCTCCGGAGTCGATGACCACCTTGGCAGATAAAGAGGTCCGGGCCGTGGCTTTGACTAGGCGATTCGAAGGTGATTTGGTTGTAGGAGCGGGTTCATTGTGTGGAGTCTCGTCCTCGCTCGAAGATATAAGAGCGGATTTACGAGGTTGTTTCGTCTTCAACTTGGGAGGTTCGTCGTCACTGCCATCCACCATGATCGCGTCCCGCACTCCCGAAGACGACTACTTAACGATTAGCATATATTGAGTCGAGCAAAGATGCAACTCACCACTTGTGGATTGGACGATTTGAGCTGACCTGAATGACATAGATGAGAACTACTTGGCTATGGCCAGTTGAGACCTCACTTGTATTCGAAATTCCTTTCTTGCTGACCTCTAATGAAGAGCTCTACAGGTACAACTTTAATGAAGAGATTGATGGGCTGTATCGAGACGTACTGGCTGGGATGATTGGCTGTTGTTGGGTGTAGCTTTGAAGAAGGCAGTAATAGCCTTTCCCCCTTGAACAGGTTTCGCGCTCTTTGGAGGTGCCATGTATTCAAATCTATCATACAAAGTTGACTTATAAGTTGCGGCATTTGCAGAGCAGCTCAATGGCTTACAGGCGAAGTGGCGAATGGTAAATAGGGCGTCAGTCATGCATTGTACATCAGTGGAGGACGAGTACAATGACACGTGACCATACTGTCACGATGTCACACCTACGGTCTTGCAGATACTAAAAGGCTGTACAGTGTAAACACTCTAGATTGAAAGACGAAGGATATTATTCCTAGAATTATGAGATGTTGAAAAGGGTATGTGCAGAACGGGTGTCAAACAATGCAAGGAAAGTGAGGGACAAACGAGTCACGAAAGAGAAGAGATACGATGAGAACAAGAGGTAAATATAGAGACAGAGAAAGAGATGGAATAAGATAAGCTATCAAACAGCCCATGCAAAGAGAAAGCCTGAATCCGTAAAATAGACTGTATGTACGCATATGCACAAAGCTCCCACAAAAATGGGAGACAATATATCATAGAATAAACACGGAAGGAGCGAGGAAGAAGACGAAAGAATGTTCGAGCAAGGAGGAAGGGTAAAATTATAGGTCCGTTGGTGTATTGAACACCTGTGGTGCACTTTCGACCAACCATTCGATTGATAATGCTTTGCCTGCCATATCACTAAACTCCGCGCCGGGATTTCGCGACCTCATTAAAGTAGCTAAATTCGAACATTCAGAGAAAAAAGTGGAAAGGAAAGCGTGTCCACTCACGGCCAAAAACGACTCCAAGGTTACGGGCGTTCATCAGGTTGACCTCTGAAAGCTGACATATTCTGAGGAGAGGCAGTCAATAAACAGCATATCTCTTCAAAAGTATCCTATTCTCACCGATTAAGGTGCAGCATCAACATTCGTACTGTATGATAATGCTCTGGGGGAAGATTGTTCACCAATTCGGTCAATGTACTGTTCTTCAAGACAGGATCCCGAATTTCGACTGCAGACATGAATTGATCATGTAGGTCATGCGTAAGTAGTGGTACAGGAAGTGAACGAAGGTAAGTCTTCAGCACGGATGTGACGCTGCAAATGTCGTTGAAGCGATCCGAGTCCAAAAGGTCAAATGCTTGGTAGTCTCCACGCTCGAAAAGTTGTGTGATTATTCGGGATTGCCCAGACCCACCAGTCTTTCGGTAGATGCCTTCATAGTCCATTGCTGTAAAAATGTCATTTATCAGACATGAGAGACGACGAGGAACAATTGAAACGCCACATGAACGGACCTAACTTCTCAACTGCTTCTATGCACTTTTCGACAATGACAGGCACCTTTCTTGAACCGCCTTTAGCATCAGCCAGGACTTGCTCTATCAGATCTCGACCGAACATTGATGGTGCTGATGCGAAACGGAACAGTCAGAAAGCTGACACTTAAAGGAGACAGAACGCACTCACGTAGAAGCTGAGAATCCTCATTATTACCACCACCATTCGAATTATGTGTTTGTGGAGAGCAAGCCGAATGTACTTGGTTCACACAACGCGTATGCACAGAAATGCTACATCCCATACAACGCAGCTGAGAGCCCCACATCTTCTCTCCACAGTGGTCACATCGCGTAAAGCGTAGCAGACTTAACGGTTGAAAGCTATGTTCCATATGTCCTATCTTAACTTTCTCTGTGACTGACTGAGCAATAGGAGCCGATACTTCTTTTGCTCTCGAGCCCCACTTGAAGACCTTGACGGGACCCCGGGATGGTGTATGTGTTTCCTCCACTTTAGTCTTGCGAGCGTCGAACTCTTCAACGGAAGAATACGCCGATAACTGGTGCGTCTGTTGTGGGGTCTGTTGTTGTTGAATATTCCGGGAATCTATTCGTACTGGGGTCTCTACGATCATGGGCCCAATATTTTTAGAAGGTGTCTCGGTTCCATTCGAGTTCGAGGGAGCATTGGGAGGGGCCATGGCAACTCGACGGGAATATTGTGCACTCAGCTGAGCCAGCTCTTCATTACGTGCATTCAACACAGTGGTTTCTTCCAAGAAAACATCACGGGCAGCCTTCAGCTCCATGACCTCCCGAGTTAAGGCCTCACGTTGTTGGGTTAAGGGTACAAGATCGCGTTGATACTGACTTTTGAGATTGTCGAGTCGTTTGGTCAAGCTACGACTGAGATTAGCAGGTGGTTCGGAAGTAACACCGCTAATAGAACTGCCAATGAAGAAAGTGTTAGCGCCAAGGACATCTGGATACAGACTCAAAAAAGCGAAAGAAAGAGATCCCAGACGAACGTGAAGACTGTTCGCACCTGACAGCATTTAATTCCTCAACTTCCGCTAATGTGACGTCCCGTTCCACTTTCAGTTTGCTCAAGTCACGCTCCAAACCATTCAAGTTTTCGTGGAGTTCCTTTGACATTTGTTGCCTTAATTCCTGTCTTCTCGAGTCACCGGTCAAAGCAGTCAATCGTGCTGCTTGACCAGAAAGCAGGACGCGAAGTCGAGTGACTTCTGCTTCTGCATCGCGACGGGCTTTCAATTCGCGGTCGTACTCAGTCTGCGCCACACTGATACCGTCAATATATTGCTTACTCGCGCGCTGGAGCCGGTGGCATGAGTATAGAGGACCACCATATCACAAATGCGAAACAAACACACCTTCATACTGTCAATTTGTTTCCGGGCCTCCACGTAGTCTGCCTTCTTCGTTGCCATGGCGTTCACAATTGCTTCGACAAAGCCACGATCAAACTTCATCTGCTGTGCACCTCGATCGGTCGCATCAGCTAATACATCCTGAAGTCTCTGAAGTACAAGATCAGCAGCAGATATTGGCTCTTTCGCTTCTTCCTTTGCATCTGCCGGAGGTGAAACCATGATTGTCGTTGAAGGTGGCGTCTCGTCGGAGATGTTTTTGACTTGTGGTTCCGAGATGGTTCGGCTCAAAGGAGGAGCTGTCAGGCCAGCCTTTGAGTTCAAAGGCACTGGCATCGCTTCCGTGACTCTCTTTTCCCTTTCTCTCAAAGCTCTTGACGACGATGCACTGCGGTCGAGCTTATTCCTTTTCCCAAAGGACACTTTCCTCAATAGACCTCCTTTCTCCTTTTTACTATGATGATCCGAATTGGATGAATGTCCATCTTCTGAATTGGGAACACTTTCTTCTGCAGTTCCAACAACGGATGTTGGATCATGAGCTGAGGAGTATACGCTCGAGGAGAACTCATTATGAACAGGCATCAATGTTGACGATGATGTAGGTTCAGGGCCGGGCAAGTCTGGTACTACTCGTACGGATTGGACGTTTAAAGTCTGCGACATCGTGTTCGGCTGGACTGACGCAGCAGATGGTGGCGGTGTCGAAGGAGTAATATCCCATAGCTTCCTCTCTGAACTGTGATTCTCTGCCACTGTAGCCAACGTGTCAAAATTTTTGAGTGAATTCATGTTTCCTCCAACGGAAGTGAAGAGATCCGAAAAATCTGCGGCATTGAGGGAGAAGCGAATCGGAGGGAGGGCAGGTGCAATGAAAGTTGCAGTTGCACGGTTGCCTGACTCTTCACCATTTTCCTCGGCTTCAATCTCTGCATCTAGAAGTTCCTTATCCTCAGCTGTGGTTTCGGTTGTTTCAGTGTCAGAGACTTCACCGGGACCAGAAGTAGAAGCGCTGGTGTTACTGTGAGATGAGTCATTCCGTGACATAACTGGGACGGATAGTCCGGCAGTACCAGTGGGAGTGTTAAGAGATTTGGGACTAGGTACGCTGAGGAGAGCATGGGGTTCTGGAGTTAGGGAAGGAGGATCTGACATTGCGGAGATTGGACCATGACTAGAGGAAGACACCCGTTTTGGTAGCGTCGACAAAGGTGCTGGAGGACCCACTTTTGAATCTTTGGGAGGCGGCATAGGAGGTACACTTTCTACGCTGAAAGTCCTCTGATGTGGTTCTTTATCTGTATACGTTGTAGAGTCTGCTGCCACTCCGCTATAAGCATCAATTAGAGAATATTTGGCTGAGTCATCGGTCATAGACCGCTGAGGAGCACGGTCGAAGCGAGAACTTTTTATTTCCTGTTTCTCTTCGTCATCGTCGTCTTCATCAGTAGTGCTTTCTACGCTTCTCGGTACGTCCGCACGGGATGGGGGTCTATCCCTGCCGGCAGCAGAGCCAGGACGAGAACTCAATCTCCCGGAGAATCTTTCCGGTTTTTGAAGACTATTTGCAGAATTCGGACGGGTAGAGGAAGAAACATGAGGTGTAGTAGGACGCAGTGGTGATGGAGATGGACGCATGGTTACGGTTGATTCATCTCCATTTGTAGACGTAGCGGCTCCAACCGAGGACGAAGACATCGCAGATGTCGGCCTACTACGTTGGCGATGAACATTAGCCGAATTGTTAGACGCAGCGGACGATGGTCGACTGGATGGAAAGTTTTCTCTAAATGGCGAGGTTGCCTTCACTGAGGTTGGAGAGCCGCCGAATAAGTCATTCACTGGTGAAGGCGGCTCGCGTTGGATTGGTGATAAGGAGGATGAAGCGGTAGAAGGCTCTCCGGGTGGCTTGATAACCAATCCCGGATTAATTGAGCGGCGCTTGTCCCGGGTGGACGTGACATGAAGACCGCCATTAGTGGTAAGAGGAACAGAGAGTGAAGGAACTGCAGGGTGATTAGATAAAGACGGCTCTTCTAGAGCAACAGGCATAGAGTGATTCTTGGACGGAGTAGGGCGTTGGCTGGCGCTATCGACAGATGAAGTGCGAGGGGGTGGGTGAAATACTGATGACTGGTTATTACGGGAAAATTCGGAGGCCTTATTCGCATGCGGTGCACGAAGGGGATGAGATGGATGTCCGTTGAGCGAGAATTCAGTGCTGCGAGATGATTGAAGGGTCTGCGATGATGTATCCTTTCCGAGCATTTCCCTAGCCCTGAGCTCTCTGTCGCGATGACTAGTAGATACACTTCCACCTTTGTTGGCTCCGCCGACGCCAAGTTCATTATACGCGGCTGCCTGTGCGGCCTGCCTCTCCCGATCGCGCTCTGCTTTCTTCTGGGTATGTTTCCTAATCTTTATCATACGCTCGTTATGACAATCCATACAATATATGCCCTGGCTAGTTTTGGCAAAGACGAGTTCATCAATCCGGTTCTTGCAGACTTTGCATTTAAAGCAATGAGCATGGTATGCATCGTCACCGGTCATGATAGCTTCGTCAAGAATTGGCTGTTTACAGACGTTACAAGCGTAGGAACAGTTGGCGCAGATTGGAGAGCCATCGGAGAGCAGTAGCAGATTAGTGTCTGCAGTGACTTTGTCGTTACATTTGGCGCATTTAAAGCAGTTTACGTGGAAGAAACATTGGCTAATGTCGCTAAGTCAAATAGCGAATTTCTCTTGGGGGAGGAGAACGTACCCGAATGCAACGACCAGCCCACCTTCTTCCGATACAACCGAGAGTTTACAACCAGGGCAAAGCCTTTCCTCGAGATCATCAGGCATTGGATACTGCTGTTGCTGAGAGACTGCGGGATTCAGAGCGGCGATCATGGCGTTTTACCGCAGAGTTGGCCGCAAAAAGCGGAGGGATACACAGATTTTAGCTCAGCCCAAAGGAGAATGTCGAAAGAAAGAAGAAATAGAAAATGATAAGGAGCGTATGTGAGCCAAAACTGATCAGTTCGGTCGTGTAAAGACAACCTTGGATTTCCCACGTTGGCTCATATCAACGACCCCTACTACACAGATTCAGTTTGCCTAAGTTTGTCTCTACTATTATATGTCACTCATTACCATCACTGGCTATCCTGCTTCTGGAAAAAGCTCCAGAGCAAGGCAACTAAAGGCGTTCCTTCAGGAAAAGGCCAGCGGCTCAAAAGACGTTATACTGCTCTCAGAAATGTCCCATTCGCTAGATATCAAGCGATCAGCCTACGATAACTCTGCTGCCGAAAAACCAGCTCGCGGCGCACTCCTGACTGCAATAATACGACTACTTTCACCAAATAATATCCTCATTGTCGATGCCCCCAACTATATCAAGGGCTTTCGATATCAAATCTATTGTGCTGCCAGAGAGATGAAAGTGAGAGTCGCAACTGTGAGTCTTCTCTTTACAATGGCTGCGGTACCGCGTCTGTCTTCCTTCTTCGATGTCGTTCGTTTCTGGGTTGATATGTGCATATGCGTATGCTCTTCGGTCCATCCAAATGCCACAATTGCTCTTGACTCGCAACCAATACCAACACAGTCTACATTTTTACTATTTCGAGTTCCATCGAAGGGTCGACCACTTCGACCACTACATCTGTGTATACAAATCATCAAATTATTTTCGAATACTCGGAACATTCGACCGAGGGGCTGTTCTAATTTTCCCGCTGTTCCTTGAACTTCCTTGTACAATCCCCGGACAGATTTTGATGATGCTGAGACGGACCTTCATTCTTCCGTGGTTTCTGCTAATGCGAACATTGGGTGGCTCCGTTGCGCTCGGATAGTCCTTGCACCAAACTAAACTGGTCAATACCGGCCGCTTTGTTTACTGCGTCCTTTTACCAGAGCCTATGTTAATCGTGCTTTGTCAATTAGGTATATGTGCTGACACCACAAGAGCAGTGTCGAAACTGGAACAAACTTCGGGAAGGAGATGATAAATATTCCGATGAAACCTTGGAAAATCTCTTCCTACGATATGAAGAACCCTCTTCAATGGTTCGATGGGACTCACCTCTCTTTACTTTACTGTGGTCCGATGAGTCAATATCACAATCGACTTTGAATGCTATATGGGATGCTGTAGAAAAGGGCAAAGTAAATAACCCCAATTCAGGAACAGTCGCGGTTGGTTTCCACCCTCTTTTGCAGCGTGCCCTACTAATTAACGCAATCGTTCAATCATAATAGACAGCTAAAGCTCCGACAGATGCACTAGCAGTGCTGGAAAAAACAACGCTCTCGATTATGCAACAAATATTGTCGTCACAAAACGGGTTTGGGGGTGTTGTAACCCTTTCGCATACATCCCCAGTGTCAGGTTCTACACGTCTCAAGCTAATCCTTCCATCACGGAATGTTACACTACCAGAACTTTCCCGACTGAAGCGGCAGTTTGTCACTGCTCAAAAGAAGGCGATCACACTGGGTACTATTGAGCGCGGAAGTGTGGACTGGAGCGAGGAAGGTGTAGGCGAAAGGTTTGTTGTTTTCTTAGGAGAACAATTCCACAGATAAAAAGGCAGTCCGGCGTGTGTACGAATCATCTTGACATAATTTCCCGTGACACAGTTTGGAATGATAATACTCATGCACAATGTATCACGACTGTGCAAGCCATTAACGATGTGCTAGATGCCAGTGGAGATGCTACTTGGACACAAACTTGGATCAGTTCAACAGAACACAGGATTGACAGCAACACTCAAGAGCAAGTAGTTTCTTTCACTTGCCCTGTGCAATCAACTTATCGCAATCAATCATTGCTGTGCGAGATGATTGGGCGCGCTTGTTTTGACTCTTTGAAAAATTTTCCCTATGTTCTATGATAAGTTTGTTTTCAAACTTCTTCGAAGTCCAAAGCCGTCAACGCTGAAGATAGATGTATAGAAACATATAATGATGCAAAGGTATGTAACGACGTCGACAAAATAACGCAGAGCATTCGCGCTCCAAGCTCAAAAGTACGAATCCTATAAACATTAAATACAGAGGTTAGCTTCCCTCATAAAGACTGAATGATGTTCTGATCAAGGATCGTCATAGGCCGGAGGTGAATCTCACGAAGTTATATCATCAGGTCTCCTACGTAGCTCGTTCATTTGAGCCTGTGTGGGGTTCGTATCTCGTCCTGACACCGCACTACCTGGCAGACTGGTCATTGTCGATTCCCCGTACCGCAAAGGGTATAGCACAGGGTTTGGTGTGGGCCATGGCGGACCATTATGGCGTAGAGTCTTGATCTTATCGTTGACAGGGGAAGCGAAACTTTGGACACTTGGTGACTGGGCCTGTGCGCCCGTGGAATTTGTACTGGCATATGCTGCATTGTTCAAAAGTATCAAGGAACAGGTTGAAAGGTTGAAGAGTCTTACTATTCATGTTTTGCGTATCCATCGGTCTAGGAGAAACAAGCGCTGACTCTGCCTTGAGTTTATGCCATCGGCGGGCTATGATAAATGCAAAAGCAGCGAGAAACGTCAGGCCCACTAGACCCCCCACCACGCAACCAACGATAACGCTAGTATTTACATGCTTGCAGTTGCCATTCCCTTGCGTGGGAGCCGCTACTGCTCCAGGTGTTGGTAATACAGTGCCCGTGTCCGTGAAGTCTGGTTTGTTCGCGAGTAACTCGAACGATGGAATATAGGTGAGATAATCGAAAACGAACGTCTGGTTTCCAATCGTGTCAGTGTCATTTGCAAAGAGTGTATGGTTGCCTGAGGTAAGGTTGGATGAGAGAAATTGATAATTCGGTGTTTCCTGATGGGGAGGAGTTGAGCCTGATGGTATGCTGACCACCGAGATAGTAGTTTGGTTGTCCAGAGAAAAATCGAGAGTAAGGCTTCCGGTCCCAGTCCATCCAAAAACGGCGAAGACTGCGATGCTACTGCCTGGACAAAGGTTTGAAAGGCATTGGCTGAAAAACAGGCCGGAGAAGAAAAGTGCACACTAGAAAATTGGAATCTGAAAGTATTACCCAAGGAGTCCATGCGATGAGTTGAATTTCCTAACGGTGGCCCATGTGCCCAGCCTCCGTTCATCATTAAAGATGCGTCCACTCATATTCCATCCACTACCTTGATGCTTGATTTCGGTGTTAGAATCATCCACAATTATGGTCGAGGTACTACCCACAGGTGTCGTCAGGCCCACGGTGATGATCGCGTAGTCCACATCTACCACAAACTTTGACAAGTTAACTGTGTGCAGCCCGTCGTCCAGAACGGGTGATTCATACCACTGTGTGTAGTAATGTGTGACACCAGCATTCGGGAACGTGCCGTTCACCTCGTCCCCGAGTCAATGGAAGCAAGACACAAATTCGGCCCGGGAGAGTTAGTGCTGGACGGAGTTGAACCTGTGGATGAGATGTTAGTTCCTGCAAACTTACGGTGAGGATATGAATGTTGACTGGTTGTATGGAATATCTTGAAAGATAACAACAACTTGACCTCCTGACGAGCCAATATAGGTAGAGGACTTACCCAGCTAATGACATGTGGTGTCGGTGGGCTTCACCCAGTTAACATTAGAGTCGAAGAATGACGAGGAAATTGGCTGTTGTCTAACAGCAGCTATACGTCTATCGAGTTCATGAACGTATAACACAAGCTTTTCAGGACGGGGCTAAGAAGTAGAAATGCTCAATCCCCGACCACCTGGACAAAGGAGTCGGATGAATCAGTGTCCAAAATCCATTAATTGAGCGAGAAAGCCTTTGAAACCCGCCGTAGTTCCCCTTGACTTTTCGGTCACATACGGATATGTTCTGGAGGATTCTGTAATTATTTTTTTGCTAGTCTATTAGCATTGAATTGAGTTTCATTCAGGACACTGAGCCAGTGGGTTTTGGGAAACTTGGGTATTGTAGTAAGCTGGAAAGGTAGCCGGGGAGTAAAACACGGGCGGAAAGCAACTTCGAACTACAGAGACTCAGACAGACTCAGAGTTACGGCGCTATGGAAGATTTTGGCGCGGTGGTACGGGTGTCATCGTCTCTTCTGTTTTTAATGCATAATCAGATATTTCAGCACCTTCATCCAGCAACGATCCTGATTCTCGGGCAAAGAAAAAAATACCAAAATCAAATCCAAAACCATGACTTGCATACACCGTTCGGGAATCGAACCCGAGCCGCTTGCTATAACATCCAAAGAACCTGAATGGAAGGCAAGCATGATAACCACTTCACCAACGGTGTATGAAACTGTACTTCACTCATTTATTTCAATACTTTGGCATGCTCATTGCTAACTAGCAACTTCCAAGTACATTCTTATCTTCAAGCTACGCGCCTTATACTGCCACTGCTCTTTTAGGTCAATCTCTCTCTCTCCCAATTGGCAACGTTGACTCCGACTCCGCCAACAGCATAGCATTACGCCTCATTATGCTTACACTCAGATGCTTACTCAGTTACCTGGTTCCAATAAGTCCCAATCAGTTCCTATCATTCCCAGTTTGAATACCCGTTGGGCGCAGTCTCTTTAACGTTGACGCTCGACCTCCCGCCACTCGCCGTATCTCAAAAAAATGCTATCGAAAAGGCTGTGTATCTTGGTCACTAATTAGACCGCGCTCGAGTCATCCGGTGTCCGATTCAATGGGTAGAACTCATTCGACTCATAACATCATTCGCGCGTCAAGTTTCTGCATAACACATACATCGGAGGATGTGCAAGAGTTCTCAAAGAGTCACCATGCGAATTTAGACACAATCTCAGTTTGCTACACCGGTCCCTTTCAGAGTAGCTTTCATTCGAGCCACCACAGTAACATCCTGTAACAGTAAACAATCAGCTGTAACATTGGATCTGTACAGCACAAGAAATCAGGAGCGGTTTCAGTGTCACAGATCACAGCTATGCAAGGGGCCTAATTTGAGCACATCCGAAAAAATGCGGGGGGTGTGTGTGTCATCTGTAATCCTTTCGAGCTAGTGACTAAAATAATAAGAAACTTACCCCCATTTCGCTTTTTACAGACAGCTGCGTTGACTTCTCACTGTGTTTTGCGGGCTACACACCACTAAAGGAAACCCGAAAGAAAAGCTTAGTACGTGGGTACACGAACATCTATACATCTCAATGCTGTTCAGTGGTTGGTTCGTTACCTGAGACGTGAGCGCTGTCTGGCCGTACGGCGTAGTATGTAGTACCGCTTCCGACAAAGTTGTGACTCTTCCTTCGTCGACATGATTCGGTGCAAGGTTTGTTATCCGCATTCAAAAAAGTATTCTCCGACTTTATAAGAAGGCTGAGATTATCTGTGCTGACTCCTTATCTTTTTCTTTAGTAGTTGCATCTCTTCCTTTCCAAGATGCCTCTCTCCACTTCCACCTCCTCTTCCAGCAAACCCAAGCTACTAACACACCTATCTATCCTCCGGGATAGCAGCGAGCGTTTCGCTCGCTCAGCAGCATTCAAAGTACCTTCAGTGGAATCCACGTCCACTGGAATACCCCGCTGGGACACGATCACGTTTAAACAATTCTCCGATGATGTCCAGCTATGCGCCAGATATTGGGCGCGCGAGTTAAATATCCGGGGTAACATTCCGCGTAAATCGGTGGTGGGACTGTGGATTGGGGGATACACCTATTCTGATGTGCTCCACATCTACGGGATCTCCAAAGCGGGATATGTTCCCCAGTTATTCAGTCTTCGTCTTCCCGACCCGACTGTGATTTTTGAGCTTCTTCAGAAGGCGGGAGCTAGGGCACTGGTATGTGACCTAGGAACGTCAAGTTCCATCGGTGACCAAGGGATGGTGAACTCCCCTGTACCGATATTTACAGCTATTTCATTCTCTGATATCGAGGTGTCATCACGGAGTTTACTTCAGGATGTCAACGATTCATATCTTGTATCGGAAGAAGAACCTGTCGATCCTTCGGATTGTGCGTTCGTGTTCCATACGAGTGGGTCCACGTCTGGAAGCCCTAAACTAGTCCCTTGCAACTATCGCTGGCTCGATGCCGTAGCTCGCAAAGCCAGCCAGCTCTGTGTCCCACTTAACAAGAACGGCCAGGACGTCAGTACTTGGATGTGAGTATACCTTCCTTTTAAAATCCACAAAATCTCACACCAAAGTACTGAACATCCCTTTACAGCGGAAGCATGTGTCATATAGGACAAACGACCATGCTCATCTGCCTTATGCAATACGGCACCTGCATCGCCCAGCCAAGACGATTCCCTTACCCCGCAGACGAACTAGCCGCGATGGTCGAACACTGCAACGTCAACCGTATATGGCAATTCTCCGCCTTCTTCTCCGCTCTCCTCCGCGCTGCGCGTAGCAACCCAGATTTCCTCCGCGTGCTAGTGGGGCTCGACGAGGTCACCACCTGTGGAATGGCGTTATCCAAGGAAGACCAGGATTTCGCGTATAAATCCGGGATTAACCTGCAGGAGATCTTTGGGAGTACGGAATTGGGTGGATCGACACTCGTTTCATTAGGAGGGGAGGATCCGAATACTCGGAGACATCTACGCCCATTGAGTGGACTTGCGTACGAGTTCCGTCCGGTTAATACTAGTGCTCAGGCGGAGGATGGTGACTCTGGGCATCAATCTACGAATCGGCTCCTCGAATTTGTGGTGCTCGCGGAATCTGGCGACTGCCCCGACGTTTCGTTGAGGAATCCCGAGGATGGGGATTTCCATACCGGGGACTTGTTCATCGAAGTCGGATCTGGGAAGTATATCTTCGCTGGGAGGGACGATGATTGGATTAAAACTGAGAGCAGTCTCAGATGCGATACCAAGTAAGTATTTTTTCGTCAAATAACGCCTTTTCTACATACTCATTACACAATAATAACTCTTAGGTCCATCGAGGACAACGCCCGCGCAATGTGCGGTTCCCTAATCTCAGAATGTATCGTCGTCGGAACCGGACGTCCCTCCCCAGTGCTCTTTGTCGAAAGCACCGCAGGGGTCGACGAGACCAAGCTCAAAAAGGACATCTGGAGAAAGATCCGTCAATTCCACCGCCGAAGATACATCCACGAGAGTATCACATCCGCGGATATGATCATCGTCGTCCCTCCTGGTTCGTTACCCCGAACAGCGTCAAAGGGGAATATCCGCAGAAAGGCTGTAGAGGAGGAGTACAAGACACAGCTTGATAAGCTGTTTGGTGTTACGGACTGTTAATACTGATAATACATCAAATAAATCAAACAAACCAGTTCAAATCAATGGGGGGCTTGGGCTGTATATGTTGTTGTGATTCATGTTTCGCTCGCATTTTTAGATTCTCTTGGATCTGTACTTTTGTATCTCATTTTATTTGCCTCCATGTACAATTCATAGGAAACGGTATACATAGTATAGTAGGTAGCCGGTTGTATTATTACTTGGAACACCCCACTTTGTGTAGTAGTAGTATGTAGTATGTAGTATGTAGTTCCCCCCCTCCTCCCCCATCTTATTTATTCATTACAGTTGATGACAATATACGTTTCAAGGAAACCCGCGATGGCAGAGGTTGGGGGGTTGAGCACTTACGAATCTGAATCACGCATCGTTGAAGAATGAAATTCAAAATACCGGGATTGATAATCCTTTACTATACTGAAATGAGACGGGAGCAAGAATCTGCTTTACGCATTGCTTTACTATGATCCATAAACTCAGCATCTGAACTTGAATGAGAAAACGCTGAACCGGCCCCCGGGCCAAAACCTCCCAAAGCTACTAGTAGTTTCGCTGCTGCGATTTTCGGAGACCCAGTACGCCGGATCGTGCAGGAATTTGTACTTGTACTCCATCCGCGAACTCGAAACCTCTCGAAACTGAGTCGGGACACATCACGTCACGGGACATCGACTCCGAGTCGGAAGGGACTCGACCTCGAGCAGCGAGCTCAGAACGGATTTTTTCTTTCTTTCTAGAGGGTGCAGAGGGGTGCAGTCGGGGGAGTACGGGACTCGGATACTTGGATACTTGGTCACGGTCAATGGAGAGACGTTGAATGTATTGCCTAGGGAGAGAATCTACTAGCATCTTTCAACTCATCGATCTCATCCTTGACTCGGAGCGAACGTCATCTCCGGTAGTATATTTATCGTACTTCTGGCGAATCTCGCAGCGACTGCTTGATGATGATAGTAAGTTTTACTTATGTCCTGGTAGAGCCTGGTATTCGGAGTCGAAATAGGTCGAAATACACGGCTCTGGCTCCTGGGGGAGAAAATCAGTTGATTATTAGGATGATTTGGTAACATGTTAACGTTTTAACCCTAGCGCATAACTTACCTTTGATCGAAATTACAGTAGTGCAGAGTTAGATACTTAACTGAGATGGTCTATTATCGATAATTATTATCATCCGGGGTCATGCTATCGACATCACCCTCGCCCGTTTCTTCATCAGAACGTACAGTAGTGACATCAACTTCGGCTTGTGTTGGGGTGGTCAACCTCATCATCAACATCACCAAAAGAGTACCAAAAGCCGCCATAGTAGTATCCAAGCCGCCCATAGTATCATAGTATCCGATAGTATCCGCAATGCTTTCCTTAGTAATCTCGTGTAATCTCTGAAATGCCAAATCCATGTAGATTGTTCCCTATTGCCAGTTCCACGCTTGTTCCACGCTTGTTCGAGATCAGGATTCAGAAGTATCCGAAGGTCTGAGGTCGGTCGGTCGGTTGGTGTTGTTCGGCGGCATGGTACAGAAATCTGAACTGTTTTGACTCTTTGAGGTCACCGGTCAAGAGGTCGCGTTGCGTTGTTCAGAAGGGTGGTAAATGTCGATGATCGATGAACCTGTGCTCCTCCGGATCCTCCATGACGGACAATACGGACAAGACGGACATGGTGATGAAAGTTGGTTTACATAACTTTTTGGCTCTTTTTGGCATTATTGTTGTTGTTGTTGTTGTTGTTTGCAACAATTTGCAATTTGTGATTTTCTCGATAGCGGTACTACTGTAGTACCGTTACAACTTTGCATATGTACATAGGATTCAAATATTACTCAGTACTGTGAAATGTGAAAAGATACCAGGGGAATCCTATAGGCTATCGGGGGCTTGTAATGATCCACCGAGGGTGAATTTGGTTTAAGTTAAGGGAGTAGTAGTAAGTGTAGTAGTGTTATAGTGTTATAGTAGTAGTGTTATAGTAGTGTTATAGTAGTGTTAGTAGTGTTAACGCCAGAACTCCAGACTTCACTTCACCCATAACCCAGAACACCCATAATTCATCGTACCCCACCACAGGAGCCTCATCCACAACCACCTATGTATTTCTCCCCATCTTCATCTCTACCCCCACAATGTCCCTCACTCCCATCCCCACCCCCACCTCCACCCCCACTCCCACCCTACCCTTACCCTCATCACCCTCACCTCCACCCCCACTCCCATCCCCACCACCACCCCCACCCGCACAACGTCCCCCACACTCCAAAACCCCACTCGGCCCCCGCCTGGCCACACCCCACACAAACACCCCCAGCACAACAAGGAGGTGGACCCACGCCCACGCTTCGAGGAGCGCTGAATGCAGGGGGGGGATTTTGGGTGTTGGTGTTGCTGATGGGGAGGGTGGGGATGCTGAGGGTGAGGGCGAGGGGGAGGGTGAGGGGGATGGGGATGTGGATGAGGTGGATGTTGGTGTAGATGCCGATGCCGATGCCGATGTGAAAATATCGCTCAACCTCAGAATCGGACTCCACCTGCTCCACCTCCAACTCCAACTCCAACTCCAACTCCACCTCGGACTCCGGGCTTTGACGGTTTGAGAAAGGGAGGGACGGCGGGGAGGGTGAGGGTGAGAGGTGGGGGTATGGGTATGGGTATGGGGAGAGGTGGGGGTTAGGGTTTGTGTGGATTTTGGGGATACTTGTAAACGAGGAGTATGAGTATGAGTAGGAGAAGGAGGAGTAGGAGTAGGAGTAGGAGTAGGAGTATGAGAAGGAGTAAGGGGAGTAAGAGGAGTACGAGAAGGAGAAAGAGAAAGCAATTGATACTGCGAAGAAAGGCCCTCATCGACATCAATCCCCCCAAGCTCACTCATTCCAAGATCCAAACATGAGAAATCGAAATCGAAATCGAGATCTCCGATTTCACTTTTCGGTGTTCCACCATCGAGTCCATCGGGTTCATTGAGTGATTGGGAGCGAGAATTTAGTGATTCGGAGCGAGAATGAATTAAAGACATAGAATCGACCTCGAGCGGTTCTTGTTCTTGTTCGGACAACCCAACAACGGTGTTTCTTCTATCCTTCGTGTACTTCGTGTACTTCGTGTACTTTGTGCGTTGTGTACTGTGGACGAGCTCGGATTCCAAGTCGATGGGAGTGGGAGTGGGAGTGGGAGTGGGAGTGCTTCCATAGTTATAGTTATAGTTATCTGGAGCCCCGTCCGAAGTGTTCAAGACGTCCAAAATATCAACCCCCTCCCAAAGAAATTCCCTCATCTCCTCCCCCTCAACCCGCACATCACGGACTCTACACCCCGCCTCCAGCTGTTCACGTTCACGACATATCGCGACATTGGCGTCTTCGAGTTGGGTGATTTTGCAGTGGAGGTATTGGAGGTATTGGAGGATTGGGATTAGGATTGGGGAAATTGAATCTGGAATTGGGTTTGGGTTTGGGTTTGGATTTGGGTTGGAGTGGTGGAGTGTAGAGGAGGAGGAGGAATAGGAGGAATGGGAATAGGAGGAGGGGGAAGAGGAGGAGGGGGAAGAGGAGGAATTATTATGTTCTCCGTCACCGGCACCGGCACCATCGCTATCGCCAGCGTTTCTTCTCCTTCCCCCTTGCGTTTGACTCGCTGTTTGATTCGTCGGACTCTGCATGGCACCCGCAGCTTCACGCCTCGCCTCGTCCAACTCGTCTCTAAGCACCTGAATCTCCTTCTCCAACCTCACCACGGTCCTCCTCCCCGCTCTTTCCTTCACCGCGGCCTCTTCCTCCAACTCTTCCAATCTCTGGATGAGTTCAGCGTTCTGGTCTGAGAGACGGGCGAGGTCGGAGTGGGTTGGTGAGTGCGAGTGAGAGTGAGAGTGAGAGTGGGTTAGTGAGTGGGAGTGAGAGTGAGAGTGGTTGGGTGAGTGCGAGTACAACTGGTTAGTACTGCTAGTATCCAGTTCTGAAACAGCTTGAGATTGAGACGAATGCAACGCATGCAAATCCCAGAACGTCGGCGTTGGACTCCAACACGCCGTGTACGATGGCGACGCTCGCCGGACTTGAGCTGGTGGTCGCGGTCTCGCAAGCATAAGCATATTAGCCGCCGACCGTTGAATTGAAACAATTCCGTGTGGGGTACGGCTCCCGGCCCGATCTCCTTCCTTCCTTTCCTTTTCTTCTCTCTCACACCAAACATGTACCTCCGCCCAATCCACACCTCGCACTCTATCCCCACTCTGCACTCGTTCATCCGCGAGAACCCTCTCGGGATATTCACCACAGCGTTACACGCACCCCCGCACGCGTTTATCCAAGCTAGTCATATTCCATGGGTCCTCGATGTCGATGTCGACGATCCTGGGGATCTGGGGAGGCTGAGAGGACATATGGCGCGTGCTAATCCGCAGGCGAAAGCTATTATCCACAATCTCAGTAATAGTATCAGTAATAGTATCAGTAATAGTATCAGTGACCCCCCAACCCCTTCCTCAACCCCATCGATCCTCGAATCCCAGATAATGATCCTATTCAACACCCCCCACCAGCACTACATCTCCCCCCGCTTCTACACCTCCACCAAACCCACCACGGGGAAGGTCGTCCCGACGTGGAACTACGCTGCGGTGCAGGTGTATGGAGAGGCGAGGGTGTATTATCACCTCGACGACGATGCGGAAGGTGAAGAGACGAGTACGTTCTTGGATGCGCAGGTTAGGGATTTGACGGATCAAGAGGAAGGTAAGATCAATTCGAGGTTAAGGTTGGGGTTGGGGGAGGGGGAAGGGGAGGGTGAGGGTGGACCATGGAAAATCTCAGACGCCCCGGCTTCCTATATCAGTACGCTCAAGAAAGGGATTATAGGGATAGAGGTTCGGATACAGAGTATTGCGGGGAAATATAAGATGAGTCAGGAGCTGGGGAGTGGGGATAGAGAGGGGGTTGTGCAGGGGTTGGGTGGGTTGGGTGGGTTGGGGGGGTTGGGGGAGGAGAGGGCGGTGAAGGTTGCGGAGATGGTGAAGGAGTGGGGAGGGAAAACAGAATAACAGATAACACCGTCCGTCAGTACTAAGTCAGTAGTGCTATCCTAAATATCCATCCATCCATCCATCCATTATCCATTACCCGTGGGCCGTTGTTCATAACCCCCCTTCAACACATAGATCCCACTTCCACCTCCAAAGCAATCTCCCGATCTTCTGATCTTAGGAATCTGGTAACAAATCCAAAATCACATCTGGTGTAGTTCTGGTGTAGTCGAGGGGGAACTCAGGGAGAACACAGTTTGTTGATTGATTGGGAATGAGATGTCCACTTTCCTCAGTTTGTCTTCTAGTGGCATAACAACCATGCTTTCTTCTCTTCCCATATTTGTACAGATTCAAAAAGTGACACTGATACTGTACAAAATTACATGCAAATACAAAATGCACACAAGAAGAAGAACACATCAATTCAGAATACAACCCCATCCAAAATCAAGTAATGATCAATCGAATCTCACCAACAACTCACTTCCCTGAATTCTGCAGATAATAGCCGATTGTCTTGACCGTAACATCAGGCAAGTAATCAAGTTTCGCAGTATCCTGCAACCACAATTGCGCACCCTGTACGACCGCAGGTGTGATACCAAAATCCAAACCCGCAGCAGCAAAGTTAACATTAAACTTCCCATACCCAGTATCCGCACCTTGAAAAGCTTTGCGCATCGTCAAAGACCGAGTATCAGCAGCAACGTCGAAAATCACAAGATCCTCTCCAATCTTCTTCGTCAACAATGCTCCAGCATCTTCGAACAACATCACCTGGATCTGTACCGTCCCAGGGCCTTTCCACTCGACGACATTTGCGTTGTAATAAGCCCAACTCGGCTGTTGCAGGAAATACAGCGTGTTATCAGTTCCATCGCGTTGGGACAACATAGAGTAGCGCACGTTCCACAGAGCGATGGAAGCGCAGAATTCGCCTGGGCGGGGGATGAGAACTAGGAGATCGTTGAACCGCACGGTCATGGAGACGTATTGCTGTAATCGAGGTGGTTCCCCTACCCCGATACTGTATATCGCACCCTGCGAAACTACGTAGAAGTACCCCGTGGTGCCGTTGAGGTCGGTACCCAGCCACAAAGGATTATCGCCCCATGTTATGCTGTTGTTAGTGACGACAACTATTTTACCCGCAGGTACTAGGTACCATGCGGGCGTGGTGGTGGGAACAAGTCCCTGCATCACAACTACCTCACCGTGTCTCCACTGTTTCGCCAGCTCACCTAAATCCGCTTCCAAATTCTCAAGATGACTCTCCTGCCAGGATTTATCCACACCGTACAATGTGATGGTGTCCCGATCCATGATGATAAAGATAACACCGTCAGTAGTGCTATACTGTAATCCATTATTCGTCATCAAAACCGTCTTGAACGGATACGCTTCCAGGACCCTAGTCCCTTCAGGAATCTGGTCAGAAATCACATCTGGTGTAGTCGGGGAGAGGACAGTTGCAAGTTTATCATTGGGAATGAGAGGTTGGCTGAAGAGCTGTCCGCTTTCCTCGGTCTTCCAGTGGCATAACCACGCTTCCCCTCCTCCATTCGTCAGTCCCGCAATCTGCAATTGCTGTCCGCGGAGGTGGGGTGAAGTTATAACGATTCTACCGTTACAGAACCAGGCAGGGACTGCACCATGGTCGACACTGTGAAGACCGAGAATTGACACTGTTGTCGACCCGTGACTTTCCGCGAAGCTTTTCAACACCGTCCACCAAGGCTCGTTGTGCTCACCGGACCCCTGGAACTGAGTAAACCATTGTCGGTTCACAGCCTCGAGGAACAATTCCCCTTGTGAGGTCAGCCGGAGCACATACCCCATCACCGTGATTGCAAATAGCTCGTTATCAACACAAAACACATTCGCAAGTTTTCCAAACTCAGAAGGGATGGTAACAGGTGTAACTGTTTGCGTCGGTGTATTGGTCTGGATCGTGATCCGCTGTTCCGCGAGGGAGAAGAAACAGAATTCCTCTGCATTCCCGAGAGGTGGGGTGATGAACCCAGCAAGAACGAGATCCGCTGGAGGAGTGAAACCTGGCTTGATGATGGCCCCGTCCGCAAAACGAATCCAGAATCGGTAAGCGACACCATCATCAGCCTGACCAAACACAGATATCATATGACTATCTATCTCTGCTTTGATTGTTGCTCCTGGGAGAGAATCAGTGGGCGGGGAGGGAGGTGAGGGATTGTCGGTATCGATGTAGGCTGCCAGCAGGTTATCATTTGAGAGATTCCATTTGGCTAATCGGTTCAGTAATAGTAACAAGTCGGAATTTCCGACTATGCTGACAAGCCTCATGCTATCGGCTTCGATAACGTAGGTCAATTCTCCAAATTTGTTTTCCTCGAGCTGGTGACGGAATACAGCATGGGCATGATCATCTTTTGATAAATAATTAAGATGTGATATTTACAATCGGATGATCTCTTACCTTCTTGCCAAACACGTATCAAGGTTCTGTTGGGAGACGGACAAAGAGCATCATACTTTGCCAGACAAGTGCCAGTTGCAGGATCCACTCGCCAGATACCAGGATGTTCAATGTTGTAGAGATACACCTCGCCTGTGCTAATCTCCGCACCGAACTGCACATTCTCGGTAAGCTCTGTGGGTGCATCAACAGTGTAAAGCAGACGTTTATTAGTAATGTCATAAAAGGCACGGCCAACAGCCTGCCCCGAAGGCGTGGTGTAGTTCTCCACAGTTATAAACATACCACGCAGCGAGTGCTTATCATTGAGGTCATTAAGATAGGCGAGGATATTCTCATTTCCAGCAGGAAACTTGGAGGCATCCTCCTCCACAACGAAAGTAGTGTGATTGTCGAAATCAACTTGTAACACCTCCGCGTTTTTGTTAATGGCGAGCATCGACGAGAAATCCCGGTTTGAAACTATCACCTGTACGCCTCCAACAGAGACGGTGTCATCTCCGACAGTGATCGTGTCATTGGCGAGGTCTCTACAGTCCAAGATCCAGCGTGTATTCTCGACTGAGGATAATGTAATGCCTACGCCGGCCATGAGACCAACGGTATAATCAGCACCTGCACCCTGCAGCGTGTACTTCAACACGTTATGCATGTTGTCCGGAAGAGAGGGCGCCTGGACACGCACGGGTCGTCCATCGAGTTTAACGGCGACCGATGTCTCAACATATTCATGTGAGATACGTCGAATGAGGTACTCACTAGGAAAGATGTAAAAGTCATAGTCGAATCGCTTGTCAACTTCGAGCCTCCGTATGATATCAAAACCGTAGTCGTGGCGGGTTGTTGCGAACGGAAGGATCATGTACTCGTAGCTGATGTAGGACTTGGGAGTCGCTGGCAAAATGACTGTCGTGTAGTCTGCGGTGTTTGCAAGTTTACCACTAGCTGGGGCTCCAATGCCCTCGCGTATGTTGATAGCCTGAGATTTGTCTCTGACCATCTGCGGAAAGTCACCGACCCAAAAGAAGTAGTTGATATAACCCGAACCCGTGGATCCATGATGAGTACGATAGATGTATTGGCTATCATACTGGACGTCGCCGGTCAAGTCGAGCTCGCTTATGACTGCGCCTACAAGAGGTACCAGGATCTTGTGCTCTTCGTCATATTTGTATCCTCCTGCTTTGTAGGCAGCCTCTGTATCTCCGAAATACCGACCCACCGTCTGGGCATCTTCAGCGACCTGCCCGAATGCTGAAGCCAGTGCTCCAAATCCGAAGGCGAGTCCTCCTAGAATCACACTCACCCCACCCAGGACAGCAGCGGCACTGGATGCTCCCAGCATCCCTGCGCCCACGCTACCTGCACTTGCAAGGAAGCTAGCTGAATCAAAAGCGAGCTGTGTACCAAACACCGCTTTCTGTATTTCGTTCTGCGCGTTAGATAGTTCGTAGGCATCAAAAACAACGTTAGCGGCGCCAAAGAGAAATCCGGCACCCTCGGATATGCGACCGAAGGCTCTGACAACAGTCGATAATGAGGACTGAGCCGCTTGCTCGCTCCTGATGATGGTCTGAGTGAGTTCAACAACCTTGACAACATCGCCTAAACTCTGCTGCCCAAGCTGCGTAAGGTTGAGGTAGCTTTGTACCTTGAGAGCCATTGCGAGATTGGAGTTTGTATTCCCGTTTCCCTCAGAGGCGTTATTCCTACTATTAAAGTGCTCGATTAACGTCTTGACAACAAACATTGCATTCAGACCATCGATTGCTTCGGCAGACGTAACGTCTTCCTTCTGGACAAAGGTGCCACCTTCAAACTCATACGCGTGGTCAAGAGCTTTGAGGCGTTCATCGAGGTATGCCTTGAAGTCCTTGATCTCTGGATCGTCAGTGCTGATCCACTGCGTTTCACTAAGGTCCTCCAGATTAACAAACTGAACGCGGTACCCTCCGCTGTCTAAATCTTCCAAGGTCTCGAGAATCGGCATCCAATGCTCACCAAGACCAGTACTAGCCTCAAGCTTCGCCGTGGCATCACGCCATGCCTCTGCGAGCTCTGAAGCTTCCAAGAGACTTGCTCCAGAACTGAGTGCACGATTTTCTGTGAACCGCGCAGGGTCGGGAAGGTATAGTTCGGGGGCTGCCCTGATAGTGATGGTCTCGGAGAGAGTCTCGGACTCATGAAAGTCCGCGACGTTCAAATTGAAGTCGAAGCCAATGCGGGCCATCTTGCCTGTGTCAATCTGAACCAGACTAAAGACAGGATCTGATGGAGTACCATCTGCAGCATATATGTCGGCATATCCGAGTTCTACAAAAAACTTTGTAGTAGCATCGACCAGCTCCTGTTGCGAGGCGAACGTGGCAAGGGTAAAGTTAGGGTCATAGAAGTGGTAGGAGATTTTACCACCCCTGTTTGTTGCTCCGAGTAGCATTGCATGTATATTGGTATTTAAAGCAAAGATTGTGCTACTTCCTTCCTCTGCAGAGAGCTTACTGACTGCATCCTGGAGATTGGTGGGGCCAACAAGCGTTGAAGCTTCGGCGGCAGGATAGCTAGAATGCAAGTCTTTTAAGCATTGTCTGAATAGCTCCGCGTTTAACAAATCTGCGTTCGACGAGGTCGAGATGGAAACAAGCTTGATACCAAGTTGGTCGACAGCAAAGTCGGATTGCGCCAATGCTACTGACATCGCACGGACCAAAGGATAACACCGACCACCATACTCATCAGGAATTGCATTGAGAAGGAGATCCTGTGGCATGGGCTTTGTCGCGCCTCCGGCTTCCTGGAACATTCCAACTATATTATCCGTTTTCTGCCACACTGACTCTCGGAACTCTTGTTCGCTAGCAACACGGATGTGATGGACCAAAGCTCCCCTTTGGGTTTGGGTGAGGTCTGTTGACTCATCAAACAATGTGACCATCTCCGATGATGTCATGTTGCTAGCAAAGCCTGGTATTTCAGTGGAATCGTAACTATCATACCCAGCTGTGAAGTCCCCGTTGCCAACACGAAGTGCGTCCAGTTGCTGGTCAGTGAAGCGTTCACCTGCAGTGCTGCCAAGTGGTGCTTCTAATCGACCATCAGTTATGACTACCGCATCTAATCCTCTTGCTTCCTTTTGTTTAATCCAAAGGTATAGGATGTCAGAGTCCTTGGACTGACCCAAAGTAGGGTTTACCAACTCCTTGAGGTTTACTTTCTGGAGCTGTGACACATCGAGTGGAAGATTACCCTCGGCTGCTTCAAGTTGTTTTCTGACAGTATCCTGGGTTTGCTCGACGACATCTCGAACTGCCTGCGAACTGCTGACACCGGGGTTCCGAAGATTGATTTTGTTTCCCTCAAACGGCTCGAATTCGCCATCAGGTACGTCGGGGATGGTGGTGTCTGGCAGAGCTTCAATGGCAACGCGTCTTAACTGCTCTCGAATTATTGTTCTCCTAGTGTCAAACAACGCTCTGACTTGCTCAGCATTGTATGAGCCCGGTTGCGAAACAATGATGGGAAAGTAGCCAGTATCAACTACAGAGGGTTTAGTGGGGTCGTCGGTCTTGAAAGCAAAGCTTATCTCGGTGCGACGCGGAACAACGACGGTCGTATCCTTTAATCCTTCAGGTGTTTGCTTTCGAGCGGACGCAAGTGTTTGCTTTTGAACGAACATGTTCCATTTTCCGTCGCGATACTGCATAAACACGCAGGCTGCCCCACCAGCGGAGGTAAGTTTCCCTTGGTTATCAAGACCAGGGTCGGATACCACATAGCCACTGTAGTCAATAGCCATCTCTACATTGTCATAGAGAAGTGAGCTGTCAAAACGGGAGTCATGGAAGACACGATAGGTGTTCTCATCGAGGTTGGTCACGATGACAGAGCAGCCGGTGAGGGACCCAGTGAAGAGAAAAGTGTTCTCTGGCACTTTCTTTGGTATATCGATGAACGAGGGGGTACGGGATGTCAGCGCACCACCGTTGTACCCAAGATTATATGCCCAGACTGTGTTGGTGCCTTCTTCGGCACCGTAATATTTGATCTCGAATGTGCGTCGAGTCTTATCGTCAAAGTCGTCGCGGACGAATTGAAAGTAACCTTGGTCGGGTACACCACCAGGTTTCAATGTGAGGGAGGGGGGGAACATATTGTAGGAACTAACGGCCGTCGCCAAAGAGTTAGGCGCAGACGGGGTCAAAAATGCCTGCGGGTCTTTTACAAAGTCCTGGATGGCAGGGTCTCCACTATTAGAAAGGCTGATCAATTAAACACTGGTCTGGTCGACAACTCAAACCGAAACCCTCACCCTTCAGCCATAATGAATCAGAATTTGAGGGGTGTTTTGAAAAGGGTTTTTTACACAAAACCAACACTGAAGTGCGCGGATTGGTCAGTCTGCTCGTCATTCAAAAACGAAGAAAAGACACGGGTACAGGGATAGAATTTCGCAAGATTTCGCGAGAACGGTCGAAAAGAAAATTTCACTTACAAACGTTGAAATAATTCCGAGAACAATTGCTAATCGATGCGCTGGGATATTGGTAGCGTGAATGCCAGCGGCCCAGCGAATCATATGCACAGTTGACCACGGCCTAAATACCTCTGGGCAGTGACGTTCGAACCTCATTAAGCTTGAACGTTTGAGAGTCCACATGATACATGAACATTGGAGATAGTGACCTTGATTGTTGAGAGACATCTTGAATGTCCGGAGATGAACGTCTTGGATTTGCATTCAGCCTTCCAGGCCTTCGGGAGATTCTCCTCCCTATCTTCGCTTCCCGCCTTCTCTTGGTTCCCAACCAGATACATAAAACAGCCACGAACTTTCTCTTCGAACATTCCCTCAATGTGACTCCGTTCTGAGCTCGACGCCACCAACCTCCCCGCGGCCTCAAGGCGGCATTGAATATTGTTGGATCGACGCAGAGATGAACAGAATTTGAACTCGTCATCCACGTCTCCGTTAAGGGGGCCAGCTTCGAGTTCCGCTATTCGAGAAAACGAAAACTGCTCTCCGCTTCTTCACATGCTGTGGTTCGTCCGTCTATTTGTGTAGATAATTACGAATGGTGAATTTGAAGAATGTATATCGACAAATCCGCTCAATGCTCATTTGCGTCGGTAATATTTCTGTACAGAAAGATTTGAGTAGATGTTTCCACATGAGTCTAGGAGGTAGATAGGACGTACTTTATGGCCTACGTTGGTAACATTCAACCTCTATAAGCCTACATGAGCTTTCTGTTATCGTGCAGCTGACCGAGAGTAATCACTGTCAGTTATAAATCTTCGCCAGTGTTTCGCACGTCGAAACGACATCCTACGACATTCCTACACCAAATTTTGGGCAAGCTTCCAATGGCTCCATGATGATAGAGATAAATAGATGGTCGACAATGTAACGTGACAGTACATATGTCTTTCTGAGAATGTTCTCAATGTTTTTTCGCACACATGTATTTTCAGAAGGTTCCTTTTCGAAAACATCTCCCGTAATACAAGTACTTTCATTCATGGACTACATCATCATGTCATGAACTGGAAGCTTTATTCTAATTACGCTGAATGAAAGAGGAATGGAGTTGCTGAGGGGTTTAGGCTGATGTGTAAAGTGGATAATAATATAGGGAATGATTATACGACGGCGATTAAGTTGTCAGAGATGATGCATGATGAAGGAGAGCCTAAGAGTTGGAAGATGCAAAGAGGCAGGAAAGGTCATCGAAGGCGTGTCGTATACATTCATGTCAACGAACGCCTTTCCGACGCAATCACCTTCAGCCAATTTCAGAGATTAGACGTCAAGGAAAGCCTTCTCTGCAACCCCCTCTGCAATTCCACTGCCTGTCTTCCAACTTTCCCATCCCTCTGAGTCACGTTTTTCCTCCCATCCCTCCTTGTTCCTCGAGCCCACACTCTATCACATTGTTTCACGAACCGCGCTTCGTCCTTCGGCGTATTATTGGTATGTGAAAAGTCGATCGTGAACTCCATCAAGCCCACAGTGCATGCGGGGATGTATGGAGCGTACCGCGTTGTGGAGGGGGTGTGCATGGACGAAGAAGTGTACGAGATACGTGTAGATGTAGACGGATGATTCAGATGTTTCGAACGCCTTGGGGAAGAATGATCCTCGTAACGGGTCCGTCGACGTTTATCTGGTGACGACGGGGAAGTAGTTGACACAGATGAAGAAAACAAAGACGGGGGCGCTGAAGGTTCGTTTGCTCCTGCTCCTCCCCGGCTGTCGGGAGAGGACGACGAGGCGGTATAGGAGGGAGGAGGTGTAGGGTAAGGATTAGATGATATAATCGTACTATGGCTATTCGCGCGCTTGGTGCTCTCGGGGCGTATGCGTTCGGTGGTTCCTTCGCGCTCGGTCCGTTTGCGTTTGCGTTTGGACTGTGATACGGAATGGGATGCAGATCGGGGTAGAGACGGGGATGAGCCTGGACGCTCTACCGATTCGCTGCCTGTCGTCTTCGTCGATGTGGATTCGTAAGGTCCGCGAGGTTCGTAAGATTCATAACGTCGTTCGTGATAGACTTCGTAAAAGTCATGATATGAGCATACATCCCCCAGTCGCACCGTATCGATTTCTGGTGTATTTACCTGCAAGACCGAAAAAATGATCCATCGTTAAGTAAGACAATGGTTTTGAAGGTTCCCCTCGAGACCTACCTGAGCACACGGTTCACTGGCACGAACATAAACACCCTCGACAGCACTATCAAGTGGCATTACCGGAGGGAACCAAGCAACCTCTGGAGAAGGAGGCGGAATATTCCTCGTCGGGGTAGTAGTAGTAGTAGTAGTAGTATCGACTTTGTTGTTGTTGCCGTTGTCAGTATGAGATAATGCTGACGGAAGACAAGAAAAGCTGTCCTCATCGGTCCACGTTGTAGACGTAGACGAAAGGGGAAATGAAGATGAAAGTGAAAACGGAAATGGGAGTGGAGGCGAAGTCTCCAGGAAGTTCTTAATGACCGTCCAGCCTTGTGGTGCGGGTGATAAGATATTGACATTAAAAGGCCATGCAGAGTCGAATTCGAGAACGAGCATGGTTGTTGTGAATATCAAATATTGAATATATGAATCGGTAACAGACTAGAGGTAAGAGGTCACCTCAGTGACTTAGTGTAAAGATTGTTGAGTGGCACAACGTACTTTGGACTGGCTTGCAGATTAATGATAATGACGATGGTTAGGTTGTAGGAGAACAAGTTCAACGTAAATAGGTATCCAGGAAGGGAGGCGTTTTTTGACGACTAGAGTATCATGACTTTGGGTTTTTATTCACTGACAAGGACCCTGTAATTTCCTTTTGAAGGTCCTTGAGAAAGGAATATGAAAGGACTTTTGAGTGTTGAATGGAACGTACCCAGACAATGGGAGGTCTTTGTAAGTACCCTAAACATCCGGGCCGTGTGTGTATTGCCGAACGAACTTTGATGGAAAAAAATGAACGCCGCCTGGGATGATGAATTGAAGAAAGAAAGAAAACAAAGAAATAAAGGGAAAAAGACAGAAAGAAGGCCGAAGCTCAGAACACCGATAACGCCTAACTTCCCTGAAAATTCCTTGAACGATGCTCAACCTGATATAACTTTCATGAAGCGTCAGAAACATCTTTTCTGTGCAAGATCTGTGAGAGCAGGTGGTGAGATGTGTCTTGTGTCATTATAAAGCATGTACAGTGCAATTAGATCTATAATGTATATCCGCTGAAGCCTGTGATCAAGACGAGCCCGATGATGGTGGTGGCGGCGGCGGAGGATGTGATGACGACTCTGACCCCCCTGCCTCTGTCTCAGCCTCTGTCAGTATCTTGTTTTCCGCTTCTATCCGTTCACGAGCCCGGAAGACTTTAGACTGGAGGTAATGAGAATGAAACTGTCCTGGTATTCGTGCTCTTGGTGCCGGAGGTGCAGATTTTGGCGGTAGTGCTGGGGGAGAGTTGGCTTTGAAGAGGTGCTCGTAGTGCTGATGGCGGAGTAGGAATGTGGAGTATGATAGCAGAAGGCGGAGGAGTCAAATGTAAGGAGCGGTGTATGGGAAGACAGTGGAAGAATTGATGAGCGCTCCAAAGATAGTGTGATGTCAAGTTGGAAAGACGTTACCTTTAACACATTCTCCATCTCCTCTCCTCGTTTAACGTTCAATATAAGATGTGCCTCGTCCAAAGTCATCCTGTGCTGTCGCGTGAGCTGGTCGGTCATTGATCCAGAGCTGGCGTTTCCGACACCAGCAACGTCGTTTCCTACTGAACCGGCTGCAGGTGCTCGTGCGTCTACAGATCAAACAAGTTATCGCTCGTCGACTGATAAGATATTGGAAAATTTTATATGAAGAAAGGACATAAGAGGGAGGCAGGTAGAAGGGAAGAAGAAACGAACGAACGAATTAAGACGTACTTTTGGCAGCTTGTCGCCCTGCTTCAAGGAATGCTTTGCCCAAGATTCTTGTCCCGGTGATGGCTATTTGGATGATAGCACGGGGAGAGGACTGAGGGAGAGGTAACTTTAGCGGAAAACTTCATTGTGTTTGCTTCCTGGAAGTTTACACGGACCATTTTATCAGTATATTCGACAGCTTGAACCTGATGGAGGGGAATATATGATATATGATAGGGAGAATGGACGACAATGAAGCTGGCTGAGCTGGGGAGGAACAATTCCGATCGCGAAGCTGAGAGACAAGAATTGGATTCGGTAACTCGGTTTAGAATCACCGGCAGGCAATTTTTTTCCACTTCTCCAAATTTCGCTCATGCCTTCGGCTCAAGCAACCAAAAAACGAAAACCTCAGGATTCTCGAGAGGGTGAACCGTCGGCTTTACCAAAGAAAAAAGCTAAACGCGACCCTCATATTTCGAATGTATCCGGTCACGTTAAAAACGATAAAAGCAAGGGAAAGGGAAAGGAAGGAAAGGGGAAAGGCAAAGAAACGGCTTTCCAAGTCGTTCAATCTTCCTTGGTCGTCTCTGTCTCTCCTGTATTTGCTAGCAATCCTAGAACTGGAGTAGAAGAGATGTTGGATTCTATGATTATGCGGTAAGGTTTAATACTCCATTTAATAATTTGATACGCTGATTTTTGAACGGTGTGTTTATAGATACATCCCTGCGCTTGACGGGGTAGTGCTTTCACATTCGAATTTGACGTTCAAGGAAGATACAGCAGCTATCCAAGCCGATAGTCCGTTCTTGATTTGCAAGATTATTTTTGACGCTACTGTCTGGAGACCGCTTGTTGGTATGCAACTTGGTGAGTAGGAGGAATCGGTTTCTTCCGTTTCATAGAGATTCACATTCAGGGATCCAAGTCGGCAAAATCAGCTTATGTTCCCCCGACCATATATCATTACTCGTTCACAAAACATTCAACGTATCGATACCTCGACATCATATACCTACGCAAGAATGGGAGTTCGAATATGGTGCGGCGGAGAATGATCCGGAGTTCGGTGTGGGTGCGGGCGTTGAGGGAATGGGAACGGGATCGGAGTTGGATGATGGAGAGGGAAATGGGAGATGGATACATAAGGTCACAGCATCTTCAATAGGCGGAGAGGATGGGTATTTAGAATTTACTGTCATCGGGTGCGTATCTCATCGTCTTCCTATGCTACATCCATCTGTCATTCTCGTACTAAGGACGTTTCCAGTTTGACAGTCGCGAATGAAATGCTCTCCCTTATAGGCTCATTACAGCGTGATCCCTTTTCGTCTGTACATATTCCCTCAAATAGCACACAGAATCATAGAGAAGTAGAAGAAGAACAGGAGGAGCAAGACGTGGTAGACGGATTCTTGAATGGGATGGACGAAGATCACGAGGGCAGCGATGAAGATATCGAGAGTGACCAAGATGGGTTTGAGGCGCTGAATCGAAAGCAGAACGATGTGAACGCTGAGCGGTCTTGGCAGACGGCTACGGAAAGGGAGAAGGGGGAAGAGGAGAAGCAGAAAAAGAAGAAAAAAAGGAAAGCTGAGGTGGTCAATGTGGAAGAGAGCCAGAAATCGGGGAAAAAGAAGAAGAAAACTGGGAAATCGGACCTATAGCATTATAGAACTATGTGGTATATCTAGCTCCAGTGGAATTGCTTTGCGTATGTACAGAGTATAGTAACTTGCTAAAGTTGTTTAATCGAGGGTGAAAATTTGAAATTTCACGACCACGTGCTATTTCGGTGGTTTAAGAGCTTCGTTGACATTGCCCAACAAACGCGACAAGGCTTCTACAGTGACTTCACAAGAAATACCGCTCTCAGAACATCTAGAGTCATACAAATTAGGAGCTTTTTTCTATCGAAGGAAGAAATCCCTTCCCCACGGAAAAGATGTCCGAAATTCCCGGTGGGTCTCGACCTAATGTGGTGTTAATCTCTTGTTGACCAGCTTTCGCTAGGACACAGAGCTTATGGTGCAGAATCGAAAAAGTCCGCGTCAAACCCTAGAATCAATGGACCCAAACCACCATCCCCTCCATCCGATGCCTCTGAACGGTACACTGTGCTTCAACGAAAAGTGGACGATTTGGAAAAGGTTCATAATGATGGAAAGAAAGCAGTATGTGACCCCAGTCTCATGTTAGTGCCCAGTGGGACTAACACTTGTTCTCAGCATCAGGCTGAGGTCGAACGATTGAAGTTGGAGCTCGCACGTCTCCAGAAAGCTAACGCTGAATTGACGGATCGTCTGGACAAGCAGAAGAAGCAAAAAGAAGCTCTCGATCTCCGTGTAGATGAGCTCAGGATGAATTCGAACGCAGACAAAGCTGAGATCAAGGACCTCGGAGTCAAGCTTCGTATGTCGGAACACCAGCGAACGCAGATGACTGCCAAGCACGGCAATGTGGCGGATGTAAAGAAATCGTTGCAGTCATTGGAGACGAGGCGGAAGGAAGAAATGAAGGAGAGGGATAGAACGATAGCGGACCTGGAAAAGAGTTTGTTAACGGACAAGAAGAAGCGGGAGATGGTTGAGAGCCAGTTGAAGGAGACGAAAGCAAAGCATGACTTTGAAATTGACAAGATGAAGGACACGGTAGAGAAATTGAAGAGGGAGATTGTTGCAGCTCGCGATGAAGTTCAAGAAATTCAACACCGTCTCGAAGCGACAATTTCCAAAACTAGCTCCAACGAAGAGTCGTTGTTGGCCCAGCTGGAAGATCATAAGCTTATGCTGAATGAAGTGGCAGAGCATTATGGGTTATTGGCTTCAAATACAGTTTCAAGGCTAGCTTTCGAACGACTCACTTTCGAGAACTATGCACTTCGGATTCAAGCCGCTCGCTCTTCACGCAAGCTTGGGAACACAGAGGGCCAGGTATCCGAGTTGGCGAATCTTATTCGGCAGTCACAGGAGGAAAATCAGATATTACGGAGAAATTCAAAAGATATGATGCAGGAATTGTCTTCTTTTATCGAAAACGCCACATCCAAGCCTCCGTCACCTCCTTCTTACGATGATTTAGACGAGATTATTACGCATTTGGACCGTGATCACGAAGCCTTCCAGGAGGAGGAAACACGGATTAACATTGAAACTCTACAGCTAGAGGCGGAGTTGCACCACTTACAGCACGACGCCCTGTTCTTCGCTTATGCAGAAGCCGAGACAGAGTTCCATGAAGCTCTGGCTATTGCTTCAAAACTCCCAGAGGTGGAACAGCAACGAGACATTGCACAGGAGCTGTTGCAAGCCACTAACATCACCGCACAAAGCCTCAGATTGTCGTCTGATAAGTTCAAACTGCAAGTGGCGGAACTTGAAGAAAAGTTGAAGACAGAGACGCGCAAGTCCGATGAAGCATTGCAGAAGGAACAGGCCAATGCTCATCGGTTGACGACGACTGTTCAGAAATTGCGGATGGCAGAAGATGGACTGAGAGCAGAGAACGAGCAGTAAGTTCCTTCACTGCCGTTTTTACCAGCTCTGATTTTTTGCTTCAAGGCTTACCTATGAGCTATCTGAAGCAGAACGCTTCCAGGAAGCGTATTATTCTCTTTCGGAAGAACTTGAAGGACTGTTAGACCGTAACGCTCTGGCAGAAGATGAGGCTCAGCGCCTGAGCAGAGTCAATGCTGAGATCATCGGTCATCATAATCCACTTCAGAGGATCATGTACCTCGAGAAAATCAGGAATGAGCTTGCGGAAACAAAACAGGTGAATTCTTTTCAGTGCATGTGTATCATCATCTAATATTTGGTCATCATTCTCAGAAACTGCTCGTTTCAATGCGGACGAACGAAACGGTCGCTATCCAAAACCAGGATCTGCAGAATGAGCTGGACATGTATAAATCCGTCGCGGTGCCATACGAACTCAAATTAGGGACCAAGTTTACTAGAATGGCAAGGCCTCCACTAGTGAACTTGAACAAGAGTACCCCTCACAATCTCGAGGTTACGCGAACACCCGCTTCGAAAATTCACAGTTCTATCACCAGTGACATGGATGTGGACGAATTGTCATAGCCTGCCTGAAAATATCGCATGTTGAATATTGTACGTTGATATCCGCGCTGAGCAGCACGGCCTGTTACTTATGCTCTACTTATTTTCCGTAACCCATGTTGTTCAAATATGTTGTTCAAATATGATACCCTTTATCAGTTGAAGTTTGGCCATGGATTTTCATCGCTTTCGATTTGATTTGTAAATTGTGGCAATGTACAGTATTATTAGATGACATTACGAGTGATAAGCCACTCAAAGCACTAGCTCAGCGTATGCAGGTAGGTATGCGTTTCAATACATAGAGAGTTCGTCAATAAGTCCATGAAAAAAGCGTGAAATAAAGAGAATGAGTGTTCCAGCACGAACCCAAAATATGTACTATGTAAACACGAAATTCGAAGAGCCTGTTTTCATGAAGCTAAGAATCAGAGTAAAGCGATCCACGATGAGCAGGCATTTCGTATGATTCAGGCCGAACATATTGAGAATATCTCTTGAGATTCAGCTCCTCTTCTTCGTGCAAAGCACTGACTTGCTGATATTGGGCAACGAATTGGCGATCTCTTCGCTTCTTCCACCAGATTCTAGATCCATAGGAGTCAGAACAATGATGCAAAGGACGGCTTAATAAACGCACAGTCCGCCGATTAATAACCCAATGAATACAACAAGACCCACAACACCACCGATGAGTTTGCTCTTGTTCTCGGACAAGAAATTTTCCAATCCTTGCGGGTCCGGGTCTACGAATATCTGTTTTCGATTAGGGACCTCCGAAAGACTGGGAGGGTTCTGGGGGTCGAAGCAGTACTGTGTAAAGCACGTCTGGCAAAAGTCTGACCGATTCACTACTGGAGAGATCTTGTACCGCGCGCGATCGACAGCAGCACATTGCAGACATTTACCGAAATCAGGATCAGCGTCGTTGGTATTTGGCACGAAACCAGAAATGGTATTATTGTGTATTTGGTCGAATAGTACTTGTTGCTGTTTGGGAGTGTATTGCAGTTGGAACGTACCGGTGCTATACAATTGGGTTTGATGGATACATTGGAAACAAACAGAAGAATCACCATGTACTCACTTTGCCGTTGGGTCATCGCCATTGAACGGTGGCATATTGGGAATATAAATCACGAGCGGAAATTCGGGAGGGTTCTGTGTAGGATCACAACCGAAAAATGTAGTTCGCTCTCGAGCGCCAGTATCGACGAAAGCCTGTGCATTTTGTGGTAGGGGCGGCATTTGTTGATGTGATGCTTCTAGAATAGTTGACTGACGCTCAGCACTGATCAACAAACCAGTGCCACTGCAATGGTGTCAATATATGAGAACAATCATTCCTGGGGGACACGAAAGCCACTTACTTGGGCCAGTTATTGGAATCATCGGCACTGCCGTCCAGAGTCACAATGACATCTAAAGCTCTGGTTCTCACAAAGAGGGGCCCCAACGGAATGTTTTCACCGTTAGAAGCACCATCGATCAAGGACAGCCAAGTGGAATTGGCGTCGTCGTAGGTCGCAGTTTTGACGCCGTTGAAAGGATTCGGCCAATTAGCCACGTCGTCTGCACGCGTACGAACTTCTGACAGTTGCCGGGATAAAACATACAACAACCCGTTTCCGTCAGATTGAGAGAAACCTTGTAGCGTGTTGTGCGCAAAGTCCAGAATTTGCTTGATTCAGAGGTGAACTTCATGATGGTATGAATACCGGGACGGGTACTCACGTTGAACAAAGAGGCGCTTGTGCCCATCATGAAACCAGCCTGGTCGAATCCAGTGACACAGGCGGTTGCATTCACAGGCTTCTTGTTTGTCATCGGCGTGCCGGCGAAGGTGAGATTGACTCCCGCACTCAAGTCGGGATCATACGAGGCAAATTCGAAAGGTGTGATCTACACGTGTAGAACGTTAGGAGTGCCAAAGAAACAGTTGAACGAGGGATCGCACCTCATATACGGTGGGGTCCAAAGTGAGCGCAGTAGTTGTGTTTAAATTCTGAGGTCGGGAATCTGTCACAAGTATTGGGAAGGGGGTTTCATATTGCTGCCAGGCAGGGATAGTTGGAATGTTGGACCAAAGTTGGCCAGCACCATGAGCAGTGTCATTCGTGAAGAAGTTTTGGCGATTGGTTTGGTTCAGAAAATGGAAGGAAATCATTCGTGCCCAAGGGTCCGTGATGGATGTGTCGCTAGGAACAGTCATCGAAACCGTTATTATAGGTTTGAAATTGTTCTTACATTCCAGTGTCAGCTTTCGACATTACACTCCAGAGGATACTCCCGAAAAAGTATTGATTGTATTCAGAAAATACATCGTCTCCATCAGGTGTAGCAAACGCGATATCAAGAAGCCATCCAGTAAGATTGTTTCCGTTTCCAAACACAAGCTCCCCCAGAGTGGGGAAGTTGTTAAAAAACAAGGAACCTGTTATCCATGATCCCCCTACGCATTGTCAATATCAGCACGGAAGAAAGCAAGGTCGTTGCGTACCAGATAGCCCGGATAGATACGAGGAAACCTGGAGCAAACCACCGGTACCTGCAGCCTTGGCAGAGCTGTTCCGAGCATCAAGACCACTCAAGGCAGCTGCGCCGTACTGAGCAGCTCGAAGACCCCCTCCAGGAATTGCAATGCCGATCTTGGGAAAGTTACCCTGGAAGGCAGTCGAGTTATACCCTAGCTGAGAGCCGTTACCAAGCCAGTCAATCCACGCCTGCGCGATGGTCGAATTCATTCGTGTCTCAACATAGTCTACTTCTTTACGATTGATAGTCTGGTTCGACGCCGTCCATTCACGGACAAAATCTGTGGTGGAAAGGTCCGGACAAGGAATGTTTACAGCAGGCGCATAGTCTGTAACAGAGTCCTCGAAAGCAGCGGTTGTTGCAAATAGAGCAAGGAGCCCGAGGAGGGTCCTAACACAGTACATAGTAGAAAGAAAGAAGTGTCGTGATGACTAGATTGATCAATGTTGATTTACACCCAAGGTATAAATGAATACAACATTTTTGCTCGGTGATCCCGGTACCAACCGGTTCACAACGACTTCTTGAGGCTCTGAAGGCCATTGTTGTCGGGGCCGTGAACAACAAACAGACGGAAGCAAACGGAAACAAAAAGGAAAACAACAATTAAAATATCAAGGACTCGAGCCGGGCGACGGGCCGGCACTGCGTGGCTATGATCACTCTATAGTCTCTTGTCCTTGAAGTTGGCGCTCAACTTGCTTCTTGCTTCTTGACTTTTGGCTATGCCTCTGCCTAATGCTACGTACACTCTCCAAGGCCAGTCAAGGCCTGGAGATCCCATGTACTCAAGGCCCAAGCATGGAATGTTGCTTCGCCTTTCTACAGAGGCTATTAATGCTCTTCAAAGTGACCCCAATGCAAAACCTAACGTGGATTTTGTAGTCTCAGAAGATGGATCAGTGTGTAATCTCTACTTTATTTCTCTACCTACTGACTGAACCCTTCTCAGAGTCGCATAGTAATCGGCGAATCATCCTTCTCTCTGCAAAGCCAGACGGAGGAAATACCTCATGATTTGTACTTGCGCTCAGCCTCAGCAGCCAAGCCATTCGTTCCTCTCAAATTTTACGCCAATGTCATCGGCAAACTCACCATCTCTGAGAGGGAATTGGACGACGAATTGGCTGACAGGATACGCAAAAGCACTGCAGCGGCAGCTGAGAAGCGCCACAATCCTAAAACTAAATTCATTGATGCCAATAATTTACCACAACCGACGACGAAATCGGCGGCAAAAAAGAAATCAGATCTCTTCAGAAAGCCTCTTAGACCTAGTGATCGGCTTAAACCTACCCCCCTCAGTACTTCCACCTCTTCCGCACCATCACCGCGTCCGTCTCATGCTCCGAAGCCACCACAGGATGGGACCACATCGTTAGGGAGACGACTAATTCATTATCTGGCTCTTGCGGAGCGGACAAGCGAAGACGCCGTCAAGGCGGTTGGAGGTTCAAATTGTGATGCGAAAACAAGGCAGGATATATTGGATGCTTTGCACTTAGTACGCAGTCATTATTCACTTAACTCAGCTGAATCCGATGGTCCGTTTATAGCTTGCCGAACGAGGACCATCCAACAAAGGCTCTCAGCAGATCTGGCGTTTGAAACACGAGTCTTGGCTCGACGTACGGCCGTATGAATGGCCGAGTTTGTCAGAAACAGATCGTACCAACTTGGCTCGTGGCGCACGTAAAGCTCTCAGTTCTCTCGGAATACCTGAGAGTGATCCTAGATGGGAACACGCAAAGTACCGTCCGCCCGCAAACATTGCCAGAAATGACTCGCCTATTCCTGCGCCATCTTCTCTATCTGCATCTAATTCTGCATCAGCGCCGAAACGCGGTATCTCTTCAAAAGAAGCTAGGGAAAAGAACGCTAGAAAGCCAGATACAAAGACGGAAATCTTGATCAAGGACGAAACAAAACCGCGCCCGAACCATGTTGCTTCGTCCGCGAACGCGCTCGGGAGTAATAGTATGAAGCCTGCGGCCAAAACATCGAAAGCACCTACCCCACCCACCACGAACGGTACCCCCTCCACACGTCTTACTCCGAATATGCGCAGACTACCAGGTTCTGGATACAAACTCCCTACGAAAGCCGTAGATCTCTCACGTTCACAGAATCAATCCAAGGATGGGTCGATTACCCCATCCATTTCGTCTTCATCGGCTGCTTCGAAGGATGTCGATGTCGCTATGAAAGATATGACGCGACGACCGAATGAGGATAAGCAGAAGGACGATCAGCGTCTTCCAACCTCTCGTTCTAATATTAAAAAAGAGGAAGGCGAACTATCCACATCATCTAGTGGTACTGGAGGGATTGGTGCTCGTACCAATGATGGGCCTGCGCCCGTGAAACGCGTCAAGCACCTTCGGGATGAGGCCATGGAATCAGATCAAGATAAAATAAAGGACAACTCGAAAGGTAAGAACCGGGAAAGGGCTGAAGGTCGGTCGAGGGACACTGATCGAAGTCGAGAAAGGGTGAAAGATAGTGATAGGGGTGGAAGCAAAGAGAGAGAGAGATCCTTGGAGCGAGACCATCATCGTGACCGCGAACCTACGCGTCGGAACAGCGAAGCGTCTTCCCAAAAGAGAAAGAAGGTCAAAGAAGAGGACGAAGAACACGACGAGGGGATTTTTAGAACAGGAGGGAAGAGAAGAAAAACGGAAAATGGAATGGAAGTTTTATCTATGGCTGGACCAGTAAGAGGCGACCGAGTCAATGAACGGGATCGGGACAGAGAGAGGCAGAGAGGCAAAGACAACGAACAGAGAGACAGAGAGATTCACAGAGGAAAAGATAAAGAACGCGAGCGAGGCAGAGACGAAACTCGAGAGAGAGGAAAAGATAGAGAACGCGAACGAGAGCGCGAACGATACAGAGATAGGGAGCGCGACAGTCCTCAAAAAGGACGGGATGCAAGATCTAGCAAATTTGTTAACGAGCCTACCACGGATAGGAAGTCTTCTGCCAACTCTCAATCCCACTCAGGGAAAGGCAAGACGATGAAGAAAGAGCCTTCTCCGCCCCCACTACCAGCCAAGAAAGTCAAGAAGGAACTTTCTCCTGTCCCAAGACATACTTCCCCGATCTCGAATCATTCTAACAAAAGCTCCTCTACGAAGGGAGCCAAGTTCCGACGAAAGTCACCCATATACACTTCGTCGGAAGACGAAGACAATCAGCGCCACCCCAGTCCTGCTCTACCTACTCCTACGGCTTCTTCCTCTTCAGCCGGTTCTCGTCGTTCGCATCTATCGACAAACGATGCTCTCACGGACGGAAATCTCAACGAGCACAGTCACGAAGCCGATCATCGTAACGCTCTTCGAAGCAAGTATACAGCATCATATGTGAAGTACTTGAGCACATTTCAGACTCTGGTGTCGCAGAAGCAAGAGATCGAACGTCTTTTGAATCGCGCCAGCTCACGGTCGAGCGACTCTGATGGTGATGTGGAGCTGTTGGATTTTGAGGGACTGACGAAGACATTGAGTCAGAACAAACAGCAGTGGGAGGAGCTGCAGAGTATTCAGCTTGAACATGAAAGGGAGATGCTCGGTTGATGTGAATGGTATGATTGAATTTTCAAGTTGTATAGTATTTTGCGATTAACTCGCCGATAATACAACAGACATCTGGGCAGGACATTGTCATCCTTGGTTTAATCCTGGATATTTGTAGACAAGCATTCCTTCATAGTAGGACTAATTCTGTCACGCCGTGTATTCCAGGCAACAACGTACACAAGCATTTGCAGCTTTCGTGAATCCCGATTGAGAACGCATATAATCACATCATTTGATAGTGTATATCGTCGAGACTAGACTGAGAAGCATTGGATGCTTCTCGTCGCAATGAATACATGAGGTTTGGTTGGGGTGTTCAAGAATCATTGCAAAGAACATGAACATATGGTATTTGGCAGTCAATCTATTTTCTCACTACGGGGAGAGGCCCGGCCCGGAACATCCAACGCCGAGTAACCCGAGCGTTAGAATTTTCGGAATTGCTGCTGTGCTATTTCCTTCACCACCACTACGCTCTTTCCGTTACGACGTTACGACTATGCCCTTTATCCACAATAAACAACTCTACTCTGCTTCAAGTTAGTACATGCAAGGCCCCTTCAGTACTCAACCCGCTCACCTTTCCAACAGATAACACCCGTCAAATCGAAGAGCACACATATACTCAAGAGTCTGTCGATTTGATGTCCCCAACATTTATTCTTCCTCAAGCACAACCTACTCAAATAAACAATAAAGACATCGCTCTTATCACTCTCATGGCGATATTCATCCTCCTTATTGGTGCAGCCGCTATTCGCCTTGCTCATCTAGTGTACTTCAAGGAAGACGCGTCCTATGGCCCTCGCGTAATCTCTAGTTCTAAGACATTCACTGAAAGCTCAAGCACTCTTCCTTTAACTTCCTCAAGTACACCTCGAGTATCTTCCTCCATCAAGTTTATCGCGTCAGATGACATGGACGACCCGTTTGATTTTCCCAACGATAAAATCGAACGAGACATTACATTTTTATTTCCTTTCGCTCGCCCGGAGACTCCACCTTGCCCCCCAAGGCGGCCTCCAGCATTTTTAAGAGAAGAAGAAGAAGATATTGCAGCCATGCTGTCAATTAGAGCTGGCCAAGAAAGCGTGTGCAGGAGAGGCCACAGAGAAAAGAAGGAGTCAGAATCTTCGTCGACAACTACTACATCTACCGTCCAGGATAGTCTCTGTCCGAGCGAGCAGAGATCATCGGTTACATCTGTTTATTCTATATCTATCCGAAGTGAAGACGAGGAGGAAGAAGATATGGAAGAAGCGGTCGAGGTTTATGAGGTGAAACGAGTCCAAACGCAAAGTATGGAGGTAAAAAGAGGTGTATTGATGTCCTGGAGAACGTCAAGACCACAAAGTCCTGCACCAGATATGCCCACAGTTGTCATTTCCGAATCCAGCTCTGATACTGGCGCCTTGGACACCATCATACGCAGCGATAATGCATTCCTTCAACCCCTTCCCTCGCTCTTGATCACCCATCCCAGCGAAATCAGTCTTGTGTCGACTACGAGTACCGTTTCTGTCGATCTCGACGAGTTTCCTTTGCCCCCCAATCTTCCAATCCTTCCGAAAATCCAATCTGTGGACCTACCGCTGATGTTCATAGTACCGGACGTAGACGGATCGACTTTTCGGATGAGTAGGGAGGAAAAAAGGTCGACGGTTGATCAAGTGATAACTATGTACGAAGGTCACTAGTTTGAAAGCGGTGAACCGTACAGATCTCATGAATACACAATACCCTACCATTGAACCGAATGTACTTTATAGGCAGCCCAAAGCTACCCTACAACGCTAAAAATGTACAATCCCCGATTGACAATCCCTTAACCAAACCTAACCTAACCGGGAGGATGAAGATTAACCCCTGAAAATTGAGTATATGTAGGTTTTTGGTCTTTTTATCCTTCTCCTGAGTACTTGTGGGCGGGAGGTACCCGTACAGATCACGAGGACGGCATCTCCGTGCGTCAATATTAATTCTGGTCGGGAGAACAATATTATGGTCTACTGATACTAAATCCTACTAGGTCCTCCCGTGTTCCTGCAACGTAAATAGGATTGCAAGAGGTATCTCTGATAGGATAGCACAAAAGCAAGGCAGTTAGATCAACCGCGGAACAGAAACAACAGTGCAGACTCACCCTTTAAACCGGATAAAGAATTTTGTTTTGGTTATCTCGGATTCCACACATTTCACCTTGAACGAACCCGCTACATCCATTTGCTGACTTCGAAGCGCGGCGTGTCCATGTTCGATCTCTCCCAGCCCTCCGGTAGCCCGAGGACTCATCAGTATCTCTTCGATCAATAGGCATACGTCCAGACGTCGTAGATGGCTCACCGCCAGTGCAGACTGCCGGACCCGTAAAGCCAAACTTGATTTGGTCGGTATCAGGTTTAACTTTCTTAGGAGGATTGTTCAACCAATTGATCACCCAGCCTGAGGTGTGCAGTTTCCCCTCAGCAGCAACTATGAACTGCTGCACCTTGTCTCGCGCTTCTTGTTGCGTTTTTGAGAGCTCAGTAGGGGAGAGTTCAGCGCCCTTTTCGAAAGAGACGGAAATAGCTGAACGACGAAAAAGGGTAGGATCTGGGGTTGTGGATCCGGATTCTGCGGTCTGATCTCTGGGGACTCCAATTGCAATATTGCTCAATAATCGGACAGGGTTCGCGTTCACATACTATAATGGAGGGATTGGTATCATGACGCTAAGCAATGAACAATGACACATACCGCAGAAAGAAGGCTGAGGACAACGTACGTTGTTGAGATACTGAACTTCATGATGGCACGAAGATATGGATTTGGATGGAAAGAGATAGGGTCTATGCAAGACGATAGATTAAAACTGCACACAGAAGTCGAGAAATATTCCCTACACTTCCGAAGACGAAATTGAGACAGGATCCAAGAACACTTGGAGAGCGTCGAATTCTTTCTTTGACCGGCAAAAAAAAAGACTCGAATGTATGAAGGGGAACTTGTCCAGCAGGTTGAAAGACCTTCGATTTCGGATGCATCCTTATATACGCTGCAAGGCCTTCCCAGCTTAAGCCGTGTCCGTCCCTCCTTATACAAAGGACATAAGAAAATTAGGGCCCGGACTTGCTTCGAAGCCGCCGTACTTGTTAACATGCTGTATGAATCGGCGGCGGTTATCCTCGGGCTTACCTTTCAGAATACGTACGTATAGTGAACACTGTATAATATTGTATGTAGGAGTTGTAATAGAATGGGAAACATTGCTGAGTGGCCTGGTGGAAAAATTGTGCTCATGAATACTGTACCGGCGAAAGGCACCCTAGTCTGGGTCAGACAACCTGAACGTTATTCAACTTCAGGCCTCCAAATCTCGAGCTTTCGGGTTCAAGGTTGAGAATGCCGGGAGGTGAGAGAGAGAGACAGCGGAAATTAGGCAGATTAAATTATGTCATTGTGTCGTTTGTGTATTACTTATAACATGCATCCGGATGGGAGCCTCCTTCATCTGGCTCCGAGGGGGCCCAAAGGCCCCCTCCAATCCAAGTTAGCTGAGTAGTCAGTGCTATCACACCTCTGTACAATATGTAGATTGCTGGGTGTATAAACCCCGTAATAAGGTTATATACAGCCTGTTTCCATAGATACTAAATATATCATACCTCGAGATCTCAGCGCATTATAGATTTCAAAATAGTCAACAACCACGCGATTAGGAGTTTGAGCGCCCGTTTTAATTATGGGCCGATTCCGGCAGTCCCGACACCCGCACGCAACAAGCTCCAAAAAATGCTCCAACAGTTTGATCGACTCGGCTCTTAGCCTGTCACAACCCGTCAAGAGCATTTTTTTTGACATGCTGAACGTTGAACTCGACTGCTAACTTCAGCACTCGAGCACCAAATTTTTTGACCAATCGTTCCTTGTTGTCCCTCTCTCTATACACTCCTTTTAGCCAACCTTCAGAAGCCCAAAGCCACGGGCTGATCGATGTGATTATGGATATTTCCAGCATTCTTGGTTGGTTTTTTAATGTTTTTTTTCGCTCTCTAATTCCTTCATGACAGATACAGGCAGTTCTTCTAGTAGTTTATCGTGAGTTTTCGCTAACTCTCAACGGCAACAATGATTTAAATATCTTGGTAGGACCTCTGATACATCAGCTGCAGCGGTATTACCAACTTCCATCTCCTCTGTCACTGACACTACATCGATTATCATACCCTCAACTACTTCGTCTACCACTTCTTCAACCCCGGATGTTTCTTCTACAACTACCTCAACTTCGATCCTCACTACTACCTCCTCCTCCTCCTCATCTCCCTCATCCATTGATAGCTCCTCTACCTCGTCTTCGACAGTTTCCCCTACCACTTCCTCTATCACCTTGACTTCCACCGTTTTACCCACCAGCAGTACGAGCAGCACCCCCGTCTTTACAACATCAATACAAATCACCACTGTATCCAATAGTGGTACTCAAACGATTACCATTACCAACAGCATTACCCCGGCTTCTAGTGCAAGCTCCTCGACGACTTCTCTTGCATCCGATAGTTCTTCTAGTTCGTAAGTATAGAATCTTCTTTGTCTTATTATCTCTTTGACTCGTACAATCAACAGCTTCTGGTCCAATAAAGGCGCCGTCGCTGGCACATTCATAGTTGTCGCCCTAGTCGGCATAGCCATCATCATCTGGGGAATAGTATTGAGCATTCGCCGTCGCCGTGCACACAAATTTGACCAGGAGAACGAGGCTGCTGCTGCGGAGGCTGCGAATGCCACTGCACCCGCGTTCCTGGACGATGACGATCATCCGATCTACAGGCGCGATTACCTGCACGCTGGCGACATGAGTAGTGGTGGATACAGTGGATACGAAGGTGGAGGCCCAATTTACACGGGCGCAGTACCAAGTGCCAGTTCTCACGGTACTTTCAATCAACCTCCTATGGGTATTCAGCCTAACGAGAACTACCCCATGGCTGAGTTCGGCTCGGTCTTGTATCCTGGGGCTTCACCCTATCCAATCACCATGGCTCCCGGACAGAACCCTCAGCATAACAACTATTACGACCATGGGTTCGTAGGTAATGAACCGCTTTCTGCTTCTACGATGAAAACCGTCCGTCCGACGTCCGGAGATTTTGATATCTTAGAACAGCAGCAGCAACGCAATGAAGGCGGCAGTGACGCTACAAATTATACTTCTACTGGAACGCCACACACCACGCCCTCTGTGAGTCGTGGACACTCGACTACTACATCCACATCCCATTCGCGGACGGACCTCTTTCGAAACAAGTCTCAAGGTTCCCGCAGCCTCATTGACGGCTATTACTCGAAAGCACCTTCGACCACTGGCGGTCATGACATGGTCTCACCTCACAGTGGCGAGTCGTATGCGGCGCATTATCAGCCTGGGTTTAGTGGGATGCCGAAATCTTCGCCTTCTAGAAGAAGTACGTTCGGCTACGATGAAGCTCCTCCTCTACCGAATTTGTTTTCGAAGACCATAGACGATGAGGCCGTCGATGAGAGCGACGACGAGGTATTCCAGCAGAAAAAGGTCTTGAAGGTCTGTGAATTTTACATTGATGCAATATCGTATATTATGGGACTAATAAACGTTTTTCAGGTTGCCAACGAGTGAAAAGTGCTCAACATGCGCATCCATTACTACAGTGTCCAAATTTCTTGCTTGCTTGTTAGATTCGAGCTTGTCTCCTTTTTATGCTTGTACCAGGTGTACAGGAATATAGAATCGCAAATTACTTACATGATATGTACAATGTAACTTAGATTAAGCGTTGCGGCGGCAACCCCTATTAGGGGATTGCCTTATTACGGCATGCAAAAACATGTTTCCTCCTTCATTCGGCGTCTGAGTTTCCTCCTTCTTGCCACGATGTTTTTCATAATCAAGGGCATAAGGAGCCTGATCAAAGCTTTCTGCGGTGGTTCATCGCAGCAAGAACCTAGCCAACAGCAGCAACAACAACAATGGCATCCGCAACAACAGCAGCCTCAGTATCCTACTGTGCAGCAACCAACTCCTGTCTATCCTCCCACTCAGCCTCTTAGCCAACAGCCTCATCCTAAGCCAACCCGTCCTCAACAGCATCCGAGCCCTTATCCTCATTCCCCGCGCCCGGTTCGTTATTATTATTTTTTCTCTCTAACAAATTTTTCAATCACTCAAAATCATACCCTTTCCTCGTTGTATTAAGGATCCAAACCAAGCTAATCAGCATGATCCACATTACACGGACCTTCGGAAACGAGCTAACGAGGAGGGAGATGCCATGGCTCAGTGTTTCCAGGAAAGCCACGATGCATATGCTCGTGGTGACGGTGCAGGAGCAAAAGATCTTTCGAATCAGGGCAAAGACCATCAGCGGAAGATGGAACAGCTGAACAAACAGGCTAGCGACTGGATCTATCTCGGTACGTTCCTGCATTCTTTTTTAGCTCGTTCTCTCTCAAGTCAATTTCGGTCCGTCAATACAGAAAATAACAAGGTTCGTAGTCTCGTGTCCACGTAAAAATTCACCACGCTGCAGCATTGATACAGGATAGCAAACCCGGGGAAATTGATTTGCATGGACTCTACGTCAAGGAAGCTATTGAACGCACTGACAATGCTATTCAAGACGCCAAACGTCGAGGTGACACTGAAGTCCATCTGATTGTCGGTACGTTATCATTTGAGGTCTCAATATCCACCGTCTTATACCAGTCTGGGGCGGCAGGCAAAGGTCTTCATTCTTCGGGTGGAGTTGCAAAAATCAAGCCTGCAATCGAGGAATTGATGCAAAAGTCTGTTCTGCTTGGCTATGGAATCAAGGCACTAACTAATATGGGCCCTTCTAGACATCAGCTTGTTGCAGAACTGGACCCGAACAACGCTGGTGTTCTGCTAGTCCAGCTTGGTGGACATAGGGACAGAGCTGTCGGGCCAGACGAAATTGCTCGCCGCTTAAACCGTGACGAAGAAGGATGTATTGTCATGTAGGTTCATCGGGGTTACATGTAGCCTTAGTCCTTTTAGGACACAGATGAATATCATCTTGTAAACTTGTAAACAACCATAACTTCTTGTACTTCTAATCGTGTGCCTTACGTAAGGACGATACGATCAGCCATACCTGTGTTTATCAAGGTTTATCACTATTACTTGATTCTGAATTTTAGAGTTCGATGGCAGCGAATACTTGTCCCAAATCCCCTTTCTCGCCACCACACCCTCAAGGGCTTACCGGCACCCCTTGAACGGGTTGCTGCTTGTGGTGTTTCCTGGTTGCCATGATTTATTTTACGATGGTACCACGGAGCCTTTCTCCTCCCACATTCCTCCAAAGGCTGTCTAGAGTATCTTCGAGGCTGAGTTTGCCCATCCAGATCCTGCTCGTATCATGTGGATTTGGCACCGCATTTTTCGCCGTAAAGGGTATCAAGAGTCTACTTTACGAAGTTTTTGTCCGCAGCTTGGCACCGAAAGAACCTGACGAACAGCTTCCCCGACGGTAGCGTACTGAGTGTCCTCCTCCGCCACGGCCTGTTTACTCTAATCAATCACACAGACAGCACCTTCCTGCGGCGTCCCGAAGACGGCTTGAGTCAGACCGTCTTCAGCAGTGTCCGAGTCACCCCGTTCGTTCCCTTCTCTGAATCTGGGAATCAACCTAATATCTTGGCCCTGACCAGGATGACCCGCCCAACCCGCTAGACACAGATTTCGAACCTTTTTTTCCTCACCAAAACAACAACGAACAACATCCCATACCTGATGCAAGTCCGGTTCGTATAGTTTTCTGAGTACTGTTTTGTGTGATTTCACGTTGTTGTCCAGGGTCTAGTATATCAACCCCGTCAGCATGACTCGCCCAACACCCGCTAATGAGGAGGAACATCTCACAACGAAGGGTTTCAAGCATCAACTACAATCCCATTGGGCTTACTACCGCCGACAGCACCTTCCTGAGTCACACCGTCCTCAGGAAAATAACGAACAACATCCCAAACCTGATGCAAGTTCGGTTCGTGTAGTTTTCTGAGGACTGTTCTCTAATTTCACGCTCTGGTTCAGGATCTAGTATATCAACCTCGTCTGTATGACTCGCCCAACGCCCGTAACCGAGCCAATGAGGAGGGACATCACACAACGAAGGGTTACAAGCATCAACAACAGACTCACGAATTCCCTCAGGTTTACCACCACCCTCACTACTCCCCTCAGGCTCACGACCCCCCTCAGCATCAGCTCTCTCCCGTTCATCCTTCTTCTCAGCCTGTGGTCCCTCGCGCTTATAACCCTTCGGCGTCTATAGAACATACTCATCCTAACCTGGTTTGTTCCCTTCGTGTAGGATTCACATAAATACCTCCTGATTATTTCCAGAGTCGAGGTGATAATTTCCGCAAACCAGCTAAGGAAAAGAGAAAGGCGCGCGGTAAGTGTTTAGAGGAAATTCGGAAAAAGAAAGCCAATTCGATATATCGTAGTAAGTGTAATCGCTGCTGGTCCTTGCGTTGAATTTCATTTTTCGTGATAGAAAATAACAAGGTGTCTACTTTAAATTCCCCTATAGTCTGTAGTCGCTTACCCAATGGGACAGGGCCGTAACGGAATAATCGACTTGCATAGGCTTTTTGTACGGGAAGCTAAATGTAACGGAGTGTCACGCGTTACTGGTTACTTAGCGCCTGATTTAGCGCTTCATTCGGACTTTACCTATGCCTGCTCGTACTTATGCTTACCTATGCTAGATTATGCAGTATGAATATGCTACCATATATGGAACACTGACTCTTGTAGGGTATATAAGGATACTCGATTGTACTATGTACCCTAGGTTATCCAGAAAACTCCCCAGTTACGACAGTTCTCTCGACGACCTACCCTAAGTTCCCATCTCTCTCTCGTGTGGTGTTACTGTGATTCGTCACGCTACCGCTACATATTTTGAACTCGATACAACTGGTTCTCTTCTCTCTTCTCTAAAAAACCTCTCCTCATTGTTATCTCCGGCACACTCCAGGTCTGATCAACCAGGAACCCCGACACGGAACATTTCTCCCTACATATTCTACACTCCTTTTGATGCCGAGCTCTTCTTTCCCCTCTCATGACAGTAGTCACCGTCATGACCTCCGACGAGGACCCAGACACCTTGAAAAAGCTCCCAGAACTGTCCATGACAATGACAGAGAAACTGCTATGTACACTCAGGAAACTGAGGTTGGAAAGAAAAGTCAAAACTATGCTGCCTCTGATGAGGAAAGCTTCGTTGGCACTGTTGATAGTGGCCAGAATGAACAAATGGAGAATGCTGAAGACAGTCCCTCCAGTGAAGATGACAACCCGAACCCTTGGGTCGCGGCTGGTACCCGACGTAGGGCATTTAGTTTGGACAGTAGTTCCAATCAGAATAAATTTCGGTTGAATGCTTTAGAACAAACGCGCGTGAATTCGGATAAAATCCGGGGCAATCAGGCCAAGAAACCTGTACCCCTTGCCATGGCTACCATTGGAAAAGCTGAGAGAAATACTCGAGCCCAAAAGAATGAAACCCGTCGTCAAACGCGGTCTGATAAACACAATTCCACTCATAAGAATCTGAGTGACAACTCCTGGAATGAGGAAGGTCTCTTCAAGGACCAAGGAAATGGCATGGACCCGATGAACTGGGGTGCCTCTGAACCTGACACTGATATAAATCAACACGGTGCAATCGAGAACTTCAGGGCTGTCCGTGATAACGCCCAGCAGCAACAGATGCCAAAGAAAAAGTCGTCAAAAAAACCTGAATGGGCTAAGCTGCATGAAATTCCTGAAGCATTTGCTAACCAAGTCGAACCCCGCGTCCGGGACATTGTGGGGCAGCACCCACGAAAATCTCATGCTATCAAACGAGTTGCGAGCCCAAGTAGCTCGTTGACAACAACCAACCTAACCAAGGGCAAGAAACAAGCTGCAGAACAGCAGAGCAAATGTCGGAGGGAACCATCTGAATCTTCCTCTAGCTCATCCGGCTCTGAATCGAGCTCTTCGTCACCTGAATCTGACCTGGAATCTAGTTTTGAGACTAGACACAATCATGGACATCGAGGGCGACAACGTCGCTCACACAAGAAATCAAAGAAAATGATATTGAAACCCGACCCGCCCGAACCTTACGATGGATCGATTGACATTAATGCATACATTAAATTTGTGACCGAAGGTACTGCATATGTCCGTGATGGACATGTACCTTGAAACCGACGAGTTCTGAAGCTATCAAAATATCTGAAATCAAAAGCTTACCAGTTCTATTTGACCACTGTAGCAAACTCTCCATTCGATTGGAGATTGAAAGAGTTCTTTGTTGAACTATACAATTATTGCTTCCCAGCGACGTACCGTATTGACCAACGCCGAAAGCTGGAGCATGCAACACAGGGTAACAAGTCTGTTCGGGACTACCTTGCACAAATTAATAACCTATTCAGTATGGTCGGAATTCTTGATGAACGCGAGAAGGTCCACAAACTCTGGACTAGTCTGAATGCAAATATTCAGAAAGGACTGTGGAAGGAGAAATTGAATCCGGAATTGTCCACTTACATTGAGGTGGCGAGCACAGCTGAGCTCATTGAAATCATGGAGAATAATATTACTGACAGCAGTGAATCTGAACACTCTTCTGCACAGAGATCTGAAAGTGAATATTCCTCAGAAGAGGAAGATGATTCTGAAATTGAACAGGCCTCAGACAGTAATTTCTATTCAGAGAACCGCTCCGACGAGGACCAATCCGATAGCAAAAGCAAAGACCACAGTGAATCTGATAATGAATCCGGCAGTGACAATCAGTATGAGAACAACGAACCAGATGACTCCAGTGACTCTGATCATCCCCGGAATACATACCAACATCGTTCGCAGCGACGATGACTTTCCGAAAATAAAAGAATTGAATATCTTGCGACCGGCAGATGTTTTCGATGTGGCGGGTATGGCCATATAAGCCGCTATTGCCCGAATGGATACATTACCGAAGCTTCATGGAAAAATAGAACGGCGGACATCGAGCTCGGAATGATGAGCTTTGCACTCAATGAACCAGTCTCACCGTTTGAAAATGATAACAGAAAGACCGTTCGAGAGGTTGGAAAACACTCTCGTAGCATGGGAAAGAAAGATTTCGTCTTCAACGGTCACCGTGAAGAACGAAAGGAGGGCGGGAGAATGGATATGGCTCCGACGTCTCGAAAAAGACATACGAAAAAGAGGAAACCTACCCCAGGAATAGATTTCGCACTCGAAGACTTACCAGAACGGCACCAACATATCATTGATACGAATTTCCTGCCAACAAAGAATGGAGGGTATGAACACCTCACCTCGCTAAAACGGGTCAGAAATAACAAAATCCTCATCAAGCCGTACGATGGATATACTCACTTTGTCACTGTTTCTGATGTTCGCACCTGCCTCGACTTTGACCGAATCCTGCGGAAAAGAAGCTTCAGATTGCAAATGGCCGACATCCCAGCCATCTACCCACTTCTTGCTGAGCACGTTACAGCCCTTTCCGTAACCATATGGAATTTGATTTTTTGAAAACCTGTGAGGTTGTGTTTGGCAAGATCACATGTCAAGTTTTCACCCTCAGTTTACTTGCATGTACTATGCGTCGATTCTCTGAAGATATGCGGGTTCGGGTACCATTAATGTTTTGGGAACAGCAGGTTTCAGTGAAGAATATCTGCTACCACCTCGGGATGAAGAAATCTGTTGTTTATCATATCCTTGCGCAGTATCGGGACCATGGACGACTTCAACCTGCCTTGCGTCGACAGGGCCGACCCTCTCTTTTGAATGGCACCGATACTCACTATCTCTCTGCTCTCATTGATCTCCGACCTTGCATTTACTTGGATGAAATACAAGCAGAGCTAGAAAGATGTCGCCGAGTTCGTGTCTCAGTGCAAGCACTTGTACGCGCACTTCGGAAATTAGACCTATCTCGGAAGACTGTCTCTGTACGGGCACTCGAGCGCAATGACCTTGAGCGGGCACATTTCATGCTGCAGATAGCTAAGCTGGTGCCACGACAAGACATGCTCATAATGCCAAGACATCTCTTCGGAAGTATGGGCGTGCAAAGCGAGGTCATCACTGTGTGCAACGGAGGCAGTTTGTCCGCGGAGAATGTGTGTCTATACTGCCAGCAATAACCATTGATGGCATTGGAGCTAATAGAAACGATGTCGACAACGCGCAAATATCAATGAAAGTGTAGATGCACGTCTAAGAGAAGGTGATGCCAAATACAACCTTACAACTTTTCAAAAAAATCGAATTCCATATAATTACGGTAATAGCTGTAATAGCGACCCACTCATTCATCCCTACCAGCTCGCTACATTCAATGTTGATACCGGAATAGTGTATACGCAGGCTCCACCTATTGATCGGCGACTATTTGATCCATTCACGCGCGAAGATGATTTGAGAATAAACGGATTGGATAAATTGACTACGGAAGGACGAGGTCTACATCGGGAGCTACAGAAGAAGCATTGGACGGAAAAACATGTAGAAAGGAAGGACTGGAAGAAGGGATATCAGACAAAAGTTTCAATGAGGGAGGAGGCTAGCTCACCTGGATCTTCCCATGAAGCCCGAGATCCTTCCGGCAGCTTTGTTCATCCATCTACACCCAGAGATTCCACTATCTCGACTGCTTCTAAAACAGCCTCTCATACAGACCAAACACATCTCCCTCATCCTACTCATACATCCTTCGAAGTCTCCTACAGCCCCACTATCATATCATCCAGTCCTAATCCATCTCTCCTTATTGATGCGTTGGCCACAGAGGAAACGCCAGTCTTGACCAATGAACCCACACACAACAGTTGTACCCAGTCTTTTGACAACGATTTGCTAGACCCTCGCGTTGGACTTCGACCAGACAGAAGCAGGTACCCTCGGCGGCGACGATCTTCAAGCAATTGACGCATCAGTTGACGACGATCGAGATGATTGAGAGATCCTCGTCGTGAAGGATCTCTGGAGGGCGTATGTAACGGAGTGTCACGCGTTACTGGTTACTTAGCGCCTGATTTAGCGCTTCATTCGGACTTTACCTATGCCTGCTCGTACTTATGCTTACCTATGCTAGATTATGCAGTATGAATATGCTACCATATATGGAACACTGACTCTTGTAGGGTATATAAGGATACTCGATTGTACTATGTACCCTAGGTTATCCAGAAAACTCCCCAGTTACGACAGTTCTCTCGACGACCTACCCTAAGTTCCCATCTCTCTCTCGTGTGGTGTTACTGTGATTCGTCACGCTACCGCTACACTAAAGAATACACTGACATTGCCATTCAAAATGCTATAAATCAAGGCAACTCCAACCTTCGATTGATTGTCGGTACGTTGCCAACGTCAAAGAATTCTCTGGGTTTCTCATAGTCGTAGGTCAAGGCCGTCATTCTTCAAATGGTCCGAGGCTCAAGCCTGCATTACTGAAACATTTGCGTAAAAGCAGGTCAGTCATGAAGTCCATCGCTCATGTTTGTTAATACTGATGTGTTGCATAGATATGATGCAGAAGTTCAGCGATGTAACGCCGGTGTCATTGATGTGAGACTCTAGTCAGCTCAAACAGATTGATTTTGAGGGATGTGACATTATGGGACAGCTGCTAAGAAGCACCGATATACATAAAATCTGAATTCGTGCTCGTTTTCAATCAAAATGTGGTTGTCTTTTAAAGCTTCGATAGCACACGTTGGTTTAGCCATTAATTACAGTGAGCATTGAACTCCCGCCTACGTAGTAACAAGGCATATCGGATAAACAGCAGTGATGGTCATATTTAGATCTCCAATCCAACGAGGACGAAAGCCCTGTCGACCGGGAACGGATGTTTAGTGACGACCGAGCCACCTACATACATGAGAGAATGCAGAATTTCTCCCAGGGCCGGTGACGACCGTTCCAGAACAATCACGAGAGCAGAGCACTCCAGCTGGTCGTCCGCAAGATCCAAAAGTGCGACGACGCTATGAAGAATACAGAGATGATCGAATCAACACGAGGCAGAACATATGACATGATCGTCGATAAGAGATACAACACATACCTTTCTCTGAGGCTGACGCTCTCTGCGTTCTTTGCGTCCACGTAGAGTGTTCTGGGTTTTCCAGGTAGTTCAAGGACCATTCCGTTGAAAGCTGAACCCATGTTCGGGGCCGAAATGGAGATACTCTTCGCATAAGGAAGAGCTCCAAGACCAGTTGGGAAAAGCGTCATAAGAAAGTCCATGGCATCCTTCTGCTGCATCAAAGAGGGAGAGATGCTACGATCGCTACAGTCACTACCGTCATCAGGAGTGAGGGGAGGTGTAGATGATTCAGAGCTACCACTGCTGGTTCGAGCTGGGATAGCGCAAGGTCCAACTGAGGTTTTTGGGAAAGGAAAAGAACCGCGAACATATGTGTGCTGCTTAGGATATGCAGAAGTATAGTAGGATTCGGGAGAAGAAGATATGGAGAGATTGGGGGTAAGTGGCGCCGGGATGCCTGTCACACATTCCGACGACCCTCGGTCAGGAGGGCATTTTGCTTTGGGTGTGTCAAAAGCGCCACTGAAGAAGAATGTAAGTGAAGTGAGGAATGTATGAGGGAGAGTGTATGCTGACCCCGGGCCCGCCAGAGAACGTAGTAGAATAGTAGTACATGTCATCAGTGCCCTGCATCTGGCACACAGCAAGCACACTAGGAGTGTCGAGAGTTACAGCCCCATCTCCAACGGTTTGACGGCCGTTGCTATAATTTAGAAGATAGAGTGAGAAGTGGCTTCTTGACTTTCGCGAAATTAAAAAACATACGTGGGGCAAAGACTAAATCTTTGATTGGATAAATTCGAATTGTTTTTCAACGACATATGCCAACTTGATTGCGGTGAAGAAATTCTTAAGTATGAGTCTGTAAAGACTGATTCAGAGAGACGTTATACACAAAACTTGAGACTCACTTGGGGGTTTGTAATTGAGGAGCGAAGCGAAGACACTGCCACACAATCTCCAGTGCCCCTTGGATTGGTAAGCGACGGCTCAAGCCGGGCCAGATATCCGGGCTACGTTTCGCAACGCCTGGAAAATTTGATTTCGTACCTCAAGCTCTCTATCGTCGCCCCCAGTGAGTGCCCATGCCCTTATGATGTTCGAAACGGCTCCATTCATGTCCATTGACTGCTATCGGATCCATGTATCCAAGAAAATTCGGACGAAAGAGCCTGATTGAGCTGGATTGCTTCATATTAGTTTGGATGATACCGTTTTGCTAACTTGGACTTCAGAATTCTCGACAAATAACTAAAATGGCTGACGCTCCCCGTGGACGTGGTGGATTTGGACGTGGACGTGGTGATCGTGGAAGGGGCCGTAGGGGTCCCCGTCGTGGAGCTCGCAAGGACGATGAGAAAGAGTGGTATGTAGAAAGTACAGGTGTAGAGGGATGTATAGGCTCATCATCATACAGGGTCCCTGTCACCAAGCTCGGTCGTCTCGTGAAGGACGGTAAAATCAAGTCGATGGAGGAGATCTATCTCTTCTCTTTACCTGTCAAAGAATACCAGATTGTTGACTTCTTCCTCCCCAAACTCAAGGATGAAGTCATGAAAATCATGCCCGTCCAGAAACAAACTCGTGCTGGTCAGCGTACCCGTTTCAAGGCTTTCGTTGCGATTGGTGACTCCGATGGTCATGTCGGGCTCGGTGTGAAGTGCGCAAAGGAAGTAGCAACAGCCATCCGTGGCGCCATCATCCTAGCCAAACTTTCTGTCATTCCTGTCCGAAGAGGGTACTGGGGTACTGCTCTCGGAGAACCTCACACTGTGCCCTCGAAGGTCAGCGGAAAAGTTGGTTCGGTTATGTGTCGTCTGATTCCGGCGCCCCGTGGAACGGGCATCGTCGCTGCACCTGCGTCAAAGCGTCTTTTGGAGCTTGCTGGTGTACAAGATGTGTACACGCAATCGAAGGGTTCAACTGCTACTATGGGTAACTTCTTGAAGGCTACCTTTGCTGCTGTGAGTTTTTGTTCTTATTCGCTTTTTTTCTCTCAATGTTTTGCAATTGTAGATCACAAAAACATATGCCTTCCTTACGCCTGATCTGTGGCGTGAGATACCTGTCTCGAAGCTACCCTTCGACGAGTACAGTGCACATCTCGCACTGGCCTCAGGTGGAAAGAAGGCTTACTAGACATTTTCTGCTTGTTGTATTTTTCTTACGTCCTTTCCTGAATCTATGATGTTGCGTTTGCCATCCTTAAAGGAGCGAATTATATTTCTAGCGTGAGAGCCGGAAGTGATCAGAGACTTACTTCTCCTATAACAGACGCTCAGAAGACGTCGGAAATTTTTCCTACTTGCTCCTTAATATAGTACTAACATGTCTTCTCGCCAGTCAGCCTACGTTGTACTCGCCAGGTTGGTGTTTCTCGCCGTTTGTAATACACGCCATTGATAAATTTTGTTCAGTTCTACATTTCCATTCCCTGGTCCTCCGTCCGAGCCAATTCCACCTCTGCCTTGTCGTTCTTACACCGACCCCGTGAAAACGAAGCCTCTTCCTGCAGTCCACCCTCTCTCTTCTGTTTCCTCTACAGATTTGATGCACAGAAACCCTCCACTTGATCCTCGCAAAGCGCGTCGACATTGTGCAAATTTTGGGTTTAAACGGGAAGCCTTGGTGTTACAAGCCCATAAATCACGCTCTCCTTCAATCCCCCTGCCTTCACCTGATGACTTCACGAGTCCAGGCCCAACTCCTCCGGGGACTTTCACAAGTACGGAGTCTGATGTTTCTTCGTTCAGCGATCTTCCGCTAGACTTTCCGCAGCCGCCGCCGATCAGCCCTGTCCTGCGACGTATGAAAAGTTCGCCATTATTCACATTAGCCGACACAGGCTCCGCTCCTGATTTGTCCAATATTATCGCCAGAAAACGATGGGGTGCGGTTCAAGGATTCATTGATACTCAAGCAGAATTCAGGAAAACCAGAAATAAGGCGGACAGTCTAATCGATCTTGAGGCAGATCTGGATTTTACGCCGCCATTCGAGCAGTCCTCCGATTCCTATCGCGGTAGGATTGACGGTTTGGCAAAGGAGCTACAGCCCGTCATTCGGCCTGGCACTCTAGAACCACCTCTTCCTCCGTGGATAGCCCGTCGTGACAGCGATACCTGTCAAGAATCTCCGTTCCTTCTCCCTGCTGCATCCAAATCCTCATTACTTCTGGGTAATAAGACTTCGTCTCGTCCTGCCTACCATCAATCTACACAGAAGCAATCAGTCCCGTCACCGGCTCTGTATTCTTTTCCTTCTTCTTCTTCTTTTGCGAAGAACGTCTCCACGCCCTCGGAACGTTTACCTCAACTCGTGTTACCTCGACGAATATCCAAAATGCGGTCACTGAAGTTCACACCTGAATGTAATCCTTCTTCGGATCGCCTCGATATCTCCAACCACGATTCCAAACCTCATAAACCACTCTTCCGTGGTCGATCTATATCAATGGACTTCAACAATAACAGTAGGAGTCGTCCGCTGTCCATGTTCGCGGGCAATCAGGGCATGAGCGCGTCCACATCTTATCTTTCAAAGATGGGTCGGACTCCGCCCACCGGTCCTCTGGTTAAAGAGAGCTCTGATTATCCTCTCAACCGCGGCAGGGATGTTGGACTGTCTACACCCTTCCTCCACCGACCAGTGAACAGTAATACTCCTGTGCGACATCAACGTCGCCTCCATCATTCCATGATGCCCTCGCCCGGGCTCAAGTCATTCATGGACATTACGCCGGAGCAGGTTCAGCGCAAACCAACGGCTCATAAGGACAAAGTCAGGAAGCTTTTGAGCAGGGCGAGCCAAGTGTTCGATTGGAGAAAAAAGAAGGGGGAATGATCGTGCGTATCGGGTTCTTGTACATATTTTTTCTTTTCTCTCTCAGCAAGCGCGATCTAGTTTTGTTCGAATCTCGTCGTATTTGATTGTCATATCACGGTTTAGTTTTCGCGGACCCTCCTTGTACATCTATAATGATATGTCTTATGTATATAATATATACACTTTGCTGCCTCGTTGTAGTTCGCCACCTGTAATTCTTTTGTAATAGTATACATGTCGTGTGGTACTAGAAATAATGCATTGACTGCTTAGATTTCGGGGACCTGCCCCATACGTACGAATCGTTTGACAATCAAAGGCATTTGGCTCCCTTTACTAAACTGCTTTTTTACAAAAGGCCTAGTTAAAACGCTGCAGAGAACTCCTTTTAGCACTAGGACACTGAAATGAGCAGTACGAACTCACACATTAATTTTCTCGATTGGGTCGAGACCTGATTGAAAGACGAAATTGGTGAGGAGGACGAAGAGGAACGTTTTGATCTCTATCAGAGCAAAGCGTATGCCTATACAGGACTAGGAAGGGTCAGAAACATTGAAATTATATGTACGAATCCACATACCCTTGGCCCAGCGGAAAATGAAAGTATATTGGAAAATAGCCCAGGTTGCTCTCGAGCTTTCTCAGGAAGGTCATCCCATCGATCCGGACTTCGAGACATCGATCAACAAGCAGCCAAATATATGAGAACTAAACCTACTTAAATGACCAAGCGTCCTCTCCCCATACATCCTGATCAAGGTTGAACGCTTCGACAGACACATGTACGAATGTTCCTTTCGCGATATGTATGCTCTGTGCGCTCTCATCGACCGATCCATCACTGCGATGCACTGGATATGATACCGGGATCTCATCGTCTTTAGTTGCAACACGCAAAGTTGAATGTAACGGAGGTATCAGCCTCAGTGCCTCGCGCATGACATTGTGCAGGTATGGGAGCTCAGAAACTTCGGCGTACAGGGATTGTGTCTCTTCTTCAGTTAATTCGGAAAGGTTAGTCGGAGCCGTAGGAGGTAATACTGTTAACAGCTCGGCGCGCAAGCGTTCTTGCATTTCGGGATTCTCGGTAAGCAGGTAAAGAATCCAGGAGACAGTAAGAGATGTGGTGTCAGAACCTGCAAACATGAATGTATTGATATTGTGAAGCATCTCCTCGTCATCGATACGCTGCTCAATTGGAATGTCTATGGCGGCATTAGAAGTTACTGGAAGGAGTTTCAGGAATGGTTAGGGACTACATTCTTGAACACGTACACAATTGGGTGAGGATATCTTTTCCCTGATATGCCTTGCCTGTTTCATTTCCTTCTGCAATTTTCCGCTTCTTCTCCGTTATCATGTTACCAGCTTCTCGTCGAATAACAGCCTGACATCGCTCTATTGTGCGGGACCTTTGGTTGGGCTGAGATAATATGTTTATATTGCGAAGGTGTAATATTCACAGGAGAAACATACGATGATTTTGAAAAGTGTAGGAAAGTAGACCGAAGCCAAGGTCCCCCAGAAGGTACTTTTCCCAATGACTTTGTCGAACATTTCTTTATAAGCCAAAAACAGCTCGTTGGATTCATCTTGAATGGAGTTGAAATTATAATCGAATCCTGCACAGGTATTAGACTTTGCTGCAAACAAAGACGGAAGAAGAGGCGGACCTGCAAGACCAATGATATCGAAAGTGGCACGACTCATCCATTGACAAACATCCACAGTCGCAGCTTCTGTTGTACCTGCATTCATTATGTCCATCCACCGATTCTTCAACTGATCTCCTTTCTGGAATACCAGAGGAATGAGCGCGCGCATGTTTTGGTTAGAGAAAGCCGGAGTAGCTATACGTCGTTGACGTTTGTGCATCTGGCCTTCGGCTGAGAGCATACCGCATCCTATGAGAGACGTAATGAGCCGCCGAGATTGCCATGGCTTTTCATACAGAGTCGAATTCTTCAAAACATAATTCAGCGAAACAGTGTCCAAGGTCAGCAGACGATCATCCCACTAAAGAAAATTAGCCGCGAACTCTGCATAGAAGAATGGAACGAGGCATACTGGTCCAACTCCACGAATGCGTACTGAACGACCGTATTTCTCAGCTAAATGCTTATGTACAGCAGGGGTTCGTTTGGGACTGCAGAAAGGTGATTATGGAGGTCAGAAGAACGATCTCATTACGCACTCGAGAACCGCGGAAAGATGGTTTGCAAACAATGTTCGAACTGGAGGTCCAGCTATATGCCTGAGAGGGTTGAAGTACTTGATAATAAACAGATAGTATAAAGCGAAGGAGGCAAAGATGACCACGAAAGCTAGTATTGCCTGAAAGAGTGCCATTTTCATGAAGGTTTCGTGCAGAGTTGACATTATAATGCGTATAAAAGAACAATAGACAATAGATTGCGGGCGCCATTATTCTCACTTATCATCGCAGCTTGCTTTTGTGCTGGAAGTGCCTGGAACACTCGCTGCAAGTCTGGATTAAAGCTAGCTGTTGTGGAGATCCTGGAGCAGAGGCAAGCAGAGGATGACCCAAGGATAACAAAAAACAGCGGAAGCAACAAATGCTCACTTCGGGCCGACATCCGAACCTTTGTATGTTCAGACTTTCTTCACGCTGGAAGACGATCTACCGTCTTTCGAGCTCAAATTATTCAACAAAGTCGCAGTCTTTTCCATTCCCCAAGCACGCCAATCCTACTCCGCACCAAATCTTTCATCTTCCGGCAAATGCCTCTCAGGATGACATAAAGAACAGATGTATGGAAAACATAAATGTTTTATGGATTCATCGGTCATAATGTCTTGTACTTTCAGACTACGAACTTGTGCGAATATACCATCCTGATAAAGCAAGGACTTCAGTGTCCGCAGAAGAAGCCCATGCTCGATTCCAGACCATTGGTCACGCCTACAACATCCTACGAGGCAAGGCAGCCCCAAACGAATCCGCAACTACTTCACCTAGAGATGGACGCTACGAGGCAACCACTGCGGCCCGAAGAGCTGCACATGTACGTCGACATCGTGAACTCTATGACGGTGGTGCTGTTGATGACAGATGGAAGGACGGTATTATTCTGTTTGGTGTAATCGGTGTAAGTACCAAGGTTCGCTCTGAATGTTGGCTTTCGCGACTCGTTAACCCTTGACACACAGACTGTAATTGTTTTTGTGGTCCAAGCAATGATAACCAGGCATGAGGCTATCGAAGAAGTTATGGACCGTGCCCGACTACATCGGTTAGACACGGAGATTAACAGAAGACGGAAAACTCTTGAAGACCCTCGTCTTTCAGCCCCCGAACAGGAGGATGGCCCACAGCAAAAGCGATAAACCCGATAGACCTTTGTAACCTTTCTACAAGCGACTAGACTAATATGTATTATACAGCGTGTTCAGGTTGAAGATGATATTTGCATAATAACGAACCGAAAGCAACAAGTAACCCTTGTACAGATGAGATAGTTAGTATGTCCCGCGTGCTCTTCTAGAAGTATAATCCCGTCCAGCCTTTCGATTTGATGGAGATTTCATCATTTCCATCCATGTCTCCTACCCAATGTGTCCACTGACCTTTCGCCTGACCTCCCAAAGAATAGGGCTTAGAGCCCGTAGTAGTAAAAGAGCTTGAGTCAAGCTTGACATTACCGTCGAATTCTGCATTCTTGTACGTCAGGTACACGTCTGCATTTCTGGAAGACAAATGGACGCTCCGGATAGGACGATGTGGGTACGCCTTGTCGTTGTCATAGAACAAATCCGTACGTCCAGCGCCAGTCGTAGTGCGAAGTGAAACAGGTTCAGGATTTGTTGGGTCAGCAGGAGCAGTCGGATGAATATGCACATTCATCACACCGTCTCCGCGCTGCGTGGTGATAGCAGTCTCGTTGACAATCGCAGCATGGCCTACGATCCATCCTCTATAAACTTCCAGAGCTAGGCTTGTGGAGCGAAGGTTCTCGTGAGGTTCTATGATGTTAAGCCTGTCCATCTTGTACAGGGTCACAAATGTGTCTTCCAAATCAATATGGGCCTGCGGGTCGAAACGAACTTGTGCAACAGTATGAGGAAGGATGTGAAGTTTCTTCAGCGTCTTGGGGATATACATGGTCACGTCGTAGCGTATGCACGAGGACGAGTCTTGGTTCAAGCGAGGGGTACCGATAAGCAAACGACTATTGCCATCAGAGCTACCATCGGACTTGGCTGCAGGATATTGCAATGTCACTTGGTCGAGTAGAGACTGGTCGTTCGTCTGAATGGTCAGCTTGTACTGGACTTCAGTGATGTCGGCGGGAGCTTCAGTGACAGTGAATGTTCCAACGCCGTCGCCGTGAACATCAACAGCATGATCATACCTGTCACCGACAGGAATGGATATAGTGGTTTCTCCGCCATTATACAGATACGAAGCGTCCAAACAACCAAGGGATTCGCTGAATACAGGCATTCCCTCAAGTCCAGTGGGGGATGGCTGCGATCATCGGTAATTAAGACGCTGGAGAATCAACAGGGAAATTCTTACAGTAAGAGCCCACCATATGAACTTCCCAACTGATACAATCACGAAAAAGGCCGCCACTATTGCAAGAGCTTTACAGAACAGACCGCAGCTAATAGTAAAAGATGAATTCGTGTGAGTTTTTGCTTGGCAGAATGACAAACAGCTCACTTTAGACCGCAGCAAACGCAGCGTGGGTTACGGGGTTTCCTGACCGGCTTCTGAATGTTAGTGGAAAGCAATCCCTCTTCCTCTTCGAGGGTCTGCAGGCCAGCTTCCCTGTCCTGGTAATCAGCAGATGGACTATGGAGTGCCACTCTTCCTTCTTCTTCAGTAGAAAGTTGGTTATCTTGCACTCATTTAGTGAACATACATCGTACGAATTCCGGGCATAACATACATCCATCGAAATGTTCCTTGAGCTTCAGCGCTGCCATGGTTGCCCCAACCAGTCCGAAGAACGAGAAGCCGCGTGTTAGCCTAGGCGCCATGAGTGGAGAAGAGAATAAAGTGGAAAACGAGAGGGATAAGAGAAAGAGTGTATGTGTGCCTCAGTGAGGCGCCTCCTTGTATAAACAGGGAATCCAGATGGGAGCAAGATGAGAGTTACTTTTATATCGGAAACGTCTTCAGGAACACGTATAATTCAATTAAAACGATGATCGGCTTGCAGAAAAACAGATGCCAATACAATCATTCACATTCGGCACCGTACTTTGAGTGATAACCGTGCCGCGATGAAGCAAGTTTTGCTTTTGAACTATATTGGGAGTTTGAAGCTGCAAATTCGTTTGCTATGCCAGAGTCAAATCCAGTGACACAAACTGCGATGTCTTCAGGAGATTGGACGATCAGGTTTTTTCACGATTGTTGAACGGCAGATGTAGAAGGGATGTTGAATCAAGACAGATCGGTATATGATGTACAATTAATACTAGCTGAATATTCATGCAAGCGTTCCCTGGAAAATGGATTCGATGGGTTATCCTACCATAAAGATTCACACATATCGAAGCACGTACCATCGGATCCCATGGTGGAAGGACTTTGGCATTTCCACCCTCAAACACAGTGACCAAATCCTTTGGTGCCAAACTTTTAGGAACGACCACCTGATACACAAATCTAAGTTTCATAAAAAATCAGTCAGCATGCAATGTCAAGATAGAATGGACACATCGTGTGTAATCGCCACAACACTGATAACAGGTTAAAGTAAAATAGTATTACTCACTCATTGAACCATTCATCAGTCATCACAAAGTACCCCTTGTTTCCTGGTACTTCTCCCCACGAGTTTTCTACTTTGTACCTGACAGGTTTACCATTTGCGTCCAAGTGGACGCCAGAGATAACCATAGCATGGGTCATTGCCGATTCGCCGATTTCGAGACGTTGAGCCTTGGTAAGACCGAGAGTAATGTCAAATGTGTCCTCGTATTGGAATAAAGTGGTATCCATGAGTCCAAGGTTTCGTTCGGACGATTTACCGACGTCGCAGCCAAAGAACACGGGAACACCAGCTTTAACCATCTGCGTACAGTTATGAATGTGGTCAGTCAATGCATTTATAGAGGGTACAGAAGTACACACCTTGATGACAGTAACCTTCATAATCTCGATTTCCGTGTTGACATCTAGAAGAGAGTTACAAAGATGGTCTGAGGCACTGAGAGCAACTTACAAAGTACTGGTCGACCTCCCCAGATGTTGCCCAGTTTTTCAATGGTGATAAGTTGGGAGTAGCTATTTCTGGGGTCATTGATAAGGGAGAACGAGTCCTTTGCCTATAGAAATCAATGGGTCACAGGTTCAAATCTCGTGTAAGAGCACTCACAGAATAAGGCTTAGCGGCAAAAGTCTTGTAATACTCCAAAGGTGTTCCCGACCAGGTTCCGGCTTTGTCGTTCTCATCGTAATATTCCCAAGTGAATGTTGCGTCGGGTAAGGGAGGGACACCGAGAGCGGCGGTCATGATAGTGTAGATCTCTTTCATGAGCTTCTCTTTCTCAGCCCGGGTAGCTGAAACTGTAGCTTGAGCAGATGCTCCGGCTGCTTTCATGTCGACAACCAGCTTTCGGAGGATAAGCGCGTCTTCTCTCAGCTTTGTTTTGAGTAGCGCATTGAGAGGGGAAGATAAGGAGGAGTGGAATGATTCTGGATAGACAGATTGAGGAACGACACCGTAGGTTTCGAGAAGGTTGACTGCCATATCCCATTGACCTCCGTCAGAGATAAGGTCGCCTGAGAGATGACTGATCACTCTGTCATCGACGGATAGATCTGCGTTCTCAATCATCAGCTCAAGATAATAGTTTGATTTGTTGAGCTTGTCCCAGAAGAACAAGTATGACTATTCAGACAGTTAACGTCGCTCAAATGCGGATGTTAGTTTGGGATACATACCTGAGAAAGTTGGAAGTCCTTTAGTTTGAGCTTCTTCATGACTTCGTACCGGAGCACATTGGTGGTGGCAAACAGCCAACAACGACCACTGCTCTTTTGGTTAGTGATGGGACCAGTTTTGAAGTCAATCTCATTATTGAAGATATGCGTAGTCGCTACTGTGGCTTTCCTCGACACAAGGGCGTCACGGATGTCTGAATGAGAGAGAACAGTACGAGCTAGTCGCGCCTTTGGGTCGTGACTAATATCTGATTCCCAGGACGATACATTCTGCAGTGAAACGGAGCCATCCACTGAAGTGGGCGTCGACACTGATAAGGCAGAAAATGCGGTAGCGATCTCTGCAGGAGCATGCTTCTCGTTCTCAGCGTGTTGTTGCTGTAGGACAGGAGATGGCTTGACTGGTTTAGACGGAGACGAACCCATGGCAAGTAGGAGAGCGAAAGTAGGCGTATCAGGAAGCCACGCTTTATATGAGCCCAGGAACATTTGAAATGGAAATATCCGGTTATCTTATCTATGTATATATGTTGCGCATAGAAATAAATCATACGCGCCGTACGAGGCCGTACGCATCTCAGGCTACCGCCTGTGACCATCTTGTAACAGAAAAGCGTCTTTGAGGTCTCACGGAAGGAACGAAGTGGGAGTTCGATCCAGAAATAACTTCTGGCATGACCAAAAAGAACAAACACGCCCAAACTTCAGTTGGGTACTTTTATTTCCCGGGCCACTATTTACGGTGACCTCGCTGGTAGCACAAGATGGTTCACACCGACATTCCTCACATCCGGGTCAATGTCTCTTCTTCTCCGCTTGTTTCTTGCTACCATGGAGCCTCTGGCTGCTCAGATTCTGAAAGTACGAATGAAGCCATTAGCACTACCCCGTCTTTCCCTCGCATTTATTCTCGGCGTCAAGCCTTAGACTCATCTTCATATCTTCTACGGAATCGTCCCTCTGCCTCATCATCGGCGTTGTTCTCAAGTCTTTCGCAATCTACGCTTTCAAGCTCTCAGTCCGATTCACAGGTCCTTACTGCAAATTCTCGTATTCCTGCCACGGCGATTCTAGCTCTTCTCGACTTGTTGGATGCATTCGATGCAGACGTAGAAACACAGGTAGCGCATTTGAAGGAAAACATCAAGGAAACGCGTGAGCTGGTAGTGATTTGTAGAGCGGAACGCGTTGAAAAGTTGGCTCGGGCGTGTCGAAAGAAGGAAGCAATTGAGCGAGGGACTTTAGCTGCTGATAGCGAGTTTTGGTGTAGCATTTGAGCTCTTGGGACGTCTATCTTCTCGTATCTTGTGCCTATGATACATAAATGCTGCATCGATTTGTCTGTACAATGTGGCTATACACGCGTGGTAAACTCATTGAGGAGTCTTACCATTTTTGAACTTGGAACCTCTTGTATCACCATCACAATGAGTACGTCCCTCTTCGTCTCAGTGCAATGCTTAATAAAATTACTTCCTGCAGCCGAACGATCCAATTCTTTCGACCAAGAGACTGTCAATAAACTCGAGAAACGCCTTAGCCAGCGACCTGAGAAGACCGATCTTGTCGATCGCAATATTCTGAAAGGCAGGTCGTATTGACTACATACTTTACGATTGACCTAAAACCCACATTCACAGACGACAAAGGGATTGCACCTTCACTTGTTGCGGCAAAAGAGAAGCTTCAACGTTCTCAACTTGAGGTATCACCAAAAATTCTGGTGTAGTTAACATCCACTACATCTATCGACAGGATAAGCTGGGCCAGGCATTGCAACAACGCCCAAAGCCAGAGGAGTTGGTCAAAGAAGGGATCCTCCTTGGTGAGGGCAATCCACTATCGCCATGTACAAAGCTGACCATCGATATGTAGAAGAAGAAGCTCCTCCGAGTAGAGCATAAGGATATAAATGAGTGGGGGGGTGAACATTATGGATACGGTTAATTTATGTCATGTACTAAAAGGAATGGATAAATATAAAGCATAAACTGAAAAGGGACAAGAAACGTACAAGCATCGCTCCAAGAAAGATCCTACTTTCTCCTTGCATTCCTGAATTTCTCCTTCATTTCCTCTGCTGCTCGTCGAGTACCAGCTCCGCCCGCCCAACCTCTGCTTCTTAACCAGTTGACCAACTGGGGTGTGAACGCTGCTGTAAATCCTACCCGCACAGGGAGGAAAAGGGTTTTGTGAATAGTGTAGGCGAGGACGAGCATGGCATAAAGACCCTCGTTTCCGGAAGGCATGCCTCCATTGATGGGATCCAGATCAGCTTTGCCTGGCTCTGGAGGTTTAGAATGAATCACGCTTGCCACTGATTCTTTCACAGAAACTGCAATTCGAGATACCTGCTCGGCACCTATGAGATTTATGGCCGCAAAAGCGACAGCAAAGTCGACAGCACCAATCACGAAGTATACACCCAGTGCATACCAGCCGTATGATTTTATAAGGTGCTTTAACCGTTGTGAAAACGTAGCATTTTCTTGGGAAGATTGTATGGGAGGGGAAGAGTCGCGGCCGGGTGATGACGAATTGAGACGGGCAGGGAAATTGGAAAAAAGCCGAGAATTCGACCTTGGGGTATGGGTGAGAGTGGATACGGGCTGTCTGAAGCGTGTAACTGGCAGCAGAGGGGCTGTAACGCGTGGTACAAGTCTTATAGGAAGTCGTAGAAAGAAACGGGACAACATGATGGTCTACGAAACCTCTTCGGCACAAAACTCTCTGATTATGATTCGTACCATGTGACTTCTTCTGATTATTTTTTGCTTTTAATCGGATGGGAAGATAATATTTCTGCTATTAGATTGCCATGGCTGAGGCAGGAGAGACAGCGTCTGCCCCCTTTGAAGGCCCAGAAAAGCTTCTGGAGATCTGGTTCGCTCCCTCTGCTGCTGCAGTCCCAGATGCCAATTCGCCCGAGGATAGTAGGACTGGTCTCCGCAAAGTTCCTCAAGTGATCTGGAAGGAGATGCTGGCCATCGTAAAATGCGAAGTGCTCAGTGTTGTCTCTGGGACAGAGATAGACGCTTATCTTCTCAGGTTTGCTGCGATTTTCCTTCAGGACTCCATAATTGACGAAACTTTTCCAGTGAATCGTCATTATTTGTTTCCCCCCATAGAGTTATTCTCAAAACCTGTGGGACTACATTAAATCTCCTGGGACTTCCACGAATTCTAGACATCGCCGCTAATTATGCCAATATGTCTTCAGTGTATCAATGCTTCTACTCCCGCAAATCATTCATGTTCCCCGAGCGCCAATTAGGTCCTCACCGCGATTGGCAGCAGGAAGTCCAGTTTTTAGATAATATATTCCCCAATGGTGCCGCCTACAACGTAGGCAAGGTCAACGGTGATCATTGGCTGCTTTACATGAAAACACCCAGCGACGATTCTGGCGCTTTCCGATCCTCGCCTCATTTGGAGTCTCCCGTTATAGGAAATGCTTTCCCCGATTATACGATCGAGATACTGATGAGCGATCTCTCTCCTGCGGCTCGTGAACCATTCTTCTCAACATTCTCTTCACCGGAGACGCCATCATCTCATGCCCTATCACTATCGAGATCTTTTGGCATCACTGACATTTTTCCTCCACACCTGACCACCTTGGACGCATATTCATTCTCTCCCTGCGGCTACTCTTCTAATGCTTTAATTAAATGGGGTGAAGATCCTTTCTTCTTCTCTTCTCCTGATATGGCGGACGGAACGTCTACTGTTGGAGAAGGTTATTACACTATACACGTTACACCAGAGGAAGGATGGTCCTATGCCAGTTTTGAATGTAACGTTCCGTTGCACCCAAATCGTCCATCATCTGCACCCGACGCTAATACTATTCCTGACCTCAAAACGCTCGTCCAACGCGTCGTCTCGATCTTCCAACCTGGTCGTCTATCCCTCACACTATTTATCTCAAGCGAAGACAACGAATCAGATGAAACTGGTGAAAGCCCTGTGGAGGCAGCACAGCGGGCTTTCCGAGCCGCTTTGTGTGCGTCAGTGATGGAAGAGAAGATCCCTAGTCAGACGAACGGAACGAACGGGGAAATCTCGGACGACAACGCTCCTTCTCAAAAAGTGGGCAAGAGGTACCGAAGAACTGATAAGATCAATTATGAATTTGGTGCCTACGATCTTGCCTTTGCGAGCTTCGAATTGTCTGATCACAAATGACAATTACAATTCTTGTTTGAATCCTCGGGATATGTGTTTCTGTGCTTAGTGCCATGTGTGAACAAACTATATATACCAGTAATACATGAGGGAGATCATCCAAATTCTCCGCCGAAAAGGTAAATACATAATCCTCCCTGCCGCAACTGTTAAATGGTGGATCCAACTGAAGATAGTTCTGCGATGATAGTAAAGTAAAGCTGTTTCCCTGCAAACTCTTCCCGTGAAGAGACGTCCCCGAAAAGTCCAGAAATAGAATGTTCCACCAATCAATATGTGCTCATATCCTACCCTGTATTTAGTCGTCGTTTTCGAGGGACTCTCCGGGATCGGAATCCCTCGGTGCGCACACGGGGCACAAACGGACAAAAATGTCTGCCATTGGCCAAGTGATATGAGCCTGAGAGTGGAAAGATTTTATCGTTCAAGTTCAGTGGACCTCATTACGTTTAAAGAACCATGGGTCACTCACAAAACCCGATTGCCTTACTTCGTCCGTCATGATATTGGAGTTCTTGTGTGCCCGGTGGGCATAGGCTAGAATATCGTACAGTTCATCCTGAACTGGCAGACGGTCAAAGATACTTTGTTCCGGAAGTGTGGTGCCATCTCCATGTGTATAGCGCACAGGATCAGCTTGGTACTCCTGCAAGCTAATAGCTAGATTTTCCGGTATAGGATCGCGAGGTATAAGGATGAGGGGATGCGTTTGAGAGCCTGGGAGTAGTCGATGAGTAGTCATCCATGTTTGTAGATATGGTGACGCATGTGGTGGTATTTCGCCTGTAACCAAGTATTTCGCCACTCCCGCATAAGTAGCAGGAGAGAGACTCGCGCTCTCTTGCATTTCTGGCATTAGGGTTTTCAGGAAGACCTTTATGCTTTTGTTGAAAGCTTCACGATCTGGCATCTCTGCCTCTTGTTTTTCCGACAACGTTCGGAGAATGACCGAAGGTAGAGGAGAAAATTGCGGAAGCGAACGCTGCGATCTAGTGAAGATCGCATTACCGTTAGAGCTCTGTTGAAGGCGGCTGGCGGAGGAAGTTGAGCCGCTTCGAACAGAACCTCGGGTAGAGCGCGCATCGCTGTCACGATGACTACTACTTGACCCTCCTTGATAGTCAGAAGGACTCGTGGTGGTGAATCTTCGGATCGGCGTTGACACACTCGAAGGAGCCTGGTCTTGTATATTGGACTGTGAGGGCTCATAGTCATTTGTATTCTGATCGACAAATCCAAATTTCAAAATAGTGCCCGCGGTTGTTCCAATATCATCTTCGAAAGTTATTTTTTCTTCTGCATTCCGTCGCCTTCTGGGCAGGTATGCACATTGGGAAGGCTTGCCTTGAAGTTGACATTGATTGCAGGCCGGCATATCTCTGTCACACTATGAGCCAGTCCTAGTAAGTATACAGGTCCAAAGTGACCACGAACCATCGCGGCGGAAGTTTCTTACCTTCAAGCCATACTTTTGACATGTAGCGCACCTGGGTATTCCTCTGTGTGAATGGTTTTGCAAAGTATACTTGCATTCCTTGAGTCCTTCGCAATTCTGACACGAAGGCATGGCTCTGTCGCACTGGCCCCATGAAGATTATTGGAATTAGGGGGAACGCTTCTTTGATTGTACAAGTGGCACATACCTTCAAGTTCTTTTTTCGGCATCTGTCACACCTGAAAAACGTTTTTCAGTCAACTCGACCGAAGTCGCCGCAAGTTATGCTCGCCATGACAGATTTTGAGCTCGGGACTAACCTGGTTTTGGTGTTATTATCCATTTGTGGGCTCATGTGTAGCTTTCGTTTTGGTATACGGAGAACAAGGTGGTGATTCTCAGCGGTTTCAATTGAAGATTCCATCGTGACAATCTCGTTATCATCAAATAGCCAGAGTGCTGGCAGCCTTGAGAATCGCGAGTGCCGAAATTTGACTGCGCTGCTTCAGCTAGAGGAAATGTGCGCAAGTATGGCGAGATATTTATGAGCTGTGCTCGGAGTAAGAAGCGCTGAATTATTCCCTCGATCTGGAGTCTTTGACGATTTTCTTCTGTCCAAGTACTTAGCTTGGAATCGAGTTCCCAAAAGAGGATGTTTTGATGTACCCGGGCATAACCGAATATCATCGTTGACCCGGACCGGCACATTTCTTGCCCAACCTTGTCAACCTTCAAATAGTATGATACTGGTCACTGCCTGTTAAACTTTCCGAATACAAGCCCAGCTGTCCGTATTCTGACAAGGCGGTGGATACCCCATCTCTTACATAGGTCCTTCTCCCCTTATTGTGTACATATGTGATATGGACTCGGACTCTCATCCTCTCTCATCGAATCTCGTTGAAGCACTTTCTAGCCTTCCGAAGCCTTCCGAATACTAGTTGGGAACCACATCTACATACCGTAAATTCAGTGTACACTACGACTATTGGAACTGTGCAATCTCTCTACGTTTAAATCATGAATGCTCACATACGTTAACGTTGACGACGTGGCGAACACTGAAAAATATACGGAAGAATTCCAGAACTATCGCTATACATAATCTATACATAATAATAGATACTAATACTACGAAATATCACATGAATTTTGTGTGCGATGGTCTCAAAATACTTATAAGTGAAAGGAGTTGAAAGTTAGGATTCAGCAGAGTCCTCATGTCGTGATACTACACTATGGCTGTTCCTCAACAGTGAGACCGTGTCGGTCCTTTCCTTTCCTTTCCCAGCACTTCCGCCATCTCGGGCTGGTCCTCTTTTTCTGAGTTCTTGCCCGTCATGTTCGCACTTGTTGTCTAACCTTCTCGATGATACTAAACGTGTAGTAGCGTATTACAATCTAATTAACGACGGAAGATCGATGCTCACTGACGGTATACGTATTCCGCTGATCCTCTCAAGTTCAAAAATAATTCGAACAGCAGCGGTAGCGGAGCATCAAAGACATATTCAGGATGGCTATGATCTAATGGAATGAAGACCAGGGTTTCCCTTTTCCGAAATTCTGAAGTAAAAGTTGTCCATTTTCGATTCCGGGAGCTCCACTGGCAGTTACCACTAACTTCGTGAACCGGAACCGGAATTTTTTCAGGCTCCAGTTCGAGACCAATGGGTTTGTCCACGATTCCCTTGAAATGTCATGCATGTCATGCTTGAGCTTGAGACCTTGAGGAAGAGACTCCAAAGATTGCACAATCTGAGCATTGTGCCACTGCCGTTCCCTATGATCTTTATTTCTCCACGAGTTCCCTCAGCGCGCGCGGGGACAGCTGCCTCGTAGAAAGTATGGCTAGTGAGTGCCTCAACGCGACGACCACAATCACATTGCTCAACGAGCTAGAAACGGTTAAAGCAGCGGTATATGAAATGAACACAAATCTAAGAACCAAGATGAAGATATAGGCGGCCTTGAAACGCATGAACACAAATCCAAGGACCAAGATGAAGATATAGGCTTTGAAATGCAAGCCTACATCGGAAACTCGGACATACATATTGACCTATATTGACCTGAGAACTTGGAGCGTCGAAAAAGGAGAAACTAGAGACAGATTGATTTTAATATCAAGGTGATGGGTTTCAACGAAGAAGAAGACGTGTGATTTGTGAGGGATCTGTGGAGGGAGAGAAGGAGTTGTCAGCAATGAATTGGGTATGCGTTTTTTGACCAGCGAAGCACGATCTTACCGACCAGTGATGGGAGAAGAAAATCAAGAACTTATAGCGTCGATTGCCAAAATATACCTGACACATAGATTTATCTATTCTGAATCCAAGGGAGTATTCTCACTGATGTACGTATAGCCAACCTTTTGCCTCCTTTTGCCTATCGACAGCGAGTGCATGCGGTCGATGTCGAGCGTTTGAGCTATTTGAGCTATGATAGCAAGGTTGATGGTTGCCACTTGCAATGTCCATCTCAGATGCCTTCCATGTATTTCCTTCTCGCCCATGTGTATGACCAGTCAGACCCTACGACTGAGTATAAGGTGAGATTTGAGTGAGACGTGAGTGGGTGTAGGTGGATGTCTTCTCATCAGCCTTGGTAGCAAATATTCGGGCAAATAGTCCTCGAGCGGGTGAGGCTGTTGGTATTCAGACACGGGTAGCCTCCGAATCAGATACATATAGGCCTGGAAATCTTGCACATGAGGTTCCGTCGGGTCGCATACGGAGGAATTCAACACACATATGAATGCATGTTACATAGTCCAAGGCGCTGTGTAACATGCATTCGCATGTGAGCCTCCCGAGGAGGGCTCAAGTCTCACGTCTTTTGGGAATCTAGTTTTCGAGATACATAGCATCCGTGGATAATCCGAGTTTGCGCGGCAACAGTTTGTAGTTGTTTGGTTCAGCCCAGGCTCACTAGTTCTAGCTCAACGTCAACGTCAAGCAATGCTCGCACAGACGACCTTTCTAGAGATTCAATCAGATCCATTGCTACATACGATACATGCAATCATCTCTGATTCTCTGTCCCTACGATGTCCGAGTCCCTTCCGAATTCCGTACCCATTTACTCTGCACTCCAGGAAAAGAACAGAATCCTCACTGAGATCGTAGTGGAGGGATGACTTTTCCAGCCACCTTGATCTGGGACTGTCAGGGGAAAAGCTGATAAATAACTACTAGTAAGTGTTAGGAATACGTTTGCTTACTTTCGGCATGTACTGGGCGAAATTGGTGGGTACCGAGAATGTTTTGGTATGAGCCAGATTAAAACTCTTCTCCAATTCCAACTTCGTCGACGCAGGCTGGTGTTTTACTTGATTGCGAAGAGCATTCCTCAACCCGGCCGACGAAGATAACCAAATCTGGAATTTGTCTGACCCATGCAGAAAGAGAATCTGCCCTTGATCATAGTGGGACACTGCTGTTTTCAGCTTGAAATTGATTGAATTACGCTGTGCCGTTATGCTTCCTTTAGAAAATAACACTTCTGCGTTCGCCTCGATTTCCGTAATTGTTTCTTTGATTGCTTTCCTGAGAGTTGGCAGAAGTTCTTCCTTCACCTGAACTTTCTCGTATTCTGCTGTGGGTTCAAGGAATGTCACCTGAACCTGAACACTTCTCCTTTTGGAAAGGCTAGCTTTAGGAGCCATTTCGGAATGGCCAAGCGCCGAATCCTAGAGCATCCAGTGAGGGGATGGACATCTTACTTATGACGTCATAACGTCACTCACCGAGTTAGCGGGGATAACAGCAGCACGTGCAATGGCTACAAGCCCCTCAAAGCGTAAACCCCTATTGAAACAATGAAAATACATGACAACTAGGATTTGGAGTGTCGAAGCAGAGATAATGCGTAACGAGTAGAGGGTGATAGTTGACGAACACAGAGTATGAGGGAACCTGTGGAGGAAGAAAACGTTGAAGAAAGAGGAGGAGAATGTTCATAAAGAGGCAGTTACCTTTTATCGACCAGCGAAGTGCAATCTCACCGACCAGCGGTGGGGGGAACAGGGGAAAATATGAAGTTAGTTTTTACGGAAAATTCTCGAGCTTTCGTGAGAAATCCTCCAATTGTATTGATTATCTCTGCTTCAAGCTTCAATCACCATCAAATCCTCCAACCTCCGTCCTCAAGCGTCCAAAATTTCATTGAATTGCATCTACCATCTTGCAGATGCTCAGCCTTGCCTATGACACTATAACTATACTGTGCATATAGGCTGTCTCTCTTGATTAGTTCCTCATTGCACAATTAATTTAACTTCAGTTGTGTACTACACCAACTGAGAATTCATTCAGAATTGAGTCTTAATAGCAGTGTAAGTGTTGATGTAAATTGCAGAGATATTACTATAAGTACTACCAGATCCATAGTTTTTTGAATAACTTTAATAATTTTATTTCCATGGGTAACCACTTATAGTAAGTATCAAAGCAGAAAGTCCCCCTGAGAGTAGAAGCTCAAGAACATCCATGTCAATGGGGGAGGTATAGAGCACATTCAGAGGCAGTTGTTGCAATATTAGACCCATTTTCCTTGAGACACTGCTGCACCAAACTTTGAGCAATTCGTCAGAATCAAGTTTTCAAAATCTATAAGAGTGCAAATCTTGAGAATATTGCCGAAAATTATATACTATCCTTGATTCTTGAGAAATTATTGAGAGACATCATGACAAAACCCAAAACTCTTAGGAATATTGACTAGCCACTCTCATGAAATGTCCCAAGTCGCATTTCTTGTCAGCTGACGGTGATTACACAACCTTGCGCTGGCAGTTTTGTGCTGGTCTTCCTTCCTTCCCAACTTCCACCAGCTTGACTTTGAGCGAACGTGCACACTTTCAGTCCTCAATATCTTTCAAGCTCTTGATGACAACATGCTGCAACAGGCCTTGATCACACACACACAACTGGTGCCAATATTTTCTGATTCACCAACAAGTAACTTGGACTCAACGTCGTCAAATTCAAAGCTGCCTCAACCTTTGCCCCCGAGCCTCAAACTTCAAGAGTCAATATTCAACTCAGTTCAAGAGTCAAGATCTTGCCCATTAAGATTTGTAATAATTTGACTATACTCCTAATAACACTATGTAGTAAACATGGCATGTAGTACTGTAGGTACATTTTACGAGCAAAATTTTCCGAAAATAAAAGTGGTCTGATAATTCTGATATCATTATTATACCGGGTTCCGGGATTCCGTGACATGCGCGCGCGAGGTATATTCAAAAATTAGAAGATATTCTTAAGAGTCTCTTCATGATTCTTGAGAATTGTTACTTTTGAGAATTTCTACACGTTTGGGCGCTCCTCTATCTCAGGAATTTCTTAAGAATTTATTCAAAATTCTTGAGAGGGCGCATCCATAAGAAAATCGTCGAATTCTGTCCAGCAGTGTACACAAAGTTGCTTGAGGTTCGACGTCGGACGCTTGACAACTCATCAATTGAAACTCCGGAATTTTCCGTGAAATCTGCCGTCATAGGAAAAAGTAGTGCTAATTTCAACCTGTTTCAACAGGACCCCGGACTACAGTCATTCCCACGTCCTTTTAACAGCGAAATTTAGTTACACCTCGGAATGCAGCATTATTATAGTATGAAACAAATATAAACTGAGCAGAAGTTTGTTAATGGTCCACTGAACAATCTTAGCACTTTATACGAACATCTTCAATGGAGGAAGGTATGCGATTGAAGCTATCAGTTTGAAATTTCCTTATCAGCCCATTTGGGTTCCTTTTAACAGTCGTCACTTTGACCCGTGATTTCCTTCTGGGGCATTAAATCCGACGTAATCCGAAGTCCGAAATCATGATCGGGCTACTCGTCCACGATGCCATCGTTTACAAATCGTTGAGATACACGTTGCCTAACTTTTCAAGCATCTGACCCTCCACCTTCATCTTCACCTTCGTCCTCGTCGTCGTCATCTTCACTGTCACTTCCCTTATCAGACTCAGAGCCACATCCATCCTCTGTATATCGGATAGCATTCCTCTGATTACCGGATGGTGCAATCCTCTGAGCAGACAGGAAGTCAGCGAGTTTTGGTTTTGCCGGAGGTTTGACAAGTGCACCTGACGTATACGTGGGCTTTGAAGGCTTGGTCCATGCTGGCTTCCTTCGCTCTGTACGTGCTATATCTCGTTCCTTTTCCCACTCTTGAACTGATGCCTCCCACTCTTTTAGTGTCTGCTCATTCTTCTCTTCAATTCCTTTCACCTCAGCATCGTACCGGATCATCGCTGTGGCTAGCCGCTGATTTGCTGTCACCCTCGCATCTCTCTTCCTTGCTAACTCCGCAGTCTCTTCTGCTTTTTTGGTGTTTGCCTGCTCAACGAGGCTTGTAAATTCATTGCTGGTGAGAAGCTTTGCACGGCCGTCCACATGCAAACGAGCTGATTTCTTTGTGCTAGCCTTTTCTTCTTTGTACTCGAGCTGGCCTCGGACCTCTCTTGCGTACCAGTCCTGCAGGACATTCTGTGCCTGCATGGACATCATCCATTCATTTTGTAAGTTGAGTTGGTTATTACTGCGAAGTAGGGCTGCCTGAAGCTGAGCCTCGTACTCCGTCATAGGTTTGCGTGCAAGAAGCTCAGCATTGCGATTCTGTGGTGGAGAAATTAATGTTGTTGCTAATTGGGGGAGATGGGATGTTGATCTAATTGGAGAACTCGAGACGAGAAATGCTGCTGAAGTTGAGCTCAGACGAGAGACAGAATCTACTACTGCAGTTATTCGGGCTCGACGGGTGGGCGTATGGGGCTGCGAATCAAATCCGCCAGGTGAGTCGCTGATTTCCGATGCCTTTCGTTTCAATTGCTGATGAGATGATATCAGTGCAGCAATCTCTTTGACTGGGCTCATAACACCAAGCGGCATCAAGCGTGTAGCTGATGTCGATGATTCGAGGCTAGGAGCCATGGCCTGCTCTGAAATGACGTCCGGATTGAAGGGAACAATACCGGTTTTTCTGAACGCCGCCTTGATGTTCGACTCAGTGAATGCTCGAACATGAGCCTTTGCGTAAGTGGCCATGAAGTTGGTTTTCGTCACCTTTCCATGATTCCTTTCATAGTGATCGCGCTCATCACTCCAGGCACGTTTCAGCAGACTGAAGATGACAACGTCTAGTCCTTGGTAGATGTGAGTTGAATGTGAGGGATAGCAGAGAATGTGGATCTTATTCTCCCGGGCATATTGTAGGAATTCGAGTGTATAGTGTGAGTTATGACCATCGACAAGAAGAAGACGGTAGCGACCATCTGCTTTGGACCGTGTCTGCTTATCAAAATCTTCAATCCAAGCTCGTCCAATTTCGCCATCGGTATAACCTTTTTTCTGATAGCCTAGCCTATACATATATGTGAATTAGAACATGGAATTGTCAAAACCAATGAATTCAAACCTCGCGTTCAAAGGATTGTTTTGTAACCATTTGCTCTGGTAACCCTCCCCCTTGTAAATCACGGCTGGTGCAAGATTTGTGCCATCTGCACATATTGTTGGTAAGACCGTGATATTCTCTCTATTTCCATCCCGTTGCTGATGTTGAACACTCTTTCCTTTACCACCAACAACATACTCTTTTGCACCAATCCCAGGTTGGATCCCAGTTTCGTCGCCACCATAAACTAGTTCATCGGGTATGTTGTCCATCTCCCGTATATCCTTCAATAACTGAAAAAACTCTGCTTTTGTAACAGGATTTACTGCTCGCGCTCGAGACGTATCAAGGGAATGTGACCAATATTGACCAAGTTGGTGGTGATATCGCGTAATGAAGCGGGTTGCCCAATCAGCATTGAGTCCATTTTCAGGAGCCAAAGAACCAAGACGGTGCTTGAGAATTTGATTTGCATGTTCACGTAGGCGTCGAGGGCTAAGCGGGAAGCCACGCTCAGCCATCTCGACAGCATACTGAACAATAACTTTCTCTTCGTTGGGATAGAGCCACCTCTTTGACTGGTTAAACTTGGAAATTGTCTTGCCACCATTAGTATGATTAATCAATGTTCCGTAGCTGAGACAAATGCGCTTTCCTGTAGCTGCAAAGTGAGAGTTCGAGACCTCTTCACAGATTTTTCGTGCACCTTTCCGCCTCTCTCCATCTGCTAGTTCACGTTGTTGCTCCTCTTTGTATCGCTGTACTGCTTCTTTTTCAAGTTTGTCCTTCTCCCCTCGTGTGATTTGAGCTCGCAAAGCTTGAGATTTGGGTTTGTTCACCATGATACAGTGTCAAATATTGCACGAATATTCTGTTGCCTGCGCGTCGGTTTCCTAATTTGGTTGATTAGCGACCACCTCCTTTTAGAAAGTGTGATGTGACATCTAAAACTCCGACGTTTTGAACAATGGGTATTCGAAAGGGCATAACTTCATCCACATTACATTATATGCTGCTTCCAGTGATATGCTAGGTATAAGTAGTGTATATACAACTGGGGATGCAATTTGTTTGAGTAGAATGCATATTTCAGGACCATAGATCCTTTATTAAAATTCAAATATCATTGGTTTTACTGTAAGCAAGCAAGGATAGCAAGGATATGAAGGTAATCTGTCTATTAAAGTATCGGATATTTAAGGAGGGCATTGAAGCTACCTATTGAATACAAGTCCGAGGCTAAATGTCTATATTTTTGTTCATTCCGAAGCCACTGTTCAAAGGAGGTAGGATGTTAAAAGGACGTGGGAATGACTGTATAGGCTGTAGCGACTTATCCCAGTTCGCATCATAATGGCACCCGAAATGAGGGTGTACCCTTCAATGCCGAGTAATTTTAACATTTTCTTGTGACTAATATTCGACCTCAAAAAGCCTCAAAACGATCAGAAACGGGTAAAAACACAAAATTTTGGTATTCTCCTACCCTTTTTAAGCCATTTTGACGGCCAGACCCCAGTTCGCATCATAGGCATGGAATTTTTGGTGAATTTGGTTCGCATCATAGTGCTTGGTCTCGAGAATTTTTCGGATAAGACATTCTGGTCTGTAGTCCGGGGTCCTGTTTCAACCTTATAATGTATGTATCATCCGACTAGATGATACTCATCGTACTTCGTCACAGCTCGGATCAGCGTCCTGTGACAGTACATCTGAGTTGTATGCGTCCTTTACCCTCGCTTGTTCGCTTGTTCTAGTTGTCTCCTTTTATCTCCTCCACTATTTCTTGTTGTAACGGATAGAAATAGATAAACAGCACCATCGAAGAGGTATATCAGGACATTGGGGGTCGTACTGGGTCGTATCGTATTTTTCTTATTCCATAGTTCATTAGGACCTACAACCACATCATCCTGCGCGAACCGGAGCACAGCCTTAGCATGATACAGAGATAGCAGTGGGAGATAAGGAGATAAACACAGATGAAGCGGGGGATAGCGCATCCAACCTATATTATTGAATTTAGTCGTCTGAGATCAAAATTTGAGGAGATACGAACCACCCAAGGCAAGTATCTACAGTCGCTTTTGAGAAGAGGTTACACGCAGAGAATGCTCTCAAAAAAAGCATAGCATTATCAATGTCTGTAACATCAGCACAACGCAAAAATAAGATCGCACAAGGTATACAATTAAGATGAGTTATACAGTAACATCGGTTATGGATTGATCCCTATGCACACATTGACCCATCCATCGGCACCGGCGAGGCAGCCACCTAGCCAGGCCATTTCCGTTTCTGAAGGCATAACTATACCTTGGACCAACGCGTATGCAGGACGAGGCACGGGTGGGGGACGTGGATGTGGATTAGTGCGCGACGGAGGTGGTGCCGGGGGTGCAGCTGGAAACAGCAAAGGAATGTGATCAGTCAAATAGTGCGAGAGAGTTCGCGGAGTATCTGAATTTAATTTGAGAGATTAGAACGCGCAACGGGAGCTTGAAGTGACGAACTTACTATCATCTACCATGGGAGGCACTAAATCCTGTATGACAGGGCCGTCTGGTAGATAAAGGCGGACAGGAATACTACGGACGTTGTAAGCACCATCGCGTTCCGAAGGACCTCCGGGATCTGCGGACGGAGGTCTATTGACCATGGAAGCAGATGATGACGGAGGAGCCGGTGATTGGGTACGTGTAGGAGCCGTAGTAGGAGTCACTTTCGAGGCTACACGCCAATAATCGTCAAAGTTATCTGACCATGCAGTCAAAGTCCGTTCGTGTGTTGGAAAAGACCTTGGACGTACGCTCTTTGATCCCCTCCCATAGTCCATCCTGATCCTGCTGTCTTAACCCTGTCATTCGTTTGGTGCTGCCCCATCTTATGAAGTCGGCTTCCTTTAGCTGACCCATGAATGCCTGCTTGCATGCTTCAGGACTTGGTGAAAGGAGAAGTTTGTCATTTGGAGGGGATGCCAGGTGTAAGATCAGCCGTAAAGGAGTAACGTTGGCAGATGAACGCGAAGTCGAAGGTTTTAATGATGCGGAGATCGTATGATTATCATATATCAGTCCTATCGGCCAATGCCTGACGAAGAATTGAAAAACATGGACAGTAGCGAGAGGACGAGAAGATTCACCATTTTATCAAAGTTCCTTCAGTCGTTTCGAACCACCATTCCTCATCCTTTAGATCCTTCGCGGCGGTTTCGTCGAAAACCAAGTCCATGAAGAACCTGCGAATTTCTGGCATTAACAGAGGGAGGTAGGATACTCTGGGAGCCTGGACAAAGTAGCATTCTAAATTTCGATCCGAATTTGCAGGAAGTTCCTTGGGATCTACACGGATTTCGAGTGGAACTGTACCGTCCCAAGTAAGTCGGCGAAAAAGGGTGGTATGATAATTTGTGACCCGGTCCCTATTAGAATAGTTGGCTGCGGGAGAGTGATGATGTCGAGTAGTGCCATATGTGGACATTGAGGAAAAATAAACTCCGAACGAACTGGCAGGTTGGGATCTCAACTTACGGTAAATAGGAATGAGCAATACCGCATGGATCACGTGTGTTAAACCAATCGCGAAATTCAAACCACGCGCTTTATGCCTTGTCAGTTGCGCCAAGTGCCACTATCCGTACAGCTTGATCCTTTTTCTTGAACATTCACATGGCCACCACAGTCCGCAATCCTCTATCTCAGCGCTCTCGCCCTTCCCTTGCATCTCCCCGTGTTACAAAGACATCAGTTGGGCTGAAACGACCCAGGTCGCCTGGTGTTACCCCAGAAGATCAGCCTAGTAACGGCGCTACAAAACGCGTCAAATCCGTGGCAGAAGCTTCCCTCGATAAGCATAGACGGAGGGACCAAGAAGAGATAGAATGGAGGGAAAAGTACACCCGTGCTTTCAATACATTCAAATTCCACTTTTCAGAAGACATTCAAAACACCGACTATGTCAAACAACTCGAAAGACGAATCCTTCAACTTGGCGGGGTATGGTTCTACTGTAACCACCTGTTCTTGTATGTGCTCATACTCTGTGCAGACTGTCGAAGATTTCTTTTCGTCTTCAATCACGCATTTGATTGTGAAGGATGTGGAGCCAAGTAGAGCATCGGACAAGGAAAATCGTCATGGGCAGAGGAGTCCCACCAAGAAAGTTGGACTGTGAGTGTATTTCAGGTCACACAATGGAGAGATAGCTTTATCTGATCTTTGTACAGCATTACTGAGGTACCTCTGGTTTATCGTCGTACTGTTGATGAGGCCAAGATCAAAGAATGGGGCGTACGAAAGCTCGATAGTGTCCTTTCTCGTTGCTTGATACAGCCCGTCATCTTGCCTACATCCGGACCTCTTCCCGCTCGATTAAATCCTTCGACGTCCACTCATCCAACCGGCCAGACTCGGTCTCTTAATAAGCTCCTGCAGTCTGAAAAGATTCATGGCACTACCGAGCGCGATCCGACTCAGAAGAGACATGATTTTGCATACTTTGCGCGAGGTAGTTACTTTGTCTTAGTCGAGGACATACACCAAGAACTTGCTACAATTGTGACGCATCAATATACTCCGCCGAAAAAAGGATCCACTCGAACCCCTTGGCCTGTTCTTCATTGTCACCCTCAGTCAAGAGGACCTTTTGTACCCTTCGACGAGAAGGAAAAGAAACGATGGGAAAAGGCCCAGAAGATAGAGAGAGAGGACAAGATAGAAGCTCACGAGAGAGAACTAAAGGAACAGAAGCTATTCCAAGAGCGTATGTCCCGAGAGAGGGAGGCTCGCCATCGAGGATTCGATCTCAGGCGTTCAGTGTCCATGAACAACCTTCGCCGCCGTGAATCGCTAGAGGCAGAGACGGGGAATGAACAATGCTTTGATTTTGGAGACCCTGATTCCGCTTGCGCGTCGGGGTATCTTGCTTCTGGTAATGGAGGTTACATTGCTGCATCTGGAAACAGTGTCGGTATCACTTCCACTACCGGCACAACTTCCACCACCGAATCCAATTTCGGCCTCGGCTCCAAGTTATCGGCCAAACTGAAAGCTTTCGCAGATCAACAGGTACCGACATCCCTCAAGACCGGCCGACGCGATAGTATTAAAGGGAATATGGGGCCTCCTGCACTTCCCGAAGGGCGTGTCGGCGTGGGCCTTCGAAGAGCCAAGAGCACTAACAACCTCAAGCTTCCAAAACGAGAGGAGGGATCAAAACCAGGTTATTGTGAAAGTTGTCGCCAAAAATTTGAGGACTTCAAGCAGGTGCATTTTCCTGACTTAAACTTGTATCTTCACCTAATCACTCGGTGTTTTTATAGCATATTCGTAGTTCCAGACACCGAAAATTTGCCAAAGAGGATGCACATTTCGCGGAACTTGACATCGTCCTCTCTACAGTTAAACGTAAGACTGTGGTCGATATTATGCGAGAACGTGATGCTCGATTTTCCCGTGAAGACGACACAGAAGAAGACCCTTTCCTCGATAATTCCGGCACGAGGATGCCCGACGTCGACTTGGACGATGTCTGACCGTTTCGTATTTCTTGTTTTCTATGTAATCTCGACCTCTCTTGCCGTTGAGCCTTGGTTGGTTGTTCCCGGCTACATGTACGTTTATCGCATTTTCCTTACTTGACGCCTCATTACGACAACATACATTACTGTACACCTTCCATACGTTACGCACTATATTCCGAATTGTACATATTCCATTATATATCAAGACAAACTCGAAATATCCGGAACATGCATTTTGTCATTAGTTTGAACGTACATGTGTGACAACATCACTTCGACACGGCAGGAAATAATCTCACCCCCGCTACCACGTCCCCTATTGACCCCACTTGTCCATTTATCCACGATCGTTCTGCCGGCGAAACACCCAGCGCGTCCAGAAGCTTTCCAGCCACGCGGGGCATAAACGGCTGTAAGCAGATTCCCGAGACACGAAGAGATTCTAAACACGAATCATAAGACGCACGAGCGACCTCTGGCGATGATTTCCAAGGAGCTGCATCGGTGAGACATTTATTAGCCTAGACGGGACTCTCGGTAAGATGAGAACATTGCAGACTCAAGAAATACGTACCAGCCTGAGCACATCCATGATGGCTTCCAACGCGTCTGCTACATTGACCTTGTCCATATAATTGGAAAGAACCGAGGGAAGCGCCTTAGAAGCTTCGAGGAGAGGAATAAACGGCTCTCTATCGGATGCAGAACATTCTGGAGCCATGCGAGAAGCGATGGCAGGGGAGGTGATCCGCATGTAAAGATTGCCTAGTACGGCCTGGAGTTCTTTGTCATGCTTGGTTACTTGAACGTGGGACCAGTCTGATATGATTTGGTAAATGGATGAAGACCTTGCTTGGTCAAATATAAGGACTGACCTACGTCGTCCTGAAACCGCCCCCCAACCTTGGCAAGATAATACCGCACAGAATCGATGCCAAATTCCTTGATAGCTTGGAACGGGTCCGTCGTATTACCAAGAGACTTCGACATTTTCTTTTGTGAAGATGTCCAGTGCGCGTGAGCAAGAATTTGGCGTTGAAGTGGAAGCTTAAGAGCTAGAAGGACTGCTGGGAGGTATACAGTATGGAAACGAACAATGTCTTTCCCAATAATCTGCATGTCCACGGGCCAGCCTTGACTCACTCCTGAGTTGGGCCAAGGATAACCAATTGCAGTGAGATATGATATGAGAGCATCGAACCAAACATATACTGTATGGTCGGGGTCGTTCGGCACAGGTATTCCCCAGGAGAGACGAGACCTCGGACGAGATATGGATATGTCTTCCAATGGCGACTGGAGAATGCTGACAAGATGGGCATGGTGTGCCAGAGGGACGACAGATTCGGGATCGGAGCTGTAATGTTCTAAAAGAGCTTCCCGGAATTGAGAAAGTCGGAACATGTAGTTGATTTCACTACTGTATTCAACGGTAGCGCCTGTCTCCTTGGAGACAGTGCGGGCTGGTGTGTGTCCTTCTTCTGCGATATGTACAATCTGGCTATCTGTGTAGAAGCACTCATCCGTTATCGAATACCAGCCCGAGTAGGAACCTTTGTAAATGAGGCCCAGTTTGTCTAGTTGGCGCTATGATTGCAAAAAAATGAGTAGATTGTAGTCGGGAGACTCAAGCACGCGTACCCAGACATGTTCTACAGAAGTATAATGCGCTTCCTCACTAGTTCTGATGAACCTTGTGAAATTCACGTCGGCTTCATGAGCCAGTTTCTAAAAAGTGAGATTAATGAATACTAAATAGAGCCAGCCATTGACACGAGAACAGACACGGAATTGCAGGCTTATGGCGTCGCAAAACTCTTTTGGAGGCAGCCCTTTGTTAAGTGCAGCTTTTTGAATCTTAAGACCGTGTTCGTCCGTTCCAGTGACGAAAGAGACCGGTCTCAATGGATTTTTGAGAGCATGATACCGCGCAAAGATGTCTGCTGTGACTAGAGAGTACAGATGGCCAATATGCGGAACTATAAGATACTAAGTTGAGCGTTGAGCAGCCTAACGCGAAATGTTGCTCACTGACCTGCGTTCGGATAGAATATCGGGGTCGTGATGTACCATGGTTTGATAATGGTGCTGGCCCAACGACAAGGAGTACAGGCTTTTAGAAGCACAGAATGGCGTAACATCTGTGTTTCAGCTCTTATAACGACATTGAAGATATATCAGAACAGACCGGAGCGGGACAGCGAACGATATCTTGCTTTGACATCAAACAAAGCTAAACATCCGTCTCTTTCAGTTTCTTTCCTTTTGAACGCGATGAGCGCCACCAAATACGCGAATTTACCAGACATTGTAGGTCTTTCGGACTTGATACCTTGTGTACTGATATGAAAATGTAAACAGGACACTGCCCAAGATATATATGAAACTGAAGATATCTTTCCGTCCCAAGTTCATGTCAGTCAACCATGTACCAACAATAGGCCTACATAATAATTGGCCGCCTTGGTTTCTAGGGAGAGTCCAGCGATGATGATACCCTGCATACTCGATTGGCAATAAGAAGTAGAGCAGGCGAAACTTCGAACAGTCAAGAACTAGATGCCAGCCACCTAATAGACGCTGAAGAGGCAAGCAAAAAGTTCCGAAAGGCTGAAAAGAAGAGAGGTATTTGCTCTGTCCAAAAGTTTCTCGTCTATATTCTGATACACCTGTGGATAGCACGACATCGAACTCGATATGCATACCCTCCATCGTCTACCCAATCTGATTCCTCGTCGGCCGATGAAGAGACTTCTCGGCCAATACCACTATCTAGACGTTTGAAGGGCTTGCAAGCTGAGCTCTCCTCACTCGAAGCTGAGCTCGCCGATCCATCTAGCCCCTTGTTTTTGAACGACGAAGTCAACGATGCAAATCCAGGGGAATTGTTACGTGGACTAGTCGATGTACGAGGTAGGCTAAATCAAATCAGCCGAAGTACGGAGGGTCGTGGTAAGTTAGTGAAATCCATCCTAAGCCAACAACAGTTAGGTAGTATAAGGCTTTCCAAGGGAGAAGAACCGACTCCAATTGAGAACGAGATGAACGAGACGCGGGTGGCAGGTGACATTCACAACCTCCTTGAAATGGATAGACGGGTAGCTGAATTGGAGAGGCTGCTTGGAACTTCGACAACTGCTGTGGATGAGGTAAGCACGGTCTGGCACGTATTGCTACTGCTAACTTGATGTCTTCACAGACTTCGCCGTTGCCATTGCCGCTACTGACTCAGATAACAAGGATACACTATCAACTACAAGCTTTGACGACCCCGCGACACATTGATAACATCTCCCGACGACTGAAATTGCTCATGACAGACCTTGACCGTGTCTCTAACGCGCACACCCACAAACGGCATCCATCTCAACCAAATACGGATCCTAGCGCTAATGCTAAGATAACCAACGATATTTTACCTATACTTCACCGTTTGAACCCAGCATTACCCCAAATACCCCATATTCTAACTAGGTTGCGCACACTGTCGACATTACATACATCAGCAGGGGAATTTGGAAAAGACCTGGAGAGCCTTGAGGACGAACAGGCTCAAATAAAAGAGTCGCTGGAAGAATTGGAGAGTGCTGTGGAAACAGTGGAGAAAAGTCTTGAGGAAAATAGGAAGATTGTGGGTGGAAACGTCGAGGGTCTGGAAAGACGAGTTGACGATTTGTCGAGACGTTTAGACGAACTTGAAAGAATCGGATGATGCGAACACAGTATTACGTCGAATCTCGATATTTTTCCGTGTAGGCCATACTACATAAGCCATACAGTACCTGGGCCACACTATGCATTATCAAGTTAGTTTTACATAGGTGTAATCGTGAATGCGTGATTCCCAACCGTGACACCAACTTATACTAATTGCACTTCTTGAATTTGGAGGGCGGAAGGTACTTACAAGTCAGAGGGATTTTCTGAGACTATGCTTCCCCAATCAAAGCTCGAAATCGTAAGAGATGACAAATGAAAGACGAAAAGAAAATAAGACTTTTACCTTTGCAGAAATTCTAGCTAAGATCATGATGTCTGCGATCTGCTAACCCAGGGCGCATCACAACCACGTGCGGGAGACTGAACATTCGCACGTTGTAGGCACTTACCAATGTCTCCACCAGCTGTTGAGAGCCAAGTTCAAGCATTAACGGATCTTTACAACAGCATTCAGAACGCGAGGCACCATCCCCGCAATCTATTGAAGACTGCCATTGCCCCACACCCGTTACCGCTAACACATCCGTCTCTTTTGCTATATTCCCAGCAGCTCAAAGACATCGCCCATACGCTACGCTCGGATGCAGTCCAATCTGCTCTGCGGGCGGCGAAAGAGAGTGAGAAAGCAGACGGGCAGAACATCATGAACAACGTTCGCCGTGAAAACCGCAAGAGAAGGTTCGATTTTTCTTTTCGGCAAGACGCCGAGCACTGAAGCTGAAACTTCGCGATTCACAGAAGGCCACCCTCGCCGGAATCGCCTCAGCCTTACACCGTCATAGAGCGGCAGAGCTCATCCTTGTTCCCTGTGACCAAAGATGATGTAGCTCCTTTGAAAAGTCCTGAGCTGATTGAGTATATACGACAGTTCAACAAGAAAAATTCATCCTATAAATTGGGAATATGGCAGGGGACACGATCTTCCACCAGAGACTTAAAAAATCCAACGATTCTTCGTTTCACAATCAAGGACGTGCTCACAGCATACCTTACAGTGAGCTATACATCCAATGATCTTGTTCTGTTGGTGGAGAGCGTGACAACATTTGGCCCAAGAGAAAGGGTAAGCCGCGATCGAGATTCGCTCCGTATTTCCGTACAGAAAAGAGCTTGACATCAGGTGCATTGCACAGAAACTGCCTCATTCTCAATCGGATTATTCAGTGTATCGGATGCTATCACAAGAATTCGGAAGGATGATTCATTCAGACCCGCGAGTGGGGCTGCAGAAATTCATGGTGGGATCAATTGCTTTTTATTCTTTTCCGGTCTGACTAAATCCAATTCCAGACGTTACTTTGCTCGTACGAAAATATGTTCACGATGCGCTGTGACAAGTGTCAACGGGTGCTTTGTGTGGAGGGCCATGTGGCTGCGGTGGAGCGAGTCTGGAATGAAAGTGACGGACAATGGCAGCCTCGGCATGTTAGCTGTTAGTTTTCTTTCTTTGTGTATTTCGAAGCGAGCCACGAGCAATATCTATATGGAGATAGCAAACAAGACCAACACGGCGGCCTGTTTCCTTTTTGGGGTAGATAGCCTCATGTCACCGGCGCCTTTGTCAGAATAGGGGTGTTTTGCGCGTCTTTATTTGGTTCCTTCTTATTTGGACTGGATATAGGGCTCTGTTTTCTACTTCCATCCCCATAAAATGTCCCTCTCAAATTCCAAAAGCTTGCTTTTGTCGATACCAACTACTCCCGTTTCTTCACACTCGTCGAACAACATGATACACGTCCTTGAATATTCCCCACACGAAGGCGAAATAGGCGTTCCTATTACTGTCCGTCTCCATTTTAACCCTAATAATTCTTCCGATGCGGTTTTCCTCCGCCTTGTAGTCGGTTCGACACCGATGCCAACTAAAGTACGCGAACTTTCAGAGTTAACTTATGGCCGCTGGCAGCTTGATGCTATCGCTCCTGCCTTCGAGAACCCTGCCTTAGGCTCCGATAGAGTTCCGTTATCGGTAGAGGCCCTTGACAAGAACAGTCATGTCATAGACACCGTTACCTTTGGCGAGTTCGCCTTTTGGACCCCGAACAGTAAACGTAAGCTGCTCTTCCTCCTGCCTATAACTTCTGACCTTCTGACATTTTCTATTATATGCCTTCTCTGCTACGTAGCTTTCCAGCCAAGTTCGTCAAACATTCACAATAGACGCCAGTCTTCAGCCGATGCGAGGCTGAATCCACCTAACGCCGCTCCGTCAAGCGCTTTTGTCGGTCGCAGACGTGCCAATACAACTTCCTCCACTTTCGTCAAATCCGAAAGCCCAAATCCACGTGCTTACACAAAAGAGGGCAGTCGTCGTGTTCGAGTCAATTCCCTCATGCGAGCAAAATATCCAGTCTGCAAGGATGTCGACGAGGAATTATACGCTCAAACACCTCTTCTGCAACTCGTTACCTCGCTTGATTCTATGTGTGTAGCTTGGGAGCCTTCAGAAAAGCGTGTTGGCCGTCGTTTGGTTCGATTTACCAAGGTTCAAGACGGTCGGAAACTCATCGTCTCCTGCGAGGCCATCTCCCAGGACGACTATCGTGAGAGCGACAGCGTTATCTCTTGCATCTATCGCGAGGAGACTCTGACATATTATGTCACCTCAGTCGATATCATCTATCTCCTCGAGCGCCTTACCAATGACGAATTTCCGGTAGAGGAGAAGAATAGGATCCGACGCAATCTCGAGGGTCTTCGTCCGACTACCGTCTCAAAGCACAAACAAGGATTCGAGAATTTCTTCCAGCGTATCATGGAGTTTCCGGACCCCAAACCAAGGAATATTGAAAAGGATTTGAAGGTTTTTGAGTGGTCCTTGCTTGGTCAGGCTTTAGACAAGATTCTTTCTAAATACGTAAGTCAATTCATCATTATATGCGCTTCAAAGTATTAACCTTGTCATTCTGATTTTCTTATTTATCCTTCAGCATGTGTATACGTCTTCTCCCACAGACTCAACCGTCTCTCTTCCTATGGAGCCGTCCGAAGACGTTCCATATCTTCGAAACGTAGACCATCAAGTGGCACACGATGCCAAGCTGGATAGATATCCCGAGCTAGTACACCCCACACCGACCTCTACCATGAAATTTGAGCCAGGATTGTACGAGGATCGCAGCCTCCTCTTTCTCCAGCCTCATTCTGACAACATGGAGTGTCTGTCTCATCCAGCTACTCCCTTCGTTCATCATGGCAGCGCAGTTGACACTCGCGGTACGCCTGACTATCAAAGCGGTCACTGGACACCACCAGATCGTATGGTATCGAGCGAATTGGCCATCGGCGAGTATCGCCATCTACCTGATTTTCAATATCCCGGACCGCATCCTAACGGAGATGGATCCGACTATGGTACCTATCTCGGCTCGTATTCTTTTCCTGGAATGACAGAAACTCCTCTCGCATACTACTAAGCAAGCATTCGTTCATCTTCTTCCCGCACGACATTCAGTTCGGTTCACATCGTCTTGCATATTTCGGATCTTTCAATTCGCCACAAATTTCTTGTTAGCTTTGGCGCAACCTTTGGTTTTTTAAGTGGTGTTTTTTTTTCGCCTTGCAGGGACATTAAAGCTATTTCGCTCCAGTTGTATCGCCACGACTTTATTTTCACGAATCTTATGACTTGTACCTACGCGGACCACCGTCGCTTTCTTTCGTCATTCTTGCAAGCTTTCAAACGGAATTCCTGACGACTTATTATCAGTAAATTGTGTAAATTTGTTTGTTGTACTGTATATTGATATACTGCCTGTCACGAGTCTAAACCTTTAAGAGCTTAACTCGGATCAATTGGTTCCGTCTGGATTGGAACAACTAACAACGACTAACCCTGACTAACCATAAGTAACCGCACTCCGGATTCTCGCTTTTGTGGTAGGAACAACAAGTAATAAGGCAGTAAGACGCGCAACAAACAGATAAATGGTAAAAGATCTGTCAAATTCATATGATAATTTCAAGATTCGGTACATTAGGAAAAACAGATGTAACAGGATGATTCGGTGTCAGTGAATTCCCAATTATAAGTTACAAGAGAAGTTAGGGTTGATGACGCCTACCAAAGTTTAGGCTCCCAAAACGCGAAAACCGTCCTTTCAATGAGCCAAGCGATCCCAGGCTACCCCCAAAATTTGACATCGTCACTGATGCACCAGAGGTCTGTGTATGCAAAGGGTGAATGCCATTGGCAACATTCACAAAGGAATCATGGGGTGATTCGACCGAGAAGGAGTCGCTGCCATTCTGTGCATCGGGAGGGCCTGAAGATACGCCGTTGATACCATGTCGGGCTAAATGAGCTAGATGCCGTTGTAATGGTGTTTGCTTTAGAGGTTCAATTGGGGCTTCTGATTGAACGGGAGAAGCCGAGGATAACGGAGGAGGAGAAAGTGTTCGCCCCAGTTGAAGTGGAGGAAGTGCAAGGCGTCTGACAGACGATAAGGAGAAACTCCGCGCTATTGAGCCATTGTAGACGGATGGTTGATACGGAGACTGTGCGTTGACAGTAGTACTAGATTTCAGAGAGGGGGACTTCGTCAAGGTGTCTGCGACGTCGTCGATCCCGAGCCGACGAATTTCCTCTCTGAAATTTTTGTGAAAGAACCTCTCGAGTGTTTCGTGGAAAGGAATAAATTCAGATGGACATAGAGAGCCATGGAGTCTCAGGCAGCTGTTAATGATCTGGACCTGAAACCATTTTTTGTTAGCTCGCATATTGTCAATATAGCACTGCCACACAAGCCCACCTGTTCATCAATTGCCCCTCTCAATTTTTCGACGAGTTCGGCTTGATCGGGGTTCCGAGCAGGATTGAAGAACATATGTCTATATGCAGATATTCCGGTGTTTAATGGAGTATCTACAGCAGAGTTGAGAGCCATTGAGAGCGCATTTGTAGATACCTCTTGCGTAGTCTTTGCTACGTTTTCATAGCGAAGTTTGAGAGCCGACAGCTCCTTTGTCTTCATCTCGACCTCCGATAAAGCATTCTCAACGGGAGAGATATCCACTACGGTCAAGTCAATGACTTGCGAACGACGAAGTACAGTAGGGAAGCTCTCCTCTGTAGTAAAGTAGACTTTTTCGATCCAAAATTCTTCTGTGCCGTCGCGTGCAATGCGCTTTACTGGACGAGAATAAGAAAATAGATTGATGTCACTAATAGAGGTCAGCATCTAATGAACAGAATCGAGAATGGTGCGTCTTCACCTGTGCTCGTAATATGTTCGAACGGCAAGTGGTACGTCTGGATTTGTGAATATAGGTGAAGTACGATCAGGCTCCGGGTTTACTGCTGTGCACTGAATGTACTGCTCGCTACCATATCGAATATCCACAGGAGGATCGCCGGCGACCTTTAATAGCTGAGCCCCAGGGTGCTTGTTCAGCATCCGCTCACAGAATGCGCCATACTTCTCCCACTCGTACCCCCGATACTAGGAACGAATGCAGCGTTAACCAGAGTCTCAAGCTACATTTATAATACATACAATAAATCGCTTGTCTCTGATGGCTGCCGGGAAGTTTCCATAAAACGTGAGGAGGTAATAGTCACAATAGTATCTCTGGTCTGTAACTATGTGCTCGAGGAGAGCAGCTTGATGGCGCAAAATTTCAGATAGTCGTCTGCTGCATGACAGTATTAGTGCGCTAAGTCAAAAAAGGGGAAGTATTCGTACTAATTGAATGTGACCCCAGAATGCTGGATAGCAAGCTCCTTACATATATCGATTGCACGCTCCCAAGCCTTCCCTTTGCCTGTTGAAAAAGTCAGAAAGCCCAAGAGCGAATTGTTCGACATCTACCCAAATAGTCCAGGATCAGTAGACATAATGTTTCTTTCCGATGGAACTTGGACTGCTGTGGTAGACCGAGTTCTTCCATTGGAGGTACAAATGAGTTTAAATCCCAGGGGTAGAGATCTGAGTGTAATTTGAGTGTAAGGGCTGCTTCCACGTAGTTTTGGGATTGGAGGTGCATCTAAGTATCCATGAATAAGGCAAACCAAGAAGCAAGCTCTTCGACATACGTTCACGAGCTGGTGGACGTATTTAATGTATATCTCATCCCTCCCTATTCGCCGTATGAAATTCATGAGACGAAGCTGATGCCTGTGAGAGAACCATATAGAAGAAGGATTAAACACTTACTGTAGCTATGACTCTTTCATCAGCAAACTCATCGCCTTCCGGAAGAGCTCGGACACTAAGAAGGAGCTCCAGGAAAAGGTCAACTGAATCAAGAAAACTTGAGACTCGGTCCCGTAACTGCTCATCTCCCTCAGTACTTTCGAAGAGGTGTCGAAGTTGACCAACAAAGAATGCACCCGATATATCGTCTTTAGAGCTTTCCGACATGAAAAGAAAGTCTAAGCGGGTAACAAGTTCGTTTTCAATTTCTTCAAAATTTCCCGACGTGTGGTACTCCGAAACAATCATGCTATAGAGCATTTGAACAGCGTTATTTCTGAGTTGTTCATGATGACTCAAGCATAACGAAACAACACTGCCAACCAAAGTGTTCAAGTAAACTTGATAACCCTACGAAAAAAATTCATGAAAATATCAAATACTGGGATTGAATTTGTACTCACTCCGAAGCGCATTGTAGGTTCACCAGCGGTTGAGGAATGCTCACCCCAACCAAGAGATTGCCAAAGCGTCAGCATGATACTAGCACCCTCCCCTCGGATGTCTCCCGCTAAACGCCAGACAGCACGACGTTTCTGAAATGAGAATGATTCAAAAGAAGAATCCGCATGCATTGGAAGGAGCAACATACCTGTGGGCTGAACTCCTCAATACAGAGTTGCTCCGATGAAAGAAGTTTCAAAAGCATTGTGAAAGCTTCTTTCCACAATGAAGGATCGAATGTAGCTTCAGCTTCTTGAGGTGGTATGAATTCATGATTGAGTAATGTGGATATAGGATTCATCATCTTAACCAAGACCTGGTGTGCGAGGATGTTGATATTAAGCCAAGTTTTGGGAAAGCATTCATTTTCCAGAATCGAGATTGAAACTGTAAAAAAGTGAGAAAGCAAGGCTACAAATCTATCACGACCCTCGATATCGAGACTCGATTCCAAAAATTCGGAAATTGCTTTGGGTGGGGATGATAGAATCAAAACGAGTAGGACAACGGCCGCTTCAGCAAGCCCTGGGTTGAACGAGTGTGCTTCGCTTGTGATACGTTTCGAGTTGGAGGGTGGTTGAGGAAGGTATATCAAGAGAGAGAAAGGGTAGGATTCGGGGAATACGACAGGGACTATACTTTTTGTAGAGGGTGTACGTTCGAGAGCCCTTACTGATTCTGGAGCCATGAATTCGCGGTATGAATCCAACAATCTGAGGAAGACATCAACAGCATATCAGTGAACATTGACCAAAGTTTTTACTACCTTGGCAATAGAGGTAAGAGGCATTCGACGTTATCTTTTTCTAACACGAGACGTCTTCGATCCTGAATCACTTCTGGAGACACAAGACTTGCTTGTAGTTTGTCAAGCATCACTGCAACGATGGTGACACATAGTCGAATGCTTTCCAACCAGCCAACCCGTGCGGCGTCACGAGCGGTTTCGGAGTCATTTGATTGAGTGTGCACATACTCATCATATCGTCCGAAATGAGGTTTGATCCACTGAACAACGGCTTCTACTAAAAGTGGCCGTGACTCCGGATTGTCAAACAAGAACCCTTTCACAATCTGGAGGTACATGATAAGCTTCCAGATAACAATTTTCCCCTTGGCCCCTGGAACAGCGTTCGTAGCAAATGTAGTCACGATAGAGACTAAATCCACCGTAGAAAAGATCTGAGCCAGTTCAGGTAGGACTGAAGTGAAGTTTTGAAGAGCAATGGTTTGAGTGCCTATCATCGACGGTGGAGTTGTAGTCGACATCATACGGGTAACTTCTGATAAATGGGCGCGTAGTTCGCGCTTAAAAGCTGATTCTAGATGCTCTGCAGTCGCATCACTTCCCATTCCCAACTCCTTGGATTTCTGCAGTTCGCGAGATCGAGCGATGAATTTGATGATATAATGCCAAACTTTCAAGGCGTTCCTCAGCTGAGTGGCGTTCTCTGTGGTAGCGGGATTAGATAGAAGACGATTCATCGAATGGATGATATGGGATGAGGCTGCGGCCCATCCAAAGTGTTTTTCAATGTAAAGTTCAACCACTGGTCTGAAGTTGCTAAAACGACGGTCCTGGACGATCCCAAGAACGATAACGATAGCGTTAAACACCAAGTGTTCCATGTCCCCAACTTGGTTGTCCGGTGAGACGAGGATGCCGAACAGAGAATCGAAAATATCTCGCAAAAATTTGACTATTTCGACTTCACCAACGAATGTGAAAGCGGCCAAGACCTGAGATAAGAGCTTTTTATCAGAAAGTTTCTCCCAATTGAGTAAACTCAAAAGCACGGGGTTTTGAGTGTACTTGGTCGAGCATAGGGACGAGCGAATGATCAACGTATCCCGCAATGGAGGCGCATTACGTTGCATCTCTGGGGAAACAACTATACTCTCTGGCTTCTGATTAAGAAGTAGCCAGGCAGGTGAAGAGAGGTACTGGTCTGGAGTGACTTGGGCTAGTTTATCAGCGCGGTACATGATTAAACTATGGGCACCGTCTTCGACAAATGATCGTCTTTCCGGGAAGAGAGGGAGGAATGCAAATGCATACAGAGAATCCGACTTCTCCCCTCCACGACTAGTCCCGCGTTCTCTGAATGACCGTATACGGAAAGTGAAAAACAGATGCCAAGAGGGTATTCCATCCAAGGGTAGTTGTATCTTAATGAGCTCTCCAAACGTTGGTTCGTGGCAACGTTGGAACACCATGGAATGGAAGTAAGTCAAGAAAGGCTCTCCGCTCCCTTTAGATATAGCGCCTTCGATCGTCCGTCCTTCTTCGTCGCGGACCTCAACTGTTACCTGCATGTTCATTGCTGGAGGTCCACCTCTAAGATTGCTGACGCTGATACGGCTAGAATGGTTAGGGACAACTTGAAAGCTACCTGACCAGAGTTTGATATATAGTTCGTTGCGGACGTCACCCGGGAAAACCACATCGGGGAAACCAAGTCGGAGAGTGTGAGGTGTATCTTGAAGAACAGAGGTGTTCTCTTTTATAATAGTAGTGGCATCGCCCCGGTAAACTTTGATAGACACAGCTAGCATTTCAGCTCTACAGTTAAAATTTCGATTAGTAGAACCGAATCATGACGAGAGCAGTTATATACCTGACGAACTTTTCAAACTCCTTGGTATTGTTATTTATGATGTTTTGGTGAAGCACCGAAAATGAAGTCTCGTTGGTAGGGACATAGATAGGCATAGAATATTCCTTGGGACCATGCACATCTGAGTCATCCGCCGACATTTGTGCTAACTGTGTTAGTTCGAGAACAGCACAACCAAAAGGTCGGCGAAATTGAGTATCACCAGACGGGTACAACCGAGGACTGCTCGGGGAAACAGGTCCATAAGCATCAGTCCAATTACTCGGCGTATTGGGGTCAACCCGTGTTTCCGATCCTCTTCTTCCGCTTTCTGGTGGCACTCCCGAGCTGAAGGTAGCGCCAATTTTCAGAGCGCCATTTCTGATTACTCGACAAACGAGATAGATAGGCTCTTGAAGGTCTGACAGTGACAAATCTGTGAAGAGAGTACGGATACGGGCAGTGGGGTTTCGCGCCAGGACACCATTGTGGTTTAAGACGGCACAGAAATCTTCGGTAATGAACTGGGTGAACTGGGCTTGGGAACCTAGTCTGTACAAAGAAAATAAGAGCTCCGCAGTTTCTCCCGGAGAGCAAAATGAGGCGACAAACGCCCGCAAGTCGAGAAATACATGATAGAATTTTGCAGTGGATGCTTTCAATGAGGAAGGTGGCCCCAGTTTAGTTAATGATCTCATACGAGATTTATGTGCAAGTTCAGGGAAGACGGAGTGGGCGGGAGTTGGAAGAGGACCAGGATTAGGCAAAACTAGCGGTGGTTCGTCGACATTCAGATAGGCCAAGGCCACTTGCATTGAATACATGCGAACTGCACTGACCCATGTCCGGGAGTCAATCTCACCCTGTATATCGACAGTAACGAGGCCACCCCAGGTTGGATGGCGGACAATTACATCAAGGCCTTGAACAAGGTTGCCCTTGACCAATCTAACGACACAATCCTGCCGCATATTGATTGTTTCTTCGGTGCTCAAAGTTTGGGCAAGCAATTGTCGTCTGCCAAGATGAAGGGCCTCTATATGTTCACGAACGATCTGAAAGAGGCGATAATCACGTCTGGCAAGGTATTGGAAGAGAAATATGTGCCATTCTCGTAATGCAGATGCAATTTCGTCAATGATTGGTTGTGCGACCCCAGATGCGGTATCATCTCCGGATTTCAGAGATGGACGTGGAGGAAGGGGTTTCATCATCTGTGACTCCGTTGGTGAAGACGAACGTAAACTTCTGGCGGACCTAGAGCTAGAATATACGGGTGCACCTGCATGAGACAAGGTCTTTTGGTCCATCCGTGGAAGTCTAACGCCAGTCATAATGGATGCAGCGTCAAGGTCCTCATCTTCCTCGCGCAAGACGCTCATGAAATTACTACGACTCCATTGTGAATAACTGTCAGTAGTGGAATTGCTAAAACCATTTATCTGGCTTCCACCGTCCAGAGATTTGGCAAGATTTTGGAGGGTTCCTTCTGCGTCAGAGAGCTCGTCGCGAACGTACACATGAGAAGCAGGAAATATTCCGATGAACACTTGTTGAGGTTCCTCGATCTTTGGTATAGACTTGGATGATGAAGCTTCGCCTGATAGTGCCCATGTGACTGGCGGCCTTCGAGCAGTGCAAACGACGTAACTGTGATAGAGAGTAAGAGAGATGATGAGCACAATGGAGTAAAAATCAAAGGCAAACTCGGCGTACCCGCGGTACCAGATGCCTTCGGTCTCCTTTCCCTTTGGCGTATACTTTTCGAACGCATATATTTCGTCTCCGACTTCCAGAGAGACGACATCTCTGTGAATTTGTTCGTCTCCGGCGTCTGCTGAACCAATTGTATGATGTGACCGGGTCGAATACCGGGTATCGCGACGAGTTGAGGGAATTAGAGGGTGTACCGCATAGCCATAAGCAATCAACGGTAATGGCTCCCACATGGTATGTGGATTGACCCTGTCGGTGAGATTATCTTCACCGACGGTGCACCTCAGCAATGAGCAGAGCTGAGAGAAGGGGAGAAGGTGGTGGAAGAAAATCGAAATCACGAAGTCTTAGTCAAACAAAACAGCAAACGGGAACCATCACATCATCTTCCTGACAACCACCATGTCCGCCCTTTCAGATCATATAGATCGTCTGGCTCAAAGCACTCGCTCTATCAAATCCATCTCTGCCTCCTGCAGAAGCTCTGCCACGGGCCTTTTCACTCGTGCCATTCTTTCTGCTGAACTCGGCGATCTCATACGCGACGTAGACTCTTCAGAATTAGGCCTGTTTACCATCACAACACCTTCCACCGTCGTCGCTCACGATAAGGAGACACGTAATCAGTCTGGAGTCGAAATCACCCGTGTCGAATTTCATGGAGCTACTCCTTTGCGGAGACCGACAGGCAGAAGAGATGAGTTGAAGTCCAAAGAAATACCACCAGATGTTTACGCAGAAGCTGCTTTGAAATATATGGAACGATAGTACGTCTAGTGCATTGATTCTCGTTCTTGTCCGAGTTTTAACAATGCTCCAGTCAACATGTTCGGCCGATGCCTCGAGCTCATCAACAAGTCACTGAGATTCTTGAACGACTAGAGCAATGCAATGAAAGGATAAGGTCAATGAATGAACAGCTCCAACAAGTGCGTAACTTTCTTCCATTTGCCTGTACTTGTATGATAATTGAACCAAGACCCAAACGACAGAAGCACCATCACTGAAGTCTGCCGCTGATAAAGAACAGGGTCTGATAGATGAATTTCAGTCACGGATTGTAGCCCTGCGTATACATGTTCGTTTTTGTCCGTCGTTGCAAAGTCACACATGCTGATTGTGTCAGTAACAGAAAGAAACTCTATTGAATCAAAAAGCACGCATCAAGAGTCGTCCTGAAGTTTCGATACCAAATCCTGGGTCTTCAAAACCTCCTCCCCCATCCATGGATCCTGTGGAGGAAAAGTTTTGGAGTACTCCTGGCGCGTCTGATAAGCCCCTTCAATTCATCGACAACAGCTCACTTCTGGACGAAGAAGCAGAGTTTGGCAATCTATCTATGGGATCATCTATTTCAAGTCCTTTACCTTCCCGTCGGGTTCCTAAAACTCGTATGCCATCATTCTCTCCGGATGCATTGAGTCCAGACGTGCCCAAGACCCCCCCAGAAATTGAGAGCAAACAAGAAGAAAGTGAGGCAGTGAAAGAAACGCCATCCAGTCCATTTTCAGAGATTGTGTCGGACGAGCCTGACACGTTCGTACCGGATCCAGAATCCTCCAAAGTCTTGGACACGCCGCATAGAGAAAAGAAGATTCGAATCAACATGGATATTGAACGAGCAGTGGTCCGTTCTATTCTGATGTTTCACAACTTGATTGACCATTGATACAGGCGAAGATATGGAGTACAGTTGGTGAACTGATCATGCCCGGAAACACGTTCAACAGAACAAAAAATTTGCCTCCTGTAGCGAACGCGACGATGTGCGTTTGGATCACACTTAATCACCACGCATTCGCTGATACATATCCCACTAGCTCACATTTGCAGACGTTATCCAATATGACTCCGACAGTAGCTTCTCCAACCCATTCGGTATCAACTGTGTCAAATAGCAGCAACACACCGCCCACCGCACAGCAGATACTTACCGCACATCTTTTAATTGCCTTGCTTTCATCCGAAACGCTATCTTTGCCCTTGAACAAGGTCAAGGAACTGCTTGCTGCCAAAGCGAGCACCAGTGGCAGCGCAGCGATGGTTTCTGGACATCCCAAGGCGTTGTATGGTTGTGTAGCCAAGCGGTTGTTGAAAATTGAGCGAGGTGCAGCTGGGCAGGTGGTCAGGTTCGACATTTAATCATATGAGAGTCATACTGTATACAACGCTATACAGTACTTGTTCATTCTAGAACTTCGTCCTCAAAGATGGCAGTCTTCGCGACACCATCTTCCCGAATCAAACCTCTGTACATGCCTTCACAATTCAGAGGTGTAGCAACGTTACCCTCAATATCTAGAACAATAACTCCTCCAATACCGCCATCGCGACGTAGGGTTTCTACAGCAACTTGAGCAGCAGTTGCTATAGGCTCACCTAATAATTGGACACGACGAGCGATGGTCGACGCTGTGGCTTGACGGATAAAGTACTAATGATTACACTCTGGGTAAGCAGGTCGCACATTCTGCCTTAATGGTAGAGGGGCACGTACATCGCCATCCCCAGTACCTGAGATACCTACAGCCATTTTGGAAGGATTTTCCTTGCCTGTGAATGTATTCCAGGCCTTCTTCAGCCAGCCAGACTTAATCTCCCATTCCTCCGCCCAATAGCCCGCAGACATGACTGGTGTGTCACCAATTCGACCTACCAGTTTGTTCGTCCGTCCTCCAGTTGAGGTTACTGCACAGATGCAACCCCTCACGTCCAGTGCAACAGCGCCGACTGTTCCTGTAGAATACATATCCAGAGACCCCAAAGACTCTGGGGATGAATTTTCCTCAATTTCTCCTCCTGAACCATGGCTTCCCGGAGGATAAGGCATATCAGGCAGCCCTAGCCCTCGTCGATGCTCCTTCCATCGAGCTTCGGAGAAAAAGTAAGATGGATCGACGAGGGTCATACCCAAAGACTCTGCGATGTTCTCTGCATTGTTTCCTGAAAGAAACACGTGGGGAGCGGCGGATGGTGTTAGATAGAGCTCCTGCGCTAGTCTGGATGGATTACGGATGTGCGTTAGGAGACTTAGTCCGAAGCCTCTTCTGGAAGAAGGGACGTAAGGATGGGAAGCAGGAGGTTTGGATAACATGATTGAGGCCTCTAATTCGTTCTGGAATATAGTTGTTAACGAGAGGCACTCATAAAGTACAAGCTATAGAGACACCTTGCCCGCAGTGTTGAAGACGGCTCCTTTACCTGCATTGAATAGTATGTTATCTTGTAAAGAGTTATTCAGTTACTTGGAAATACCCAGAGACAATTAACCACCTTCCAGAGCCACCACGGCTGCCACAGCTGCATCCATGGCCTCCCCTTCACTTTTCAATACCTCATGACCTGCCTTCAAGGCAACGCACAAGGCATCATGATATGCCTTCAACTGCGCATCAGTGCTCTTCTTTCTGGACATTGTTCCAGCACCTCCATGAATTATCAGTACATATTTGGATTTAGCACGACCAGCGCTTCGAGCAAGCAGAGGCTGTTCTTCCTTCTCCGAGCCGTTCATGAGTGTAGAGAAGGACAAAAGCTTCCGTGTGAATATTCCCACCTCTACAGTTGCAGAGACACACTCTACGATGACAAAGGGGTAACGAGTAACGACATATGTAGTCGAGTTAATACAGCAGCCCATAATTATGAATGTTCGTACAGGAAACCTGTATGGAAGTTATGTGAGTGTATGTGATCAAAAAGACGCAGTTATATTTAACTTGCAACGGTTAGCTTTAAGGCTTCAGTGCAAACCGCTCAGCTCTCTTTCGTCGTCTCTCTAGCTCCTCGAGATCCACCTCAACCTCAGGCGGAGGTGCAACAGCACCTCTTTTCCGTTTCGAGCCCGGTGAAGTTTGATTGTCTTTGCTTGGTCCCGTCTTTCCATTCGCTGCAATTTTCAGCCCAAATCTCTCTGCGCGCGCCTTGATTTTTTCAGCATCCTGTAAAGTGAAAGGAGATTAAGCTATTAAATGAGGATTGTGCCACTTTCTATACACATACATCACTTGGTTGCGTGGCAGTAACATTAGTTTTAATTGCGGTGGCAAGCCTTTGTCTGGGTTTGGTTTCTACTAGTGGAATACCGAATCTGGCAGCACGTTGTTTACGCTTCTCCAATTCAGCGTCCGCAGGGTAAGATGTAGACTCTGCTGTGTTAGCGACCTGAGGTTCTGGTGCAATGTCTTGTGCAGATATTGGGGCCGTTGTCTGAGAATGCACATAAGTCGTAGGGAGGGGAACAAAATTTGTTAGAAGGACACACAAGCTCGGCAGCTAAAGGGGCAGGAGTTTCTGTTGTAGGCTCGGAAGCAGCTTCATCCGACTTCGAGGGCGGAACTTCATCTACTGTCCAGTCAAGACTAATTTCCAGTGGAAAATCAGGAGAATGCGCTGCATTGAACAAGGGCAAACCATACTCTTCTGGCGGGGCAAGCTAAGGGACCAATGAGATTATGCGTAAATGAACCACGATATACAACGCACTAGATCGTCATGGGAATGTGGGGCAGGTTTAGAAGGATGAAGAGCATTGAAGGCGTCGACAGCAGCGGGTGTTGCGATGATTTTAGCTATAAGGTCGGCTTTGTTAGCCTTGCCTGCTGGCACGGCACTCGCTCTTGTAAGGATTTGCTTCAAATCAACGACCTTGAGAGATTTGAGTTTGGCCTCCATGGCGCGATAAAGTAAGATACAAGACGCGTTCAGGCCTGGGGAGGAAATCCGAAAGAAGCTGCACGTGATATTTCGGCCGGCATTTCTGACCCGCCCCTTCTGCTGGCTTTGAAACGGACGGCTGTCTCGATTCCTCATTGGCTGCGATGGACCAAGTAGATCACTTATTTACGCCCGCTTATCACCTCGATGAAGGCTACTACAACACTACCAACTTCGAACCACAGTCCTTTATCAGCCCTCCAGAGCCTGCCACGTCATCTCAGGCCGACGAAGAGCCTCTGTATGTCAATGCGAAGCAATATTTCCGTATCCTTAAACGGCGTGTAGCCAGAGCGCGTCTTGAGGAAGTCCATCGCTTGTCGCGACAACGCAAGGTATGTACTCGACATTTTCCCAGGTAATATTCACCTCATCTTGCCCTTTCTATCAGCCGTATTTGCATGAATCTCGACACAAACATGCTATGAGACGACCTAGAGGACCAGGAGGTCGCTTTTTGACCGCCGAAGAGATTGCCGCTCAACGGTCCGGCCAAGAAGGAGAGGCTGGACCAACGTTGAATACGAATGCTCACGACAACGACGAGGATATGGCTGAAGACGACCATTCCCCTCCAACAGAGCCTATACTGCAACGATCTACATCTGAACTACAGTCCCAGCATATTCATTCCCACGAGGAAAGTCCTCCAGATCCTATCAGCATATTAAATCTTTCCCATTCTTCCACACCCATCCATCATATGCAACACAACATCAATGTATCCTTGCCTTCGTCTGTTCCCATCGCTGTTTCTCCTCAGGCCATGTATATTCAGCAACAGCAGCAGCCTCAGCATCCGCAGGTGCGGAATGGACACCAACATTCGCTTCCTCAGCCTAACGTAGACGGAATGACGAGCTCTGCTCCCGTCACACTCACCTCCCCGTATCCATACCGTATGGTGAGTGTATAATATGCCTGAAATTTTGGACCGTGCTCTGACCTGCCAATGATCATCTCCTTTCTTCATGTTTATCTGTCGTCGGTCTTCCTCCTCTTATCTCCGTTCTTCCCTGCTCCATCCATATTCTCACCAAATGTCACTCCCCACCCCTCCTGTCTTTATTCCCCTTCCTTCCTTCCTTATCATTCCCGCTTGATCTTTATTGTTGTATTCCACACACGCTTTCCCCTCCAAATTCACATGGTTCTTTTCCCCTTTGAACTCGCGGTTGTTTTCTGTTATCGGTCTTTGACATTTTCTTTCGACTTTCCCTTATTTTACTATTTTAATTCAACTCAAATTTCGTCCATCCCGTTCTGTTTGTACCATTTTTAACATACTATATTATATCTACCTGTTTCTTTGATGTTTTCATTCCCCGAACTGCTAACCTCACTTCCCTTTCTGGAATTATATCTCATTGCTAAAGCATCATGTCCCGCACCCCCATGCTCATGCCCGACATCATCATTCACAGTACAATTTTGCCGAGGGTCTTTATCCAGGAGAGCCACCAAGCCGTCCTGATGACGTCGTACAGTATGGTGCAGGGCCTGTCCCTCGTTAAAGCACAATTGGTTCGTTATTCGCTTTATCTTTTCTTTCCCTGTTTTTTTTTCGCTCTTTGCCTTTCCTCGACGACGTTTCAGGCGCTGCGTACTTTTTCCTCTACGGGCTTATTGTTGCAATTCAGGAGTTATGATTATTGTTTTGTTTGGTCCATTCATGTATTATAGATGTATAGGTGTAAAATCTTTGAAAGTGTATAGCAAATGTGTGCAACAGGTTACATATTTTAGTCTAATTTCCAGCACAAACATCGTACTTTACGTCATTCGACATCCATCATTTCTACATCTTGTGCTGTTGAAGACAATGAAACTGCGTTAGGGACTGCATCCTGATTAGATACTAGTTCAGTGTCCTCAGGCTCAAGATTGTTTGAAGGCCTAGTCAGTGGACGATATAAAACGAGCGCATGCTGGTCTAGTGAAGATGGTAATGGAAGAACATTCGACAGCTCTCGTTGACGAATCCGTTCGAGTAAAGTTGGCGACACTAACGGACGAACAGGATCCGAGTCATTTTCATATTCATCATCCGACGAGTCCAGGTCCGTAACAACGATACCTGAAAACCTAGGTTTGGTTGTCTGGGGTATCGTAAGGGACTTGGAAAACTCACGATCTGGTTCAGGTTCATACCAAGAAGAACCTTTCATCCGGATCTCCGGTACTGCCAACGAGGGTGAAGTAGGCTCTTCAACAGAATCAGGTTGTATAGAGGGTGAGATTGAAGAGTATTCTACCTCCATTGCAGTGAGTGTATCTGGAAGAGGTAGTGGGCTGGAGGACGGAGGAGCCCCGGAGTGATTCATATCGAAAAATGTGGTGACTGAGTCCGGATTCGCGGAGGAGGTGGAAGCGACAGGGGGTGGATGGTGTAAGGAAAGATTGGAAAATCCTTTTTCCAACATAGTTACTCTCCGTCGTTTGGCGCTGATTGGAGATAGCGTTTTATCCAGTGCATCGTCCTCTCCCGGAGAAGTAGAGCGTCGTCTTTTCATAGACGGCTTGTTGAACCAAGGATGGGAGAAGTATGGTGTAGCAGCAATGGATGCCATCCTGATCGTTTGAGGTAGATATGTGCAATTTGACATCGACGACGCGACAACTTCACATGGATCACGTGATGGCAAAGTCTAAACCGAAACTTCTCCCAGTTTCTCCAATTCTAGAAAAGAGTCCCGAACATTCCTGAAGCAACACACTGCATCAAAGGCTGAAATGTTGACTGCGATCTGTAACACTTATGTACTGACGGGCCTAAGTAAATGACACAGTAAATAGGATATGTATGTATGTACACATTGAAGAACTTGGGTATGTAAGTAAGTAATTAAGAGGCTACTAGCCTACGTTCCAGGCTGTTCCAGGCAGCAACGCACTGTGAGGAACCAGATGAATACAAGGAAGAAAAAGAAAGAAGATTGACACATATGACTCCTGCACACAAGAACAAACGGAGCTGCGCCAGCTCTAATAAATACCCCTGAACAACTTAAATGGAACCCTCTGTGTCCATTCCTTCCACTCTTGACCGAACCGGGCTGCCAGCGCTTCATCTTCCTTCGGGATACGTTTTATGAGACCAGTCGTAATCATACTAGTGAGAATTAAATAAATAACGGACACCCCCTTGCCCAAAGTTGACTCCAGCACCTTGCACTCTATCAGCCAAGAACCCTGTGTAATAAATTATATCATTAGCCTATGCGATTGATTACAGTACGGCCATTACCTACCGGAGCGCAGTGTACCATTACAATGCCAGAGATAGTGCATATGACACCGGTGTACGCAGGGTGGCGAACCCAAGCATATGGGCCAGTCGTGACCAGTTTGTGCTCCTTCATGATTGTCATCTCGAAGGTGAACATGCGGCCTAATTCTTGATAGCAACGGTAGCGGATGTAGCCTCCTGTGGTAGCAAGGCAGGTTCCGAGAAGAAATAGTGGTGAAGGGTACAGATTCACCGAAGACGAACCATATATGGAAGGTTGGTCGATCCGCATTTGCATACCCAGAGGATACAGAACAATCATCGTGAATGACTGATATCCCAAGGTTTGTGTGACGATAAGCGAAATTTCTGCGAATGCAGCCACCCAGCATATAAACTGCGAAACACAGCGAGGTCAATTCCACATCAATTATGTATGTGGTCGGATAAAATACCTTAACCGTGGCTGGGACGCCTCTCTGCTTGACAATGATTTCCCAATTCGTTGACGGTGCTTGGTCGCTCTTCGCAGGCGGGGGATGAGGAGGCGTTGCAGTAACATGCAGGCCCATAGTCGCAAGTAGGATGCAAGGAACTTTAGTCAACGCCAAAACTGCTTCCATCCTGAGCAGTCGGACAAGGTCCAATGATCAACGATGCACAATACGAAATGGAAGGAAGAAGGAGAAGGACGGGAAACTGCAGCGATCCGGATTTTATGAAGGGGCAATCTCAACTCCTAGGGAAAAACCCATATATGCGCATGACGCAGACATTTTGGCTGAAAGCTGGGGTATTGGGCGGTATTTACCTGATAAAACACCTTTGCTTTATTTTCAGCTACCCCTTTGCTTACATCGTCGAAGAGAATTGTATTAAAAATTGTTCTTACCGAAAGCTACCTAAACAGGATCACCGGAGACAGAGACCAGACACCCCTCGCCTTGATTTCCTTTCTTCGGTATTCCTCGCACTTACTGGTCCTGCAAGACCATCGGAATTCCCTTTGAAACGTCACTGTTAATTGTCAGTGATTCCACTATGGGAGTTTTACATACCTAGTGATACAGTTCATATTCCGTGGTACAATTGCATCTTTGAGCATCTCGTCGACCTGTATCCAAGCACCAAGTGTCGCGGACGCTGAAATTAACCTTATCCGTATTAAAAAGATGATTTCCTGTAGCCTTGTTATGGCAGACACACACACCTCAGAACATCTTTAATCGGCTGGAGTCGTAGATGTATTGCCTTGAATTGCATGAATCCATCCGATCAGTTCCACTCCGTACTTCCATTCATATCGATAAACGAACTGAGAGGGACTAAGGCGCCCTACTATTCGAACCCAAGTTTGAACCGCAAAAAGCCGCCAGGTGATTATTTTACTCTTACGCGTCTATGAGCAGTGGACCGGAAGAAGCACCTCATACTATTCAGTGAAGGGATCACGAAGTTGGTTTGAAGAGGTTTACCGCCTTCAAAAGGACCTACTACATATTGTCTGGATCCTCTGCCGATCCACAACAATGGAAGAGAAGGATGTACAAGACCTTACACGTCTGGCAGAGGAAGACGTATTCTCAGCCACAAAGAGGGCAGGAAGTAATCGATCATTCGGGGCAAATTGCACCATGCGGGCTGGAGATATCGGATAATGCTCTATCAAGAGAGTTTGTAATTTATTTCATGGTCCATGCTATGACAATTTGAGGTATTACTTTTGCCCGCCTATATCATCTTCACTTCAAACGGACTCTGGGAACAAAAATAGTCAGTACAGACATTGGGATTCAAAAGATGTACATAAAAACAAGGACGTACGCGTTAAAGCAGCATTGAGCTTGGTGACACGCGAAAGGGCGCTAAGGTCGATGGTCTTGTCGCCAAAGTCAACAACCACACCGCCGAGCACAGAGGGGTTGACCTGCGATAGATGTAAGAAGAAAAAGGATAGGACAACGCTGATGAACAAACCTTGTTTGTAACTTTTAATGTCTTGGCCTTCTGAGCGGTCTGTGATTGCTTCAGTGTCGACTCCAGCCGCGACAGAATGTCCTTGGGAAGCGGAGCGGCAGAAGTCACGGTAACATTAAGCTCCCCGTTGTACTGGGAAACGAGCTCGTTGAAACCGTCCACAACACCTTCAACTTCTGCTAATCTACCATTCTCCGACAAAACAGTCAGCAGGTTCTTGGTGATGTCCGAAACCGACTCCTTCTTCGAGCCAGCACCCTCCAAAGTTTTAAAAACAGACGCAAGTCCAGTTGCCCTGTCCTTAGCTGATAGTGTGGGATTGTGAACGAAGGCTTCGACATCCTTGTTCTGCTTCAGGGTAGCAGTGAAGCTAGACAATTCCGTATGAACTTGGGTCAGAGTTTGGGGCGATTTTGCTAGAGCAGCATTGTACACTGCATTAGAGTATTTAGAGGCGATAGCTGAGACAGAACGACGACCAGCGATACGGGCGAAGGGCACGGAACGAGCTGCAGACACGAGCAACATTAAAGCCAAGTACTGGAGTCTGAGATGACAGGAGAAAATCGGAAGGTGAAGGTCATGTGATAATCGGCATATCGGCTCGCTGCGCGCGGGACTCGGCTATCGCGGCGGGACCAATTACCAATGGCCAACGCCGGTCGAACGCGATCGTCTAGGTGGAGTTCTCTGTCCACGTCCATCGTCATATTAAAGAGAGTCGTCGTTCCTTGCTCCCAACTTCCATCGCCTTTACTCGTTTTCTCTTCGTACAAATCTGGGAGGTAAACTTCTGACTGAACAATAAGAAGCTTTCCGTAAGTAGAACAATAGCACGTTTGTACAATGCTTTGTGCTGATACTTATTTCATATTTATATTCGCTCTCAGGACACGCGCCAGTTGTGTCTCTCTGCTTTCTCTCTAACGGTCATAATGTTTTCTTCCCTCGCCCGGCTGCGAGCAATTGCTTTCACGCTTTCCTTTCATGCCATATTCTCTTATGCATCAGAGAGCTCTCTATGTATGTGTATACTCCCTCAAACCTAATGCTCCACTCATTTTTCATCCAGTCACATCATCTGTAACATACTGCTCGACACCGGAGACTCTACTTATACAACAGTTTGACGTCGAGTATTTCGCCGCAAACCAATCCGTATCCTTCAATATCTCTGCCGAAAGTGTCGTACGTACATTTTCCTCATCCGGTCATCCGGTCGTTTCTCAGTAAATTTCAGGACTCCAATGTCAACGTATCAGCGAGCTTGCTCGTGAACGTGTTTGGGATTGAGCCAGTCAATATCACAATCGATCTTTGTGGTATCCTAAACGGAGCTCTTTGTCCCCTCCCTGAGTACAATTTTACTGGCTCAGACTCTATCTCCCTCCCCGACTCTATCAGTGGCATAATTCCTTCTTTCATATTCAAAATCCCAGACCTCGAGGGCTACGCGCAGCTGACGCTAATTGAAGTGGGCACCGGCGATGTCAAAGCATGTGTTCAGGCGACCCTGTCTAATGGTTTGTCTACTCGTCAACGAGCTGTGGAGTGGACTACAGGTGGCATCACGCTCTTCACACTTTTAGTCGCTTTGTGGCAGTCCCATAATCCAACTGCCATCCTTCCATATCGTTTGCTGGATTTGATATACTTGTTTCAGAGTATTGCAGTGTCAGCCTTGCTCGACCTCAATTACCCCGTCACTTACATATCATTCGCCTTGAACTTTGCGTGGTCACTGTCACTGTTCTCATCAAGCGATGACTCAATTCAGGATGCTATTAATAACATGCGAGCCTTAACAGGAGGGGGACTGGCCAACTCCACCTCTAGTTCTGCCGTTGCATTTGTCAATCGCAAACTTAGCCCCTTCAACTCCGATAGTGCATCTTCTAGCTCAGGAAGTATATCGACCCTATCATCATTAACGAGGAGAACTGTGAATTCATCGCTTTTGCAGCAGCGCGATGTTGCTGTAGTCACGTCGGAATCGGATAATGTTCTTTCGGCAGGGATTCCCATCTATGTGTCTACTATCAATATAGCAACTGCGAACGCATTCATGACTGTGTTCTTGTGCACGATCATGTTAATTGCGATTGCTATCTTCGTCTTCGGAGTTGGATGGGCATCGCTTTTGGCAATGGAAAAATTTCGTCTCGGCCCCGATGAGCGACGCAGCCGGCTCAAACGTACATATCCTTCTTGGGTTCGTGCATGGATTCTCCGTTTGGTAAGGTTCAGCTCTCCTGTATTCATTCAGTTCCTAATATTCTCCTGCAGAGTTTGGTAATGTTCATTCCGATCGTTCTGTTTGGATTTTATCAGTGGACGCTAAACGACTCTTGGCTTTCGATTCTGTTCTCTGTGATTGCTTTCTTGGGCATCATGATTGCAGTTTGTTATCCATCCGTCGTTGTCATTCGCTCCGTTCGTCGTTCCGAACCCTCAGTGCTGTACACTGACCCCTTCCTTCTCAACTCTTACGGTCCTCTCTACGCACAATTCCTTCCATCTCGATATTCCTTTTTCCTCCCTGTTGTTGTCGCAGCGTTTTTCAAGGCGATAATCGTTTCGTTCATTTCATCAAGTGGAATGGCTCAGATCATCCTATTCCTTATCCTCGAGGTGGCACTTGTCCTTCGTGTGCTCTTATTACGACCACACAAAGTTCGCGGCGCTGATGTCTTTTCATCATTCCTTGGTATCATCCGTGTCGTTTGTAGTGGGTTGATGATCGCCTTCGTTCAGAGCATCGGCGTTAAACCCATTCCGCGTTATGCCCTTGGCCTAGTTTTGGATGTCATAAATTCCATAACTATTCTTGTTGTGATTTTCAACATTGCTCTCCACTCCGGCCTTCAACGACTTTGGAAGCGCCATGAGACATCTACTCCATCTTCCCGATCGTCCTCTCTACATGGATCTTCAGACATCATTCTGGAGAAGAATGCCGCTTCATCATCAGAGGATTCTTCCAGTGACCCATTTGGAAGGCCGAGAAACCCTACTCCGGAACGAAATGTGCCTCTTGACCCCGAGATCAACCAACCTTACAACCCATCAAGTCCTACAGCTACAACAACAGATTACGCTAGCACTCGCCAGCGGGACTCAGAGTCCACGAATTTTGGCTCTGTTCTTCCCCGCCGATGGTCTTTTACCCCTCTTCACACACCAACAGACTCGTCCGCCCTAGATCATTCCACTCCGTTTGAAAGCACGTTATCTAGAACGTCCGAGGAACAGCTAGAGAAAGCATCGCATTCACGCGATTGATTTACCTGTAGACATATGATATCCCAGTATCTGCTTAATGTTTCGCTCTGGATCATCTCACATTCTTTGGACTTTTTTACTCAACTAGTTTTTTTTATCACACAGTGCTCAAAATTAGAATTCATCTGTATCAAATATTCCCTGTAACGAATTTCTATCTTAAACGAACCTGGTAGTTATTAATAATACTCGGTGTTATTCATAGTAGAACTATTTCTGAGTTTATCTGCGTTGACACCACTTCCCGAGTCTGCCCGGAGGGAGGAGGCCTCGTTACCGTCCCAGTTTGTCTAATCGAGCAGTGATCCAGGTGGGGATCGCGGCGCGAGCGGCGCTACTGATGGATACTACTAACTGAGCTTCGATTCTTCTTACATAAGTTTCTTCCCCTCTACTTTTAGTGTAACACTCGTTCGATGTTCCTACCAGCCACGCTCATCTCTCTGTCATGGTTTTCTGCTGTCTTTGCTGGTAGCGCCAACTTCGGAGACTCATGCAGCGTTTCTAACAACCGACTTCAAGTCGGAACTTACCAGTTCTACACCGACTGCAATTCAGTGACCTATTGTGCCTCGAATGGTACCTGTGCGCATCGTGGCTGTAGGAAAGACGATTTCCCTTTCGGATACCCACAAGACTCAGATAACCTCCCTCCAAAATGCGGGAAAAGCCAATTTTGTCCGGACGAGATGGATGATTGTTTGAATGTTTTGCCGGTTGGCAGCGCTTGCCAAATGAATCGAGACGGTCAGCAATGAAACTCAATTCAAATTGAATTGAATTGGCGAGCTCTGAACTTCGTGCGCAGACCAATGTGAAGGCCCACCAAATTACAAGGACCTTTTGGACACGACTAATCGCGGTCTGAATGTGAACGGATCTGTATGCCTCAATAATGTCTGCATGTCAGTGCTTCAGCTTACTTTCTTCCTGTCCTGACGATTATTCATACAGGTGGGCAAACGTTACGGAGAATGTCGATTGTGTGGTTCAAAATACGGCCTACATTGGCTACACCGCGAGCGGTGACGAGTTCATCGACATAGTATCACGGTATGCGATCAACGAACTGCCTCGTCGTCAATTCTTAGTACTTAATGCTTTCCATTAGCGGAAACTGTCGCGTTGGCCTTTATTGCGATGCACAATCTCTAAAATGCTTTCAGGAGAAAAGCTTAGGCGTTTCTTGCGATGCTGATAAAGAGTGTGTTTCCTCATGAGCATTTCATCAATATCTTACTCTTACGTTCCACATTAGGTGTTCGACGTGGAATTGTATGTCATCAGGCGTGTGTGGCACCGACCAAGCTCTAGACCGTCATCTTAGCTCTTGGGTGTATGCTATAGTAGGAATCGGGATTTTCGTAGGTAATAGCCAACTATTTTTTGTCCTTGCGCTCTTTTTCTAACGAAGGCACAACTAGGCATGTTTGGTACACTCATCGGACTCTTCTGCTTGCATACCAAACAACGTGATGCAGAACGGGAAAGGCGGCTGCGTTACTGGCGTGAACAGGCAAGCTCAGTACATTATACTCTTTTATAGGATAACAAGCTCACAAGCATACGATCCGCAGAACGCTTTTCATCAAAACCTTTCTCAGATGAGAGAAGCAGCTCGTTCGTCAATTTTGTCCATACCTGGAATTGGGAGCAGCACTCGCAGTACGCTCTATGGTGGCAATAACTCGGACGACTCACACGCACCTATGATGCCAAACGCACTGGGGCAGCCAAGGACATCAAGACTACGCAATCACGTCAAGGACGATGGAAATTCCGAGGACGATGATGAGAGCCTCATAATGCAACAGCCTGTTCAGTCCTTAAGGGGTGACGACGGGCGATTTTGATACAGGATATTTTGTAGAATGTTTCATCTGTTATCTCCAGCCATGTACGCGCTATCCTGTTACCATTGAATACTACCATTGAATACTTGGGCTTCGATGTAAAGTGACCGCTTTATCATCTCTCGACTGAGAGGTTGCAGGTGGCTAGTTTCTTGAATCTTTATGTAGTTGTTTTCAGGTACTCTCAATAGTGATTAAACTCGATCTACCAACTTCATCCCCTAATGTTACAGTTGTCATCGCAGGAAGATTATATTACCATCTTGGAGACCTTGTATCAGTCAAATCCCATGTTGACAATCATTATCATTGCGAAATGGCTTATAAGGCTTAGGAATAATTCAAAGCGAGACTTCGATTGCGATACGTCCGAGGAAAGAAGACGTACCCAAAATACTCCCAAAATGGGTTGCGAAAATTACGTAAATGCAATTACATCCGAGGAACTTAACGACGCAATTCTATTTGACCCCACCACCAGGCACTACGCGCGACTCAACGACGAAGAGGAGGCCTACGATGACCTCCATTTCTTCTATGGAAACAATTACCGCGGACACTCACCCACATTCTTCTTCTTCGCCATCGGACGACGAGGACCTCGGTCGGCGAAGAATATGGGAAAACGGCGACGAGGACCACACGCCGAGAGTGTCAAGCAAAGGGAAACAGAAGGAGAATGGATTTACGGATACTGACAGAGATGGATCTGAAGAAACTGTGCTGGAACCCCCGGACTCTGGTCTCTACCCTCCAACTACTGACGAAGAAGCAGAGACTAGACGGATTGAAGAGGTCAGTTTCTAACGATCGCACATTGTCCAGGACAAAATAATGATTTAATACTAGAACTTAAGACGATGGCAAGTTTCCGAGATGCAGAAGCGGAAAGCTGCACGAGAATCAATATCTAAACCGTCTCAGACAGCGCCAGACGGCGGTTGGAGAGCCAGTTCATTGTGGCAGAAGCCGAGTCATCGGCAGCGGGACTTGGGAAAGCACACAGCTCTTGGCTCTGAAGACTCCATTGAACATCTGCCCCTGGAAAATCTAGTGAATACCCCAGGTCCATCTCCATCTCCTTCACCCCTTCCCTCTCCATTACCACCCAACCTAGAAGAATATCCAGAGAATCCTTTTGCCAATCCACCAGCATCTCCATTTGAGGATTCACAGCAAGTCACAGCTGTCATGAGTTCTTCCGAACCTCCTTCCGATATCTCAACTCTAGCAGTCGTTGCTCCAACGCCAGAACGTCCGACGTTACTCGCAAAATCGGCCTCATTTTCTCGACCTCCTCCGCCTAAACCCATAAATATTCCGCCTCCGAAAACTCCACCGCCTCCGGTCAACGTTCCTCCACTTGCGGTATCACCTCTTTCCCTTGAAGGCGCACCACCCCACCATCATCAAGAACCCGAAAAGGAAACACGCTGGTGGCATGAATGGCTATGTGGTTGCGGTGAGGATCGTGATGCTGATAACCAGGTATCTTTTATGTGGACCATCTTTTCGAGTAACTCATAAATTCTAACTCACAGGGCGGGCGGACGAACCCTTTCGAATGATTGCCTCCATTTCCGCTTATGCTCGTCTATGTTTATATCCGCATTATTAGTAATGAACTGTATGCCTTGGTTGTGCTTCTAAACGTTGTGGACACTGTGGACCCATTGTAGATTCAAAACATACGACTTAAACAGTATGTAGCTATTCTGAATCCCTCCGTAATTCTCCAAGAAATCCCGTGCTGGCGTCATTGTGTAAACCTGACTCCCTGTGACTCGAGATGGGCCTTATTTTCAGCAAGGTGCGCATTCTAGTCAGATTATGAGCAGTGATGAGCGCAGAAAATGGACAGTCGCTCACAGAATTGTGGTCGCTCGATTGTCGTTGCAACGGAAGCATTGATATACCCAGCCGAGGACTGGGTCGTGCCGAACTTACTGCAGAAATATCTAGATCTACTCCGAGGTTCCTCTCGATATCACCTTGTTCAGACGAGGACGTCATAACCGCGATAACAGGGGCCGGACGAGCCCAAAATACCCAGTCAGGAACGGTACCAGTCCCATTCAACGTAGCGGACAGCGAAAGGGTCCGACCATGTACACCTTTTCCGAAGGAGAAAAAGGGAATGGAGAGACCGTCTATGGGGAAAGTCATGCGCGGTATGAGGTGATAATAGTGAACGAACGGATGATAATCGATCCTAGGACAACAAACGCTACCACAGGTTGGATATATAATGCCAGCAGATCTTCTTGGTTTTGTGGTGGGTTGTGAGGGGTTGCTAGTTCAGAAAGTGCTAAAGTTGATATGAAAACAGCACCGACTCCCATCTTGGGGATAAATTGAGAACGTTCAGGCTGAAGATAAGACTGGCAGGGCTTACTGGTCCTACATTACCATAAAGTCAGTGTTGGAAAATTCCTTGATAGTACTTTGCTTAGCTACCAAAATGGCCGGAGAAAAGGGCCTCTTGCCATGAGCTTATTTCTGGTATCCATTTGTAGAGAAGCATTATAGGGGGAATCCTCCTAAGCAATGCGACAGAGATAAGGAGGACAGTCAACCTCCAGGGCTCGATCCCTAATGAAGGCATATTAAAGTCTTTGAACGGCAACCAAGCACCTGGTGGTTCACGCAGGATAAGTATATGCAAATGTCTACCCAGCTACTATGAGATGCACCGATGTAGATAAAGCATGCACCTAATTGAAATAATGAGTGATGGAAATCTAAAATACGCAAGGATAAATAACGTACAATTGAGAACAAGGTCAATCACAGACGCGAAAATTTCTCCTTCGATTTGTTCATTGAAGTGTCCGTCCCATGACATAGCGCTTCCTTGGACAGAACATGAGGATGCGCAATGAAAAATAATGTGCGACATACCAGCAGCGAAAGCAGCTAACAAATCATCACTTCCAATAGTACGAGCTACACCAACGGTTAAGAAGGACATAGCTATGTACTGAGCGACATAGGATTCCCGGTCAATAAAGCCTTTCCGTTTTGAGAGCTGGAATAGATGAGAGAAAACAAAACCTGTCGCACATTCATAACAAGTCATAAGACAGTCAGCAAACAAACGGACCCATAACTAATCCCAGTACGACACCCAGAATGACTTGATCTATTGTTTGATTTATGAATATCAGTATATGTAGAGAGGTCGAAAACTCACACAACCAGCCAACTAAGAACCATTTGCCGAACGCAACCTTTTTTGAGGACTCGACAGTAAGATATATGGATATACTCAGAAATGGATACGCGAGACCGTCATTCGCCGCAGATTCTGCAGAAAGGATACGGCGAAGGTTTACAGGAACGTGTTTCACTGCAAATTTACCTCCCACAATAGCAGCACATATGATGGGGTCCGTTGGTGTGAGGCATGCTGCTATCGCAAGACAGGAAACGTAGCTCAACCTTGGAAACAGTGCTCTTAATATTCCTAGAAATAGACGAAATCACGATCTGTCGAAGAAGCTCAGAATAACAAGCGAATGACACCTCCTATGATCAACCACCCAGCCGCCATGGTTGGGATTACCATGGCTGAAAGTGACTTCGCATGTTTCCACATATAGTTATTTGGAAGTTCTATGCCGATAGCAAATAATCCAGTGGCCAGGACGATGCGCATAACTTCTAGCGTGATATTTTGTGATCCTTCAGACGAACTCCAAGAACGAGGATCGAATATGTTTCCGGCGTATGGCCCGATGACGATCCCGAAAGCAGTTCCGAGAACAACTTCGTTCAAATATAGCTAGAATAGCATTAAGAGATAGATTTTCGGAAGCAAGAGACATAGCAGACATACCTTGTCCTTCATCAGAAGAGAGAATAGTGAAAAAACGACCACAAATCTATCCGTTCGGACATCAACGTGTTTGGCATCCTTGCTATTTGCATTTTGAGGATTACTAACCCTCCTAAGCCTAGAAACCCAAACGTATGACTATCGGTATATGTGGATGGGCATAGAGAAATACTTACATATGTACGCTAATCCAGAAGCGGTTATCTTGCAGCTCGGTAAGCGCGGACGAAGGAATTACAACTTGAGTAATGCAGCTTCACTTACATCTAAAAGTTCGAGAGCCATTATACGTGTTCTCCACGATCTATGGACTTCTTTGGGCCAAAGATTTTGAAGGGCAATGATAACGAAAACGCAATGAAGAACAAGTACAGCAATGTACAGTGAATGTAATGGAGAGAGTGACAGATGTACATAGGTAAACCAATCGGCCTTCAACTTCGGCGACTTTATCAAGCTTTACCACCCCCTCTCCACCTTCTGATAGTCCTTTGCACGTTTTCCAAAGAGGTTAAGAGTTTTAACATCCTAGGATGGCGATTGACGAAAGCGAATCGAGAGCCTGGTTCAGTGAGATTATGAACGATCGGAGTCACTAAGACTTGATAAGAATTGTTGCTTCGTATACCCGCTATCATCCGTTCCCCCGTTCGCTCATTTCTCATTCAGGCTTCCCGAAAAAAGGCGGAAATGTGCGGTTCATCCAACATTTCTTTGCACACATCGCTGGATTCGAAGTGAAATGCTATGGGAAATGGAAAGATAACTTACAGCTCATCTGATATGGAGATTATTATATAGCCTTATATAACTTATCTCAAAATTTCCCAACACATTTCACTGTAGAACTGAACACGGCAATATGGGTTGGTGGTTGGCACGTACAGCACAGTATGCGTTTGAAATATCGATCCATACTTAGATACCAATACGACAGCAGCCAACCAGGTCACTCGTATATGACCTAGCATGACCTATTCTCTAAAAAAGTATATAGGACAAAAAGCTAACTTTTTTGAGGAGGAATGAAACTTAACTGAAAAAAAGGCTGCGAGTATGCTCCGTCCTTCCATGTCACTAACAGGCTTCCTTAGAAACTCAAGTAGGTCCAAGTCGCCGCAAACCGCTCATGCAAACGTCGATCTGAAGTGAATTCTCGTCCATGCAGGCGCCAACAAAGTGTATATATATAAACCAGAACGCAGTCGGAATCTCTTCTCGGTCCGAGTGACCCGTTTAATCTGTCACACCCATTATCCCTTCATTTCTCATCCATCATCATGCTCGCGAGAACTGGGTTTGTAGCCCGTCAACGATTCCTCGCGCCTCTATCCAGGCAAAGGAATGCATCTACATCGCCCACTGACCACCACGATCATCACCATATAGAAGAAGATACCACCGTTTACCCGAAAGAAGGCAAGAGCGCCATAAAGCTCGACTACGCCCGTTTGCTCAACTTTCTGAATTTATACAGGCTTTGCAACTCCGGCATGGCGTAGATTCTTTGTGCTCTCTATCATAATTGGCGCAGCATATCAGTTTGCTCCTGAACCTTCCGAAGAGGCGTTCGTCACGCGCTGGCTTGCGATGTACACCACCACTTCCGAGAAATGGTTGGATATGAATGTCAGGCATACCGTTTTGTCCAAGGAGGTTGCAGAGGGTGTGAATCTGTTCACTACTGCAACAAGACCACCAATCAATCGTATGAGATTCCCCCAGTGTGTATCTCTAACTATTTGTCTACAAATTGAATCTAATATCACTCTTCTAGGATGATGGATAATGCTTCGCCATTCAACGTCCAGGTGGGACTCAACGCGGACACTCGGGATTTTGTTGCGAAGACAGAGCACGAAGTTTAATATAGCCACGTGACGTTGATAGTGTTATTGAATTCTATTTTTCTCTCACATCCAATTGTTTGTTGAGTTTGTTGCAACCATCAGTCGTGGTGTTCTCCTTCATTCAGGACGAGCTCTCAAGCTCTCGGTCCCATGTATATCTCGTCACACGACAAAATCATGACTCGTTCATTACTGTTGCTCCTAAGCGTACATGTCGCCTGGGCCTCGCTGCCTTTGGTCGACTTTGATCGTATGGGCAAAGTAGGACTCGCTGGTGCTTTTTCAGGATTGGATCTCTTTCAAAACCAGTCGCACACGTTTGACTCTTCAACTTCTACACTTCTTGCCCGCGCATCCAATGGTTCACTGTCCCCAATTGCCTCTACCAACTCTGGGGGTCGTATCTTGGCTGGATGCACCCTCGACGACTCTTTCTATCTCGCAGGCTCATTTTCATCCATAGGCTCTACCTCGGCCTCTAATATTGCCTCATATACATCATCTTCGGGCAAATTCTCATCCTTGGGGTCTAATGGACCAAATGGGGAGATAGATGCCATCTTTTGCGACGCGAAGAACAAGAAGGTTTGGGTTGGTGGCTTGTTTACTTCACCGGGAGCTGCCGTCGCTGTGTGGGATACCTCAGCAAACTCTTGGTCTAAACCGCCTTTTAATGGCTTGACTGGTGCTGAGGGTCGTGTCCTTTCTATCACATCCAACTCTTCAGACTCCAGCCTTTTCTTTGCTGGCTCGTTCATTACATCTTTCCAAGGAAACGGAACCACCTTAAATGACACAAACAATCCCAACGTTCCTTTCTCTCCTGGTGCCTCGCCATTTTCATCCTCTCTCGTTCCTATTCCCCTTCAAGGCGCGCAGATAGTCGGCTCGCCATCGTCTACCGATGCTCAATTCAGTAATGTCTCAAATATCCTTTGCCCCGCAGGCTCAGATGGCCCAGGGAATACCTGGTTCGCTGGTGACGGAAACCAAGCAGTGATCACAGTCCGCGATTTTTCGTTTCTGCAGGCTAGTGGAGTCAGGCTTGGGAATACCTTCCAAAGTAACCATGGAACTACAGGATTCAGGCAAGTGAGAAGATCTCCGGTTGTTCCATTCATCTGATTCATTCCCTTTAGTGTGACCACGATCCCCGATAACACTGTACAAACACTCAAATATCTTGATCCCACCACTCAGCAAAACAATACCTGTTCCACCACCTGTCCACTCTCCACAGACTCCTCAATTTTGTACCAAGATTTCTTGTTTGATTCACCACTTTCTATTACTGGTGTTGCGATCACATTATCTGAATGGACAGGAGACGGACCCGGATTGCATATTTTGCAGTTGCTATCTTCAGGAGCCTTCGCATCTGCCATCGATTCTAACAACGTACAATCTTGTTTTGCACCTAATCCTTCCAACACAACGCGAACTGGTAATTGGGAAGTGAAAGTTGCACAGACGAATATTTCAGGAACCACCCAGTCTGTCCTTGTTTCTGATGTCGCGGTTGGTACTTCGGCCTCCGCAGGCCCCAGTCTGACATGGCAGCCTTATGTCTCCGCGTCCGGTGATTATAACATCAACATGCTGGTCCCTGGATGCACGAACTTCCAGGACTGTGCCGCACGTACGACGGTCCAAGTCACCATATTCCCAGGGAATGGATTAAACCCGACGGTGACGAATGTGGACCAGACCAACACTGAGGATGCTTCGGTCTCCATTTACAATGGCCCTATCCTACCCACCACCCCCGACTTTGTCACCACGATAACCATGACGCTTGCTGCTAACCCAACTGGGAGTGGATCAAATGGGCAGTATGAAATTGTGGCAGATCGGATCGAGTTGGTCCTCACGTCTGCAAATGCTACATCTTCTAATTCGAGTGGCTCTGCATCAAGCGACTCATCAGGGTCCAATCAGGGCTTTGGGTTCTTTGAATGGCCACTTAGCAGTACCTCTTCTGTCGATGCTACTTCAACTCTTGCAAACTCAACCGAAACATCCGCAGACCAAGCTGCTATTGGGTTGTTCAATGGAATTGGAGGGAACGGCACCATCTCGAGTGAAAATGCTGCGATTGCTAGTGTCGCGCACCATTCCTCCGGAACGATCTTTTTGGCAGGAAATTTCACAATATCTTCGAACTCCAACAATATTGTGTCATACAAAGATGGATCCATTTCCGCCCTTCCGGAAAATGGGTTAGATGGATCTGTTACTGCTTTGGCACTTGATGGAGACAATTTGTTTGTTGGCGGTTCCTTCATGGATACATCGTCGGCTTCCACTAATGGACTGAAGGGTGTTGCGTTATACAACGTTCAGAGTCAGAAATGGAGTGCATTGGGTGCTGGCGTAAATGGAAAAGTCTCCAGTCTGGCAGTCAGCGGTAGCCAGCTATTCGTTGCCGGGAACTTTACACAGCTGTTCACTTCTTCATCTGACACTGCTGGATATGACGCTCCTGGATTTGCAGTATGGAACATCTCGAATTCCGTCTGGGTAAACAGTGGTGGCTTCGTGGTCGGTTCTATGACCTTTGTTGCGAACGAGACTTCGCCACAGTATATCGCCGGTAATGTAGTTGTATCAGAGTCTTTTGGAGCTAGTGGTATGGTCATGGTTCAGAATAGTGCCTCTGATGTGCCGAGCATCTCTCCTTTGGGCGTCCAGCTTGATGGCTCAATTGCATCCGCTAGTACCACCTCTACACGCAGAAGGTCCATTGTTTCTCGTACTTCCTGGATTGCGCACGTGCGCCTCTCACATTTGTTCTTCAAGAGACAAACTTCATCGAGCACTTTGGTGGCACTGCCGGATGCGCTTCCTGCAGTTGCCCCCGCTGTATTGGCCGGTTCATTTTGGACGAATAGCACTTCAAATGATGAGGTGGCTATAATTGGTGGAAACTTCTCATTCCTCCCCTCTGGCTCCTCCTTTGGGTCAACTGAGGCAGCTAATCTGGGTATTTATGACCAGAGTCTTGCCACGATCACTGCTCTGCAGGGCAATCAGGTCAACGGAACGGTTCGTTCTCTCTTAGTGAACGGAGATACTCTCTATGTCGGGGGCCAGTTCACGATCAGTGGCCTTAATGTGGACGGATTCGCAATTTATGACCTTGCTAAGCAGCAATGGGATGTATCGGGGGTCCAGGCCCTTCAACCCAGCTCTGGCTCCTCTGTCGTCGTTCGCTCCATCACTACTTCCACCTCGAAATCCAACACTATCATTGTCGCTGGTACTTTTGCGCAAGCTGGCTCTTTAACTTGCCAAGCGATATGCTCTCTGGACACTTCATCTAATCAGTGGAACTCCCTTGGTAGTGGTATAAACGGGGAAGTATCTTCGGTCTCATATGCAGGAGTAAGTTGATTTGCATTGGTCTATAATAGGTTCTAAGCCCAATTTCTCCAGAACAATCAAGAAACGTTGATTGCCGCAGGTTCTATTGCCCTTTCGGACAGCACTGTGGCTAACGTGGCTCAACTTACCTTATCGAATATGTCCTGGGCTGAAGTTGGCTCAGGCTCAGACATTCCTGGCCCTGTAACTGCTTTGGAGGTTAACAACGCGAACGCAAGCAGTATTTTCGCAGCCGGAAAGTGAGTATCGCGCTTGATCTGATCTCAGTATCTTCAGACGTACTGATACGATACAGAACGAGTGATAACACTACTTTCTTGTCGTTTTTCGATGGTCAAAACTGGACAACATTGGGTATGCTACTCTTAAATTTGAGTGAATAATCATTCTTATGGTTTCCATCAGCTTCCACGCTCCAGAAGGACACCATCATTTCACAACTAGCTATGGTTCCTCTACAAAACACACACACTGGTAACAGCATCATCGAATCTGACCGAATGTTAATGATCTCAGGTGTACTGGATGATTCGTCGTTTGGAAATGCGTCTACCGCTCTCTTTGATGGCGCAAGCTTTATTCCGTACTTTGTTTCTTCCACCGTTTCTGGGACGGCAGGATCCGTCTCTTCTCTCTTCCACTCATTCTCAACTTTCAGCTTCACACAGCAGCGTAGGTGTTCAACATATGTATATAAGAGAGGTCTGATATTAATTCTTTCTTGCAGATTTTCTCGCCACCGGTGTTGTCATTCTTATTTCAATCGCTATATCCGCTGGTGCGGTCTTCCTCTTAGCGCTCATCGGCATACTTTGGACACTGTTTGCCAGACGTGACCGTGACGATAAGAAACAGTTTGATGCGGCAGATGATGATGATGACTCTATTCATCATCGACCTTCATCACTCCTTGAACACATTAATGCTGCGACGCGCGGGACCATCATCGGTGCAAGTCCGTTTGCGCCGCACAGTAGTGAGAAAGAGGAAGAGAAGCTTGAAGGTGATGGTATGGAGCCTGAGTACACGCATGACGGTGATAATTATGTTCGCGCTGAAACACCGAGCGCCTATGGTGGCGCTATGGGAACCGAAGAAGCCAGTAGACCTGCGCATGCGCGATATTCATTTGATGGTGCTGGGGAAGGTGAACTTGCACTAACAGCAGGAGCTGAGGTGGAAATATTGGACGATCGGGACCATGCGTATGTCATTGAATGTTTGCGAAGTGCTTGGCTGATATTTTGTTCTCCAGATGGTGGTATGCTCGAGATGTAAGGACCGGACAAGAAGGCGTTGTACCCGCAGCCTATTTATACTAGATTATTGGGTGTCATTCATGTTCGTCGTCGTTCAGTTGTTTGTTTTCGTTCAAATTTTTTATTAGTTTTCGTGCGCACGATACCCATTTCATGACAGTTTACACAGACTCTTCATACATCTTGTCGATGATCAACCACTGCAACGGTTATATGTTACAAGTACATTCTAATATATGACCTATAATATGCAACCAAAAGGCGCAGTGTAACTCATCATTGGAGGACTAGAGATTGATGATAAATAACTCGGCGGAGATTCACAAAGGACAAGAACTTACGTGGATCTCTGTAATGCTTTTGGGCATTATGTCTAAATCCAACTTTGGTCTTGAAATTTTCGCGCCTTGCCTGATCACGGAATTCTCGTATGTGTCGACCGGCTTCTCTCGCTTCGCCCCTGTTGCGTGCCTTCACAACATCTGTACCAGCTCCAAATGCGCCAAAACCGCCTTTTCGAGGGACCAGAAGCGATTTTTTGTCCCCGAGTAAACGGCGTACAATGGCAGCTCCAGAATTTGGATCGACTTCTCCACGAGGGGTACCGGGAAAAGACTGCGCATAATACCGCCGCATACCGCGATGACCTATTCGTGCGCCAGAAGGTAAGACAAGTTCGTACTGCGAGTCGCCGTACGTGACTTGGCCACCTGGAAGGTCTTCTTCGTCTGACTCCTCTTTGTCTTCATCCACTTCAATTATCTCGTCGTAGTCGCTACCATCACTATCTTCCCATTCTTCTTCGTCCTCCCCGACGTTCGCCTTCTTCTTCCGTAAATGAGCATCAGGATAAGAAGACGTAAAGTCATAATAATCTGATATCTCCAGCCGATCATCTTGCGTATCATATGCGACTTTGCAATGACTCTTATCCACCATATGCTTGCGAACAGCGTCCAACGTTCGAAACTCTCGACTCTTCTCATTGCAGAAAAGGCACACATTCCCGACAGCTATTTTTTCGCCTAGATAACCGATTAATCCTTCAGCATCAACAAGATAGTCGGCGTCTGGGACAAAGAAAGAATGCGCAGAGGCCATGTGTAGGAGGTTGGCTTGGAGGTCAGAGAATTCAGATGAACAAAAGAGACAGTGGGCGGGGGATAGTCGGGAACGGGCAGCAGCAATTTTTTGGTCGATTGTTTGGTTTTGCTCGTCTTCTGCAGAATCGTTTACGTCGAGGGGAACGGGTGTCTCTTGGGACTCCAATTTAGAAGGATTCTTGTTGAATGTTTTCACTTCTGCTTCATACTCTTCCTCTAGTCCGTCCTTCTTTGCGAGCTTGTATGCGAGCTTGACACTTGCCTGGAGCTCGGTTTCCTTGTGTTTCTTAGAGTTGATATGAGATCGATACGCATTCTCTGTGGAATATGTTTTACTGTTGAACTTCGCTCAGAACCTTTGAGTTGAATATACTCGATCGGTACTTACTTGCACACTTCACATACAGATCCTTTCAATGAAGACATGATCGCGGTCTCCGTACGTCTCTCGGTGACCTTTTCATTGAAGACAGCGGCGCTGACTGGAGGTAGACCAGCCACCCTACGCTTCATGTTGTATCTATGGTGATCTGAACGGTAATGTACGCCTGCAAAGCCATATCAATTGCCTGCTGAAAATTTAAGTATGAAACGTACGCTGCTCCTCTGCGGAGACAAATGCGATGGAACATGATATACAAGTGAACAAGTGTTGTGAATGTTCATCCATGACAATAGAGTGAAGAGTTCAGATGAGATGAAAGTTTAGGAGAAAACTGGACGGATGACTAATGAGATTAACTATGCTGAGTGATACAATACATGACTTGTACACCGTGACGAAAATTCACAACTATCTATGAGACTCCTTTCGAAAGGGCAGATTTTAATCTTTGTCGAAGAGGACTTTCTGTCTCCGAATTAGCCTCCGTTTGACGGTATGGACTGGAAATCGGGCTGGCATTGACCATTGTGACAGTGGTGCGACCTCCCTCTACTCCAGTTTCTCCGTCCTCTACTATTTCGACAACTTCATTTACCACAGCGACCCTTGTCCAACGTCGATATCTTGTGTACTGAAAGATGTATATTAGTCATGGAAGAAAAAGCACAGTTGATACAGACCTTGCCCATTCCACCTTTACTGCTTCTAGCTTCCCACTTGTTGTCGCCATAAACCCATCCGTCAACATCAGTAGGGATATCCTCATCTTCTGATTCATCTTCATCCTTCTCAGACGATGGACGATCGCCTTCTCCGTTTACAGGACTTTGGAGTGAGTTGACGTCCTTCATTTTCCCTGCAGCCTTCATTATAAGGCTCGAATTTTCTTCCTTTGGTGCTGGTACAGGCTTCTCGACGCGAGAGACCACACCGTCTTCTTTCCTTACAAGGACTCTCCACTCAGGTTCTTCCCATTTCCATGTCGCGGTCCGCTTGACTCGCTTCCCATTACTGTCACGCAGATAGACTGAAGTTGGCTCGGGAAGCACAAAGGCATTGGGCGGAGACACTGGCTGCAAAGAAACAGAACACCAGGAGGGTCTCTCACCAGGAAGTAACGCAGGGGAAAAGTCCAAACCCATCCACCATCGCTGGTTTTCATATATAGTAAACAAGAATCGAAGCGATAGTCCTGGTTCCACTGAATTTAAGGTAGCAAGCGTCTGGTAAGACAAACTGCGTAGAGGAAGTGGCTGGCCAGTTACTTTAGACCAAACGTATAATGTGCACCATCTGACCCAGGCGCTCTTGAGAAGGGTGTTCCGAAGGACAAAAGCACATGGGGAGTTCCACGTTATGCCCACGGTGCCAGTGACTGCGATGAGAATCCGCAGAGGGACGTAATATGTGAGGAGCAGATACGGAGGATACAAGATTGCAGAAACTCGGAGAAGGGTAGAGAATGCAGGGCGGGATTTGGGGAAAAATTTGGCGTCAGGTAAAAGAGATTGGATAGTTGTCAGATCTGCAATAGTTGCCTGAAGATTGGTCTCTGTAACCGGAGGAGCAGATGACCGTGCGTTTGCTGAAGCAGTGATCACTGTGAGTGAAATAACAACTGCAATTGGAAGAAAATATCTGAGATCTCGGTCAAAGTTGAATACCAATAGAACCAGATAATGCTGACCGTAGAGTAGCGTTCGACAAAAGACATACAGCCCACCATGAAGCGAGAGCCAGCCAAGCGTCGTATGACGTCGAGCGCGACCAGGTTAAGATCTCAAAGGCATTCTTGACCAAGGCAAAGTATGGAGCTAGTTGGACAAGTACAGCAGTCAATGGAAATGGCACAGTGCTGGTAAACTCATGAAGACTCGTCGTTGTCGATGAAGGCATTTTGCCTTGGAGCAGATTAGATAATCATGACTCTTGAACGTCAACATACAAGGCGTCTTGTCTTCCTCTCCTTTCTTTCTAGGACTTTTATCTACCTCGTAGCTTACTGGAGCTCGTCGACACTATCCCTTTTCGACGCGTCTCCGAACCTAGTGCAAATTTCCCAATGGTCAAAACCCTTTCTTCGCTGGGATGTATTCCATTTTGCGCATATTGCTGAACACGGCTATGTCTATGAGTATGAATGGGCCTTCCTCCCTGGTCTTCCAATTGTCATGACCTTGTTCAAAAGCCCCAATATGCTCTTAGCTTCATCGATGGTGGCTATAGCCTGTGATTCGACGATAGTCCTTTATCGTCTGACATTACATCAATGTGGCTCGTCCAACTTTGCCTTCCTCGCGGCTGTTCTGTCGCTCTTATCAAGCAGCCCAGCTACCTTGCGACTTGCACCGTGCCCTGAGCCTTTTTTCACGTACCTCTCGTACAGAGGTAAGCCAACTTATTTTTTGTATGAGACCTCCTGTTCATTAATCATCCAACATCAGGGATGTTATATTGCGCACGCTCAAAATGGTTCTTTGCGACAATCTGTTTCTCCCTCGCGAGTACATTCAGATCTAACGGCATTCTCTTGGGTGGCTTCATAATCTGGGGTCTCATAGTAGAGCCTTTTCTCAAAACAAGGACACTGCCAAAACACTTTTCCGTATATGTTAAATCCATTGTATATTCTGCAATGAATTTTGCTCCATTCATATATCATCAGGCGACTGGGTATACTGCCTTTTGCTCTAGCAGTAATATCACAAGTCCCATTCACGCTCCTTGGTGCTCCCGGTCACTTCCTCTAATTTACTCCTATGTCCAGATGACGTACTGGAACAATGGGTTATTTCGTTATTGGACCTTGGCACAACTTCCGAACTTCATCATCGCTGCACCCCCGTTCATTGTCATTTTTGCATACTCTGTGCATGTCTTGAGAAGGATTGCGAGGGAAGGCGTGTCGGAGCCATTGTTAGCGCTTATACCTCATGCGATTCACGCGTGTATACTATGCGGCACGTTGCTATTTACCTCGCACGTACAGATTGTGCTTCGCCTTGCTCCTTCAATGCCGCTGTTGTACTGGGCAGCAGCCTGGTTGGTTATGGATCATCCGAAAGCAGCACGGTGGTGGGTGTATTGGGCAATCGTTTGGGGCCAATTGTCAATTCTACTTTGGAGTATCTTCCTTCCACCAGCATGAAAACATTTTTGCACTCTTGATTCGGATGAATACACGTGCAACGGGACTGCTGGGTGAATCCAGTAATGATACAAGATATAAAATGAGTTCATAATAAGTAAAGGTCAGTGACATAAATAGGGTTGAGGCCCAGAATTGAAAAAGACAGGAAAATTGGGCACCCATCAGTCATGTTCCAAAATTTACCACAACGAAAAAGCTACGGTAGAAAAATTTGAACATTCATTGTCCTAATAGAAAGAATTATCGGAATCTTTCCTCCGCATCGTATACGGTTTACACCAGCAATGTTGCCACTAACGTTGCAGAAGTAGGAGCGGCATCGGAAGATGCTGATGATGCTGGCATCAAAGGTGTATTGGCTGTTGCGCTCGTTGCTGTTGACGAATCTTCCTTTCCGGCACTGCTCGCACTCGAGGTAGCCTCAGCTGTTGTTCCATCCCCCGTGGTACTACTAGTAATGGTCGAAGAAGCCAAAGAAGACAGTGACACAGTGGCGCTGACAGATGTAGAGCCATTCTGAGAAGTTGAAGCGGAAGTGGGTTTACTGCCGACAGCACTAGAAGAGATTGAGGAAGCATTTTGTTCAGCCTGAGATTTTAACTGGCCCAAGGTAAGGCCTGCGATATCCAGGGTATATGTCGTTGGAACGTCCAATTGGTTGATCTTCAGCCATGGTAATGTATAACCACCAACGCCAACCTGGATTGTGTTGGCGGCGGCAACATCCAAGTTCTCGCCGATAATTCCAAGAGAGGCAATTGCTCCTTGAGTAAGGAGCACGTTGTTGATTTCTCCGGAATTGACTGTTTGCCCTGCAGGTATCAGATAAGAATCGAAAGTGGTACTAAATTGAGCGTAGACAGTGCCATCGATACTGCCAGTAGATTGAATCGCCAAAACTTGTAGTTCAGCGTCGGTAGGGTTAAAAATCTAGGGTGTTTGAGTGCACAAGGACTGAAAACCATCTACGGAACAACTCACATCGACGTTGACTGTGACTTCGTTCGTCACCAGAGAGTCCAGGGTGATGGTGACCGTTATGTCCTTAATCAAGGTCTGACCCATTCCTATATTCTGCTGGGTCAAAACGCGACAACGATTGTGACTGGGATAATCAGGTTACTCGCCTGGTAAGGAAGCACTGAGGCTGAGACCGGAAAGAGCTTCTTGCAGAGAATCGATTGGTGTACTTGCGCTATCGCCTTTGATACTCAGAGGCAAGCTATTGTTACTAGTCAAAAAGTCTGCAATGAAAGACTAAATTATCTGATCAGGCTCCTTCGTGGTTTTATTTCTTTTTACGGGACCATACATACCTGCGCCACCGAATCATTTGAATTTGCTGGCTCGTAATGAAACTCGGAAGGAACAGAGTTTGTTCCGGGTACAAGGTTCAAATTCTAGGTGATGTTCAACACACGGGTTTAACACAGATCTAGCAAAAGCAGCATACATTGATAAAAGCTCGTCCGACCATGGATCCTTCATAATAGACGGGAAGGGCTATGTCTGTTGTGTCGAGAGAAATATTTGAAGGGCTGGATAGGTTGTCAGATATCAGATTGTACAAATCGGGAGAACCTACTTCTCCAACGTTGTGGTTAAAGGAGCATTTATAAATTCATTCCCTCCAGTACCTCCGCTTCCGGTGACGGTGACGTTACTGAGCGTCGCTCTTCCTCCAAACGAGTTAATACCTACGCAAACCATTAAGAAAGAGCAGATATAGCTATTCACTTATGATCTTACCACTTAAACTTGACGTGACATTGAAAGGAATGCGAGAGATCGGAACATCCCCGATGGTTGTCTTTGCTGTTACATTTGCACTACCGTCAAGTCCAAGGGAAATCGAATTCGAGAGGGTGACAGCTGCAAACAGTGCATTGAATGCATCGTCATTGAGAGATTTCAAAGGTTCATTTTCCCACGCAATCGGAAGGTTAGCGACGTTACCCGTTGACACCCCGCCAACGGTATCGGACGTTGGAAGACTGAGCTAAATATGTAGATAAATGCGAGTTGAGAATTAGACAAGGGCACAAGTTTGGATGGCTTACTTCCGCGATGTTCACTCCGTTCGAGCTCAGTATGATATCTGTGGCAGATTGAACTACTTGTAAAGAAAAACCGAACGGATTTTTGTAGGAAGCTGAGGTAAAATTAGAGCCAGTTGACGGATCGTAAGCTTCACTATCATCGTTGAGCGTGACGGCTAGGTCAGTAACTGTGATGGATTGAATGACCTGGATATTACTACGATTAGAGTTCTTGAATGTGATATTAGGAAAGAGAGTCTGCGTACATCGAGTTTCTCGCCTGGTAGTATTACATCAAGTGCAAGAGTCGCGAAAGCGGTACTGAGCCAGGAAACTGTGCTAGATGATCCGGGAGGCTGCACAGAAACACCTTTCGCAACGAGTGTCAAATTGTCTCCAGCCAGGTAGTCTGAGAAGAGTTGCCCGATGGTGTTTAAATCAGAGCCAGATTGGGGTATGATACGACCACTCAGGTGGGTGGTGGTGGTCGCATCAGCAGAAAGGACCAGATCCTCTCCCACCAATGCTGACAAAGATATTAGCGCCCAAACTACTAGCAAACGTGAAAGTAACTCACGTCCAACAAGAACATTGTCATAGAAGGAATCGAACGTCACAGTTCCCAGATCAAGTCCCAACTCTGCAAATGATAAAAAATTATCAGATGATTTTATAACCATATACATCTAACTCTTACGCGCAGGCGATGGAATCTGAGCGTCAAGGTCGATGGTTATGCCACCCTCACTTGAGTCTGAGGGCAACTGGAAGTTGCTGATAGTGACGCCCGGTAGACCGTTAAATGCATTGAAGGATACATTCTTGGTAAGAGAGACGTTGTCAAAGATGGTTCCTGAACATCCGTGAGCCTCAGAAACAGTACAAAGATTTGAATATTGCCTGACCCAATGCCACTAGCTGAACTTTGGAAGAAGAAATCGTCCACGAGAAGCTGGGATTGTGCAACAAGAAAGTGGCAAAAGTGGTGAATCTTATGTATAAAAGTTGAATTAATTTCTGAGCTCCAAATGGCTCTGAAAACTTACTGGTCCAAATCAGTAATGGAGAGTGTTGCGTCGGTCTCATAATCAGGCACTCCAACATTGGCGGCGGCACATACTTGAGAACGAGGAAAATCAGTGAGACGTAAAAGGGAAGACACAGCACAACCCATACTCGGAGGAAGCGATATGGTGGCGATTTGTCGGCCCTCCCAGGTCACTCTTTTGAAGAACAATGAGCAGCGTGATTCGAAAATTGCACATTGAGCACTCACTCTAAAGGTTCAGTGAAAGTGATCGACGCATCAAGAGGCCCAGTGTTGGTCAGCGATCCTTTCAGAGTGAGTGAAAAACCTTCATCTGAGATATCCCTAAATGTCCGATGTCAGGCCTTGATTTGTTTCAACACAAGTTGCAATGGACGAACGAAATATTAGCCTGATTGAAGCTCAGCTCTGCGTTGTCCACGAATTGTTGAGCAACAGGTCCGGCAACTGCGCCAATGAGATATAACGCTGTAGAATCGGTCTAATGGGAGCAGGATCAGGGCTGATATTTCTAGCACTATGACACTCACTATAGCATCTACGTCGTGTTGTGCAAAAGTAAGATTTGTGGCATCTATAAAACAGTTATTTCAGTCAATGAAAAGGATAATGCAGCAACATACAGTCATCGAGCTTGACAGAAGACTGAACAGCCAAATCAATTTTCAAGTTCTTCAGAGAATCCAAGATTGCAGTGTCAAAGTCAAATTGGTTGCCACTGTTGCATATTCAGAGCGCTAAAGGTCCGACATCCTCTCCTCCCTTACCTAACACAAGTCGGGGAACTGGTATCGACAGTAGGGTTTACCTGAAGTACTTATGTGAGAAGCGGTAAACAATTGGGACTCAATGTGTTTTCTTACAGGTGGATTGAAGTTAGGATTATCAATGATGAACTCAAAAATATCGATTAGAGGACCCAAATTGACACCATTGGCTTGGGCACCCGCTTGTAGGAGCTCGACAATTGATACTGGGTTAAGGTTGAAGTTGAAAGGCAGGCTGGGCGAGGTGATATTGCTGTGACCATCTGCATGAATCGGGTTCGAAGTTTCACCCACGCTAATAGTTCCGAGCGTGATGTTCTGGTATGTAGCAGAGGCGTCGACGGTAAGAAGATTGATACTCGCAGTGAACGGATTAGCTAGAGAGAAGGTGGCCTCAGCAATCCCCGTAGAAACTATATCAGTTGGGAAGGTGAGGGAGGCCGATGAAATCAGAGACTGATTAAGGGCCGGGATTGTCACAGGACTCAGGCTGATCTTCGACATAGCTTCCTGGAGGGACTGAATAGGAGTAGAGCTCGTGCTTCCCACGATCGAAGTGTCCGAGTTGACGCCTTGCAGGTAGTTTTCAAGTAACGTCTCGCCGGCAGGAACAGCGTCTCCTTGTGGGGAGTACTGCACATCTGTGGGGCAGAAAAGTCAATGAGCAATACGGAAATTCCTTCAATCTTTACTAACCGATAGAATAGATTGTAGTGCCGGGAACGATAACTAAATTATCCTGAAGTATGTTGTGAGCAGATGAGTTCGTAAGTTGCATCAAGAGATCCAAAATAAATATGTTTGAGTCTTACCAGGACAGCCAATCCAATTGCTTCTTCCCTAATAGCGTAAATAAATACAGACCCGAGAACAACATCAAGGCCACTCACGCGAATTCTAATCCGAAAGATACGTCGCCCGCTCCTAGAAGAGCATGAAAATTTAATGAATGGGAAAAACAAGTTACTTTACCTATGGTCAAGTTGGATGGATTGGTAAGTGGACTTGAAACTTTGATCAGAAGGTAGTCGGGGAAGCCGTGAAATACATCCAGATGATTGACTGTCACCGGTTCAGTATCCAGCCCTTGCAAACCCGCGATAGTGGTATCAACGGAGAAGGAAATGTTTGTCAAGGACAGTGTCCCGACGGCAGTTGAAGCATCGGCGCTGGCAGAGCCAGAAAGGCCCATAGTGACCGATGTACCAACAGTGGTGGCTGCAAGGAATTCATTGAAGACGCTATCAGCTCCATCAACAACCGTGAACGGAACATCACCGAAGGCCAGAGATATGATTCTCGCATTGACGTCGGTTTGTGATGGTCCTTTTGGAATAAACAATTGGGCGAAGACCTGCCCTTCTGCTGCGACATTTATGTCCTGTTGTAAGGCGACTATGTCGATTGGAAAATCAAATGGAATGGTGAATGCAGCAGTAGTTGAGTTACTAGAAGTTGCAGGGGCATACGCCGTGTCCTCAGAAAACTGGAGATCGAGCTCATTCAGATCTATGGATTGGATGATATTTAGAACGCCCAGATTGGGAAGACTCGTTTCAACCTGGAGTGCAGAGATGGCTTCATTCAACCATGAAACCTACAAGGGGCAAGTTAGAATTAAAGACAGCAAAATCAAGGACGATTTTCACATCGGACGGGCCAGCGCTGGCTCCGTTAACCATCAACTCGCTATCCAATCCATGAATAAAATTATTGAAGACCTGCGAAACTGCAGCAAGACCCTCAGAAGAGGTTTGGGGTATCAGACGCCCGACTAGTGCGAGATTGCTTGTAGATTCGGGGTTCAAGGTGACGGCACCACTGCTTGAAACTGGTGCAATCAACTGCCCATCTATGTAGCTGCTAAATCCAAGAGAGCTTAGCTCGATTCCGACTTGAGATGGCTGATTAGAACTCATTAGGGATATAAATAGAAATCAGTATGCATAGTGAACACACATTAGTTGCAGAGGCATTCAGCGTCAATTGTATTCCACCAGCAGGATCATTTGCTGGAAGATCAAAGGACTGTATTTGCACGCCGCCTTTCAATCCGTTGAAGCCTTTCAGTGTTACTGATTTTGACGTCAATGATATTCCGGTAACTTCAATCCCCAGAGCAGTGACTAGAGAAGGATTTTGCGCCAATTTATGATTTGTATTAGAGCATCATATCACTTACCAGTGAGGTTATCACCGGATATCACCCATTCAAATGATTCCTCAGTGAGAAGAGTCTGACGGGAAATTCAACAGAAGGAAAGGCTGTCAGTGATAGAATATTCACCTTTGTGAAATCAGTGAGGGCGTCGACATCCACCACTTGGAACACAGAATTAGCATTAAGTTGAGCACCCTGGCCTCCTACTACGGTAATGTTATCCATCTGAAGCGTCCCGAGAATTTTACCAGACCATTCTACAGTGAGACCTTGAGAAAATACGATCGTTGCATCGACTGTACGCAATTAATGAGTAGTGAGAGTGGATGAATGCAAAAGTCCACCTTACATGGACCGGCATTATTAATACTCCCGTTCAGAGCAGTATCTGATTCCGAATAAGATGCTCTTATATATCATCCATAGTCGAGTGCACTTACTGAACGAGGACTGCTCAGGATCTGATATGAGTACCGCGTCAATGCTATAATTGATTTAACATCGAAATGCGGCAATCGGTGATGAGATCTAATTTACCCCAGACCGGCGCCTCCGACAATTTTCTGCACGATTGGTTTCGCCAAAATGGGAAGAATGAAATCGAGACTGCCATCTGTTTCTGTTGGTAAGCTTGACTGGAAATAGTTCAGAACTGCGTTGTATTCGCCTGAAAATATATCAGCCATCGATGCAGAGAGGCAACAAACGGTGAGAGGCACCAATAGTAACATCCACAGTAAGGTTTACGTCTGATTTGAGCTGCTTGAAGGCTGTCTGCACAAATTCGGGAAGCGCAAAATTTCTGTATCAGGGTTCAACATGCTGTTCATCACTGAGGCATATGGAAGACGAACTTGTACAAGCTAGCGTCTGATTCAGTGGAGACAGCAGGCCCTGTAGTCATTAAATACTCATATCCGCCTAATGACACTATTCCGTCGAGAGGAGCAACGTCTTCTCCGGCATCCACAGCAAGAGCCCTTGTCACAGTAAATAAGGCGCTCGGATCGAGGTTCATATTCAACGGAAGGGTGGGTGAAGTGGTATTTGACTTTCCAGCAGAGCTGAAGTTGGTTGACGTCTGTATCGTTCCAAGGGTGATCCCAAAAGCCGATACGATGGACTGGATTCCCGTCACGTCGAGAGCAGCTGTGAAGGGGTTCGCCAAGCTGACAGTCACATCGCTAATATTGTTCGTGAGACCAGTGGTTGACAAGACTGTGGAAAGCCACGATAAGATAAGACGTCACTGATGAAATACTAGAAATTACCTTTCAAAGAAGCGGTGTTCAATAGATTCGTGGTGAGAGCAGGAAGGGTGAGTCCTATTTCTAGAGTCTCAAACGCTTGTGTTAACGAGGCGATTGCAGTACTACTGTTAAATCCAGCAATGGAAAGTTGGACATCTTGAAAGAGGACAACGTTCAGATTATCTGTCACTTGGAAGAATAATGGTTTGGATGACCTTGTCTTCCAACGAATTGATCAAGCGTCTCTTGAGCCTGCGGGTTGTTATTTGACTGTAGAGAAATGAAGACATTTAGAAAGAAATATCATAGAGTCGTAGGTCTGGCAGCTTCTAATCAATGCGCTGGGTATAAACTCTAAAGTAGCTCATTGCCTTTATTCAGGGCAACACACCCCAATCAAGTCCAGACGCACTGGTCATATCAATTCGAAAAACGTACATCAAAGGTTGATTGTGCCAAGATTGAGTTGTTTCCCATAGTAAGGTTGAGATTGGGAAGCAGAGCTGTTCCCAAAAGTGCACCGTCTCTTGTTAGTTGCATAGCTTCGAATTGTTAATGCAGGTAACTCCTATAAAATTCACAACTGAAACTCACTCAGATCCCCAGTTGACAGGTTGAGATTGGAAGGATTGACAATAGACACTAGAAGTACAATAATCAGCGTCGAGACTATCGTACGGCATTCCATTGTGCCAAAACTCAACCATTAATGTTCAACGTGATGCCTTCGGTGGTTCCTCCCACCACATCCACCGCATGTATTGCTGTCAGTCCATTCAGACCTCGAAGACCATTCAAGGAAGACGGGACGTTGAATTTGATTGGATCCAATGTTATTTGACCGATGCTCAAGTTTGCAATTGCTCGCGATTGGCCTACGAGCTGGAAGTCAACAGATGAAAGACTGGTAATGTTGGCATCTACAAATAATGATCGGCTCTTATGAACAAAATAATCAAACGCGAGTCTTACTGAATTCAGAAAAGTGGGGATGCTCGGGATCCGGGACACTCAAATTCGTATGATCGATGGTGATATTGATGGTGCCCGACGTGAAGGTCGAATTGACCACTTCAATTGAAGACATAGATGCATTTTCCGGCTGTTGGTGTGAAGATAAATATTACGTTTACGGTAAATGGGTCGAGGACCCACCGTTGAAAGCCCAGCAATGACTTGATCACCATTTGTTAGATTAAACGAGTTCTGTATCTCAGAAATTGCTACAGAGAAACCAAACGGCAGTTCTGTAAATGAAGCGGAAAAGTTTTTAGAAAATTAACTTGACGCTTGTTGCAGGAACACATACGAAGCGATGCCTGAACAGTTTGACTCTGCGCGCTAGGAGCCCATGGCGTTTCTTCAGCAAACCCCAAGGCCAGATCTCCGATGTCAATACTCTTGATAGGTGAAATTGCCCCCGAGAGCGAAACAAATGGAACATGTAACTGCAACGCCTCCAATCCCTGACTTAGCCAGGATATTGCTGTGCCATCTGTCTGCAAAGTAGATTTTCCAGTGGCAATGACATCCGAGCTGTCCCCGTTGAGATAGTTAGTGAAAAGCTCGGAAACAACGGTGAGGTTGTTATCTCCGCTTTGCGGCACTAAGGTGCCTGAGAGCGTGATATCGTTCTTCGCTGCTCCTGTCTGTATTTGTTGAGTTAGTTTGTGGTGCGCGGGGAGACGAAAATTTGTATGTACAATCACCGTATTGGAACCGCTTCCGGTTCCAAGGTACACATCTTTGTACGAAAGGTCGAATACAACAGTGCCGAGGTTCAGTGAGAAAGGACTGCAGAAATAGAAGGAGAATAAATGTCTCATTGATGAGAGCAAATAGAAATCCACTGGCCTGGGATTGTTCAACGTGGTAGTAGCCTCAAAATTGATCCCCCCAGCGGGATCATCACTTGGGAGGAGTAGATTCGTGAGGTTAACATTCCCATTAAAACTATCAAAGCCTGCAACGAAGATTTGTCAGGAAGTGAAGTAGAAACAACGGTTGACTGCAACCCACCGTTCAGCGTGAGGGTTTTGTCGAACTTGATACCTTTCGATACAGGGAACTTTGCGGCTTGTACGTGAAGATTGTTACTGAGTAATCTCCAAGTGAAATTGTTCGCAGTGATCATCTGCGCTGCGAATTGGCCAAACACAGATTGATCAGTGATATGGAACGTCGTGTTCTGGTCAACCGTTGCCCGCTTATGGCTTGCGGAAATGTCGTCAAGGTCCATGTTACCAATCGTCAGTTGCGATCCATTGGGTTGCACCCATTGAACCGTCACTGGTTGCGTAAAGTGAATTTTTGCGGAAATGATTCCAGTGTGCGATACCTAAAAAGCACAAGTCAGACAATACATAGACATGCATCCGGTCTATCGCGAATCCTACCGATCCTTGCAACGCTAACTGGAAGCTATTGAAGTGGTTAAGTATAGTAGAACGACAACAAAAGGAAAATGAGACGCTGTACCTAGAATTGGCAGGATTGCTGATGGTAGCTACGCTAATTCCAAGAACACTGTTGTTCAAGACATCTTGCACAATTGCGGTAACGACAGGGAACTTTATCAAAAACTCAGGGCAAGGATGGGTTTGGAAGAGAGGAAATACAAACCAAGAGAACGAAAAGCAATACAATTCCTAACGGAATAAGAATAGCCTGGCTAATAATGAACTTCCGCCTCTTATAGAAAGGAACATGAGATTGAGGGGCAGCTGGGGCGGCTGCAGTCGCTCGTGCGTCTAAGTCCGCTGCACCTTCGCTGATTGCACCTTCTCTAGGTTCCCCTGAAACACCAGCAGCGGTAGTTCTCACAATCTCATTCTCGGAGAACCTTGAGCCGGCAGGAGGTCTGACATGGCCTACAGAGAAATAGTTAATGGATATTCACATGAAATGAGAGGAAACTCACTAGCGAGTCCTGCTTGAGAACCAAGAGATTCTGCACTGGCCTGCTCTTGGTGATAGAGTCCGATACTTCTTCTGGTTGGATCGCTGGTCTCTTCCATGTTAGACGCGTCGATTTATTTGTTGACACGCGCCAAACGGGTCGAAAGCTGAGCGGTAGTAAAACACAAACTGGAGAAGAGGGAGTAAAGAAACACGAGCGAAAGTAAGGAATGGGAACTCGGCAGTTTTGTAGGTGCTAACTGAAGGTCATTCTTTTACCCAGAGAAAAGATTATTTAAATCTTTAGATCGACAGAAGATCTCGTTGGATTCCCTGCAGCACATGGTGGAATTGTTGGCGAAGCATGTCACGTTTGAACCGAGTTTTGCATTCATTACCCTAGTAATGGTCGCTTTTCGAGCAGCGCCTCCTAGCACTAAGCATCCTTTCATGGTCTTGACTGGGTCTTGAAAAAGTGGTACAGGCTTCAAACTGTCTCGAGGGTACTTTCCAAGAATTGACATATGATTTTGTTTCACATGTAGCATGCCCCAATCATGGTACGGTATACCCTCAGCTGACTTGATGCGCCTGAAAAACATTCAATCCCAAAATTGTTTCGTCATCGCATACTAAATAGACTATCCTCAGAAGGCTCCACCTTTGCAGGTTCATGACGGCTGTTAGCGAATTTGTAGCGCTGGTTTTTGTTATATCCGAAGCAACAAATTTCTGCCAACAGCTTGAATCCAATACTTACTTTCGTAGTCGCTGTCAAGTCATGGATCGTCGACGATGCTCTGTTTATCCCATCACTGGCACTAACCATTCCCTACTTCAGACGGCGAGTCATCGGCGGCGGCGGTAGAGCTCAATGAGATGCTGTTCTTCGCCGCACCTGAATCCACTTTCAAATTGTTCTTTGGCATAATGAAATCTCTACTTACCGTACTCTGTGATCATCTTTAGACGCTCCCGTTAATGCGTATCCTCTTTTCTCGCAGTCCCCCGCTACTCGGCATGATGCTTGAAGCTTTGTAATAAGAGTTATGGAATATCCAAGACTGGACTTTGCAGTTCGACATTCTATATTGGTTCAAATTAATCAAATGGACATGCTACTGGTATTTCCGCTTCTGCGACGTTATGTTCATACGATTACTACCGCCAGTATTGAATGCAGAAGGCTGCTCAGTTGGAAACATGTATACTCTCCAAGCCTTTCAACAAACAAGTATGAGCAAGTATGCAACGATAACCAATACTTGTGGTCTGCATCCCAAACCTTTACTGGAGGTGAATTGTACCTTCATCCCTGGAGTGACACGACGCTAGCGTGCCGTGCCAGAAGTCTTCTTTGGGGATGTTGTATACGAAAGGCAGAGCGGGGAGGACAGGGAACCCGGGCCTGAAGCCGATCATTTATATCGGTGGTCCGCAGACTTGTATGGCGGAGCGATGGATGGGTTGCTGTGGAGTCCTGTTGTTCGAAAAATTTGTGTAGCGCAGGTCCTTTGAGTTGGACGCTGTTATTCACCATGCAGACGTTTCTGGAAAGCAGGATTGGTTACTAGCGGCGAAAATCTTAAAGCGGTGATTTTAGCTTGAAATGTAATGATAGAAGTTCAACTTCATATATTCTGTCGCCCATAGAGAATCCAGAAAAGAGAATATTCCATTGGTGATACGTCCATCATAAGGTGTTGATGCAGACGATATGATCGAAGACGCAAGACGAGCTGCAGAAACGCATGGTGCCGTCGACATCACTTCATCTGAAATCAAACTCACAACGAGTAAGTTCCCAGGGGGATCGATAGAGGACCACTTTGAAGAAGCCAATCTATCTGAGCAGCTCTGGGAATGTGACTTCTGGACGTAGTGTGAAAACATTAGGTACAGAGACTTACAAAAGCATTAAAGATGACTGCCACGGTGCCAGGCTCGACTTCCTTTTCCCCTGTCACCAGAATTTTGCAATTGAAAGTGTTGAAAAAGACAGTAACTTCCCCTCGTCTGAATCATTTTTAGAGAAGGAGGATCCAAATAATCGGTAAACGGGGGATGCCACTGGTTTGTTACTATATCTCAGGAGTTCGAATTCAGCCCCAGCTGAAAGTCGTCCAATGCAGAAGAACGATGAGAGACAGAGATAGTTAGTAACCACCGACACCTTCATGAAAACAGCTCTTCAACAGCTGCTGCCACCACAAACTGACTACGTTTTCATACTACCTCGGGCCGGCAAGACCAGCGCCTAATGATTAATGACCACGTGGGATCGATCATGGTCGAGCTCATTTGAAGTATGAGTGCTAGAGTCGTCTTTCCGGTGAAACACAACGCTGTGTAGCTCAACGACAGTTGACAGTCATCCTTGACCTTCTATCTCTCAAATTTCTCAGATTTAAGCTTTATTTCGTATTATCTGCTCCGCTTTCGCATCGTACAAGCATTACCAGGAACTGCTTCTCAGCGAAGAATTTATTATCCCTGTTTTTTTTTCTCATATCGGTACGCGTGCTTTCGTTTCTCTGCATGATAGCATTCTCAAATCGCATTCTGTCTTCTAGTTCGATTGTAATATGAACGCTATTGTCCAACCTCACTCTGAAGCGCGCGTTGTTGGACGTGTATCAACTCAACCCGCCAGCCTGTCTTCTATCCGTCGAAAACCCAAGTTCACCTATATGTCCCCAGCGTCTTCCGAGATTCGTGGCCCGGTACATCTACTGTCAATGTCCTCGACAGCTACGCCGCCAACAGCGAGTACCTCATCTTCACCAAAATCGTCGTTCGCTACCGCCAAATCCCTCTTCACACCATCGAAACGCTCCATGGGACCTCCACTTCCATTGTATCATCCATTTGGCAAATTGGCCATGTCCCTTCCTCCCCTCGACCCGACCGCTTTTGGCCTTCCCGTACCCATAAACATTGATGATGAAAGCACTCGTTCTTCGAGTCATTCAAAACGCTCAGGCGTCAAACTGCGCGATGCTGCAGTTGAGACCGATCCTGTTCCTCCTGTTGCATCTGTAGGCACAGTGGCAGCCATCGCCGCTCGTGAAGTCAAAGAGAAGGCCAGTCCTCGGAAGAAACGGGCCGGTGGTGGCGGCAAACGAAAAAGGAATTCCGGAGACGACGGTGACGCCACATATCCCGCCAAACGAACTCGTCAACCGCGCGGAGTAGCTCCTAGTGCTGTTGATGATGAACCAGAATCTCTCGATGCCTCAGCCAATGGGGGTCTACCGATGGACGTTGTGTCGTCAACTCCTGGGACCCCTGCGGACGTTATAGACAAACCAGAAAGGAGAACAACGCGTTCTAGAGGCGCAATCACTAGAAGAGATTCCACTGCCAGCGAAACTCCTTCTGCCTCTGCCTCCAGTGTAAAACCTGGTAAGGATGCTTTATCAGATACTCACGACGTCACGGGCGATGAGAGAGAGAAGAGAAGGAGTACGAGTAAGGAAGAGGGTGAGGTCAGTGAGGAAAGCAAATCCACTTGAGCTGTTGTAGAAGGTTAGTGCACCTAGTTTCTGGATCTATTTCATGTAGTCGAAGATCTCGACCTTTGTATATATTTCATCTCATGTACCATCACACGATATCTATCATCGATAACTATTTGACCCGATTCTGTTACGATACCTTATTGCTAATTAGCGGCTGAATATAACTTTTCTTCAAAAGAACGTACTTGCGGTGGCATAGGCATTAGTTACTAATAGTTAGGGGCTTGAATATTGAATATCTAAGCAGGCGCTTAATTACCTGGTGACGCGCCAGCTCACGGCGCTGGCTATAATATTGTGATTTGTTGTGATTCAGATCTTATAAAGCCACCTTCATAACGAGGTATTCTACCTCCAACTAGCTCTGCTGGATGGATATATTATGGCGATTCAAGCCAGAAATCAATTGGTATCTCGAACAGCTTTGCATCCTCTACCTTTGACCTTAATTTTTCATGTCTTTTAGTGGGCTACCGGGCATGATGAAACCGTAGAGGTCAACCAGAGAGCCTTGATTGACAAAGTGCTTGCTCGGTATTCTGGAGAATTTACTGTGTTTCGGGAACTGCTCCAAAACTCGGATGACGCCCAGTCAAAAGAGGTCGAGATCAGGTTTGAGACGAGAGGGTTTTTGGAGGATAAAGTGGAAGAAGAAAGTCCTGCGCCGACCAGACTCCCGAATCTTAAGTCCGCTCTAGTATGTTGCAGTATCTTCGAGGCACACATAATTTCAATAATTCTACGTGCAGGTGCACCAATGGACGTTCAAGAATGATGGTAATCGCTTCAACTTTTGCTGCAACAATCAAGACCTAATGTTGTATATAGGGATAACATTTAGGGAAGAAGATTGGAATCGACTCAAGAAAATAGCGTGCGTGTCATGCTCTGAACCTAACTCCATTTGTGCTGACGTCTCTCGACAGCGAAGGGAATCCTGATGAAGAGAAAATTGGTGGTCAGTAATGGCCGCGCGTAACTCAGCAATGTTTGACTCGAGCTTTGCGTTCTAGCATTCGGTGTCGGATTTTACAGCTTGTTTTCGGTCACCGAGGAACCATTTGTGACTTCAGGAGGGGAATGGATGGGATTTCATTGGAAGAGAGATCAAGTATGTGAAATGTTCGTAGTCAGCGGGCTGTGTTAAGTCCGTTGCAGCTCCTAGCGCGTAGAGGAAAACTTCTCGACACAGCCGAACCCTCGAAATGGACTTCTTTCGAAATGTCACTTCGAGAGGATACGCCTATCCCTGCAGCCTTTGATTTCACTCGATTTCTCGCATCTTCTATCACGTTCATGAACCATCTCTCTACGATATCAGTGTACTTTGACGACAAGAGACTCACGAGGTTGACAAAATCTACTGGAATACCGAAAGAGTTGGGATTGCCGAAAACGTTGAATGTTTTGAACAAATCCAAGATGATGACGTTGGACAAGCTCAAATCTACATGTGAGTTCCTGGCGTTGATTTTGTCGATGCTCTCAATCAGGTCCCTGTAGCATTGCTTATTCAAGCGGATGTGATGCGATGGGTTTACACCTCAGGTTCAGAAAAGGCGCCTGCGCCTTCTGCTATCAAACCTGTAAAGCCTCCTGCTCCAGGTGGATTCTTTGCCTCTCTCTTTTCTGGATTGACTAGCACGTCTACCACACCTCACCCTCCTGTCACGACTGTAGAAACTCCAAAGCCTATCGATCCCCTCAAAACTGACACAACAAGTGTCTCGTTGACGGTATTCTCTGCCGATGCGGACGTTAAAGTAGATCAAAAGCTTGCTGCTGAGTTACATAGATCCACTAAGAAGAGTGTCCCGAAGAAGATTAAATATGAGTTAATATATGTAAGTCAAGCAAAATTGAACTACACACATTTTCACAGAGTTGAGGTTCCTACCTGTGCTATAGACCGGGATGGATGAATATAAAGCCAGCAAAGCTGAGGATGAGCAACAAACTTTCGCGACATCTGGTAGCATTTTTCAGGGATTGCGCGCAGACCTCGATGGGTGAAATATCTTGTCATTCTTCACGTTGGCTTGAAACTTACTTTTCCATAATTTAGAATGGGTTCAGCCCGAATTTTTATCGTAAGTCGGTCGACGAAAAATCAAACTCGATCTAAATTTGACCACGTTCATAGGGACACGCAACGTCTCAAACTACTGGAATCGGAGGGCACATGGTACATAACGAATTTCGACTATAAGCGCCGCACTAACAATGGAAACAGAGCGCTCGTTTTTTGCCCACTGTCGAGAGAGAGAGTCTTGACCTAATGTGGGTCAATTTCCTCCCGTTTCTCTACTTTGTACATTTCTGATACGTGATCATAGGGATCGAAATGTTGCCAGTGCGTAGAAACTTGTTTCACTCCGCTAGGTATATCCTGAATGATGTACCTAGTTTGGAACAAGGAATTACTTTCCATTGGTGGGACTGTCTCGCGCGCTGTATACGAGCTCGAAATGGACAACATCAAGCACATGTCTGATTCCGCCGGACCGGCGAAATCTCTTGAATTGCAAACTTGGCTAATGGATCGTGCTGTCCATGTTCTCAAATTTTTCACATTCCACCAATCCACACCATCCGCTGATGTTTCTAGCCTGATGGAACAGGCATTTTTTGCCTGTTCAACGGGATTTAGGATTATCTCTACCAACGGAATACAGGATGTTGCTGATATACGACTACCTGATGCACAGTTTTCTTCTTTCCTCAAAGATCTTCCTGTGTTGCCCGAGCAACTTTTGACCGCTGCCCGTCCAATGGTGACTGCTCTGCAGAATCGCAAATTAGTCAAAGCCATCACTTTCAGCGATGTGTTGAAAGAGTTGCGCAATAGACCGTTAACGGAGGATGAATCCGTTGCTTGTCTAACTTGGTGGATTAGCCTTAATAAAGATGGGGAGAGTGCTGCACGCCTTCAGTCCATACAAAAACAACTTCTTGATGCTGCTGTATTTACCACGGGTGCTACGGGAAGCAAGGAAGAGAGAATCATACCACTGAACACCATTCATACCATTCTCAACCCTCGAAACATGGCTGGGAATATACCCCCGGATGCTCCGTTTCCGCCTACCATGCTTCCTCCTTCCTTCAGCAAGTCTTTCAAGCCAGATCAACTCACATTTGCATTTCACTGGACTGAGCTCACGCTAGTGGAATGGCTCAGATTCATTGCCACCTCTGGACCTTCCCCCGAATATGATCTTTCAGTCTCCGATCATTGGTCCGAACGAGTCCTCGGCATTCTTGCACGCGCTTGGCCTTCTCTTTCTAGTCACATGAAGGATGAGATAGTGCAAGTCTTGAAATCCAGCGCTTGCATTCCCACGTCTCACGGATCCAAAATCCCAGAAGAAACTTACTTCGCGAATGCCGATATTTTCCATGATTTACCTGTAGTTAAGCTTCCCTCAGGCTCGGCAGTGAAGGGAAACCTTGAGCGTGTCTTAATTGCACTAGGTGTGCGCAAGCATGTTGAACTACAGATCATTTTCACTAGGTAAGAGTCACTGACGATCATCTGAATGTTACTCAACCAACTATGAAAGGATGATCAAGACAAATGAGTGGACCATATCGGACCTTATAAAGTACCTTGTATCAGTGAAAGACTCGCTGTCCGCCGAGGAAAAAGCAAGACTCAAGCTAACTAACGCCTTTTCTGCGGAGTCTCCGCCTGGCACAGAAAAAAGCAACAAACGGTATCGGGCTGAACAACTCTTCGAGCCCTCTCCCATATTTACACAACTGGAACTCCCTATCATCGACTGGGGTACGAAATTCAAATGGCGTAGTTCATCTGAAGAAGGTACGTTTCGCCGTATGTTTATTGCATCTGGCTAATGTAAGGGTTGGAAAAGCCAGGTTCCTGTTTGATTTAGGACTTCAAAGATATCCTTCTCTTTCGACCCTCGTTGACCTCTGCGCCAGTTCCAAACCTCAGGCAAGCGTCCAGACTAAATATCAAAATGCGCTATTGATTGAATATTAGATCCGCGTTGTGGCGTTTAAGTATCTGCTGGACAATATCAGCACAAAATATCAGGACTACGATAGTCAAGATTTTTATTCCGTGAAGTTCATTCCAGCCACCAAGAACGGCTCACCCTATCTGGGTTCACCAGGAGAGGTAGATCATCGTCAAGTACACATATAGGACAAACTCAGTCATTCCTACCTCATCCTTTAGGTACTATCTGGCCAAGAATGGGAGGTCCTGGGCTTACCCGTTCTTGCTAATGCGGCTCTCGGCGTAGGTCCAAAGTTGGGACTTAGAGAACACCCTACAAGCGCTTTTATTGTGTCTTTTCTCGAAGAAACCCCGCCCCGAGATATACCCCAAGCGACGGTCATGTTTAATCTCATGTCCAACCGCATATCAGGTATTAATGCAAATCTTTTTCAACACATGGGATTTTTACTTTTTCCATGCAGATCTCTCTTCTTCACAATTGCAAAAACTCTCGCAACTTTCGATCGTTCCGACAAGGCAAAAGAAGGATAATGGCATCCAGATAATCAATATACGGCCAAGTCAATGCTTTTTCGGTCACGAAGGAAAGGACGGATTCCATTCGAAATTGTTTGTTTTCATCGATTTTGGAGCAAGTGCAAACTCGTTTCTCAGCGCTTGTGGGGCAAAACGGGAACCGAGGTAATCTGTTCTTCCTTCTGTCTCGTTTTATGACTCATCTTTTGCACTACAGTGTGGAGGAAATTACTTTGATGCTTCTGGCGGATGCACACAACTTTTACCAATTGGCGGGCGGCCCGAATAGGTGAATACCATCCGCACGTCATCATACTGTTTGACTAATGCTTTGTAGTTTTCTTGATGAAATTCGCAATATTGCGGTCAACAGTCGCCTGCTTTCCAATGGTACCCTTGCACGACTCAAAAAGGCTCCAGTATTATTGGCCCTCCAACGCCGTGTATCAGTAGAAGAGACCTCGAAAAAGGTGGTCGACGGAGATGAAGACTGGGAGACTCAGTATGATTTGAAGAGGCCGGATCAGATAGTGATTGCTGACGACTCAAACTCTCTTCAATTGTTCGGCGACAAGTTGTTTGTGGCACCCCAGGAAGATATATTAGAAGGTATGCATGAATCCGACGACCCTGTTCCATCATATTGAAGAGTCTATTTCTACATATAGCCTTCTACATTCTGCTAGGTTCTAAACGGCTTAGCGCTCTGGTGCAAGAAAACTACGAAGTAACCAACGAGATTAATAATTCCCCCCAAGCCGCTAAACTTCAAGCGCATATCTTGGAACGTCTGCCTCTATTCTTGCATGAACATACTCATGCCAGAACGAAGACTTCGTTTACTTGGCTGAGCTCCAGTAACAATTTTATCGTTAGATCATTCGGTAAAATATCTGTAGTCAAATCTCTCAAGTTTGGTTCTGTCAACCTGTCGAAGCGACAGGCTGCATCCGTTGTTGGACCAAAATCCAGTAGAGGCCCTCTCCAAATTTGGTTGGCCAATGACGTGGAAACAGACATGTATGAGTAAGTTGGGACCTTCATTTTCCTCGTTGTCATCGGTTCAAACAATTAATATAATATAGGGTCGCTACATCTTTCAATCGACTTTTCTTCGAAACTCCTAAAGCGAATGATGCCTTGCTGTTCATGACAATCCTTTCAACTGATTTACAGGCTCTCAAACGTCGAGGATATAATGGTAAGGGCGAGAGATATTGTCTTTGACCACCACTCGAATTGCCCAACAGTTGAACGTATCGAGCGAAAATATCGCGAACAAAGGGCAGAGCAAAGGAAAGCTGCTGAAGAGCGCCAAGCAGTTGAAGACGGGAAGGTGAAATCATTGATGTCGAAACCTCCTACACGGGTATCAACACCAACGCCAGTACCCGGAACTCCGCTTCCTGGTGCATTCCATGAAATGCCTCAGAACACTGACATTCCCATTGAACATAATCCTGTCCCTCCTTCATTAGGCGAAAAAGGATTAAACTCAATGGGGAGACCTAATACAATGTTGAACCCATTTCATAAGTTCAGTCGAAAGTTGGGCTTCAGAGGGACAGAGGATAGCCTTGATAGTTCCCCCGGTCCCTCAGTTCCGCGAAATCCTATCCAAGGTGCTACACCCCTAGGAAATATAAGTAAGCTTGTCGGATGCGTGTTCCGCTCTACGCTGATGTTATTTTTGTAGCCGCCAACATTGATATGGCGATAAAAGCTTGTCGGCCTGAGTCTGGTGACCTACTGCGGAATCGCGAACAGATGCAGCAGGTGAAAGAGTCATTGAATGAGGGGTATTGCGACATTTCTGGGCGTGCGGAGGATCTACAGCACGCCGGAACAGTGGGCGCACTCAAAGTGTATTTGTCCGCAGGTATGGAGTTCCTGTCCTTCATTTGTCTTCCGAGTCAAAATTGAATTCATTTCTGAGTAGAAGTCCCAAACAAGCAGACCTTCTTGACGGATAAAAGTGCCCCGTTACAAAGGTTCTTGGGCATCGTGACATCTCTCGCACGAATCTATAGCCTTCCACTCACTAGCCTACATATTTTCTACGACCTCACAGGACCATTAATTGCTTTCAATCGAAATGCTAGCATTTTTCTGAACCTTCGGTTCTACGAAGCCTGGCGTAAGCTCCCCGGCCTCCTGGCCTTATTCTGAATATTGACAGGTACATATGTCTTCTAGATGACTCTGAAGTCGCTGGTGGAGACTTCAGCACGGCCCTTGTATCTTGGTAAGCTTGTTGGTCGGTGATTTGTCGCCCATCTCAATAAAATTGCTTCTAATGCAGGTACTTCACACTGGCACATGAAATAGCTCACAACCTTGTGCAACCGCATAACTCTGAACATGAGTTTTACTTCGCAGCCATTTGTGAAAGGCATGTTTTGCAGCTTGGTTTGGAGGCATCGAAGAGTTGATGTACAGTATAGTATTTATGGCAAGGGTTGTTCAATTGTTTGTATCATTTGCTTTTTTTTCGAATGGATGAATAAATATATCCTCAAACCTGCGTCTTTGCAGAAGAAGTTATTTAATACATATGTCAGGCCTCAGCAGGTCTCAGTAGCAGGGGCTAGTTCGACTCTACTCAACAGTATTTAATGAGGTTCTGGCTTTGGGAAGGCACCTCAGCTCTTGCTACTCAAAAGAGATATTATGCTTGGATATGGGGTTCCTTACCATGGTGTGTTTCAGGCGAGCCGCAGTACAACTTGGGGCTTATTACATAGTCTAAGGTCTTTTCAGGCCAGATAGGCGTCCCTCCATTGTCTTATTGTATCGACTCGAAAGTGCAGGGAAATCAGTAAACATTTTCTGCCTTTGGAATCCTTACAACATGGGACTGAGCTAAAGAGTGCGTTTCTTTCACCCGTGAACTTTCGGCAAACGGGACTAAGGATGTGGAGAGAACAGGAAAGAATCCTCGCATTTGATCGTCGCGACATAGCCAAGCCAACCTCAACAAACCTTAACAAACCGAAATTATAATACAAACGAAAAGCCGTTTGTCCTCAACATAAGTATGAACAGTCGGATATTCTGATTGGCTGAGCGCTTATGGAAACAATTCTCGCTCTCTCATTTCTCACTGCACGGGCGAAGGGAGCGAGTGGGCGGAGCAATGCAACACTCCGAGTGGAACTGAGCTTCTCATCGTGCATTGCACGGGTCGCCGCTATGGATAAATGACAACCTCGCCGCTCAGAATTAGGCCAGTCGAAAAAAAGTATCTCTACTGATTTAACATGTTCAGCAAGCAGTCTCTGATGCTATTTGGGCTTCAAATCCCCCTGACATCCGTGATAATAATGGCACTAGTGGAAAAAAAATATTACTGGCAAAGAGTGACGTTACAAATAAGGAAAGCAAGAGTGTGAGAAAGTCGTTCGCGTTGATCCTTCTGCCCTTTCAGCCTCACTCCTTCTTTTCAAAAAAGTAAGTATACAACAGGTTCACAATACCGTGGTCCATTTGTCCCATATAACTTAAGATATATCTCCGGCTGTTGCTACTTTCCTGGTATTGCCTTTCTCACTATTGGCGTTTTCTATCCTACTAACGTATCACGTTCAGTCAGAATCGTTGGCGGCTGAATCTATACTCCATTGCCTGTATTGCGGCTGGAAAGCTGAAGAATATCGTGGAATGTACCATCGACCTCAGCAATCCGTTCGGACTTCGTCCAATCGTTCTTTTGCCGAGTCACGGACCTCAATCCCGCGTATCTCTTCTAGTCCTAGATTACCTCCTCTCCTACCGCCGACGTCGATGCCATACTCTTCCAAACACGCTCTGCCTGTAAGCGCCACTCCACAGGACCTTGTTTCACCAAGAATATGCGGGATGCCATTGAAATACGTTTCGTGCGTCCCACTTCTCTAATTTTGTTAGCTCTGCTTGACTTGTGATTTATAGTCTCGTCACTCTCGCCGTTCAAAATGCTGCGCTATCAATAGTCATGCATTATTCCCGTGTTTCAACCCCTCCATCGCTCGCATATTCACCGGCCTCCGCTGTTCTCCTGAACGAGCTCCTGAAGGGCTCAATATCTTTCGTGATTGCTTTGTCAAGGACCCGTGAAATGGCAGACATATCATGGCGTCGAATGTCTCTCTGGGAGATCATGCGTTCTCTTCCATATCCCGGAAGTACTCCTTTCTGGACTCTTTGCGGAGAAATATTCAGTCCAGATTGTTGGAAGCTATCCATTCCAGCTATCCTATACGTCGTTCAAAATTCGCTCCAATTCGTCGCCATCAGCAATCTCCCTGTTGCTTCCTTTCAGGTTACGTATCAAATGAAAATTCTGACAACGGCGGCCTTCTCCGTCGCACTTCTTCGTAGAAAATTGAGCACGACAAAATGGCTATCACTTTTCTTCCTGGCCATAGGAGTCGGGATCGTGCAAATACAAACGTCCTCGGTCTCTGCACCCAAGAATCAATCTGTAGGGAGCGCTCATGACTCTGCACCGCTTCACATTCATGTCATGAGTCCATTGAAGGGATTTGGTGCAGTGACTGCCGCTTGTTTCACGTCAGGGTTGGCCGGTGTTTATTTCGAGATGGTTCTCAAAAACTCCAAAGCCGACCTCTGGGTTCGGAATGTCCAACTGTCCTTGTTCTCGCTTATCCCCGCTCTCTTACCCATTCTCTATTCATCAACTCCACCCTCTGTTGGTTTCTTCGAAGGTTTATTCAGAAACTTTGGGATATGGGCCTGGGCGACTGTTGCGATACAAGTGTTTGGTGGGCTAGTCACTGCCATCGTGATCAAGTATTCGGACAACATTTTGAAAGGTTTTGCTACCAGTCTTTCGATCGTGCTGTCCTTTTTGGCCTCAGTCATGCTATTCGACTTTAGGATTACACCTTCCTTCGTTATTGGAGCTTCGACCGTCCTTTGTGCTACTTGGATGTACAATCAGCCTCCTGGCAAGGATCCGCTCGTATCCATTGCCCTCACTGGACAATCTGAGAACAAGATGCCTTTTACGCCAGTCGACGCGAAAGAGCCTATCATAGGCGAGTTTCCACGAAAAAAGTCTTCGACTTTTGGGAGCCCCCGTGGCATTGCAACTGCTCTCGGCTTGAGTGCCCCGGAAAATCGTGAGCCAAGCAACATGTTAGACACTCAACGGTACAATCATGCACCATATGGATCGCCTTTCCCATCTCGGCCACCTTCTCGAGCGCCTTCGAGAACACCGACTCCTCAGCCCCCTCTGGCCTCTTCATGACAGTAAAACTCATTGTTGAGGAGTCAAATGTACATCGATGATCATCACACTTATTCTGACGAAAAGACGATACCAAGTAACTCCATGCACAGCTTATAAACCCCTTGCTGACTGCCTTACTCTGACTCTATGTGTTCGCATTTTTCATTCGCCACGACTCTGATACCCTTCATAAATAATATTTCTTCCTCACACATAGAGCGTTTCGTACAGACACAGACTTCTTATGATTAGTGGGCTCGTACATATTACAGTAATGCCTCGACGTACACCTCAGCCGCAATTGGCTGCCTTCCTTCAATCGTTTCATTCATTTTTGCTTAGAGTAGTTTTTTGTTACACTCATTCTCTTCTTAGTTGGAATCATGTTGGGAAAATAGCTCTTGCAAATTTTCGGGATGAATGAAATTCAAGTTTTAACTACTGAGCACACTGCATATACTACTTAGTAAGTATAATAATATGAAGCGAAAATAGCGTGCTGGAATTCCCACGCTTGATCTCCATCAGCGACGAAGCTGTCAGGCTTGTCATATTTTATTACAGCACTTCCTCCTCAGCCGGCCTGCAACAGTACGCTTCTAAAGCCTACTTTGTACTTGGACCTTCCCCTCTTTATCATGGCCCTTCGTTTTCAGTCCAATGTCGACTTCACTGACGTTCCGATCCCAACTACAACTCGTCCAAATGTACCTTCCTCTGGCGCTACCATTCGCCGTGCCAAAACTTTGACTCGCCCAGAGCGATCCGTAGCACCCGTTCCTCTCATTAACTCACATCCAGCAATCGTCTCCGACTCGAGCTATAATGGGTCACAAGTCTGGCGGATAACTTCTCGCGTTCTTACCTGCTGGGCTCCAGATTTTCTGCTGAGCTCATTGGGTGGCTTAAAGGACAAAAATGTTAGACAGGCATGGAGGGAAAAGATGACGCTATGTTTGATTATACTGGTAATGTGTGGCCTCATTGGCTTTGCGACTGTTGGGACACAGCGGGTTTTGTGTCCACAGAATGCAAGTTCGCAGACGCAATTCCTCCGTTTGAATTCGACACCTGGCACCCTTGGTGTTCTCGGGCATGTTTATAATGTTTCCTCTGCAAAATCCAGTACCGTCAACCTACTTGGCCTCTCTGAAGCATCTTCTGGACAGGACATTACTCAGTATTTTAATAGGGACGCTTCGGACTTTGGTGAATGCTCTGGACTTTCCTTCCGAGTTGCCCTAGATGCTCCTTGTTCGACAACCAATCCTTGCACCCTTGGGAATATTAATTCCAGCTCCACCTTCACTAGTCTCGGTATGCAGGATACTGGTGCGATCGTTGGTTATTCTTGGGAACAAGTCACCACCCTCCAGAACTATTTCGTGATTGATGGCGCTGTTCTCAACCTAACCACATACATGAATCTTCACCCCACGTCCGTTCCGACCGACAATGTAGACGCTGCTCTGCGCACGTTGTTGCAAGGGTCTACCTCTGTACGTGGCAGGGACGGTACTCGTCTATTTTACAGTCGTTCCGATCTCGAATCTGCTGTGCCATGTCTCAAGCAGCGATATTATGCCGGCAATATCGACAAAGTTACACCTGGATGCTTCGCTTCTCAATTGATACTCTACGCCGGCCTAATTGTCATCCTCGGTCTTGTTCTCATTCGTTTCCTAATGGCTTGCATATTCAGCTGGTTCCTATCGGGTCGTCTTGCTGGTGCACCTGATAGCGACACTCTTAATAGGAATGCCATCAGTCCCGCCGTCATGCCGGAGGGGGCCAATGTTTCTATTGACAATAAAAATGGGACAGCACCATGGGCAGCCCCCGGAGGTGGTGCAAAGAAACTGAACAAGAAGGACTATAACAAGTCTGACCGGTCTTTCGGTTCGTCTACTACCCTCACCAACTCCACCTCTGACAGCTCGGTTGCTCCTGTCATGAGCCTAGCGTCAATAGGTGCGGAGCTTTTTGCTATCTGTCTAGTTACATGTTACTCCGAAGGCGAAGATTCGCTGCGAACGACCCTCGATTCAATATCACGGACAACTTATAGTGATTCGAGAAAGCTGCTCTTTGTCGTCGCGGATGGGATGATCACCGGCGCAGGTGAGAAGAAAAGTACTCCTGATATCTGTGTTGGTCTGTTGGAAGCAGATCCGCGATTTGGAAACCCTATTCCTATGATGTACGAGGCGGTCGGGTCTGGGGATAAGGGGATCAACAGGGCAATGGTGTACGCCGGGCATTACAGTGAGTTTCAGTCGCCTTTTGGAAAATGCGCCTATTGAGCACCCTTGAAAGCTGTTGCTGGTCGTCGAACCCCTACGGTCATTGTTGTCAAGTGTGGTACAGAAGCTGAAGCTGCAGCTGGTCATAAAGCTGGAAATCGAGGAAAACGGGACAGTCAACTTATCTTGATGAACTTCTTCTCTCGAGTCACCTACAATGACCGTATGACGCCGTTGGATTTCGAGCTCTTCCGGAAAATACATGTTCTCATGGGAGTCACGCCAGATTTTTTCGAAGTCTGCCTGATGGTATGGACAACATGTTTTTCAGGGCTGTATAAATCATATTCTAAACCTATCCTTTAGGTCGATGCTGACACAAAAGTTTTCCCTGGTTCTCTTGGCTCTTTGGTCAATTGTATGCACCACGACCAAATGATTATGGGTTGTTGTGGAGAAACCCGGATAGCTAACAAACGACAGAGCTGGGTCACAGCTATCCAGGTGTTTGAATACTTCATCTCTCATCAAATGGCTAAAGCCTTTGAAGCAGCTTTCGGTGGTGTCACTTGTCTTCCCGGATGTTTCTCAATGTTCCGACTAAAAGCCAGAAAGTCTAGTGGCGATGACTGGGTACCTCTTATCATCAAACCCGAAATAGTGAAGGAATACAGTCAGAATGAAGTGACAACCTTACATCAAAAGAATCTGCTTCTTCTTGGAGAAGATAGGTTTTTGACCACCATCCTCCTCCGAACGTTCCCGAATCGCAAAATGATGTTCCTTCCGCAAGCGCGGTGTAGAACTGTCGTCCCCGATACCTTCAAAATGCTATTGTCTCAACGCCGGCGATGGATCAATTCTACCGTTCATAATCTCATGGAACTTGTTCTCGTCCGCGACTTATGTGGCACCTTCTGTTTTAGCATGCAGTTTGTCGTATTTATGGATCTTCTTGGCACGGTGGTCCTTCCTATCGCTATATCCCTTACTTATACATTGATTGCGGGAATGGCTCTTGACCCTCCGAAGACATTTGAAGAAGCCATTCCACTTATCCTCCTTGTCTCCGTGCTGGGTCTTCCTGGTGTCCTAATTCTGATCACAACCGGCAAAGTCGTTTACTGCTTCTGGATGTTGATATATCTGGCTGCCTTGCCGGTGTGGAATTTTATCCTTCCAATATATGCATTTTGGCATTTCGACGATTTCACCTGGGGGGAAACCAGGTACGTCCGCCAACATTTTTTTCTGAATAGTGCTAATATCTGTGTTCATTGTGTAGAAAAGTGGAAGGCGAGGTGAAACAGGTTGATCACAGTGCAGGTGGTAAGAAGCTTGATAATCAAACTGTGCCGTTACGGAGATGGGAGGATTGGGAACGATCCCGACTTCGTAAGCAGCGTCGGGAGGAGCGAAGACGGAGAGAATTTGAGCGGGCTCATCCTGCAGGATATGTTCCTGGTGAAGATGATCTGCTGAGCGCCCGGGACGTCCGTAGTCAATACGATGGGTCTGATGCCTACTCGATTACTTCATCAGAAGATGATCATTGGGGTATGCAGATTGGCGGTTACAACGAAAACAGTACACAGTACCCTCCACCTCCGGTTGGACTGATGCCAAAGGACCGTGTGATGGAGTCGGCCAAGACTGTAGACGCAAGTGAACTAGAAGCCATGCTAGAGTCTGGCTTCGATGAGCGGGACAGACCCCCAACGGCACCCGCTTATACTCCCCGTTTCCAGCTTTCGGATAATGGTTCCGCAACACAATTGGCCACAGGGAACAACGGTTACGCACCGTTGACACGATCGACATCTCCTACTAATACGCCCACTTCTCCATCATTTGGTGCATCAAGAGCTGGTTCCGGAGGTGCACGACAACATTATGGTCCTTTGGGTCCTCTTGACCCCGCTACGAGACTGTGAATCAGAATGCGTGGACTTGTGAACGGACTTTTAACATTAGGCTTTTCCTTCCGCATTTCCGTATATCTCTTTGTATCCACTATACCCTCCCATCCTTCGACCGCTCGCTTCCCCTGTTCGCTGTCTCTCCCTCTCTACGAATCGCTTGCAAGTTTTTAGAGTCTCATTTAATACTTTATCAGCGGTCTCACATACATATTTGTTGGGTTGCATAGTTGGAAGTTTATCTTGTCGTATATATACGCTCACTCGCATTCTTTAGTATGCATTATATCATGAACAGTAAAATATCTGCGCCATTCAAAAAATCATGAGCCCGAATGACAGTTCCCAAATAAGTTAGGAGTACATTATTATTCTGTACAAAGCCCAGGAGTAGCAAATCTTGTATGGACATAATGGAGTGGAAGCCGCTGGGGGCTAGTGCTAGATTTTTTTGATGGCCGGCTCTGCCAGGCACTTGCCGCTCCATAATGCAAAAATCGAATCACTTTAGTGTCGACGAGAGCTTGAGCCTCCAGGCCACAAGCTATCTTGATTCAAGATCTTGAGAGAATCATAACCACATCAACTTACGGTGAATCATTGTCCAAATCGCCATACTCTGTGGTGCCCCGTGTGCGTTCTAGAAAGCAATCAGTCTCCTGAAACTAGCAAAGTCTAAACCTGACTTCCTGAAGCTCCTGACACTTCGGGTTGAGGTCGAAGTAGAAAAGCGAGTCAGCATTGGAGCAAGGATATTTCATTGCTAGAGCTATCGAAATTTGGTGTGTACATATGTGGGAAAACTCGAATCAGAAGTCTCCTATGGACATCATCGTCTTTGACCTCACTCGTCTTTGACATATCCTGCTTCAATATCTTTAAGAGTTCCTGCTTCGGTACCTTCAAGTTTCTTATTGTTGTAGTCTGCATTCCAAATGTAGAAATAGACCGCAGGACCCCAAACGATGAATGCACCAACGATATTTCCAAGGTAGGTAGCAATCAAGGATCTGGGAGCAAAGAAAAATCAACAAAGATTGTAGCGTACACAGAATGAAGAACATACTTCCGGATATAATTCGCTGTTGACAAGGATGGAGTGTCGAACATTATGCCAAGCGGAATGTAGAACATGTTTGCGATAACTGGAGACCGTAGGTTAATTATCAGTGCAGTTTGTAGCATGAATACAGCGAACCATGATCAAATGAACATGCAACAAAGATCTTAAACATGCCTAAGTGTTTTGCTAGTTGGTCGCAGTGTAGTGTTCAACTTACCCATATTGGAATCCAGATCGCAACCAACTAGTGCCATGGTGAATAACCTCGATACAGTAGCCGCGGTAACAAACATGCTTGCCTTTGAAACGGTCTCTCTAGCACCCACAGACAACTATGGGTTCAAGGCCATTAGCGCTGGAGCCATTCTTAATTCTCGTTCCAAGACGCACCCATATTGCGATGCAGACCAGGATGTTGCATCCAATTCCTCGGAGAAAAATTTGATGCCATTGTGGGACAACCGCCTTTTTGCTATTGAGTTTGAGTCTTTGACATTATGGATGTAGATTATTAGCTGCCAGCGTACCTCGCAAATGCTTGGACGCCGCTGAAGAACGGTTCCGAGGAGAGAATGTCGCTATCTAGAAATTGAATATCAAATCTTGAAGTATCCTCGTGAACGATGCAATCTCACAATGAACCAATACAGCAGCTACGAAACCAAGTAAGTAATGTCTAAGGTCTAATTGAGAATTCGAAATTTCACCAGAAAAGAGGCTGCCCGCTAGATTACCGAACGTGACTAAGAAGTGCGTCGATAATTGAACGTCACCAGATTGGGCTTCCACAGCTCACCAATGAGCCAGTTTATCGGAAGACTCCACCAGGGAATTTGCCCGCTCGCGATGCCCATTGGCAGAACCTGTGTCTAATGAGAAGCTTGCCTTTTGGCTGAAAGTCGAAGAATCCAATCTCACCATCATATTGCTGGTTAAAAGCTCCAGACCTAACATCGGAATCCTGTGCAAAATTTAGAATTTGCAAGAAGGATGTAAGATATAACGAGTACAATACGAATCCAGAGGGGAAGACGAAGCCGCCCAAGATCTTCGGTATCGCAGGATTAGCAGAGGCTTCTGACAGCGCTGGGGTACCGCCGGACACAATCTCGTTCATAAGTGCTCCAAAAGAGAGCATAAGACCAGCTAGAACCTATGTGTATATTCGTCAATTCTGAAAGCTATTGTGGTGCTGTCGAAATACGCACGGCCTTGAAGAACACCATGTCATACCTCATCCGATGTTTTGTCACCGCTTGTTGAACTAACACAAGGGTAACCTCGTCGGGCTTCAATGTGCTTTCCAGGGATGGCATGGGCGTCAATTGTCGTACAGTAAATGGTTTTCGTAAGTTGTTTTCGTGAACGTCGTACTATAGGGCACTCGATACTAAGCGAAGATTTCACGGAAATTTTTGGCACGGACCTCGAGGTTGTTTCTAGTGGGTCATCCTGCTACATGATCTCTTCTTAAATGTTTGTGTTCTCAATTTGGCCTGATGAAAGGTTATCTTCGAATTTGCCATGAGTTGTGGCGTGGAGGTCTTCCGACTTCTGGTCGCAGGACGATGAGAATAGGTATACTCTTGGGGAAAAGGAAAGTATTTTTCGAATCAATGGGTGAGATTGATTTTCAGACATTGATATTAACACGGAAAGCCACCTTCAAGGAGGAGGCAAACTCGATCAAAAGATTAAAGCCCGTGTGCTCATTGTCACCTTTGATTATTACTTTTTGGGGCATTCTCAAATATTCAGGTCCTAAAACCGAGGATGTCCGTTATCATCTTCCAAAAATTAGTCTGATTGGGCTTTGCCTCACTTTTGTGGTGTATCAAAAAGGTTGCATACTATGCGTAGAGGCATATATTGATAACATGAGATGATACGATCGCGAAAAGTTTTGATCATTTTGAGGCAAGCCAGAGCACCAGGGTAGTAGTATGCGGTACTGTAGATAAATTCATTCAGCAGACAGAGTGGATGTACTCCTTGAATCTCACCCGCGTTTCCAGATCACATAGCACCCACCACCCACGCTGAAAACTAGCCATCGCTGTGAGCTTTTACTCCAAATGCAGCCTGTGTTCTAGTCATCACGTTCATATTTATGTACGTGCATTCTTGATTATTTGATCACAAGGTCCGATTCCCGAACAAAGCCGAACAACCTCTCTGAACTTCAATCCACCCATGATCTCGTAGGCGGACCCATGAATAATCCTGAAACAATCCTTCCTGCACTTACGACCCTCATCGCCTAGTCCACCATGCATTCCTACCATAATCTATGTAGTTCCATAGTATTCACGTTACCAGGGTCAGTGAGACGGCACAACTATTTGAGTAAGTATGCTGGTTTGCTGCATGTCGAAAATCGAAGCACTTGGCCGCTTGAAGCCAAAACCTATTGGTATTGAATCGGAGAGAATTACGAGGGTTCTCAGCTTCAGCGGGTAATTTCGATCCAAGCCAGGCCCATTCACCTTACAAGGCTCAGGTATTGCCTCGAAGTCATCGGAACTGGTCACGCGAATAGAATGTGCAGACATTGGGACCTCCTGCTCGACTTTCTTTTGGACAGTGAGCTATTCGATATTACGCGTACTTCGCCAATGATTTTCATGTTCGCTCCATCCAGGGATTATAGGGACTATAGTGGCATTTCATCCCTCATTGCGAATCAAACTCTCCTCCTCTTTCGGCTCTCGAGGTCATTCTTCCGCAGCTCGACTTATTTACCTGCTTGGAAATAGAAGACGAGTTCCAATCCTCGTCTCAAATTGTTCCAATGTAGACCTTGCTAATCTCAAGTTGCAATCTGAGCAGTTGCCCGTAATTTCGGGAAGACAGCGTTCTGGAGAATTTGGACATAGGCCTATTATGGCTTGATGGAAACCTTTGCGAGGAAAGATTCACCGTTTACAAATGGGACCAAGTTGAACGATACAGGCTTGTATTCAATCATGGAAACTTGCGATAACATAATTTTTGCTGAAGTTCAAGGTGAGGATCTGAATATTTGACATAACCGGATATCATGGTAACTATGTCATTGTGCGTATGTCGGTCGTATCGATCGATGTGGATTAAGCCCGCTACTCTCCGATGCCTTCCAATCGATATCGCCGAGGAGGGTCTCCAGCATTCTTGGGCTATTGATCACCTGGACTCTCTGCATGCCTTCCCGCTGCAACGACTCACTGAGATTTGTATATCAAGGAGACCGGGTCTTCCCACTGCAAAGAATGCTACGGCAACTTGAATTCATGGATTGTGTCGTAACTCTTAAACCCCTTACCCTCAACGCTTTCAGAACTTCGGTTACGAGAATGCGTGCACTTGACGAAACTTGACTGTGATTTCCGGTCCATCTCCATCTCTTACCTCAAGTTTATTCTTGAAAGCTGCCCCAGATTAGAGGTACGACATCACAATCTCGATTTGAATATCTCTGAGCATATCTTTAGCATATCTTCAGAGCCTACCTACATAAAAGTCTGCCTGGGTGCACCGTTCGTCGGGTTGTTAAGCCTTGCTCCTACCTTTGCAGCCATTACTCATCTCCGAGCTATATTCATTTCCGTCGCTGATTATCACCCACCCGGAACACCCCCGCCATCCATTCTAACCAATGCACCAATATTACTTTCTCCTGTATCAGAGGCGCTCATCGTCAAAAGATCACCGCAATTATTGAACATGATCGATCAAATACAGACTCAAACATGTCCCGAAACGATATCAGCTATCCCTCTTTCCAACTTCTTCGCGAGGTGAAATGTTTCATCCGAAATGTCCCAAGCTAGAATTTCTAGGTACGATCAGGACAAAAATGGTCGGACAAGCAAATTGAGCTCATGACGGCAAGTCTGGAAGAGGAATGCAGAACCGAGAGTGCATGCCGAACACAAGCGAAGAAACCAGAGCTCCGTCGATTTCTGCATCATTCTCTTCAACCAGTGATATGAACATGTCATCTATGCCATCCATGCCTCGCAGGGCCTCTGTATCGCCTGTGGATGCATACTCCCCATCCGGCAGCATCCGGCTCGCCTCTGGAATCCCCGACATCAAGCACAAACTCAATCACACCGGCACAAGCGCTCACCCTCCCAGCGAGCCTTGAACTGCAAAGTCTCCAAATGAGTCTAACCCTACCACGCCCGATTTTGGTGGAGCAAGGTCTGGCCGCGGTAGAGTTTTGTAGAAGGCTTCAGTGGTCGAAGGGCGAGTAATAAAGAGAAGCCCAACTATAATGTACTGTATTACATAATGAATTCGTACATTAGATCAACAATAGATCAAGATCTCCGTTCGAAGGTCGTTTTCCTATGTTGATCCACGACAGCCAATCTCTTCCCAAACCTCACGAATACATTGATATCTCGAAGAAAACAGAGAATCTGGTCACGGCCTCTACCTCGTATGCATGTACTTCGTCCGTTGAAGATATTGCTCGGAGTCGGGTTAGCGATAGTGTCTGTTTTCTAGTTCAGTGACGTTTACCTTTGTTTATAGATTGCCCAGCTTGCTTCACAACACAACGTCAGTGAATACAGCTGCCTTAAATACGGCCCCAATGGTTATCCAGGGAAATACGTCCCTCTCTCTGTGCAGGCACCTCAGACCTTCCAGGAGCTTCGCGCTCGTCAAACTCAATGGTCTAACGCCAAAGCTTGGTGGTTCAGCGACAAGGCAACAGAAGCAACGTCTATTGTGCTTGGCCCTTCTGGTGCTTCTGGGGTAACTTCCGACTCACTATCAGATGGCCTGGCACAACAATTATCTGCGGCAATAGATGAGCAGTTACCTCAGCCAGTAAATGAAGGAAAACTTAGTCGGTCTTCCTCAAATGGCGCTCATAGTCATACTATAAAGACTTCTTCATCCCACCCGATAAAGTACGTTTCTAGACTTCTCAAACCCGACAGTGCTGAGCCATCTATAACATAGCATATCCGCCATAATACCCGTCGAAATTCTCGCTTTATTATCCTCTCATGTCATGTTCACATCCAATGGTCCCTTCACTGAATCACCAAGGGATTTTCCTTCACTTGACACTCAACCTACCGTTTTTGAAGTGCCTTCCCCTTTTACCTTGGACCGTTTCATATTGTCCTTTACGGGACATCCGCAGACACAATTTTCTCAGTCTCATCAAAGTTCAATACCCCCTCCGTCCACTTCGACAGAGATACATCCCGATGCACATCTTCGTACTCGCTCTCACGTCACTGAAGCTCTACATGCTGCATTGAATTCCGGAATCAAATCAGGTTCCATAACGCCTACAGAAGATACTCGTGCCACTTTCCACTCCAATGGTTCTTCTGTATCGCTTTCCATATCACTAAAATCAGTTCCTACCTCTCAAGGAGTGTCGCGAACAATGTCTGACACCGAGCAGACGAACTTAGAATTCGGTACTAATGTGGATATCCCGTCTGAAGCAACTTCAGAGACCGGTCCACCAACAAACGAAGAGCTCCAAGCCGAAGCACAACTCCCCTCTGTTGATTCAATACCGACCCTTCCTTATTCTACAGATACTCCTTCGTTTATCCTGGGGAATATGTTCATGTCCTCATGTCCAGGCAAGAAGGGTATGGATTCTTTTACTGAAAATAAATCACGCTTGTTCATTCTATTTGTATCAGTCCGCTTAAAAGGTCCTGTAAAAGGTCGTTCGGGAGTATGTAGAGACCTCTACGCTGACCTTCAACGTATGAAAGACCTTGCGGTGGGCTGCGTAGTCTGGTGAGTGCTTGCGCCATTGCACCCGATGTTCATTCTGACAAACTCGGCAAGCTGTCTTGACGACACCGAGCTTGAATTTCTGGGTGCTCCTTGGCCGGAATATCAAGCCGCAACAAATAAGATTGGATTGGACGTGTTGCGCCTTCCTACACCTGAGGGTTTAGCACCGGCATTAACACCCGCACTTCTGGACAAGGAACTCACTACTCTCATAAAAAACTATACTCTTCGAGGAATCCCTGTTCTCGTCCATTGTAGAGGTGGAGTAGGTCGGTGCCTTCGACTGACGAGTATAGTTGGCGTACACACTGACCTTGACTCAACAGGACGTGCCGGTGTAATTTCTGCCTGTTGGATCTTGAAGGTAATGCATTGATTCTCTTGAACTTTCGTATAATCGGCTGACAACATGTCACTGTAGCTGGGACTTTGTGGCTGGTTGGGCGATGAACCAAGCACTGCGTCTGAGTCATCGTCGACTACGCTCCCTTGCGATGGTGAAATAGCGTCACCACAAAGTCCTCTCAATCAGGATACACTCCAACTTGTCGAAAAAGTCATCGCGGTCGTCCGACGACGGCGCAGTGTGAAGGCTGTCGAGACTTATGAACAAGCACAATTCCTTGTCGACTTCATAGAACATCTTAGGTCATCTCATTCTAGTTAGCTTTGAAAAGGTACATTCAGCTACACGAATACTTTACTGTAGATTTCTCGCTCACTTACTTTTCCTGGTGCATTCTACTGTGATATTCATTAGCATTTCAGATTCATACTGTAGCAATAGTTTTCGTTCTCTCTTTCTGCATAACTTATCAAATATGCGTAAGTACTTCATGTGGTACATGATGACTAGCTAGCAACATTAAAATTTACATCTGAGTCAGCTTCTCTTCCTTTACTTGTGCAATCACATATCGGATTATGAAGCATGTCTTCTATCGTTAAAACCAAGCTGAAGAATGCCCGCGATTTCCTGGGGAAAAAAAATTTTGCTGGCGCCAAGGATGCTGCTTTGCAAGTGCTACAATACGAGGCTGACAACTACAACGCGTATGGACTCAGGGAGCCACAATCATGAGTGACCGCTGATAATCTCCTTCCAGAAATGTTTTCCTTGGCCTTGCATCATTAGAATTGGGGGAATTCAGTGAAGGAGAGCAAGTAATCTTGACTTTCGCTTTCGCTTTGGCCCGCTGCTGAACCCCTCCAAATTTAGGCCTACAAGCGAGCGACTGAACTGAATCCCGATCAGTTACTTGCCTGGCAGGTTGGCGTATACCTTCAGTAAACCTCCGCCAGTAGCTCATTGTTTCCAGGGTTTATCACAATTTTATGAGCGTACCAAAGATTGGGAGAAATATTCTGATGTTCTTCGACGTCTGGTGGATATGCATGCAAAATCGTGAGTATCAAACCATCTTGCTGTAATTTACCACTCATATATAATGAGACAGTAACGATTCTGTCAAGTGTGCAGAAACGCTACAGAAGTACATAGACCTGCAACGTGAACGGGGAACTTCCGCCCAGGTTTGCACTAAATTTACTAGGTCTCTCGTTCATGGTCCTTAATGTGGCGTTATAGTTAATAGATGCACTCTATCTTCTGCTTCCTGATTCTGCGCTTTATCAAGCATTATCGAACTTACCCCCTCCCGACCCAACAAACCCCACTTCGACTACTACGTTCCTAGTTCAGACTGCCATATACAACTCCTTGATCGTCATCGAAGAATTGATCACGATATTGGAGGGAGATGAAGATAACTACCTGAAAAAGGAGCTTGAAAGGCGAAGAACACGTCTTAATGCTGGTCCCTCCGACCAAATTCGAAAGGAGATTGGGCGCGAAGTTTGGGGAAAATCACGAGTGAGTCTGGCAATCTCTTTGACTATAAACTTACAACTCATGCCTGTCGATAGCTACCGTTTCTCTACAACCAAGTTTTGGATCATCCTAATACAGACGATATACTGCGGCGCCAGACCGACTCAAAACTGTTACGGTATAAATACCAGTACATGTGTTCTTTACCGAACAGCGCAAACACAATAGCAACGAAAGAAGAGGTCATGAAAGAGATCGAGGGATTGATTAGCGGCACGGTTCTACTGCACATACCGGATGAACTGGCATGGACGCTTTTCCTCGAGAGAAAAGATGTTGCTCATATCGGTATGTGAGGTGGTATTGAATTCTGATTTTGATCAACTCACGATCGTTTAGATGATTATGGTGTTGCTCTCCTTCAAGAGTTCATGGAATTGTTTCCATCACATTCACTCACCACGTTGCTGAAGGGCTACTTCATCTATATGCAAATTCCGATATCTGAAGGTGCCAGAGACGATGACAACGCAGTTGAAGATACGGACGTAGGGTACGACATGGTATTGGTAAATAGTTGTTCTTTCTCAGCCCTCCTTATGCTCATCAAAAGGTGTATGAAGGAAGCCTTCCCCTCAGTTTCAACTTCCTTAATTGCCGCACGTATTGTTAGTGAAATACACCTTCTTGAGACGGATTACGATAATGCCATCCAAATTGTAGAGAGTGGCTTACGAACTTTGGCGAAATTTGAGCAGGATAACGGGAAAATCTTATCCAAGTATGTTTGTTTTGTTGATCCCTTGAAACACATTTGAAACATATACCAGCGTTCGACTTGCTTTCCAAGCGACCCTCGCAACTTCTCTCGTACATTTATATCCACCCAAGCACCATCGTAGAGCTCTCCAGTTAGTCGACGAGATTCTTCTTGTCTCACCAGAGAATATTGCTGCGATTATGGGAAAGGGCTACATACTCGAAGCCAGCCATGAATGGGAAAAAGCTGCGGAGAAGTTTGCCAAGGTATTCGAGTTATTGAGTACAGAACATGACGAGGGATTAAGAGCACAGGAAGAGTATGCATGGTGCATCAGCAGAAACGGCGATGTCCAAGGAGGGATCGACTCCTTACAAAATGTTTTGCATATTTTGAATGGCTTGGAAGGTCGAGACCACGATCGCGCTAGATGCCACTGGAGGCTAGGGAAATGTCTATGGAACCTAGACAGTAAGCACTGTATAGTTTTATGCCTGGTCTGGTATTTACTGTCTTCAGGCGAAAAGATTATCGAGGGATTCCAAAATTTTATCGCGGCCCTAAAATGTGATCCGAACTATGCACCGGCATTTACGTGTCTGGGAATCTACTACTCTGAGCATCTGTCTCCCTCAGACCCCGCACGAGCTTCTAAATGTTTCCAAAAAGCATTCGAACTTGACTCGCGCGAAGCTGACGCAGCACATCGACTCGCGAAAGGGTTCGCAGACGAACAAGAGTGGGATCTCGTTGAAGTCGTTGCTCGAAGAACCATAGAAGGCGAGGGTGGTTTGGATGGAGGGTTGCAAAAGATAGAGGAAAATGTCGCCGGGAAATATCTTCCAACCAACGCTTGGGCCTGGAAAGCCCTCGGAGTAGTCAGTTTGGTAAGGAGGCAGTTTATTTCTTATCACGCGTCTAATATCGCCGAACAGATGAATCGAAGTTACGTACCTGCTATAAATGCCCTTCAGGTAGCTTTGAGGGCTGAGCCTGAAGACTCGCTCACTTGGTTAAGGTTAGGTGAAGCGTATCTCAAATCTGGCCGACATAGCGCAGCTCTGAAGGCACTTCAACGATCGCAAGAGTTGCATGACGAAAATGATTGGCTTTGTTCTTACTTTGTCGCTGAAGTATATCGTCAGACTGGACAGTACGAGGATGCGATTAATCAACTTGAAATGGTGCTTTCCTCGAAACCCACCGAATTCAGCGTGCTCACTGCTTTGGCTCAAACTCACCTCGATTTTGGACGTGCCAAATCTTCGGATGGATTTGTAGCAAGGGCTGAACGTGCCCTTGTGGAATCAATACGAATATCTCTCAAAGCTATAGCGAAGAGTACTGGGTTCCGGACGGTGATATGGAAGACGGTGGCCGATGCGTTGTATTTCCTATCCACCAAAGACGCATTCTGTGATCTGGATGTGGTCCATTCTGTTTTGGTAGACGTCAAAAGTGTGCTAGGAAGTCCCAGCAATCGAATAGCGGATATCATAGCATACCGATCTCAAGATGATCTCCATTTGGATAGCAATGGTATCTTAGAGGTTGCAATAGCCGCATACGACCGTCGTATCGAGCTGGGGTCTCCTGAAAGTGTCGCGGTCGGCAGCGCATGGTTCGATTATTCTATTTCCTTGCGTTCTTTAACACAAAGAATCCCCGATGGTGACAGAAAGACAAAGGTCACAGATCAGCTCTCCAAGGCCCTCATAGAAGCTATTCGCATTGCTCCCACTAATGATACTTACTGGGTAGCTCTTGGGGATTTCCATTTTTCCCAACAGCCAAAGACAGCACAACATGCCTATATCAAGGCCATAGAGATTGATTCTAAGGTCAGGACTCAGTGCTGCTACAATTTGGCATTCATAGTGATGTAGTTCGATTATAGAATGCAAGAACTTGGACCAACCTGGGATTGCTGTTCTACTATCACAATGATTTCGAGCTGGCAAATGAAGCCTTCTACCGTGCTCAAAGCGCTGACCCCGATTATACGTTGGCATGGTTCGGCCAGGCTCTAATTGCAATCATTAATGGTCACACTTTGGGGGCTACTAGCATACTGGAGCACGCAGTTGGACTAGCAAATACTTTGGTATGTTGCTGGTTGGCCGAGGAAATGACCGATAACTAAATGATCTTCATAGCCGGAAGTTGATTTTCAGTATGCGTCAAGTATTTTCGCCCGAACGAAGGAAAGTGGCAAAAACCGATCATCTTCGTCGACCACGGATGCCCTTCTACCTGTATATTTCGTCTTGGATCGTTATGTCAAATCACGGCCTAACGACCCAACGGCTTTGCATCTCTACGCACTCGTGTGTGAGAGTGTGGGTCAATTAGAGATTGGCGTTGATCTGATCACCCGGGCTATCGCTCTATTAGAAGCCTCATACGAACAGACTGAGGATACCGAAATCGAGCGACAGTTCACCATTGCGCATTCAAATATTGGTCGGCTCAAGCTTTCGCTTGATGACTATGAAGGAGCCCTAGAATCGCTTGAAACTACTTTAGGACTTCTTTCTGAGGAGGAGGATGAAACGACGATGCTGTTGAGGGCTCAGGCGCAATTTGGGTCTGGAATTGCACACTTTCGAATAGGCAATCTGGAGACTGCAGTGGAGTTTTTCGAAAAGGCTATTGGTTCGGCTACAAATAATGAATTCGTGCAAGGTGAAATCACAGTGATGCTTGCCCAGACATTATGGGCTATTGGAACTTCGGAATCAAGAGATCAAGCGAAGACACGGCTCTTAGAATGGTAAGAATGCACTGAACCCTGGATCTCTTTACTTCGACCCGTGGATTAAAATTCGATTTGTTGAAGCATAGCAATGGATCCTGAAAACCTCACCGCGATCAACACTCTGGCCGCAATGGGGATCTTGACAGATGATGAAAGTTTGATAGATGCAGCATTATCTGAAATCCTTGCATTGCCTGTCGATCGCAAACTTGAGCTCGACCCTCAGCGCAACGTCGATCATCTATTAATCCAGCATTATCTAGGACAGGTAATTACTTACTCAAATGATCTTTTGCCAGGCTGAAAAATATCTTCTCAATAGGACAATGCTGAAAAAGCACTGCGTGTTGCTCAGAGTGCGGTATATGCAGACCCTGGACGGCTTGAAACTAGAAACCAAATGGCCACTCTGTTATTCCAGATGCAACAACATCAATCAATAGTCTCAGTATTATCTGGACCATCTACTGAATATTCGCTAGAAATTGAGAGTACTCTCAAGCTGCGGGCCGTTGCGGAGGCATTGTCAATGGATAACAAAGCTAACCGTACAAGAGCTGTACATCTTGCCCAGAAGAACATCATGATAAGGCCATCTAATGCGGACAACTGGCGTATACTAGCAATTGTAGATACATGTACGAAGTGAAAGGGGATGAGACTGTAAATTACAACGAAAAGTAACACAGCAAATACATGTAGATATAACTAAGGTCTATAGAGTATACTATTATAATTTTTGTTCCATGAGGAGGAAGAGACGACGAGTGGTACCAGAATTATCCGGCGTGTCTTGTGCAGAGTCTAGCCACCACTTCAATTGAGCGCGTTGCGATTTCACAGAAAGTTTTTGTATAATACTAGTGGAAGGGAGATCAATGACTATAACAACAAGGATGGGACGAAACAAACGCACAATCCTCGCTCTTCCAGAGCCTGAGCCACATCATGGTCGCTCAAACTATCCTCTGCTTTTTCCTGGATCAACATTCTATCATCAGTTTGTAAAAAGTCAAGATGTCTGCGTATACGCCATGTTCGGAGAAGGTCGTTTCCAAATGTAGGTAAGCGGAGAAGTCTAATGACGACATAAGAAATCTCTGTATATACAGGGTGATATGCACGCACCCGCACACAACCACAGCAGAGCCTGTTCCTTTTAGTGCTGAGAATGGCAGCGTTCCGTCGACAGCGTTCTTTCTGATTTTTGCTAATATGCTCTGAGCTTCAGACGCAGAAGCAATAGCTTTCAGGTTTTTTTTCTCTTCGATGCGAGCTAGTTGCCCGGGAAGAATACATGTTGATGGAAGCATGAACGGAGCGTAGATGGCCGCTACTGGAATAAGCTCTTCAACTACAATTGCCATCACGAGAAATGGTATTAGTCTGCGCAATTTCTTAATGAGCCTTGGAGAACTAAAAAACATTAAGATGATATACACACTTGGTAACATCTCTTCGTTGAAGATTGATTAATCGACTTTCTTGTCTGGTCATAGGAAGTCCGCCAGCTCGAACTCTCGCTTTTATAGCATTTACCTCTTTTCCCCGTGTGTATATGAGCTTTGCGCCTCGGAAGTAAAATTTCTATGGAATTATGTCAAGATATACTTGAGAGGTTAGAAGTTTGCTAGAACATACGCCAAGTTGTATAGCTGAATGAAGGAATTTTTGAAGGCCAGTAGAGTCTGCAGGGGCTGGTTCAAGAACACCCAGTCGTTCTGCGTGCCTTATGTCACGCTGAACGAGTTCCTTGACACCAAGAGCAGACGTAGTAGGGACATGCTTGGAGTGGTTGGAGGAGTTATACCGATTCGCTGAGAAATTCGAGGGCGTTAAAGAGAGTTTAGTTGAAGAGAGACATATCCTCTGAACGCGAACACTGTGGCGAGAAAGCATATGTAAGTGTTCATGTCACGTTTGTGCCTACATAAGATTTTTGTTTAGACGCCATAGATAAATGGGCGCCTAAAATAAAGCACGTCGTCTTTCCTTCCTATGGCATCAAACATTACTTTCCACGAAGGTATGTACTGCTCCCCTCATAATTTTCGTGCTCTAAGGTGCCTTTATTAGGCACGGTGTCCTCTGACGAGCGAGCTCAACTCATTCAACAGAAAGGAGCTACGATCTGGCTTACGGGGCTCAGTGCGAGTGGCAAGGTAGTTACACTCTGGAAGTAAGCTATCACAAAAAACTAATCGTGATCGCACTACAGTCCACGATCGCCTGCGCATTGGAACAACATTTACTACATTTACGCAAGTATACCTATCGTCTAGACGGGGATAACGTTCGATTTGGCTTGAACAAAGATCTTGGTTTCGACGAGAAATCACGCAATGAAAACATTCGTCGAATTGGAGAAGTGGAGTTACTCATCTTTTCGGATTGCCTGGTTCTCCGCTGATTCAGCGTACAAGGTCTCAAGACTCTTTGCAGACTCATGCTGTTTGACTATTACTGCTTTCATCTCTCCCTACCGTGTAGATCGCGAATTTGCACGCCAGATTCATGAAAAAGCCGGCTTACCTTTCGTCGAAGTATTTGTCGATGCACCTCTCAGTGTAGTCGAGCAGCGGGATCCAAAGGGTCTCTACAAGAAAGCTCGTGCTGGAGAAATCAAAGGTCTACAGTCCGACCAACAACTCGCGCATCGCTGCTACTAAATGCTTGTCTGCAGATTTTACTGGAATCTCCGCACCCTACGAGACCCCAGAAACTCCAGAAATTCACCTGAATACTGCAATCACAGACGTTGCTGAAAGTGTTCGAATAATCACGCAATATCTTGTCAGCCATGGTTACATACCAGAAACCACCACGGAAACATCTTAGAATTGTACACTGTTGTTCCAACCAAGTATCTTTATAGATTATTGTATGGCCTTCTCAACAAGGTTCTGTCAACCTAAATAATATATGCTTGGAAATTCGAGAGGAAAAGAACATATGCAATAAAGGAAGCATGATACATATACACACACATAGCTAACCTGCGCGCTGAGAGGTATGTCCCATCTGATTTCCAAGCCCTTGTGCAAATCTAGCTCCACGACCTCGGCCACCACCTGTAGTACGCAAATGGTCAGAAACATGTTTATTACATCCGACAAGAAATTACCTCTTGAACCGCCACGAGTACGATCACCGCGTCCTCTCCGTTCTTGAACTTGTTCGCCACGCTTTTCACCTGTCTTCCCGTCAGCCCGGTCTCCCCAACCACCAGAGGTGCCCATCTTGGCGTCAAGAGCCTTTTCGTTTTGCTCGGCCATTGAATTAACCTTCTCGGCTATGATCAATGCCAACTGTTGTTGACGAGTGACCTCTGTACGGTGGAAAGCAATACAACCGCCTGCCTGATCAAGCGAAGCCGCTAGCTCTTCATTCCATATCATCTTCGAGACAATGGAGGTGACAGATCGTAGAGGGAGTGAAAAGGTTTGTGCGAGAAGTGACAAAGAAAGTGTGTTGTAATGAGGAGCATAAGTGAACAAATAGGTACGAAGACCTTGTTCTTGTATTCGTCTGCAACGCGTAACAGTCAGTCGACGTCGCAACAATATATGCATGAAAAATTCTACTTCGCGAGCATCTCTTTCACAGAAGCAGCCTCAGGCATTAGACTCCAAATCTTGATACTTTGAACCAAATCCCGACATTTCTCCCATTCTCCATCTTGTAGAGCTTTACTTGCTTGCATGATATGATCACGAGTGCTCTCCGGGGGGCCCGTGAAAACCTGGCGGTCGGCAAAGTCCAACAAACGTCGGAATGGCTTTGAGATGGCCTTTCTTTTCAACTCCTCAGAATCTATGCTCGCCAACAGAGGTATCTCTACAAGCATGCTAGAAACCAAGAACGCGGCTTCGAGCAACTCGGTGTTGATATGCATATGGAAAGGCAGCTGACGCTGCTTTTCAGCTTTTTCCTGTTCGGGCGTAAGCACCTGGTACCGCTGCTGGTGCACACCCTGTGCCAGCAGTTCCTTCACGCGCTGCGTCGTGAAAATGTCCTGTAGTGTGGCCTGCGCTTCTTTGATCAGTCCTGATCTGAAGGCACATAAACCAAGTTGCACGACTGTTCGGTTGTACAAAATCTGAGTGGCGACGTCGGCAGAATGAATAGACTCCTGGAGATGTGACATGAGGAGCATGTCTCGTGCCGTGTGGAAGTCGTTGAGCAGGGCGTAATGGTATATGTGACTCAGCATTGCGCGAGTGCGATGAAGAGAGTTGCCGGATTTGTAGAGATAAACACATAATGAGTGGATGAGGGCAGACGTCGAGCCGCTTGAAGTGAGAGTAATGGCAGGTTTGATATCCGCCGACTCTGCTGACGATTCCAAGGCGTGGACTACGGCGTCGGGCTACATAGATCAAGTCAGAAGAAAGCCACGTTTCGAGGAAAACGATTTCGACCTTTGAATAGATATGCTCCAATCGTCGCATGATAACCCGGCTCAGAGGATCGTCCTGTTTAGTCTGCTCGTAGAAGGCTTGTGCTCTGCAGATAGTGGAATAGAGAGTCTTTTCGTCCTTTAGCCTATCGACGTATTCCGTACCATGAGGGTCGATGTTTTGCAAGCTTCTGGTAAATTCATCGTCCAAACGATCAATGAAGCTGATAATACTTCCCCTGATACGAACGATTCCGCTTTTTTCAGTGGCAGGCGAGCGTTCCAAAAGGTCATCGTAATCTTCCGTGATCTCTTGCACGATGAAAGCCGGATTGGAAGCCACTATGGCTACGAGCTGGTCGACTTCGTTTTGTGCAGAAATCCAGAGCTCAGTGGGCATATGGGAGGACGCAGATGAGTTGTAATCGAACCGAGAGGAGACCAAAGCAAGAAGAACTCGAATGCGTTGATAAGTAGTGGTCGCGAGCTCGAGCAGTTTTTCCAATATCCGAATTTGTTCACCGCGATCAGTGTTCTGTGTTAATCATCAGTATAGCCCCTCCGAGACATAAGATCAAGTTCTACCTTTTTGCCTCTAGCTTCTTGAACGGCTTGAAGGCTCTTGAATATGCCTTCAGCTGTCAATAACATGGTTCTTCCGCCCTTTCCAACAGGCTTGAATCCACCATTTTCATCTTCATTTGTCACTGCTGCTGTTCCAATAGCAGCTCTAGCTACCGTGGGTGCTGGCGGGGCGTCTCGTGTGATCAAAGCTGTATAATCACGCTCGAAAGCATCCGGGTCCTGCCACCATACGCTGGATTCAACGGACTCAAATAGAAGATGAAAATACACCAACTAACCGCTTGATACTTTGCAATATCTTGTTCATACTCTTTAGCAGCCTTGCGTACTTTTTGTTTCATCGAATTCAGCGCCTTTGCGTTGGTCGCGTTCATTTTCTTTTTGGCTTCCTTCTCTTTGGCAATAGCGCTCGTCAGAGATGACTCGAGGCTAAGTAGGGTTTTGATGTAGAACGGAGGAATGGGCTCGGAAACGTTGTGTTGTCTTTGGATCATCCGAGCGAGTTTATCGAATTCTACGTTGTGGAATTAAATTACTTGAAATTCCATGATTTATCGTACAAAGAACACTAACCATTGGAGATCGACACCCAGTCATTGATTTTTAAAGCATTTTCCATGGCCTTTCCAGTTCCTTCCATTTCCGCTAACCGCTTTTCCTGCGCACTCATGATCCGTATACCCTGCCTGTCTTCTTCTTCCTCCGTCTCTGAATCTTCTGAATCGCTTCTTAGAGGCAGCCCCTTCTTTGGCTTGGGCACATCACTATCGCTGTCACTGTCTTCATCCGAATCCGAATCCGAATCGCTGGAGGAGTCTGAATCAGCTCCTGGTCCCGTTTTTCGTAAAAAACGGGACATTGCTGTTTTTGCGCCTGTGGTGGGTTTTGCTTGAGGAGCCTCATCGCCAGAGGACATGAGCTCCTCGGATTCATCGGAATCAGAATCGGAGTCGCCAGCTTGCCTGAAGAATCGGGACATTGTTGTGTAGAATTCACTTGGGGTCAGGGCACGGTGGATGTAAAAAATATCGTCGAGGGCTTCAGAAGGTTTTGCCACGCAGATGCAAATAAGCGCTGCCGATAGTGCCGAATTGGACTAGCTCTGGAAATAGGCTTTCGTCTTTCGAATTCGTCCCAGTCGTTCGACGAGATGATTAAATTTTCGTGTCCCCTTGAGTTCGTATATAGAAAAGTTATGGAGAAATCTCAAGCATCGGAATCGATTGCCACAGGCAAGAACGCTACGTTGCACCGACCCACTGCGCTCCGCACTCAAGTGTAATGTTAACTTGCCATTTGCAAGGGCCCTTCAGGGCCCTTCGTTAGGCATATTTCCCCGGGACCCTTCAACTAGTCTGATAAAAATTTACTTTAGATCGAGAGAGCAAGGAGGGATTTTTATTACTACAACCTGGGATGATAATAAAGTACTACTGGCGTGTTTACACATATACATAATTTACTCAATGATGCGTTGCTCGATATCGCTCTGCGAGTGCACTATAGAAGAAAGGATTAATACACATTGATTGATTATAAGATCGCCCACAGGACTTACCCTTCACTTCCCCACAGGGTAAAGAGTCCGACAGAAATTGCAGATACGACGCGTCTATCCCAAGTGGGCTTGTTCCAATGAATGTAGGAAAGGTACCCAACAGAGCCCAAGATGGCAGCGTTGACTACATGCACGATTTAACATTAAAACGCGAGACAGAAAGGAAGATATGATATCATACCTAGGCCAAGCAAGCCACCGAGGACTCCAGGGCGCAAGATATTCTCTCTGAGATGCTTGTAAATAAGAGTTCCCTCTTCCTTGGCGCGACGCGCTTCGTTCTGGCCTTTGGGGGTTTGAGCATATTTCTCTGCGGCGAAACCTTCGACACCAAGAATAGCAAGAGCAGCAGCCGTGGTGCTCGCGATAACTTTTCTGTCACTGCGCAGATTGGGCTGTGTGTAGAATGCGCGAGAAGCTCCAGCGAGGAGGCCAAGGTTTACTGAAAAAAAAAATAGAGTTTTTACATGAGCAGACGAACGCAATGGCATTGAAAGTATGCGTACTTATGCCAATGAGACCGCCAGCAACGCCGGGTCTGAAAAGATATTGCTTTGTGATTTGCCACAGGTACAGGCCTTCAGCTTCTGCCTCACGCAAACGCCTGTTCTTTTTATTTCTGGGACTCGGAGTATCATCGGGAGGAGGTCGATTTTCGGAGTATACAGTGGCAGGATGTTCTTTAAAGTCTGGATGGACTAAATTGACTTTGGATGCGTCATCAGCTACGATGGAAGCGGTAGGAGAATCGGTGGTCCAAAGAGCTGGGTCTGGACGGGGCTGACAAAGAATATCAGAATAATATACAGGAAAGCTCAAAAACATTACTCACTTGAGAAGAAGGCAAGTTTGAACCTGCTACAGAAGCGTAAGACATTTTTCAGAGTGGACGACAAAAATCGCGTCGCGGTTCGCGCTTTTATATTTACAAGATGATCATCTTATGACGTATGTACTATCGTTACACCTACGTCACAGCCAATATTTGTACAACCAATAAAAAATCCAACCAAAATCATACAGCCATGTCATGAATCTCTGCGAGTTCTGAGCACACCCAAAATACAATGCGTCGTATTGCTTCTAATGTCCAAGTCAGCGATTAGCGTCAAAGTCCAGGGAGATTCAACTCACCAGTAACCTCTTCTGTGGTCAACGGCTGGCCAACCTATACATATTCATCAGATTGTTTCGCAAAATTTGAAAAGAGAATCCTCACAGGGGGACAGTGAACAAATAACACCTGTGTATTCCGGTCTTTTTCGTACGGCTTCCCATTACGTTTTGATTCAGCAAGTGAACAGTAGTATGTGAAATCGCAGATATAGTGGCCCGCATCCATTGAAGAATATATTTGCTGTACCACATTCAATGATGGCCGGTTGCAGATGAATAGACACATACCTCGATACCAGAATTTCTGAGGTCATAGACTAGCCTTGAAACATCGATGTCCGTGTAAATTTCTGTGCAAAGATGTCGATGAAGAAGGGATCAAATTATCCGGAAACGACTGACCGTCTGAAAACTTTTCGTATCCAACTCCAAATCCACGACTTGGTCGTGCACTATAACTATCACCTGCATTCTCCATTTCAAACCCCAGACCCAGCCTCTCTCCAACTTGGAGTGGCTGCTCGCCTACCGACACATCGGTGTCTTCAATCCCTCTCCTCCCAAATTCTGACGGCGGTCCTTTGACAATCGGAGCCAGCTTGCCCGCTGCATCTTTCATGTAATATCCCAATTTATGTCCGAGCTTCTCCATCCTCAACGGCCCCCTTCCAGCAACTCCGACATGAAAGATAAAGTCGTATCCCTTATCCGGAGGTAAAGGGTAGAAGTCATCTTTGACCTCATCAGGAAGGACCGGTGGTCTAAGATGCAGTTTAGGCACCGTGTCCATGACGGCTTCATATTCCACTGGGATTTCCAATGCGGATATCTTGACTAGCCAGTGTTTCGAGGATGTTGTTGGGGTACGCATCACTACTTGACCGTCGATAACGACTGGGTCGGAATCGAGAGGGATAACTACATTGTGTAGAGGCTTGACTGCGAGCCAGGATGGATTCTCCGCTGTGTGATTCTGGAAAGGCTACATATGTATCCGATTTATTCCAGTTAGTTCTGGAACTTGGATCCGGATAGCGTTATGAGTTTTTGCTTACACCAAACCCTGTAAGAAGGACATTGAACACACCTTCCTCGCCCCCACCATTTGCTGTAGACAGTGCAGGCATCGAGGGAATGGAGGCACTTACTATTGACAGAGAAGATCGGAAGAATTTAATTCAGTTGGATCGGATTTGGATGCCATGTGACATGGGGAAAGCGCACGGACCCAGACGGACCCATTATTTCGAGGTACAAGCAGCAGGACTGCGGTTATCAACAAGTTATTCCGTTGCAAGTAGGGCTGTATGCAAGATTGTATGTACACATTAGCGATAGATTATTCCAAGATTATCCTATCTACAGGTTAGATCGTCCTTCCCACTCTTTCCCACCGTTTCTCTCCCGTTCCCAATCTTTCAACGCCACCTCATCATATAACTTGCCGGACGTGTCTCCTGGTCTTCTCATGAACTGTTGACCCTCGATCTCTAATGGAAGATAACCGTTGTGAACTGGGTGGACGTAGTCGGGGTTATACTTGTATCCTTCGGCGTAGCCCAAATCTTTCATGAGTGATGTAGCAGCGTTCCGTGCAATCAGTGGTACGGGAAGTGTTAGATCGCTCTTTGCAGCTGCTTCGGCACGGTTGTACGCCTCTATGGTAGAGAGTGTGTGTTATTATGATTAATCAAGCACAACATCAAAGGAGACCATCCTTACCATATGATCGTGTAGATTTCGGAGCTTCAGCTAGATACGCAACGATATGTGCGAGATTTATACGACACTCTGGCATTCCGATTACCTGACAAGCTTGTAGTGCCGCCATAGCCTGTACCCTAAGAGTATAAGTGAGATATTCGAGGGAACCACTCAAATACACTGACCAAAGGCAAAGCGTGATTATCCGCCAATCCAATATCCTCACTTGCACATACAACCATTCTTCGTGCGATATACAAAGGATCTTCACCGGCACTAAGCATCCGCGCAAGCCAATACATCGCCGCATCGACATCACTCCCTCGTACGCTTTTGTGCAATGCAGAGATCATATCGTATCGGGAGTCTCCGCTGCGATCATAACTAGCTGAGACCGACCGCCGCAGGTTCTCGATTAGTTTTTCCTCCGCAGTGGTTTTCGGAGCTGATAAAACCATGTCGAGGAGGGATAGAGCGGCGCGCGCGTCTCCGGAGGAAAGAGAGGTGATAGAAGCTAAGACTGCGGCGGTGAAATGGGGATAGGCAGGAAAGAGGGGGGTGGGGTTGGGTGATTTGGGAATAACACCGTTGGGTATTGGTGTTGAAGATGGGGGGGAAGATGGTTGAGGGATTTGGGAAGATACAGGTGTGGGTGGGCAGGGGCTGGAGGAGAAATCAAAACTGTCGTCTGGGGAGGGTTCACTTTTCACGATTTCGGATGTTTGTAATGAAGGAGGAGAGAGACGGATGACTGCTCTTTTGATGATTTCTTCGATATTAGCGTCCGAAAGACGTTCCAAGACAAAGACTCTGGATTTCATGGGGGGTTAACTATTTAATATTTTAAAAACAGTCGAGAAGAACTCGCCTGCAGCGACTTAGAAGCGCGGCAGTTAATTTGAAGGAAGGGTTTTCGGTTGTAGCTCCGATTAACTAAAACAGAGTCAGCTAAATCTTTCGTTTCCGCAAAGTGCTGATACGGGCTAACCTGAATATGACCTTGCTCAAGAAAGGGAAGAAATACGTCCTACGAGGAGATATGAGGGGTTAGCGTTTCGAAGTATTGAGAGGAGATAGTGTACATACCTGTTGTGATTTGCTGAACCGATGGACTTCGTCAAGAAAGAGTATTGTTTTTCTGTAATGGAAACCACTTGAGCCTCAATGAGCAAAGATATCGTGCAACACCATACCTGCCCGTTAACCGCAAGGCATTTTTTGCTTCTTCAAAGATGGGCCTTACTTCGTTGATTCCCACTATCGTTGCTGATAGTTCCTTGAATATAGAACCCGTTTGTTTGGCCACAAGTCTTGCTAATGTTGTTTTTCCGCAACTAATTTTCTATATCAGCCAATGAACTGCAACCGGGTGGAAGGAAGGAACACTTGCCCAGGAGGGCCCCAAAAGATCATGCTGCCCAACGACCCATTATTGATTGAGTTCATAAGCATGGAGCCGACCTCGGTCAAGTGAGCTTGACCAACAAAGTCAGCTAACAGACTTGGCCGAAGCCTTTCAGCAAGCGGGGCGGCTTGGGAAACATTCGTCGATATCTTTTGGCGTTTCGAAGATTGGGTATTACTGGGTGTTGGGCTGTTCATGAAACGACTTGGATCTCCTGCACCTCGTTTCTTGGATTGTGTGGGGGTAAGGGCCGAGGTAGACGGTTCAGATTCTGACAGATCACGACTCTTCTTTTTCTGAAACAGAGGATGTATGCCTGTGTCTTTGACGTTTGTCAGAATTTTGGACGTGGTGCGGGTACGATCCTGAGGGGAAAGTCGGGAGCCTTTGGACCCAGAGGCAGATGAAGAGTCTGAGCTAGAGCAACCGTTGTCAAGATGTATGTTTATCATCCGATTTGGCATTTCTTGGGAGCATATGGGGCTAAGCACCGGAGAAGAGTAGATACCTCGAATTTCGAGCTTTCAACAAGAATTCTGTGACTTACCATTTTACAACTGTTGGCAAATTCAGTGAATCCACTCATAGAAACAGAAAATTCATCGTACTTGGTTCACTCTCGCGCGGGCTCATGTTATTATTTCATTCACGCGCGTCGAAGTAAAGGGAAAGAAGAACAACCGAAGCGTGACAGGAACGCGTGATCACGCCTCTTTCTACCACCGTCTTCGCGGGTCCCCTGCCAACATAAAACAGCAAAACGACACGAGCTGCACAAATATAGCTGCGAGTAACGCGAGGTTGGGACTCATCACGAAACATGGAAGCCCTTTACGTCCAATGTGCAGAGGTCCTGTCGTTAGCTCAATCAATGAAGGATGATCTTGCTGCCCTTCTCGATCCAGATACGGGCATTGCTCCTAGATTTAGGCAGCTTTGTCGGGATCAGTATGTAGTGCTATCATTGATTCGTCTACAAGTGTACTAAAACGAGCTAGGATTGAGGAATTGGAAAATGTAGCCAGCTTCGAGAGCGTTTCTGAAGAAAAAGAACTTTTGCGTTTAGAAGAAAATACATGGGCCCTACTGCAAGCCGTTATGCCGTCAGTACCCTGCTTGGTTCCTCTTTTTCTTCTGTGAATATATCTTCAAGACAGAGCTCGTAAAACGGAACCTCCCACTTTTGAATATGCGCAAGACATGCTTCAGCAAAACCCTTACACCCCAACAGCCACCATTGCACAGGCTATCTTGAACGCGTCTCCTGTGTTGACTGAACTGATCGTCGTTCGAGAATGGCTACAAGACACGGCGCCACCTCCAATGCAACCCGAGGCTACAACTGGGTACTGGAAATTCACCAAACACAATATCATGCAGGGTTTGCGAACTGGCGCTGGCGCTCGGCATGGACTGGTCAAGGAGATGGATCCAGATGCAGTGAATCGCGGGGATGGACGGAGTCTCGCTGCAGATGATTCGGTACGCGTCACTAGACTTTTCGTGTTATTTGTTTTCATTTGGTCTCCTTAGAGCTACGAAAAAGGTCTCGTACAGGCCCTGCATGGACATGTTCGTGCAGGCCGACTCGAGGATGCCATTGAGTTATGCCAGAGAGCACACCAACCCTGGCGAGCCGCAAGTATACGAGGTTCTCTTCTTTTCTATTGGAAGGGTATCGGTACAGTCTTCACATCTTCTCAATTACATTCGATCTCAACATACTGTAGTCAATGAAGGGTCTCAGGACGAGATGGACGACAACGATGTGGACTCTTGGACCGGCAATCCCAACCGCAGACTTTGGAAGTCAGCGTGTAGTCGTGCAGCACTCAACGTCTGTATGAGCTCTTTGGTGTGCAAGCTTCCATGATGGACTGACACTTATTCAGACTGCCTTAGCAGATTACGAGCGTGTGCTTTATGCTGCTCTAGCACCTGCCCCACAAACATCGCTCATTCTTAAATCCGCCTGTCGAACATGGGAGGACCATTTGTGGGCACAGATCAGTATCATGTGTGAGGAAAAGCAAACGATGGAGATGTCGAGGCTAGGTGGTAGTTTCTGGGAGGGGGGCATGTCTGCAGTTGAGAAGGGAGCCCGATCCGTTTCGCGTGAGACAATGGAGGAGGAAGAGGAGGAATGGGAGGAGGAGGTTCGCGGTGCATTAAATGGTTTGAAGAGCGTCCATGTCGAGGAGGGGTGAGCATGACGGAACAATTTCTTCTTCAACCGTTACTAACTGTGGACAGACCTCCAGCTGACCATCCCTTCCACTTTTCACAATTAAATATCATTCAAGACAAAATAGGGTTTCTCCTCGAAGTATTCGCTGAAGGCCTACAAAATCAATCGCTTCAGAGCACGACATACGAGTGTGTTCATCATAGATCGCCTATGATTTCTTTCTAAATTCAACGGTATCTAGATACGCGCCTATGTGCCGCTTCTTTGCTCATCTATGTCTGTTCCTAAAGCTGATCGATGTCACTGTTCCACCTGATGCTGTGGTGGTCATCCTCGAAGCATACTTGCAGGTGTTGGAGGTTAGCAGGTTTCAATGTTGCAATAGTCCACTTGATCTAACCTTTTCTCAGGCTGCCGGGCAACGAGAGCTCATTGCAATATATGCTGGAGCATTAGGAGAAAATGCTGTCAGCAGATATGCACTGTTTTTGGTATCTCTGGAGCTTTCTGCGGACCTTTCGGAGCGACGGTTAGCTTTGACTCGAGCGAAAGAGCAGGGACTTGACGTCGACAGTGTTGCGGCGGTGACAGCAGAGATGACGATGAATAAAGCGCTCGAGGTACACTCAGGATGTATTTTGTTGAAATGTATATTTATCGACTCTTATGCAGCTTCTCCCTGCCTCACGAGGTCCATTGCCCTCAACAACTGCCCTACAACCTCCGGCGAAAGACGCAGAAATTCTCCTCTTGCGTTCAATCGAATGGACCACTTTCTCCGAAGCGACATATGACCGTGCTTTGGAACAAGCCAATCACATTTGCCGATATTTCTTGGGTTCGTCCATTGCTTGTCTTCGTTTTTGGTTGATCAATCTCATGGATGTTGTTTAGCTACTGGACGTGTACAATTGGCGCAGCAATTACTGAACATGCTTCCAGCTGAACTAGCGGCTATTGGGGAGCCAGAAGAACAAGCGACTGAACATTTGCACTACAGGCAGTTCTTTTCAATTTGGGAAACCTTAGAACGCATCGTCGAATGTCAGGCCCTCGAGGTGTCCGACATGAATCGAGACACTCGAAACGCTTGGCTACAGGACTACAAGGTCAGCCTATCTTTTGAATCCGATGAGAAACCATTTCAAAATTCTCCACTCAGCTTCTTATCGACCAAGGTCATGAGCAAATTGTGAAATTATTCACCTCAGAATGGCTTGTGAACGATGTTGAAAATACTGCCGGTCAGTGAACATTCATCTGTCGTCAAATCATTCTGATTTTTTCCAATTGATGCAGGTGATGCTCGACGCCGTGCTCTCATCCGAATACGTCAGATCTACATCCCCGAGCTGGTAATTCGCTTACATTCCACGTTGTTCACCTCGCGATTCCGATTTCCCGAGTACGTGCAAAGTGATTGAATGTCCATATGCAACCACTAACTTGCAAATATAGCAATCTCAAGCTCCTTCTAAAATTAGTGAACATCGTTGCCGACTCGAGATACAAGTTGTACGAGGACTTTTTCAGTGACAGTGGTGCTAGATTAGATGATTATCTTGGTGCTGTGAGGCGAGCAATATTGGGTGGTCTTGAAGGAGGAGGATCAGATCCCTTCCACGTTATCCTTGCTTGATACGAAAGTTCGAATCGAATGCGGGATTTGACCTATGTACACTGCTCAGCTAGTCATTCTGCATCACCGCGTACTTGCTGCAGAAAATATATAACGTGCATTCGCATGTAAGCTTCGTCTGGCTCGGAGATATGGCTCACAAGTGGTGCTCGCCTCGAAATTCTAGTTTTGGATGGTTTTGTCGGTGCTGGCGCACCACCATAGTAAGTAAACACGATGTCTGAGACCTCGTGGGATCTGTAAATATAGAAATAGTGAGATTGCGAGCGAAGCGAAGCAATAATATACTAGTAATCTCATCCCTGCTTGAGAGGGTTGGTCCCAAAAGTCTGATTCGTACTTACTCAAATCTGACTGAAATTATTTGGTTACACGAGTCCGGCACAAAGCGGCGAAATTCTGCCCGCGTCTTCGGTAGCCTGTAGTGCTAGGTGTTAATTGCTGAAATGCGCACACGTGATGCTAGGTCTTTCATCCGCGATCGTCCAACTAGGTCGACGAAATCTGCCACTGCGACTATGGCCCAATTGCCTGATTGCGAAAGCTTGCTCTCCACGACACGAATAAATCGACTTCTTAGACCATTGCGCAATAAATGCTCTACTCTCGCAGTTTTAGGCACACGAACAGCGTCATTGTCGGGATGTACAACCACCTATTCATCTACCAAGTCCTTCACACAACCAGACATCCCACCGTTACGCATTCTTTCTCTGCCTGCAAGCACCACTGGTCTTGACGAAACAGGCGGCGAGTGGTCTCGTAAAATTTACGCCGTTCGTAATGCTTTCAACGATATTGTGGAGAAAACAGCAGGGCCCCGCGTACAATCTGGAGGGGATAGTATACCAAGGCTGCCTAGTCTATCTACACTGTGCGCTTTGGTGATTGGAGAGCACGCAGAGCCAGATATTGAAGAGGATACGACTCGCTTTGAAGAAGAGTGTTCCGTCGATGTCGTAGAAACTTTGTATAAAGAGATCCCAGCCTTATATCGGGGGTGAGCTCGCTTATAAGTTAGATCTCTTCCTTTTGATGTCTTCTCACTTTCATAAGTTCCACTCTAGTTTCCCACTCCCTGCATATCATCCTTGACGAGTGTCCACTCACTCCGACACTACTGAAACTCCTCCTCGATATAACCCTTAACAATAATCTGGTCCAGCACTCCGAAATCATTCTACGTCGATATCTTTTAATCGCACTTTCCCCTTCAGCCCCGACTCGTTCGCCGCCAATTTGCCACCCTGCCCATTCTAATTTCTTGGTCGAATTATTGGGTTACTGGGAGCAGAAAAACAACCCTTCGTGCGTGTTTTTCAAAACACTCGATGAGACTATGGCAACGGTGGGGACTTATGATATATGGGTATGCAAAGCTACAATCAAGCTACTTCTTGATTGTCGAAAAGATCCATTGCAGCTTACATCTGTATCTGGCAATCTTGTCCGATTTATATCAAGACCCGAGTTACATTTACCTTCGAGACAATTCAGCGTTAGCGCAATGGCCCGTGCATCTCCTACGGAGACCCTGCGACGATCGTTGCGGGTTTGGTTGGAATGTGTACTGCATTATCTGCTTTTGTCTTCTCAGTCAGTTGATCTCCACTGTTTTTACGATTTCCTTTTGGTGTGCAAAGAATGCTGGATACACCTCGCACCCGACATATCAACTACCGTCCTACCGTCGCCAGAACAGGATGCTGTGTCCGCAATTGTCAGCGTTACGACTCTTCTGTTATCTCAAAGATTGGTTGCAAGCCACTCTCTTTTTCAAATACTTTCGGAGAAGATCCGTCCATCGACGACTCTATTTTCTCTCTTAATTTCGAAAACATTGGTTTCGTCCGCTGGTCTACCAGAATGCATCGAACGTATACAAACCTACGGGGCATCTTTACGCGATCACGGTTTTCTGGAGCTAGAGGTTTCAATGTGGGCATCTACGCTCAGAGAAGTAGAAAATTCTGAGCTTCTGCTCCAACGTTACGCTAAAGATGCTCTGCATGAGTACCGTAACGTACTAATAGATCGCGTGGAAGACGCGGAAAAACGATGCTATGGTTCTCTAGATGGTGGCCTTCTGGATATAATGAACTCTCCTTCCGTTCAACGACAAAAAGGGTGGGGAGACATGGCGTCTGGGCGCTCAAAGTCCAAAGATACTCGGCGAAGACAACGTCCGCACTCGAACGAAAACCAATACCGCGTTGAGACGCGCTCCTCAAATCAGGGCTCAGCTTGTCGAAATGATCGGGGGTCTACTCATCCAAACAAACGACCACGTCTGATGCCTCACAGGGTATCATCATTTACCTCTCTTCTATCAAATGCTCTATCAAACCACGTTGTTCTGCATGAGGAAAGAGATCATTTGGAGAATGGACTGGTGAATCGCGAGTGTTTGAATGACAGAGTAGATGTCGTAGGACATTTACAAACGGACGTTGGGATAGAAGACCTATACGGGGAAGATTTCGAGTGCCTCGTTCCTTCCTCAGACGATTGCTTGGATTTATTAGCATATGGCATCTCATCCCCTGTTTGATTTACTCTACGAGTAACCTCTTATTTGCGATATATATGTTCCTATCAGTATTTCGGGTGCTCAAGGGTGCTCAGCCCTAAATCGCTGCTGTATCTTGATTCTTGCTGTTGTATACATAATTTTCATACTCTTTGATGCGCTAACGGCTCACGTGGGGTTTGAATGCCAGTGTTCAAATTGTCAATTGTGTACATTGTACCTTTCAACTTTTTCACCGCGTTCCCCTTCCCTTCGTGCTCATTATTATTTTCTCTAGCGCATGCTAGCTGCTGTACGCGTCTCTCTTTCTCTATCTAGATATGTGCTGATATGACTGACATTAATGCAGTGCCAACTCATACCTTCATTACTGTTCAATAAAAGGATACATAAATTATTCGCCAATTCATGGCTGCTCCTACTCAAATCTTGCCTCCTTGGCTTTCAGCCACTGAAGTTGTCGTCGACGGTCAGACCGAGACATCCCTCGTATTTGAGCCTCTGACTTACTTCGGCCCATCTGTAAGTGGCTCTAATCTTCAGATGATATGCTCTGACCGCCTTGCTTACCTTTAGATTCCTCTGGGATCTCTGTTTACCTTTGGCGGCTCAACCTCACCGGCGTCCTTGACGTCAAGTACAGCGACACCCCCTTCTACCTCTTCTTCCTCTGCGACATCCACTGCGACGCCTTCATCTACATCTACATCTCTTCCCTCTTCATCTTCCACTGCTACATCTACCTCTTCATCTTCTCCTGCTCCATCTACTTCGTCTTCCACTGCTTCATCTTCTTCGTCGTCAATCACCCCTTCGTCCCCTACAACTCCTACTGCCCAAAGTCATGGTCTCGAAAGAGGTCAACTCATTGGCGTTATTATTGCCAGCATTCTTGGATTCATCTTCCTATTCGTGCTGGCTCTTTTCTTATACCTCTGGTGGAATGCTCGTCGTAATCGTCGTCGTAATGGGAACGCTCGCTTTTCTATGGTTCCACCCTCAGACGATGATGACTTGGTAATCATTCCGCCCGGCGGCGTCTCTCCAGGGGAAGGCTCTCCTCGGGTAAGTGGTGAAGAGGCCGATCCATTCCTACGGCGTCAGTCCGGCAATTCTGCAACGCATCAGGCCTCTTCTGTCGCTGGTCCCAGCGCTGACAACGCTAGACAACCACCCTCTACTGACAATAGTGTCACTTCATCCACGAAGTCATCCTCAAACTCCGCGGCGTCAGGATATGGGACTTTACTTCAAAATCCCAGTCTCGGTGTATTTGTTCCTCAATTCGAGGATAGACGCAGGAATATTCTATCACCAGATGAACTCCGTCAATTTGGTGATATTCCTCCGCAGCAGCAACGTTCACGGTTATCGACTGTGGGAGAACAGGGTGAATTAGCTCCTCTGACACCACCTCCCAGGTTGGTTGATGTCACACGTAGTCAGAGTCGTTTATCAGCAGTTGACCGTACGCCATCTTTGGCATCTCAGGCTAGTGATGCTGGAGAGGCGACGCTGCTCACCGCCCGGCGTGTACGAGCAGAGGACCTTGGACCTCGACCCGCTCCACTTTCTCCAGGTGCTGAATCTAGTCGCAAAAGGGACAGCGGGGCCTGGAAAGGTTTGGGCCTCGGAGGGTTAGCTGCTATAGGCCGGTTGAGTTGGTTCCAAAATATCACCGGGAGTTCATCATCACGAAGAAATTCACGCAATTCGGGTTTACTTCAAGATCGCGACATTGAAGCTGGTCGAGCTTTACTCAATGCTGAACCCGGATCTCCTCCCGAAATGTCTGAGCTTCAGGGGCCTCGTTTCCGTGGTCAATTAGGCCTTGGTGTAGGTTACGCGGGAGACAGACCTGTCTCTGGTACCAGTGCCAACAGTCGCCCATCAACCATCTATCATGATGCTCAATCATCTTTGCCTGGTACACCTTTAGTAATGCCGCCACCTCGTGCAATGGCCAATTCAGGTTCCGCAGAATTTGGCTTTTGGCCACAAACCGGCACTGAAACTGCTTCCAGTATGACTGCTGTTGCTCCAGGACGCTCACAGGACGGTCAAACAACTGGTACACAGTCCACATCAGCTAGTACAGGTAATCATACAACTGGGGATGTTTTGGATATGCCAGCTCCACGAGGTATCTCCCCGTTCGCTTCATCCCACTCTGTACGGGAGGTGGGCTCATTAAGCAGTCAGGGTAGTCAGGGAAAGGCGGAATTTCCTTATCCACCGGGTCTTACCTCTTTTTCGACCCCGGGTGTGTGGAACGAAACAGTCGGGACTACCCCTAGTCCAGGTTCATTTGCTGCTGTTCCCACTCTTGCTCTTGGTGCAGAAATTGGCCTTGATGTATTAGAGCAGGAACCACCCAGCCCTGGTAGTAGTTGGAGATCTATGGCGGGTGGTAACCTTGGTCAAGGCGGTACACGCAGAACCACCTTCGGCTTGGTATGTTTCTACTTTGATTTAAATCATCAGTACTAAAATCTGTATTGCAAATTCAGCCACAGTTTGTCAATCCTCCCGAATTGTATTCTGAGCAAGGTTCTCTGCATTCTATGCGCTCACATCTTAGTCCAGTGAACTCGCGTTCAAGCGGTTCAGCTTCCGTTTCACGTCGCGAAAAATCCGGCTCAACTGGTTCTGCCTCGTCGCGTCCTTCTGCTCGCTCTGCCGCACGTTCTATCGTTTCTGGGAGCGACGGCAGCGGTGCATCCTTGGCTCATTCCAACAGTATTTCTGCTGACGACCGTCGCAAGAACAGGGCACAACCACCGATGTCTCCCGCCTTTTCCGTGTTTGGCAATAACCCACTACCAGCGTCGAGTTCTGGGCACAGCCATCATCCCTCCTTGGACAGTCCTTTGTCAGAGGAGTCTGTAGATAAATTACTGAAAATATCAACACCTATCGCTGAAGTTTCTACCGTTGCCACTTCTTCGGAAGATAGAGGACAACTTTCTCTTCGAAGCCCACGGAGTCCATTATCCTCAGTTCCTTGGGCCGCTGGTTTGAATGATGCCTGGTCGCCTTCATGACCCCCCCTCTATGATGATTTGATGGACATTTTTCACGACAAATTTTCTTGATGACCGGTTTACTACCTGTTCCCGCCTGCGACACCATCTTCCACCTATTTCGCACATCCTACAATTCTTACTTTTTGACGAAGCACACATTCAAATGTTGATCCTTGCTTTTTGTGAATACATTGAAGTAGTTCATGTACATCGCGAATCCTATCATCTCGTCATTGTCCACTGCACCTCAGTATTCCTTCTTTATTGCCGTACTTATGTCCTCCTACGACTATCACGATAATCATTACTACTGTCAATTTCTGCATCTCACAAACAGAATGGAGTTGTGATCACAATGCCAAAATACTTCGACAGTTTGAGTGTGCGTGTATAGAACGTGGAATGCCTACCTTCATATGAGCGTCATTGACGCCGCCCGATGGGATTGACAAAGAGCAGCTCGGATCTTCTCCTTGAGGTTCACATTTCACAACGTTTTCTGCAATAGCTGGCTCGTATTCCTGCCAATATTCGATACCTGTGATATATATGTGTTACCGGACCAACGGATTAGTAAGTAGTCAAGAATTCGTACCATGGTGATGATATCCTAGTGATTGCGGTATCATAGTAGGCACCCTGCGGATGGTATTTAGAGGATGGTGGTGAAAAATGTGCCCACATACATACCCGTCGTGTGTATGCACAACTGTTCAAAAAACTCAGTGTCTTGGCTGACTGCAAACCTTGCAGAACGCACCTCTGAAAGCGTTCTCACCCAGGCTCTTGTTGACGAACTCGGCAAATGCTTTATTCTAAATGGTAGGTATAAAGCCTCCTGCCTAGGACAACCGCTGAATCAAACGGTATACTTACCCCTGTTCTCGGAGCGCCGTAGGAGTAAGTAATTACTCTGCATTGAGGAAAACGTTGATTCGCGGAAATTGCAGATAGGGTTGCAAGTGCGCCGCCCAAAGAATGACCCGACGTGACGATCGTCTTGATGTCTCCGTGGAGGACTAATTGTTCAGCCAAGATAGCGAGCACTTGAACTCCAACAGAATTCCATCTGCATGATAAGGAAACAGTTTACTCGTATGCATTTCTAATGCAGCATACTAACGCAGTGAGAAAGCCAGCATGAACTTGTACATCATCTGCCGCGAAATCAGTACACACCAGGACTTGAATGAGACTGCGAACGCGGTATTGATACTCCTGGAGACACCAGTGGCACCAATTGGACTTGTGTATCCAGTAAAACGTCAGCAACACTTGCACTATATACGAAACAACCACAATTGTTCAGCGAACATTTATATCACTCAAGGCAAGACTCGCCTTCCACGAAGAGCAACGACAAGCTCCTTACGATGAACATCTCGTGCAACGAACCCCTCCACTATTCCAGCAACCGGGTCAGAGAACTAGCAAAAGGAGGAAATCGCCGTGGCGCATCGGTATTAGCCTCAACTGCGACTAATAAAGTTGAAGAGTTGACAGACATGGGTAATCAGCATACTGCCATTTGGTCTGGGGCAGACAGGCGTGTAGGCAGAAGATGCATATTTCAGATAATGAACTAGTTGATCAAAGACATCTGAGAAGAGCGAAATCATAACGAATCAATATTCGTGTTTCAATACCAAAGAACCCAGAAAAATCATACGCTGCGATATTTTATTCTTGTCCAAGTTACCCACATGTAGGTTACTCATACGAGATCTTCGAAACATCGACAAAGTATTCCGCGGCTCTCCAGTAGTAAATCCACTCCAAACCCGAGAAGTTCTTTTTTTGACTATCTACTAGAAAGGCATATGACCACCGCTCTCGGCAATGCCTTTGTGTAAGCAAAATGATAGCAGTCAATTGATGAACGCATTATCTTCTTCTTTCCGATGCCGAGCTGACCTGGCCATCGCACGTTTGGAACACACTGGATCCAGCTACCGAAACAGAAGCGTTTGCTATCAGATTATGCTAGTCGGGTTGGGCCAATACCCAAGTTCTGGCTGTCCGGGCCTTCAAAGTTATACACTATAAGATATATATGTGCGGTACTACTGGATGATTCAAAAGATGCCCTCTGTGCATAAGGATTCGATTTTGACTTGGTGAATTTTTGCGGTACGTCAAAACGAAGTCATCTAATTGCTCAATTTAATGCCAGAACTTGATCGGGACTCAACATTCTAATTCTGTTTGAACTTGACGCTAGGCACCCGCACCAATGCTCGAGTCTACGTGAGTTTTTGTAAAAGATAAAAGGTCCCATTCCGCTCTTCCGGACGCAATTTGAACGCACGTATATTTTTCTTCTTATGAGATCCTTTATGTAACTCAGTTTGGATCGTTGATCACGCCTTTGTTCAGTGCTACTTCAAACCATCTGGAGTCAAGTAATGCCGCAAATACCTCTGCGCAAAATCATATTTAACGGCGACCCTGGAACAAGAATGCTTTAAAAAAACGTCCATGGTCATCGCCATACGTTCAGCTCGTCTACTTGTAGAAAGCACACGAGATCTCATTTCTCACAATGGTGTCGTCGTCGTCGATGGAGAATCAGTGGTCACTGCTGGGGTCTGGGACGATATCGCGCTTAGTCTACCCAAGGGAACAGAAATCATCGACCTTGGGGATACTACCGTAATGCCGGGTCTCTTCGATTGTCACGTCCACCTCGCCATGGACCCTTCGAAACTTTCAGCGACTGCCGATATAGGAGTCGCTTCAGAGGAAGATCTGCTTATACAAATGGAGCGCAATGCATTAAAGGTTTTGGACGCCGGTGTTACAACAATTCGTGACCTCGGTTCTCCAGGGACTATCTCAACAGTATTGAGAGAACGTGTACAAGAATGGCGTGTATTCGGTCCGCGGTGAAATTCCATCCATTGTGATTCATCCTTATGAATGCTAATGGACTCGACTTTTCCAGAATTCTTTGCGCAAATGCGCCTATAACGGTACCTGGAGGTTCGTTCGGTGCTTCATATCTTGTAATCAAGTCACAGAAATTTTGCAGGACATGCTCATACTTGGGGTGGAGTTGCTGTCGGGGTAGATGGGTGCCGCGCCGAAGCACAGAAAAGAATTAACGAAGTGGGTTGCGCAGCTTGAAAGTGTGTACAACGATACGGAGATTGACATTATTCAGGGAGTGGATGTTATAAAGGTTATGAGCACTGGCGGATTTCTGAGCCCTGGGTCTCGACCAACAGAAGCTCGATACTCAGTGGAGGAGCTCAAGGCAATAGTTACCGAAGCTCATGCTCATGGTATTCCTGTAACAACACATGCTACCGGGGTCGAAGGCATTAGGCGGGCAGTCGAAGCTGGTTTCGACTGTATCGAGCATTGTTCTTGGGGTGTAGGTGGGAAATTCTTACATTCAGACACCGAATACTTGATGATCTTTAATGCTGTAAGAGGGCGGAACCACATACGATGATTTGATTGCAAAACGGATCGTAGATAGCAATATTGCTGTCTGTCCAACTATGAATACAGCATGCTTGGAGAAGGACTATTTTTGTCCGTGGGACACTCGACAACATGTTCTTGAAAATCTCAGCAGGTTACGACAAGGGGGTACTCGAATCATTGTTGGAACTGACAACGGAATAGGTTAGTGGTTTTCCACTGAGAGAGCACACGTTCATAAAAGTTGATACTAGCGCTGTGCCCATTTGAAAGGTATGCAGACGGGCTATTGGTTCTTGCCGAAGCTGGATTTACATGCCGTGAAATAATTGCTGCTGCGACGGACATAGCTGCTGAGGCTTGTGGTCTTTCCAATGTTACCGGGAAGCTACTCCCAGGCATGGCTGCTGACATTGTAGCATTCGAAGGTAACCCCCTTCATGACGTGGACGCATTTTCGAAACCTCGATTTGTCATGGCGAGTATAATTCTTCTCATCAAATCTCCAGTAGATACTTACCTATCCTTGATTAACTGTTAGGTGCGTGGGAGGGTGCATGTATTGAAACCTATTCCAGTCCGTCCCGACAATGCACTCATAGCTCAACAAATATGGGGAGAATTGCGGGCAGCAGCTGACCTTCCTTCAGACCGTTACAGTTTGAAGTTAAAGTCTACTGCTTAAAATTTAGTCGATTGAATAATTTGAATTGCACATTTGTTTTAATTCCCCTTGTTGGATTTTCACGACCAGGTGATTAGTGTGGATGTGTTGATTTTTTTAGTAGTGCGTGTTTAAGGTACATGTGAGGCTGGGCAACCACATATAATGCTGGCCCCATCTCGCCACTTAGAAAAATTGGGTGCTTAAGCCAAAATTCAGATAAAAATCCCTCCTCAAAACCCGATTGACTTGGACAAAACCCTCAGGATCAGGAAGCTTTTTCATATGAGATCATAGGCCTAGGGTACACTGGTGCATATGGGTATCTGCATGACCATGTTGGTCACCCTATGCAATTATAGGTCTTTCTAAGGGTGAAGCTCTTCTAACAATTGGAATCAATTCTGTAAAAGATCCCTTACAGGCTATGCTATAGGGCTGCTGCATCTGCAAAACTTGGATGATAACAATAGCAAGGGTACTGGGAAGCACTGTCAATCTCTTAGTCAAAGATCTCAGGTTTTGCAGATGATTGAAGGTGGTATTAGGCATTAGTACCAAAGAGGGCCCATGATATGATACAACTGAATTGGTAGCATTGATCAAGAGGAAGGTCATCTGCAAAACATGTATACTCACCAGAGCAAGGATACTAGCTGGAGAGTGCTCTCCAGCGACGAAAGCACCCAAAGCAAAAATCAAAGCCTGCTCTGGGTGCTTTCGCTGCTGGGAAGTGCTCCCAAGTGCTCTGAGCTGCTTTCGGCTATTTAGCCGAACATACAGGTTTTGCAGATGGTATTCATACATCTGCAAAACCTGTATACTTGCCACAGCAAGGATGCTAGCTGGAGAGTTGTCAAGATCATGCCTTGGTGCTCCATATTCTGAGATCTACTGTTTTATTGTGTTCTCTTCTTATTCAAGTTGTTCTTTCTGGCTAGCTACACATTCCCTTTCGCTCTAGTCTACCTTTATTGTCTTATTCTCTACCCTGAAGGTACTAAGTGTACAGCCTCTAGTAACTAGTCTAGTGCTCTGCTCTGCATCTGCAAAACATGTATACTCACCAGAGCAAGGATACTAGCTGGAGAGTGCTCTCCAGCGACGAAAGCACCCAAAGCAAAAATCAAAGCCTGCTCTGGGTGCTTTCGCTGCTGGGAAGTGCTCCCAAGTGCTCTGAGCTGCTTTCAGCTATTTAGCCGAACATACAGGTTTTGCAGATGTGATACACCAATTAGTTAGTATAAATACTGTACTCTAGTTCTTCAGTTTAATTATCATCTTAGATCACTCTAGATCACCTCTCTCTGAAGTCTTAGTCTTGACCTTAGGACTTATAGTACTTTGGTCTGCTCCTTGTCATTGGCATTACCGCTGTTACTGGCTTGGCTGCTACTCACATCCTTGTACCTCCCTTCTACCCTCCTCCTCTGGGGACTAACAGTGTAATGGCGGTGTTGTTAATAACTTCACCACTGTCCCATTTGACCCTCCACATTTAGATACCAAATGGCCCTTGGCACGGCCTTCCAGTATACACTGTGATCTTAACAAGAGTGCTCTCCAGCAATGAAAGCACCCAGAGCAAAAATCAAAGCCTGCTCTGGGTGTTCACTGCTGGGAAGTTCTCTGAGCTCCTTTCATCTATTTAGCCAAAAATACAGGTTTTGCAGATGGCCTGGTAGGAGGAGGTTTGTATTTTGTGCTGCCTAACTCTGCGGATCAATATCCGGATGGGTGACGGCAAATTAATGATTAGCGGCACAAAACACGTTTTTCGCATGCGGCGTCGCGCTTAAGGAAACTCACGTGCACTTCTTGATATTTAGGAAATCCCGCGACAAATTTGAGTTCAGCTTTTGTTTCTTGCACCACAACCAGCTCGACGACGGTGGGATAAAGATGTGGACTATGGGATACTCGCTTCCAACTGGTATCCAATTAGCTCTTCTTGTTCTAAGAGTTATCTCTCCAGCTTTTGTCTTTTTCTCGTCTTTATCTCTGTTCTTCCTTCGACCTTTACCACCAACATCACCGTCGCCTATCACCTCTGTCGTTATCTCCCGCCGTATTCCCCGTCGAGCTTCAATTCTCCTTTTCCTTACTCTTTGCTCGTTAACCTATCTGGGTGACGGTCTTACGTTCATTGTACATGCAATAATCCAGCATAATTGGCCCTGGTACTCGGGTATCGAAGTTAATGCGCTTTTGGGTGTTGTAGCCTTCTCGGGCCTTGCCGCTTTGGGCACATGGAAGGATTTGCACGGTTTACGAATCTGGGACCTAAAGAGAGTCAGCTTTTCAGTGGCTCTATCGCTAGTTTTGGACATTGCCTTGGTCATTATGATTGGCCTGAATTTCCGACAAGGTCGGTCTTGTGTCTGCTCCTCCGAGTCTCCCATATACTGAAAAGCATCTAGCCGGATTTCCTTCGTCATTATCCCTTGTCATGTTGTTGCATCTTGCGTTTCCTATTTTTCGAATTATACTTCTGGTTCCCTTGTTAACGTCACTTCTCACTCCTCGCGTTGTTTACACCTCAGTCCATGAGGAAAGCGGATCTGAAGAAATTCCAACGGATTCGTCTCTTCTCCTTCCCGCATCAGCGGCCTCTCAAACATCAACCGGCCTGCTTGCAGTTCCCGTTCCCTCTGAGAATGCAAAGTATGGTACCTTCCGACCTACTTACTCTGCCCTTCTACAATCCACTCCGACTACTCGTGCTCCTACTCCTGCTCCATCTCAGAACGTAAGTCATTACAGACCAATTATCTCTGTCTCTTATTGTTCTTGCAGGTCAATGAAAAGCCAGAAATTGTTTTGGAGCCATCTTGGTCAGAATTGATGCAACGCATCCAACACCTGTCTCCGTACCTATGGCCTTCCAAGAGCCGTTCGCTTCAACTAATCGCTGTAAGTCTGTCCTACGATTTACAATCACCTGATCGCGTCTCAACTATTCTTTAGATACTATGCATCTTAATTTTGCTCTGTGGTCGATTCGTCAATGCGATTATGCCATTTACAGTTGGAGAATTAATCAAGGTCTTTGAGAAGCGGTCAAGCTATTCCATGTGGCCTCTATTATTTCTTTACGTCACTCTTCGCTTCTTACAAGGAAGTGGAGGGTTGGCGGCCTTACGCGATGTAGGTCATCCGCTTTCGTTATATTTTCTTGTCTTCACGTTCACATTAGGCTCTATGGACGCCCGTCATGCAATACTCAGATCGAGGTTCGGTTATAACCCGCACAATCTTTCGATCGCTTATACAACCCCTTATTTATAGAAATGTCGGAGTTGTCTTTCAATCATCTGCTGAACCTCTCTTTCGCGTTTCATACACGGCGCAAAACTGGTGAAATACTCCGGGTGCTTGACCGTGGCGCTGCCATAAATCATACTTTAGAGGTGGGTAATATCCTCTTATTCGACATTATCGCTTGCTTGACATATACGGTTTTAGTTGATTATGTTCAGTATAATACCGACTTTCGTGGATATTGCCATAGCGTTGGTCATGTTTTGCCTCATCTTTGACTGGATTCTCGCGGTCGTGATATTCTTTGTAATGTTTGCATACGGTGAAGACATTTTATATTTCACATTGACTCAAGCTTGACCCACCAGTTGATAGTCTCTGCTAGCGTCGTTCTCACTCAATGGCGTACGCGCATTAGGCGGCAGATGAATGAGCGCGATATAGTTTGTCTCATGTTCGTTGCGCGATTTGCGAATTCACATACTACCTAGATAACTCGTGGCATCCACACTGATTGCCTTCTAAACTATGAAACAGTGAAATATTTCGGCGGAGAGGAACATGAGGCTGCTCGATATCATGATGCTATACGTGAATACCAAGTCCTTGAAGCTAGAGTTATAAGTGGGTTTTAGCTCTTTTCTTCTTTTCAACAGCAGAGTTGATGTGTTCGTTGATTCCCAGTTTCTCTCAATCTTCTGAACCTGGTTCAAAACTTCATCATAGTCAGTGCCCTTGAAGCTTCATTCTTCTGTCACCAAATTGACAAGAGCTATGTAGACATCTGGGCTACTTGTTGGCTCTATCATTGTTGCGCGCCGTGTAGTCCGCGGTGATTTAGACCCCAGTGATTTTGTGGTTTTCATTGTTTACCTCGCGCAGGTGACCTTCTTCGTTTGTTAATTATCCTATTGCGCTTCTCACTTTCCAACAGTTGTACGGACCCTTGAACCAACTAGGCACTATATATCGTTCTATTAACCAATCGTTGGTTGACACAGAGAAGTTGCTGAAGTTGTTAAACGAACCGACTGAAGTCAATGATATCCCCGACGCTCCTGATTTAATCGTAGAGAATGGAGAAATCGAGTTTGGTCCGTCTTTTGAGGTTTGTACCAGATCAGGGCTGATATTCGTCTCATAATCTGCAGATAATGTCAGTTTCTCTTACGACGATCGAACTACCGCCCTCAATGGTGTTTCGTTCAAAGTACCCAAAAATTCGTCTGTGGCACTTGTCGGCGAGTCTGGTTCAGGAAAATCCACGATTCTCCGTCTGCTATACCGCTTCTATGATCTTGGGGAAGGTCAAGGCCGAATTTTAATTGATGGCAAGGATATAAGGTTAGCGTCTCACAAATGCAGATTCTTTTCATATATGCTGAACAGCTCACTAGGGAGGTCACACAAAAGAGTCTTAGACATGCTATTGGTGTTGTACCCCAGGATTCCGTTCTTTTCAATACATCTATCAGATACAACATTGGTTATGGGAAATTTGGTTCATCGACAGAGGAGATTGAAGCTGCAGCTAAATCAGCTCAAATGCATGATCGGATCCTGAGCTTTCCTCAAGGTTATAATTTCCATCCATTCATAGTTCGCTTCTGACACGATCTACCTAGGCTACGAGACTGTGGTGGGAGAACGTGGCGTAAGACTTAGCGGCGGAGAAAAACAAAGAGTCGCTATCGCCAGAACATTACTCAAGAACCCTCCAATCTTGCTTTTGGACGAAGCTACTAGGTCAGCTGCTTGGTAGCAAATTCGTACTGAAGAATCGATCTCATAGTGAAATTTTTCGTTAGTGCTTTGGATACATCCACCGAGAAAGACATCCAAAAGGCTCTACAGAATCTTATGCTAGGTCGCTCCTCATTGTCAATTGCTCACCGATTGTCTGTGCGTGTTATGACTGTCAATAATCTCCTCTACTGAGTTCACTATTTTAGACTATTGCCAACGCCGATATGTAAGGGTTGTGGATCGAAAGCATCTATTGGTACTTACGTGAATCTATTATTTTAGTATTCTTGTGCTGAAGGATGGTCAAATTGTCGAGCAAGGAAGTCACAAGGAACTTCTTGCGTTGGATGGTGTATTCGCATCCATGTGGGCGGACCAGATCTCTGCATCTGACGATCCTGCGTTCTCAATCCACTCCGTAAAGCCTGAGGTTTCTGGCTACTCTGCTGGGCCTTCGGAATCTACGGAACAAGTTGTTCTGCCTCCTGAAGATGAAAACGTTGGCGCTTATGTGGAGGTACCTGCCCCTGAAATAGACCTGAAGGAGTCGGCAGTGGTGACAACAGAATCAAAGCCGGAACAGGAACCAGAGTCTATAGTTACGGAAGAACCCGCACCAACTGCACCTGAACAAGAAGCGGTACCCATTGCCAACCCTATTGCTTTCCCATCAGCTGAACCAGAAGAAGAGCCTACCGTTCCTCTCGGCGTTACATCTGAGCCCACTTCCCCGATCATAGCATTCCCAATTTCTGACGAGACTCAGTCCACCACTCGCACAACCCCAACCTCCCCCGTCCTAGCTGGAGTTACATTTGAGGCTACTAGTGGTTCCCCACGCAGCGGAACTCCTGACCCTGATGCTGAACCAAAGCGGAAACGAATTTCGTCACAAAATTTCCAGCGCTTGGCTCGCAGGATTTCGATATCGACTCGGCGTCAAGGCTCTGTTGCATCGATCATTCCTGGGATTCCTGGCCTGAAAAGGGACAGTTCTCCGCGAGTATCTGTCGATGATGGCGCAGCTTCCAGCAGCGCGCGCGGAGAAGGCAGTTTTCATGACAGTCCTGCTCCTAGCTTAGGTGAGGACTTGGATAAAACAAAGAAGAAGAAGAAGATCAGTAAGAAGGAGAAGAAGAAGACCACCTGAGTGCGCGTCTATCTGTCTTTTCATTGTTGAAAACGACACCCTTTAACGAACTGTCACGATTCCATGCCCGGCCATGCCCCTCGATGTTCATTGCATTATATTAATATGTACATCTCATCGTTTTCTCGTTACCGTTCATCGCTGAATGTCTGATTTGGTGTACGTACTTCATGTATCTTGTTAAACTTCATTCCTAGACAATTCCACGGTTTTTTATACTTAGTTGAACAAGACCAAGTCTGGTCAGCTGTGAGATCCTGTCTCGACGAAAAATCTGGTGGAAATCGAAGAAGCAGACTAGCACATGGATTTGATGAAACCTAATTTTGGGCTATATAGTTGTCGGAGTCTGGCGGTTTTGAATCTCCGACAGCGTCGTATAAAAGAGTGGTGATTCAGAGCACATAGCTTTTCAACTCGTCTTCCGTGTCCGCATTTTACCCGATTTTTCGATTCGAGTTTTTGTCTCGGTTTTTCGGTTTCGGTCTCTATCTCTCGTGTGTCAGGATCCTGGAATCGATACTATTCTATTAACGGAATGGCTAAAGTATACGTCGGGTCAGTTTTTTTACCTTACCGTATCATCATCGCGCGCCTCGCTCTCTGTGTAAATTTTACACCGCTCGCTTCTCTCGTATTCTCTCAACTGGTCTCGATTCCTCATACTGATAGTGAAACTTGTGTATAGCAATTTGAGCTGGAACACCAATGATGAAACGCTCCGTCAAGTCAGTGAAAAAAAATTATTTCAAGCGAGCTGGACTCGCTTGTGTACTTTTGTGTCGGTTTTTAATACTTTTCTCTTGTCATTCTAGGCTTTCAGTGAACATGGAACTGTGACCGATGTATGGATTTTTTGCTTCTTATGCTCGTAACCATGAGTGGCTGTATAAGATGGGACTGACTGATGTTCCGATTTTGTGTTTTGTTAGTCTATCGTCATGCGTGACCGGGACACTCAACGTTCTCGTGGTTTCGGTTTTGTAACCTTCAGCACAAGCCAAGAAGCTGAGGCAGCTATTGCCGCACTTCATGAGCAAGAATTGGATGGTCGTCTCATCAAAGTGAATATCGCTAAGGTTCGTGGAGGCGGAGGAGGCGGCGGAGGAGGTATGTCATCGTTTTCCTGAAAGTTAACTATCCGTTTTTTGATGATCATCGCATATAGGCTATGGGGGAGGATACAGTGGAGGTGGAGGTGGCGGCGGTTATGGTGGTTATCAAGGCGGTGGTGGTGGTTACCAAGGTGGTGGAGGTTACAACGGTAGTGGTGGTGGAGGATATAGCGGTGGAAGCGGAGGATATCAAGGTGGAGGATACAGCGGTGGTGGAGGCGGATACAGTGGTGGTGGAGGAGGCTACCAAAGTGGTTAGTTTTTTTTTGCGTGCTTCTGATTATAAAGCTGACGAGTAGTTCAGGGTACGGACAAGGCTCTGGATACTGATCCAGTTGCTGTCTTGTGGCCTTTGTTTCTTTTCATTCTTGAATCTTCCTTTCGCTTGTCGCTTGTAGCTTGCAAACCTGATATCACGATGTAGCTCCATTTGATGCCTCCAGCTCTTCTCCGTTGTCCTTCGTATACAAGCCTTCCTGCTTCCTTGTCGTTCCGATCCCTCATACTTTCCTGTCGCTCGTTGCTTGTCGTTTTCGTGCTGGTCCAAATTGTAGTCTATATCGGTCATGTACTATGTACTATATAACTATGTGGCTTTATCGTCGTCTCGACTATCTACATTTCAATGTGCTTTTGACATGTCAATCAGAGAATAAGGCCAGTTTATGTAATACAAGATGTCCAATGGGTTTTGTATAAGTGTTTAAACCCACATTGGAAAGACCCGAACTTGGGCCTGATTGACCAGCAGTGGTCAGCAGTCAGATAGTGTCCAAGCCCGCGGTTAGCGATATAAAACGAAGAGTCGGAAGACTAGGACGGTTGTAGAGAGTTGCAGAGTCACTTCATCAGCTCGGCAGCTTCAACTCGCCGAACTACACGTGCCCACAAAGTGTCACAAGGGTCACACAAACACAAACATCTTGTCTTTATTTTCATCACCCTCACCATGCCTAAAGACACCTCTCCTCCTCTTCCTACGGAGGAAAAGCAACCCAAGCGACCCCCAAATGCTTGGATTCTCTTTCGCTCAGACATGAACCGAGCTCTGAAGTTGAAGTACCCCAAGGCCACACAGTCTGTACTATCGAAACAAATTTCTGATCTCTGGGCCAGCGCGATACCAGAAGTCAGAGCAGAATATGAGCGAAGAGCAGAGGCGGCTAAGGTTGCTCACCATCTCAAATATCCAAACTACAAGTTTAATCCGAGGAAGAAGGAGGAGATCGCCCGTGAGAAGCAGGCCAAGCTCCAAGCCAAGGAAGAGAGGGCGAAGCGTAATAGCGCGCGCAATGCTCAACGTGCGCCTGTAGATCACTCTCAGCTTCCCCAGATACCATCTCTCTACCCAACTCTCGCCGATTTTGGCCCCAACGGTCCTTCACCGCCAGTTTCCGCTGCTGGATCGCCTCAGGACTTGAGTAGTCGGGAAGCATCTCCCGCTTGGCTTCCTCCTTCATCTCTTACCCTCCCCTCCCCGAGCTTCGCCGTCCCTTCTCCATTCGAGCCACAGGAGGTATTCTCTCCGTCGACCGCCCCTGATATGTCACTCGCTGGCCCGAGCAACTGGGGGAGCCCGTCGGCCCCATTCCATGCACCAGAAGCTTCTGAAGCATCCCAATACAACGTAAGTGATTTTATGTACGCGATCACTGAGCGAAATTCAACCTTTTCTCTAGGCGTTGCTACAGTTTGACTTTGCTTCTTCTCACCCTCCCGTGGATTCATCTTTCCAGCAGCAGCCCATGATTGACGCTTACTCCCAAGGATCAGCGCCTAACATGGGAGTAGCGCTAATGGGCACAGGAGATTCGTCTATCTTTCACGTAGACCCCTTTGATAATGGAATCATTGACGGCCAGCAAAATCTAGACCTCAACATTGGCGTGGGCGATTTGAACGGCCTTTTCGGCACGACTCCATGGGATTTCAACCAGACCATTGACCAGGGTCAATTCTCAGGAAATATAGACTTTGAAGCTCTGTTCTCCTCCTTGGATGATCCATCTTTCAGCCAGCAGAATTCTTCCTACCTGACGGGCAATGAAACCCAGTCACAGAACTCTCCTTATGAGAACAACAATCCTGGGCCTTCATCAGGCTCTTATAGCTCTTCTTTTGCCTCGATTCCTTTGGAATCGGCGGGTATGACTATCCAGCCTTCTGCACTAGCCAGCTCCTCGTCTCTGACCTTCGAGCAAGGATCGGCTAACACGAGTTCCTACGCACCTCCCTCAGGTGCGGTTTACGCTGGCAATCGCCGCGTCGGAGGCAACTGGGCTCAGTACGGTCTTCCTTCAGATGAACATTCTCAACCTTACGCCCTACCTGCCGCCGCTCAGTAGAGATCACATGGACAGTTTCATTGCCTTCCTTGTATTATTTTATTGGTCCTTTCGCATTATCTTTATGCTTTCGACTTGCTTTCCGTCACATCTCTGCCATCATTCTATCATATTTCCTCATCATTGTTATTGCATCGAATGGATCTTCCTGGATCTTAACACGAATCTGATAAAACCTATGCTTTCTCTTTTTCCTTGCTATTACTCTGTGTTATCTTATTGCTAATTGTTTTTGCTTTTCCAGTTTACAGTGCTACCCTTTTTTTCCTCTTCTCGCCGAAAATATCGCGTCTGCGATTCTCCTTGTTATCCGCGTCTCGAATTCGTTTCTTCGCGTTTTGTGTTACACATCATCCACGTCTTGCTGTTGCTGTTAGTCGACCTCGCTTTTCATCCTTTATCTTTGCTTTATTCATGCTACCCAAGTCATTGCTTCTGCCTAGTTAAATGTGATTTGAATTTGTACATATCGATATCGTTGATGTGCACTGTACTGTCTTCTGTGTCCCATTGAATAGATCTAATGCAAGTGCTTAAGCTTTACGCGTCACGTCAAGAGACCGCGATGTGTGTGCCTGTTTACTGACAATCGGTTTTAATCCGGGCCGGATATTTATCTGCACGCCTCTAGATCTGTTCGGAACTTGGACGTTGGGGAATGCTTTTCCCGTCTCAAGATGGCACTATCTCCTCTCTTGCTGCATTGAGCAGAAATGCCTCAGTTATCTCCTCATCCTCCAGTTCAGACTCAGTCGTTGAAGGCGACCTTAGACTTCTAGCAACTCCTGTTCGTCCGCGGCCTTTGCGTACCTTTTCATCTCCTCGCTCTGCAAGTCCCTCTAGTCCAGTCACCAGAACACCGAGACCGCCTTCCTATCTTACCAAGGAATTAGGACTTGCCGATGATCTCCCGAAGAGTCGGGCAGCATCCAAAGTGAGATCAAAGTCCACAGTCAGAAATGAGCTCTCCATCGACGACTTCGATGTTGGAGAGACCCTCGGCGAGGGTTCGTACTCGACAGTGAGGTTCTATCTGTAATCGACCAATATTTCTCTCTAAATCAAGAGCTTCCTCAGGTTCTCGAAGCAACGTTGCGGAAAACCGGGAAGAAATATGCGATCAAGGTTTTGGACAAAACCCACCTGGCCAGGAAGAACAAAACCTTCACAGTAAAGATTGAGCGACTTGCACTTATTCGACTAGGCCGCACACATCCAGGTATAATATCACTCTATTGGACGTTCCAGGACGAATACAGTCTCTGTGAGTTTATGTAGAAGTTCATTTTTCGATTGCGGTGTATTGATAGTATGCCAGATTTCGTGCTCGACTTGGCTCCAAATGGTGAGATGCAATCGTTGATATCACGAATGGGGTCTCTGTCCCTACTTTGTTCGAGATATTACGCTGCCCAGATAGTCGATGCGCTAGAGTACATGCATTCTAAAGGTGTCATCCACAGGTCCGTTCCGCAATTCGAAACTATCATATCTCCTAATAAAGATGATGACTTATATCTAGAGACCTGAAACCCGAGAATCTCCTCTTGGATGCCTCGTATCGATTGAAGATTGCAGACTTTGGTACTGCCAAAATACTCAATGCAGATGGTCAGTCCATGGTCTTGTCCATGTTGGAAGATGTCGGCTAATTTTATAATCCCAGTCGAAACTGAGCGTTTCGTTGGCACTGCACAGTACATTGCCCCAGAGTTGGTCGTTGCTAACGAGTCAAGCGAAAGGTTTTCATCGCATCTGATTGCACCCCAGACACAAAACTAACTTACTTTATACAGCTCAGACCTATGGGCTTTAGGATGTGTTCTGTACCAGATGATATCTGGCCGGTTCGCGTTTTCCGCCCTTTCAGAGTACCTCACGCTCCAGAAGGTTAAGCAGGTCGAGTACACATTCCCCGAAGGATTTGATAACAATGCCAAAGATTTGGTTCAGAAGCTTTTGGTGAGCTTTACTGCTTTCGTTCCGACGAATCAAAATCATTCTTGTCAGGTTCGCGAGCCCACTGACAGACTTGGAGCCGGAGAGCCGAGTTCCTCTTTGGGCATGTCAGCTCTTCGTTCCCATCCATTCTTTGAGAGTACCATTTGGGCCACGCTCTGGACCGAACCAGCTCCCCCAATTGTAGCTGGCCTTGTTCAACGCGAGTATCCTCTTGATCAAGGCCAAGACAAGAATTGGCAAGATGTGGGTGCGACTTGGGACGCGTTGGTCATGGATGATGATGTCAGCCCAGTTGGGGATGATATAGACTGGGCTGATGATGCAGAAGGCTCTTCGCTCCTTCTGAGGCAGCATCAATGTGATACATCAATGTCGCCTGTAGATATCTACTTGGTTTCCCAAGTGATCCCGGGAGACTTAGATGAAGAACATCGAGGGCTTTCCGGTTCTGCTGACAGTACAGCTGCGATGCCCATTACTATACCTTCGTCCGTCGCTCGTACAGAATCTCCACCATCTGCTTCTCCGGAAAGTTCATCCGACGGTGACGGATCTGTCGAGAGGGTAGCTGCTGGTTTACAAACCATGAAACCTTTCAGGTTCACTTCGGACTACAATGAAATTGCTGTAGAGCGTGAACGGGGAAGAAGTCAGGCTCCAACACCTATTCAGGGAAATACATCATCGACGATTGAATTGTATGCTTGCAATCATCTGTTTCCTGCAATCTTATTTATCATTTCTTGTAGACCCTTGGCACTGAACCCAGAACCCAATGAAGTGGTTATTTACCGTTCAATAGTGGAAGATCACTCTGCTCGTCGACGTGCAAATCGCCTTTTAAAACCCATCCCGGGAGCACAAATCAAACCCAAGGCTAGAGAATTAATTTTGACCAACTATCGTTTGATCTGTGTGAAAGCGAAGACACCACCTTCATATGCCCCTGTAAAACTGGAGCTTTTTTTGAAGGCGGCGTATGATAGAGAAAAGGAAAAGAAAAAGGATGGCAAAGAAATTAAGGGTATACTGGAGTCGGCGGATCTCAAAGGAGGGCGTGATTTCATTGTGATTTCAGTAGGTCCTTCTCTCTTCAACACAACAATGTTTTGACCGTTTCACTTCTTTTTAGTCAATTAAAACATTTCATTATACCGTGCAGGATGCGTCAACTGCTTCTGTGTTTGTACAGAGAATTAACGAAGCCAAGTCTTCTTCAAACTACCCATCATGATACGGGATGTACATATAAGTATCATAAGTAATTTGGGTTAATAAGATGGTTCCACATACATTTGTAGACTACATTTACGTATTCCACGGACAAAGTATCTTGCATATCTGGTGTATATGAGCTTGCTGAATTATGGAATAATCCAGATTTAACAGACACAATGACTTTTGAATCAACCTGGTGGAAGGAGACTGGCATCAACAGCACCTCCTCCATCTGTTGATGCCGCATCTTCCACGGATGCCCCAGAAATTGGCGTCCGAGGCATGGCCATGACACCTGATACAAATTAGATAGGATCGCAAACAAAAATAAGATATTTACCTGTTCTCGCAGCTTCAAGAATACCAAAAGGCCTAAGCAAACCCAGGAACGCTTCGACACGGTTCGTCTTTGCGGTAAGTTCGACGATGACACTATTTTCACTAACATCCACGATTTTGCCTCCAAATTGATTGGCAAGAGTGGAGATAGAATGAAGGTGCTGGTGTTTTAATCTCAGGGCTTGCGATGGAGTGAGTGCAGTAGATATACTCTCGCGTAATTCGGCCTCAACAGCTTCCGGATGCACACCTAATTCGAAGTTGTGTGCAAGAATCTGTTCACGTTCCATTTTTTCCTCGGGTGTAAGTTGCGAGCTTGGAGAATGTGTCGGTCCACCAACGAGTTGGTCCTCGAGGTATTCAGGCCCAAGGATAGAAACTTTGACGAGCAGTAACTCACGCGCAATGGTACGCGTATCCGTATAATCGAGGACAGCCCAAACAGGAACCTGTAACTTCCATTAGTGCTGGACTTGAGAGAATAGCACAGGTAGGTCTTACTAAATCCTCGAGCTGCCTCCGAACCTGTTCAACAACACCATCCTGTCCACTCAAGACAATACACATTCTACTCAGATCGCGAATTTCGGTAGAACACACGACGAGGGAATCAATGTTGAAGCCTCTGCCAGCAAGAATCCCAGAAACACGAGAGAGCACTCCAGGCTCGTTTTGAACGAGACAGTTAAGTACATGCCTGAAGGATTAAATTTAGTATACCACATAGAAAATGTCAAAACGGAACGAGTCACTTCTTGAATGGTTGCAAGCTGGGAGGAGGGGTATTGTAAAGGATGTTCGTGACAGCTTCCTCAGCTGATCTTGACCGAGGGAGATCCATGGCAGGAAGAGGCGGAGGACGCGTCCTCTGTGTTCGTTTGTAGTCTAACGCAGAAGTCGAGTCATCGACGTCTTTTGGAGGTTGAGGAATCTTGTCAGCTCGGAGGACAGCAGACCACGTTAACTGACGGGCGAAAGCCCTTGATGATGTGCGGGCTCTGGAAAGTAAGACGGCGCTCGCCATGGGAGAAACCAAATTCAGGAGAAAGTGAAATTTTATAATTAGAGGAAAGTTATAATGCTGACTAAGGACATTTTCTAAGGGGAAGCGTTATACAGAACTGTTCGCGCTAATGATATATATTCCTCTGCCTCTTTGGGGTCTCTGCCTTCAGTTTCTGCCATCTTTTCCCAATGGGCAAGGCCGCCTTCAATCAAGGTTCTGGCTTCCTCTTCAGAATGTTCATCCACCCATCGAACGTATTCAGCCTCCTGCCAACCGTGAAGACTATGTGGTAGAGGTAATGGGGATCGTACAAGGATATGATGAAGGACTATCAGCGGTGGTACGCCAGATGTATACACTGGATTAGCCAACTGCCTATTTTCCAAAAATAGTAACGGCCTAAGGGCGGATCAGTCGTGACAGTGCGTGTAAAACATGCCGCCTACCTCATTGCTCGTAATAGACGATATTCGTCGCCCAGGCTTTCAAGGTTTCCACCACGCTTTTGGCTTTGAGAGCCCTCGACCATAAACACACTCAAGGCAAATTCCAGCTCCGTCATATCAGTGGTCAGTTGCAGCTTCCCGCTCTCTCCAAGAGGCTGCGCGATGGACACATGCAATACGAATGTTCGCAACACGAACTTGACGATAGACATAACCCTACATCGCTAATCAGATCGCGCAAAGAGACGTAGATGAACACATGGTACCATTTGTGATTGTCTCCTTCAACCAGGAATCTGCTCAAAACTTCCATCTTAATGTAAGAAAGCTTGTCAACCAGGTCTTTCATGTAAAAGCTGGGACCACCCATGCCTGCAGCTCTATCACTAGATTTGCCAAAGTCATTCCGATGCAGACGAGCAATGATTGCGCCCAGTTCACGGCGGATAGCAGTCAGCAATGGATCAATGATATGTTCATATGTAGCATGTATTTTCTTTTAGAATATTATTGAACCTTGGGAACTATAATGAAGTGAAAGACCTACATCAATATTGGGACTGATTACCTGAAATAGTGCATCGCTGTATTCCTCACTGAGCTTCACAAGACGTGAGTGGCAGTGATAAAGACATGTTGCCACAGACGAGTTAATTACTTGTGCAGGAGTCGGAGATGGACCGGAGAGTAGGACGGCCGAACGGTCCTTCACGATCTGGAACCGAAGGTGTTAGGTCAGGATTTGTTTGTGCAAAAAGGATGCACGGACCAGATAATCCGCTCTGGAGATCATTGTATTCAAACCAGAAACGACAGTCTTGGCAACAGCACGGACGAAAAGGGGATCAAATCTCGCTGAGTCTAATTCGTTAGTCACTGTGCGAGCAATATTCACACCATCGTTGGAACTTGGCGACGCTCGTGCGCCATTACTTGGAAATGCTTGAGCAATTGCCTCATTGAGTTTGCTTGCAGAACGAGACAAATACAACGTTTCAAAATGGGTCAATGAACGAAGAACAAGAACGGTCTCAGGGCTATCGAAGAATCAACAACGCTCTAGCGACATCCAAGAGAACTGCAAGTACGTACCTCTGATTGGTGGGACTATATATCGTGTCGGTATGGACTGCAATTTTGGCAAAAAACTCGTGGAAGAGTCGCAACAGCTTTGGATACCCGGTGCTTAAAGTTTGCTGAATGAAGCTGGATCCTTGAAAAAAGCTATCATTTGCATGGCCGAACTGACAGCGGAAATGCATCTCCCACCTCTGGCGGAATCACGACCGTGCTTCTCTAAAGCGCGGCTCAGTGCCGTCCAGAAGGTCGCGCTGGGTTTATTTTCAAGGATCTGGAAAACGCCGGTATAAGACGTGTGAAAAATCCGAAAGAAATAGGTAGCATACCGTCATTGCTTCGTCCAGGAATACAGTTTGAGAAACAGTATCCCGTTTCAGCTTTAAAACTTTTTCAAGCGTGTAAACCTGACGATTAAGATATCTCGTTAGAAGCATGAAAATAGCAACATTCAAGCAGACACAAAGAACTTCTACAAGCATCCGCGCTTCGATCGCAAAATCGGTAATATGTATGTAGCGGCGATAGAGAGAATATCATCCATACCTTAATGCAACAATCGGCCATCTCCTCGGTCATTTTTTCTAATCGTATCCATAGAGCTGCAGTCCATTGAGAAGCTGTGATATTGGTAGGTTCAGTGCGAACTCGCGACTTGTACTGTTGCCCAGTTGAGGTCCCAGGATTGGGACTAGCAATTCCATCTGCACATTGGTAATTAATATATGACCGCAGCGGAGAGTAGGGGCATGAGGGATCGAAGAACAAAAAACAGAATGCTAGCCTTTATTGGCATCCTTTGAGATGGCGGTGAGATCGAATGCCCGTTTAATGCGATCTTCGACGTCCTGGGAAAGTTCTACCATGAGGGCTTGAACCTGATTCGGGAGAACCCCCAAATTATAAGCTGTTTGCAAGGATGACGCGAGAAGTGATTGATTCTACACTGCGACCATAAGCATGGTTTGACAAAAGAAGAGAAACAGATACCCACAAGGGTACTAAGACCAGTGATTACCATATTCTCCATTTCATTCGTGACTGTGATTTTAGCATCTTCAATGAAAGGTATACGCGATGCAATGGCGTTTATTGATCGAAGATTGAAGGACCCCTTATTGCCGGCTTCAACGATTAGACCTGCTGCGATCCCAGAGCCTGCAGTTCCAGGACCATCTATTAGGGTGACTAGACAAATGTCGGACCTGTGAGTGTGACTTGCTTCGAATGCAGCATCACTCACCTAGCTCGGCAATACTCAAAGCTGCTTTGGCTATGGTCCGATCCCTGTCATCTCCAGTGTCCCCCAAGATGCCTGTACCTGAAGTCGAAGTAGAGGAACTCATCTGAGCCGCTGTTTCGGAAGGTTTGGGGTCTGAAAAATCATTGATCCTGTTGAGGCCGTCCATTTCAGCCATCTGACCTTCAAGCCGGCGCGCTAAGATAACAAATCTGGACGTCCGTCGCAATATATCGGACGCTTGTTGAAATTTTTGTAGTCGAGAAAGAGAAATATGGAGTGAATGATATGGAACACTTATTTTGCAACGGAGCCTATTGCAAGCAATGTAGCACAAATGAGACTAAACGCAGGGAAACATACTTTTCGACCAAAGAATCCAGATCACTAAGATCGCTCTTGACCGAAGTGAGCGAGCCAGAAAGTTGATTCACGTTCGCTGCCTGGGAAAGCAGGTCCTCATGGTGCATAGTAACCTATGAAGCATGAGTTGATGGTACAAAACCAGTCTCCAAAGACATCATACGAACGAGAGATTTGATTTGTTTCGAGACATCTTCAATTCCAAGAGATAGTTTGGAAATGGCTAGGGAAATGTCGTCTTTTGCTGATGCCTCTGGCGCAGACAGTTTGCTGGCCTGCTTGCCTGTACTTGATGTCTTTGAATCGCTGGAAGGAAGGTATGGATCTCCGGAAAGGGTTGCATTGGCATATTCGTTGGCATCGAAAGCCGAAGACGCGAACAAAGAGTAGTCTAGCAAGGTCGTAAAAATGAACGAGATAAAAAAACAGAATACATACCTGATTGAGTCATCTGGCTCATGGACATGTCTGTCAATTAGGTTTTACCTTCTCAACAGGTTCTGGGATTGTTCATTCTATGTATGTAGCAAGAGCATGCAGTACGCGGAAGATTTACGGTGATCGAGGCGAAGAGCACGTGGCTTTACGTACAGGGAATTTCCGCCGACCCATGAACTTTGGTCCCTGAATACTGAATCCTAAATCCTGACTTTGACATCGACCGGCTGGGGTTCTTGGTCATTTCACAACAACGAATGTAGTCCTGCCCCGACTACATCATCGTAACCTCTGTTCAGCCTGCTTCTTCCTTAAACCAATGGCAAGCTCAAGCTCACAGTCTCCCGTCTCTCCTGTCGAAGATCAGCACGGTGAACACATTCCCGTTCGCACCAAAAGACGTTATGGTGCATCTTGTGAACTGTGCAGACGACGCAAGGTGAGGGCCGGCTTCCTTCAGTATATTTCCAGTGCGCTGGGAAACGGATGTGTGAAAGGGCTCGAGGGTTTCTAGTGCGCCTGACGATAGCTTTTGGATTCCACTATAATGTCGCTGTCAAGTTGAATCCAAAAGCTTGTGTCATCGGCTCAAAGTAACTTGACTAACTTGACTTTAAAAGTCAAAGCTCGTTCAGTCGTTTCCTTCAATTTCTGGTCCACTGAAAATTTATCTTTGGTTACGTTTACTGAAATGAAAACCTAACAGCGCAAGTGTCCAGGAAAGAATGGTTTTTATCTCCATCTCAGAATATTGCAATGACTTTTGAGGTTGTTTTAGGCCGCGATTCCAATGGGAACAGCCTCTGCACTCATTGTGGTGAGGTCGGCGTGAAATGTGTTTTCCCTCCGTTTGTCGCGCTCTTCTCCGCCGCTATTGGATGAGCTAACTTCCTCTCGATAGCAATGGATCTTTTCTCCGAGCCAGGAAAGCGGTCGCTACAACAAACTCGAGCCCAGCGCTGCCGGAGGTAGATACGCTACGCGCGTATGTGATTTTGTCTTATCTGTGTTAAACAACGTCTAATTTCTTACCAGCTATATACGACACTTGGCCGACGCAAGTGACAGTGAAAGAGAGCGTATGCTCAATCAGTGGATCGACGATCATGGATCATCAGGTTCCAAGGATGCCGTACGAAAGTTACCGCACAAGCTCAGTGGCCGCTCATCAAGAACGGACGGTGTTGACTTTGACGAAGATGAGGACGACGAGCCCCAATTATCCCTACTGAGAGACGCTCCAAGTAGAGGCCATAGATCGTTCAAGAAACCCAAATTATGGCCAGATAATAGTCAGAACACAAATCTACAAGGTGACCTTGAAGAAGAAGATGGACAATCGGTTTGAACAGTCGCTTAGAACGCTTGATTAGACCTAACTTATCTTCCAGGCGGAAAAATCGTTGCAGCCGGAGTCTGCCCTTCGTCTGTCGTTAAAGCCGGCGACTCCTGATGACTCAGAAACAACTGGAGAGGATGAGCTGTCAGTAGATCGGAGCATTCAATCGACAACAACTCTTCAAGCCAATATATCTGCATGGGTTGATCGTTGGATCGGAAATTCATTTCCTACTGGTGTCACTGCCGAAGGCCGTCAGCATCCGCTATTCCTGTTTTTATTTCTTTCGAAACTAATCTATTAATCATAGCTAATCCTGCGGACCGTAAATTGCTTTTTGACAATTATTTTTGGTGTGTTTTGACTAGTTGAAACCTCCCACGTCTAACGGGATGTAACTTCTCAGCTGGCAAGGTCCACGAAATGGAATAGTGCACCGAGCAATATTCGAACGTGAGTGTCACTTTCGATACGGGCATACGTCCGATACTCATCGTGATTCTAGGTGCCCTTGAAGAAAATGACTCCAAGTACTACTCTCCCTTCTTACTCGCAAGTCCTTTCTCGTGCAAATACGACAATGTATTGATGTTTATTGTCCACTCACCAAGTATGCTATATGCGCTCACACGGTCAGGCACATTCCTATACTTCGAGACCGAGTCCATGAATATGCGGTAAGTTTGCGTTGCGTTTTTTGCATGTCTTGATCATATTCATGATTGCCAACGTCAACAGGCGAAAGCGCATTATCTGCTGGCCGCTGAATTAAGCCGACCCAGCAGTATTCCGACTGTCCAAGGCAAGCTCGTAATGATGAACCGTTGCTGGGGCATTACTCAAGTATTCAACAGGTTTGATGTTACTGGCGTCTCATGACGCTGCTCGAGGTATGTATGCCCAAGCATGGAACCTGAGCTCAACAGCGATTGCGATGATGATGGGTTAGTAGTTTCGATCTCATATTCTTGTTTCTTCCTACCGTCAAACAGATCTGGGATGCCATTTGGACAAAGCTCCATCTACCTCCATCGATCGCAACGACCCTCAACGTGAACATCGTATCTTTATTCAGCGACAAATGAGGTCTAGAGTGTTCTGGTCCGCCTTCATATGGGACAAGTTTGTGCTTCCTTTGCTTCACAGATCTTCGTGTACTCAAACTTTTTAGACTCATATCTTTAGCCTTGAACCGCACCCCTCTACTGAACTCAGAAGAACATGCACCTCCCTTCCCTGGTTAGTCTTTAGTCCTAACAATCACAGGTCAAGATCTAAAGACATTCATAATTTCTCTTCAGAACCGACATCTAGCTCGGATTTGTGGATCCCTGTTCTGTGTGCGGATTCGCCCCCTTCCCTGTTCTCCTATGCGCCACAACCAAGTCATGAAATGAAATGCTTCTATGAGTAGGCCATTTCCTGATCATGAGTGACTCCATCTAACCGCTTTTTACTCAGGACGTGTAGAGCTAATCAGGTAATGTTGCTCGATCATTTCCCTAGCTCAAAACAAGTCTTTTACTCCTTACAGTTTTTGGACCAAATTCACCGACATTTGTATCGTACCCAAAAGTTGCGCTCTACACAGACTCGGGAGTTTGTTGCAGATATGCGAGAAAGAATGCTTCAATGGCAGGAGGAGGCGTGCCCTGAGGTGATGCTGGATCTCAGGGCCCCATTGGAAGTTTCTCCGCCCCCACACATTATGCAACTGAAGTCAGTTCTGCCTTTAGTGACTGCTTTCATTCTGCTGATCTCATACAGCCTTTTGGTCCGGCTCATGTGGATCTTGTTGTATCGTCCCTTCTTTCAGTCTTCTGCTGGTTTGGATCAGTCCCCTTCCGTGCTAGAAGCTATCCCTACGTGCGAGCGTGCCGCCATCGAAATCAACCACATCTTCACAATGTATGACCGATACTATCCTTTGAGCCGTGCCTCTTACATCGTCATATTTGCTGGATTTTTACAAGCGACAGTGGATCTTGCCTTGGCGGATCGAGAAAAGTCTGTTTCCGGACCCACTCTTTCACGCCTCGCTTTGGCTGGAAGAGTATTATCTGGTGGATCAGCAAACATCCCCGGTATGCATTCATCCGTCAGATCCCTTCAGACCCATCTTCATGCCACCCTTTCTCGGTGGACTCGCAAGGGATCAGAACAGCTGAATGCGCGCGCAACGAGTACAACATCGTCTTGTTTGGCCTCTTCCCGTGGACCGTCAAAAGACTCGCGGAATATTTCGTGTTCGCCGTCATTATCAAATCAGCGATCCAGTGCAACCCCTCCGGACGCCCTGTCTGATGGTTCCACGATAGCTAGCTTCTCAATGTCTCCCATTTCCAATATACCTTCAACCCACGAGCTGGAGGACAGCAGTGTTAACTCGCTACCCTCCCATTATAGCATGCTCCCGCATCAACACACTTCATTGTCCATTTCTCCTAGACATTACTCTCCGTCAGAAGTTACGCCCTACCCTAATGTGGACATCCTTCCAAAAGAATCTCTTAGACCCGATTTTCAGATGGATTCTGTGTATCAGGATGCACCGAACTCATATATACCTCAGACACCCGATCAGGAGGTTGTTGATTACATGATAGGTTCTCAACTTTCTCATTATGAAAGTGGATGCAACGCTTGGTTCTGGCCTGGAGATGGTGGAGAAAGTGCTTACAATGTCAATGGATCCATGTTGCAAAATTCTCATATTGCAAGCGTATGAATTTCAATCCTCGGTGTTTAGTCGTTATTTCTATTCCCGCTATCGTTGTACTGTGTCCTATCTTCTCGCATTTGTCGCCGCCGCTGTCGTCGTTATTTTGTATCACCTGCGCTCTGGACTTCCTTCAATTGATGTCGTTTTTTCTTATTCATTCCTAGGTGTATACATACATACAGTAACTATGTAGTTATCGTGACATACATACCACTCTTAAATGTGCTCGAATGAGCAATGGTGTATTCTGGCGTACTCCACGCAACCCGTCTCAATTATCCTGAGACCTTCCTGAGACAATCGACGAGTTCGCATGGTTTGGAAGCTTTACGCATATGTAAAAGAACAGAGGCCATGGGGCGTTGAAAGATTCTACCGTATTTACAACAAATGTAATTGACTCGAAGACTGTAAGACTTGGGCCAATGTGAAACTTACAAGTTTAGCATTAATCTGCAAATCTATAGTAAGTGCAGTGCCAAGAGGGTCAGGTTTAATCATAAAAAACCTTTGAAAAATTGCTTGATAGAGGAAAGAGCTTAAACCTCGTTCAAAAATTTCGATTGATAGTTAGCCATCGCTTCGATGGGCGAAAAGAAGTTGGCTAATCTTCATACGGTAGTATACGGTATCATAAGGACTGTTCGTAAATTCTTAGATTTTATGTATATTTGTCGTCCTGAACATGCGTAAAACTCATTCCACCGTAGCCTATCGTTACTTTGCGTTACACATTTCGTCCGCAACCTGGACGAGATAATCCCACTTGTGATCTTTCTCAATGGAGATGGATCCATCGAAATTGAGCACCTTCTGCTGGTCCCAAGCACGAGTACCATAGTCAAACGGGCGCCCATGGACAAAGTCGACCTGAAAGCAAGCGTTGAGAGACGTTCTTGGAACTATCGAGTTTGCATACCAGATCCCTAATCCATGTCTTCATCGTTGCCTCTTCTTCTGGGGTCGGTCCATGCAGGACAGAGTAATTCCAAATGGGCTTATCGAATGCATGCCCGACGCCAAACTCTTTCGGGGCTGCCCTCTGAACGAAAGAAGGCCGCCAATTGATCATATAACGATGCACGGAAGAGAGTGGTACACCTCCATCACGAAGTTGTCGTACGAGAAGTCTTGAGGGTGCACGGACTTGGCCATCCGAGACTGCAGCAGGCGTTTGGCTCCAGACTATGTGACAAAAAGTGTAGACTTACCTATGTCTCCGTAAACTTTCTTCCAAGGATCGATGTTGATATCAGGGTCTGGATGTGCGCCATCCGCTTTGATTTTGCGATTGACATAGGCATCCACCATCATTCTTGTAACTGCGGGCGAATAATAGTTTCCTACTTCCTTGTAGAGTGTGTCGAGATCATTAGGTGGATTAGTCTGTCTATAAAGTGTCTCCTGTTTTCGGCGTCAGTATTCGAGGGGACTATGAACTCTTTTTATTTTAACGGACCTCGTCGCGGACCTCGCCGATCAGCAACGACATCCCCCGTCTCTTGAACTCTGCCGCAAAATCGCCATTTAGATATCGGGCAAACAAGTCCATAGGGAAGAAATGCCCATCTCGAATGGGACGGAAGGTGTGATTATCGAATGCCATGATCTTATCAACAAGCTCAAGAGCGGGTTTCGATCGCAGGCATTCAAGCTTTTCTGAACCGCTCAAAGACAAAGGAATCGCGAATGCTGTCAAAAGCTCGTCAAATTGCGGCTGAACCTCTTCTACAGTTTTGGGATCTGCGGGGATCGCATTTGAATACCTGAAAAAAAGAGGGAAATCTGTTTCTGTCGAATAGATCTTATTTTTAGGAGTGGGTCTTACATTACAAGGCGTCGGTAGAGAGCCCGTTCTTCGGGATGGAGCAGAAAATCATGGGAAGCAAGGGCATGCGTGCTGTATGCACCCGCACTCCGTCCGGAGAGGGTTAATTCCTGGGCATTACCACCAAAGTGATGAACATGTTCGTGAGTCCATAACAGAGCAGCACGCTGGTCCCATAAACCATAATTTCCAAACGCATATTCGCCGAGCGTCGCGGCCTCTTCCGCAAGCTCGTTTGAGGCCAAGAAGCCGAACACGGAGAGCCGGTATGCAGCGGCTATAAAAACACATTGGAGACCACCTCCAGTCGCTGATATAAGCTCGGTAGGGTCCATGTTCGGATCGACTGAGGGGTCTCCCACTTGGAGCCAGCCGCCTGTTCGATTGAAAATAGATTAGAATTGAGAAGGACGACAGTACAAGGGACATACCATGAAACCACAGCATCACAGGCCAACCTTGTTCAGGAGGAGTCCCGGAGGGAGTCCAGATATTTAAAGTCAGACAGTCCTCGTCATATTTTGAGAAGGCGTGGTTTCCAAGCTTGGTGTAATTTGGCTGTGGACATATCGACCCGAATCTTGTACAGTCTCGTGGTGTGCCATTGGGACTATAAGAGTAGCCAGATGGTAGCTTTCGAGGTTTTCTCCAACGATATTGACCTGTGGGAGGAAGGACATACGGTACGCTCAGAAAACGTCTGGCAAGAGGCCCGTTTGTTTCTGCCCGAGATAGAACTAAGCCTTCGATGTCGCCTAGGTCGCCGACTCGAAGGACACAGTTCTCAGTCTTATAAGCACTCAAAACGTTGCCCATGGGAAATGCGAAAGAGAGGGAAGGGAAGAAACTCTACAGGTAACTGGAATGTCCATGCTGAAGAATTTATCTATTTGGAAAACCGTCAAGAACCCGTTATGTGCTGAGGCAACAACTTGCCACAAGGAAAGAGACTTTGCCCGGAGGGTTTTTCGGTATCTGCGGATATTTTTGGTACCAAGGCGCCGAGGAACGGTGGTCGTTCGTTAGAAGCTAAGATTATTGTAAGAACTGCCTTCTTCAAGCATTTTTTGTGTAGTTACATAGTGGATCATGGACTGTGATGCATCGATGATGAGTGACGTGATGAGTTCTCGCCCATAGGGGTCTAGTAGTTGGCGCTGTCCGGCAGGCCAGTATTATTTTCAGCTTGTTTAAGTACTAACTTATGTCCTGACTATATCTCAGTCTAAGGTGCGGGGTACATATTCATCCTTGGTTTTGGGTCAGCACGGTATGCTGTTATAGTGGACCTTGTAATCTGAGAGTGTGTGAGTAGTCCTTAGTAGTACAATTCCCTCCAGAAACTGACGGGAAGCAGCGTTTTGATTAGGGAACATAGGATGTATGCATGATATAATTCCACAGATGGTTAACATTGACCGTGCGCGAAAGCTGGCATAAAATATTGAACATGACGGAGAGATACGAAGATACTGGAAGACAAGAATTCCATCGATACCGCGGAAATCCGGGTGGCGGAAAAATAGATAGACCTTTCTTGAAGAAAGAGAATGAATGCTACGCAGAATAGCGTAGATTTTGAAGATAAGAAATACCCGCAGAAAAAGGTCTGGAAAAGATACATATATAACCCGTACTTGAGTACGTGTAAACACATACCTGTGTCGAAAACACCGAGTCTTCGCTCATTTAGCCGATCTTTAACTTTATATGCGCGGATCCCAGCTACATTAATGCAACAGGTATCAAATGCAATTCCATACACTCCGTAGAGGAATGTGTGTATCGCAGATTCAGAGCGGAAGTGAGCTGATGCCGACTTTGGAGCCTTCAAAGCTGGGAAGTGAAAAGCAGAGGGGCAGTCACAACAATGTTAGTTTACTCGTCTGCGGCACGAGCAAAGGCTAGGGGCGGCTCTCTAGGTACCGCCGGCAAAAAAAAACTCGAATTCCCTAGGCAGGAAGAGAAGAGGAAGAGCAACCCAGTGATACCGACGAAGCGCCGGCATGGGCGCTTCCCTAGGATATATGTGACGTCGGAACTCCACCTTTAGCCGGTGCATCCTCTTACCACAACCACCGTCTTACATTACTATAGAGAATGCCTTCCTCTTACAGTCTCTATCGCGAACGACCATCTTGGGGCACTAATCAAGTGCGTGTCTTTACAATTTATTGCGCTATTTTTTTCTGGATGAACTTTTTCTGGGAAACTCGAATTCGCGCGACAGCTTTCACCGGCTTTCACAATAGTCTTGTTTAATTTGCTTCGTTCTTCATTGATTGAGCCAGTGAAAGCGTCGTTTCCTTAGAGATCTTCACCTAGAGGAATGCGTTATTCTTGGTGTACTTGCGCTGACTGCTCACAACCTACAGTTCCGTTTCGATCTACCACCTCCTGCCCCCTCATTCCAGCCGCAGCCATCCTGTAGGTCAATGCAGCTACGCGCCGTATACACGTTGCTGATCTGAATTTTTTTCTGGATAGGGAATGGCTGGGACTTTTATTCTGCCCATGCCGCAGGCTCTAATCCTGATCCGTGAGTGCATAACTACTGGCAATCTAGCATCATTAGAAGCTCCAGTGGTTGATACATCACTATCAAAACAACAGATCTCTATTTGATATGGCCCGGAATGGAGCAAATTATCGTGATGGTGGGGTTGGTATCAACGAAGCTCGACACTGGCACACGAGGGTTTACGGCGGTTTGGTATGGGTCCTCATCTTAGCATGTGAAATTATTTTGCTCATCTGATCCTCCAGGGTGACTTGAACAAACTGCTTCCTGAGGAATTGGGACACGCTGCCGCCTACGAAGCATACAGAAAATTCATCCATCACAGTTCGATGCGTGAACCACTATCCGCTGAGCCGGAAAGGCAGCGAGAGGCTCTGATTGCTCTCGCAATGGCGGAAAGTAAGTCGTTTGATTTGCCAACATGTGTTCTCGTCTGTCAATATCTAATTTCCACATAAAGCTACATTATTGTTGCAGTACACTGCTAGGGGAAATGATTTCTATACACGCCGGTCGGCAGCCGAGTCAGCTGCAGCCACTGCGTCTCAAATTTTTTTCTGGGTTAGTGCGACTCGTGTTTACTTGTCATATTCTCTGATCGAAGTTTCGCTCTGTGTAGAGTCGTGATCACGATGATTACGATGCCGAATTTTACCAAGGCAGAGGTCGATCTTATGGATCGTACGGGAATGCATCATCGTACGGCGACCCCTACGCTTACGACGCGGATACCATGTATTCTCGCCGTCATCCCCGTTCCCGTTCTCGACACGGGTCTCGGTCTCCTGTATATCCTCATCCGTTCATAGACGATCGCTCCTCAGTTTCATCAATCCCCATCATACCGAACGCTGGCTCGTATGGATCGAGCTTTGATAGCTCATTTGGGTCCAGTTACGGGGGAATGCCGATGAACAGTAGCATGTCTTCCACTCTTCCTATGCGTGGGCGCAGCATGAGTATAATGGGGTCGGCACCATATGGTAACAGCATGCAATATCCAACCATGCCATATCCATATACTGCAGCTCAACCGCAAACGCAATACATTCCCTCTGGTGGAATGGTGATGCCCTCGCAACAGGGTCAAATGGTTTTATACACCAAATCCAAAAAGCACCATCGTCATCACCATCGTTCTAGCAAACATGGCAAGAAACGCTCGAGGAGCATCAGTGTCGAGCCCATGTACCTTCATTACTGATTCGTAGTCACCAGTTACTGCGTCCGTCGCTGGTCGATTTCTACTTACCATCTTATATTTATACTGAGCGTCTAATATTCCATATGTTCCGTGCGTAACAGCAGCGTAGTTCGATTTAGTATCCTAGTGTATCCAGAATGTATCCGTACTTTGATTTGTACTGGCAGTGTATGTATGATTTTACTGAAAGGCAGACGACCATTCAAGTATTTCGGTGAAGGTGTTAAGAAGGCCCTCTGAAACTACTGCCGATCGCGAACACGCTTAGCCAAATGCTCACGTCCAAATGCTCTACCGGACGCTATCACTATGGGTAACTTGTAGTTCGAAAGAATTCTGTTGAAAGTGGCAGAATCCGCATTCCTGCTCCAGCTGGTTGGATGCTTTCCCGTTAAATTCAGTTAAATCTGCGGTCATTTAACATCGCGGACCAGAATTCACAAGTAGAGGAAAGAAAGCGATGATAAGAAAGGTTGCTACTATTGATTTTTGAGGGATTTGAGTGTGTAAATGACGCTATTACGCGTGGGCAACCTGTAATACCTCGACTCGATAAGTACTCGATAAGTAGTACTAGTGTCTATCGATTCTTCTGCCTTTGTGAGAGTACTCCACTGTAATTTCAGGCTCATACTGAATCTGCTTGTCTGCCAGCCTTGTTCGAATTCAATATAGCTGTCGCGTCGGCGCTGCGCCTCCGAACCGAGTATTTCAGCAAATTTTGGGATTTTGTGCGAGGTTCCTCTTCTTTCCTTCTCCAGAACCGTGGCGTACTTGAAATAGCTTGAAATAAAGGTCGTAGGGTATTCCAATATGAGACTCTTCTGGGATGTTTGGGCCTCTGTATGCGCGCAACAACTATGCACTGATGAAACGCAACATCTCGGGTTATCACCTGGTTATCACTGCATCACCCGGGTCACCGGTCATCACTGCGATCCCTTGATTATCGTCGCCAAAAACACAGCCTCCATGTGCTGGCCTTTAAATACCCAGCGCAGCAGTTCAGGGTTCAGCAATAGGCTGGTCCTTTCCCCTCATCGTCTACAAGCAATTACACGAACGGCTCCGGAAGCCCACATTAATCAACTCAAAGAAATTCCAACTGACTCAAACGAAAAATGTCGTACTACGTGCGCTCTCATACCTTTTGTTGCTGTATCCGTTGAGTGTCTTTCCTCCGGGCTCGTCTGCTTCATTTCTCATCGACTTTCTTTTTTAATATCTAGCCGTAAGATTGGGTGTATTCGTGAGTATTGGAGCCGACTCATGTCTTTCTTCGATAGAGTGACTCATACCGGTTCTATTTCAGATAATTAGCATCCTTGGTGTAGGTTTAGGTGGTTTGTTGACCGTTGCTGGTATCGTCCAATTGAAGAATCTAGGTACGAATTTCGTTTTGTCTATTCTATTAGAACGTAATTGCTCATACCGCCGTTAATTTCTAGGGGATGTACCCATGAAGGAAAAATGGCCGTATATTGTTCAAATCATTGTTTATGCGGTCTACGCCATAGTCTCGGTTCAAGCGTTAGTCTTGCTCTCAAAAAATAATTCTATCTTTTACTGAATGCCCTCGATAGCTTTTTCGGAGCTACCTGTCGCAAGCTTTCGTTGATCAGGTCCTACGCCGTTATATTGGCCATTCACCTCATCTTTTCCATCGCCTCTGGTGGATACTCCCTTTACCACTACTTTCAAGATTCTCCTAATGTCGTCGAGGCCTGTATCAACGGCTCGACTGACGATGTCAAGATTGAGACCTGCAAGCAAGGGGAAGACGTTGTGAAGGGTGTGATGGTCGGCGTCTTCATTTTCGTTTGGCTGATGGAGCTTTGTAAGTGATTCTCATGCGAGATGCATCTGTCCTTACCTAGGTCCTTTCCGCAGGGGGTGTCTTTATCGTGAGGGAGTATGGTCATCAATTGGAGGAAGAAATCTCTCTCAGGGCCAAGGGTGGTCCATGGTAAAGCCGCTCATTCGAGCTTTCTACCCCTTGGTCGCAATCTGTATTCGTTTGTACAATCGTGAATGCTTCTCTCCAATGTAGATTTTCATACCCGTGCAAGAGCTTTTGTTCATGAAAATTGCCAATTTGGATCGACAATTTCACCGCTCGCTCAGTACTCGCGACATATGTGATCGCTGACGGAAGTATGTATATGTGTGAGTATAACACCATGCCAAATCCTTGGGAAGTTTATGGGTTATAATCTCTGTAGTTACAAACCATCGAAAAAACGCCATTGACTTGCGCTACATGCAGTTGGACAAAGTTCAGAAAACAAAATATTTCTCTCGATCTACATAGATGTACAAAGGGTGTTTACATTGTCCAAGTGACTCTTGTTTTTCAGTAATTGTAGCACAGGACACGGTACTCGTTAATATGCACCTGCTTACCGCCATAGGGGATGTAGGCGCCTGACACAACAATATACCATACGTAAATGTTCTGAACGACTTGATAATGTGGACGGGTTACTCACCGTCGAGTTTGGAGCTTGCAATTCCAGGATGGACAGCATCTTTGTGAGGCCCTTGGGCGATATACAAGGGTGTCCCGTCTTTGTCTCGACCGCCTTCGACTGGACGAAGGCCGAGGTTCTCGACGTTGAGACGACCGCTGGCAGGGACCCATTGCAAGCCGTGCATGTCCCCGACTAGGATTTCATACGTGTCGAGCTGCGAAGCGATCTTCAGAAAAACGTTTTGTTAGGCACTTGTTTGGACTAACCTGTATTTCCTTGTTATCATAGCCTACGACAGCGCCTTTTTCAAACACATTGGATGCCTTGCCAACCTCTACCATTTGAGAATGTATCTTCAGTGGTATGTTGTTAAACACAAGGAAAATCCTTACGGATGGTACCCTATAAGAACATTATCAATATGCCAAAAAGGAATGGGTAGTTTGGGACAAACATCAACATAAGCTCTGCAGATCCAGAGCATCCAATCATGTTCCGGTCCTACAACAATCGCGTTAGGAGGGATATTTTTGCCTCTGTTGAGTACCCATTGTGCTGGGGAGCGAGGTCCATATTTCTTATATTCGTTGAGTCGCGCTTCAGCATCATGTAGCCAATTTTGAAGAGCCCACGAATCAGCCTTTTTCTATGATGAATTACTGCGTGAGTTGAGATTCATACAAGTTGGGAACATCGATCACATCTTCTTCGCTCTTCTCATGGTGCTTGTATACGTAGTAGCCTGCAGCAGCAGCCCCGATGGCTCCGAGCAATCCGCCTCCGATCTATGGTAGAAAAGAGATTTCAGGAAAACGAAAGTGGCCTTCGGATGAGATCAAACCTCGAGTTCCTTCTTCCTGTGATCATCGAGATCGTACCAGTGTTTCTGGCGTTCTTCGGGCTGAATGTCAACTTTCTGACCCTCTGGAGCAGGAGGATGGACTGCGGAGTGGGGTCATCAGCGGCATTTCGACGCACAGCAAAGTGATGATTCGAACACACATTCTGGAGCCGGCTGATAAGCTGCAGGCTGTTGGTGTTTTTCCTGATATCCACCCCATTGACCTTGATCCTCATCGGAAAGGCGCCCCCAGAGGTTTGGAGTCACGGTAGGAGCCCAATCGCTCTGTGGATATGCATATGAGTGCACGATGTCACAGGATGAAAGCTGTGATTACCTGAGAGGTGTGAGGAATAACAATCTTGTAGCGATGGCCTAGATGCAGTAAGCACAGATTCATGGTTCGGACCTTCATATCTCAAGTTACCTTCGTATTGGACGACATCGCCGGGCTTGTATGCAGTTCCAGGTTCCCAGTAAGGTGCAGACATTGTGGTAGTTCAAAACGACGTTCTGAAAGGCCAGAGAAGCGAAACCGGACCTTTTATCCTCGGCAAAGGCTGTGATTGCGTCACATTCCTGGAACGAGGGTTGGGACTGCAGAACCAGGATGCTAGAAAGCCGGTCCTTTGTCCTATCGATCGAAATTTGAGCTCGCAAAATGCCGTCGCAAGCGCTGTTAATTGAGGACATGTGGATGTTCTTGATGATTCTCTGGATCTCAAGGTTAAATCATTTTTGGTTTGGCGGATGTCAGGTTCTTCGTTTGAACTCTTCTGTTCTGCGTATCTATTTTTGTAAGTAACCCGCGGGGAGCCACTGCATACTGTACATGTGTGAGGGGCGGATATCAGGTAATGCTGTCAGTAAGCAAGCTTGTCACTGTGAGCAAGAAACAGGTAAGAAAGAGTTAAAATCGGCCGCTTTCGCACAATACGGCCCTTCGGCACCGACTCCACTACCTTCCTTCCTTCTCTTACATGGCGACCACTTTTGCAAAATTCTTTAATCATCCCGCAGGTACTTGACAAGGACATGCGAGAGACCCGTTATTGATTGCTAATAGGGCCCAAGACGGTGTTCTTTTGGGGGCCAGTGATGAAGTGGTGTTTGGTCGGCGCTGGTTTGAAGGATTTGAATAGACCAGCGGACAAACTCAGCGTTTCACAGAATTTGGGTGTGCAGCTTGCTATTCCTCTTCCGCCCAAAATGCTTGCTAAAAATGCCTTATAGCCTTGACAGCGACTGGCTTTATTTGGGTTCGATATTCTTTCGTGATCATACCTGTCAACTACAGTCTAGCTGCTGTATGTTCTGCTTCTCCTTTTTCCCTTCTTTCTATCTCATACCTTCTGGTGCAGGTCAATTTCTTTGTCGGACTTTCTGGTATAACGCAGCTGGGACGGATAGCGCAGTACGTCACCTTATCTACCCTACTAACATGCCGGTGACCACTAATGCTTCAATAGTCATCAGTATACTCAAGGGCAACTAACTGCTCCAACTAAAGCATAGAGTTTTCTTGTTTCATTGCCGTTTTGACCATCTATTATCCCGCAAATAATTCAAACAATGAAACGAGTTATAGAGGGATTAGAATTACTATTGTTACAGGGACATGTCCAGACGATCTACAAGCAAGCTACCGTGAGACTGAGCTCGAGTCTGAACCCTTCTCTTCCTTTTCTCCTCCTCCGCCGTTGAATACCCCCCACCAACTACTCCCTTTGATTGCAGAGCCCGCGGCGGAGAGAACGCTGTCCATGAGGATTTGGGCGTCATGATTCGTTGTCTCCCCATCCTTCTCCTTGTACTGCCAGTCACGATGATCCTTGAAAGAATCCCATGGTTTGGGACGCTTCCGACCGGAAGACGATCGAGTTGAGCGGGCACCACTCTTCTCTTCATGGTTGATCATATCCAAGATTACTCCTGCCGCAGTGTTTACCACACTTTGAGTTCCTACTGCATTTCCACCGTTCCCCAGTAGCCACCCGGCACCTGCGGCCATTGCGGCTAACAATGTGCCCCATTTAATGAACCAGAATGTGGTTCGAAGCATCCAAGTCGTTGTACGATACAGACTCACAATCGCAAAGTAGGCTGATAGAAGGGCTAACAATGGAGGCAATATTGTTTGCGCGTTCCAGTTTGACGAGTCGAATATTAGAGATTGAAGGAGTGTCAAGAGCGCTGATACCAGCGCGAGACCGTAGGAGATGATGGATATCGACGTCGAGTAAACCGGCTGCGGTAGGTTCTCGGAAAGAAACGACAAAGCAGGGTCCAGGAATTCGGGGAGTGGAATATCTGGGGGAGTAATCATGTTGGTCGTGAAGATAGCAGCGATTACTACTACTAGTGAGTGGTTGTACCCTGGAGGCAGGCGTGCGTAGTGCTACCAATTCCGCCCGCACGTGACTCTTTGGACTGACGGCCGGCACAAGCACGGAGTTTATTCCGTTCCGGGATAGGCAGTGCACCCGAAGCTAGCCCCTGAAAAAAACATTACGCCTTGATTCCATAGGGCAAATGAGTAGCTGGCAACATTTTTGAAACATAAAACCTTGTGCAAAATATTGCAGTCAAATCAAGGATATTCGAGGGTCCAAAATAAAAGAGGGTTCAGAACGTTCGAGGCACACAAAAAGGGTTCCCAGAATCATTTCAAAAACGAAAGCGGCTTCTGCGGGAGCGGAGCTTGAAATTTACGGAACTGCTATAAATTCTCCTTCAACTGTGACCAAAGCTAGCTTTCTCGCCCCCATCACGTCTCTATCTGGGTTGACGTATTATCTCTATTCCTCCCGAATTTATTCTCATACTTGCGCTCAGACATGGCAATGAAAAGAAAGTTCGACGGCGACTCCGAAGATGTAGCCTATAAAGTAAATATCGCGCATTCTCTTGTTCAATTGTCTCTATCTCGGTTCTCATATATGCGCTGGTCAGAATAACAAACAACTCAAGCTCGTTCCATTCCCTAACTACGAGCCCACCATTGACTGCATGATGAGCGATGCACAACCTTTTTATGATCATTACCATTTCCGCAACACATCTTCCGCCAGCTCTGCCTCTTCTCACGCGTCGTGCTCTCCCACCACACCTGCTTGTACGGAATGTTTACTTTCCCCACGTGTCATTCTAATATTATTTTCAGCTTCTTATCCCTCCGTCGAGCCTTACCCTCTTTCTCTAGTACCAGATGTTTTAGAATCTAACCAAACCTCTATGCCCAACGTCGGTCTCCTCCAGCCTCATAGCGACTTTAAACACCACGGGTATAATATTTGCTGTTGCATATCTTTCTCTTCAGCTTACAGGATCTTAGGACCAACTGCTCAACTATTCCGAAATTGCGTGTCGCCTGTGCGCCCGGCTTGAATGGCAACCGAACGATGTGGAGCTTTTGCGAAGAATGTGGCGCCATCTCCATGGTCAACAGCGACTAAACATTCAAAACATCATCAACGCACAAAGCTCATTCAAAAAAAAAATGCTCGCCCTCGGTTTTGATTCTTTCCTTCTTGCTACTTATGCTTGCTGTCTCGTCCATTATTCGCTTTCTTTGCCTAGCCTTTCCTCTATCGTGTAGTTTGATCCCTTCCGACCGTGCTTTCTTTCCGGCTTCATCATGATCTTGCTTTAACTTATCCCTATTCAAACTTATGGTGATATGTCCTGCTCTCGACAGTATCCGACTACTCCTCTCGACCTCCTCTCCACAGCCATACCCAATATTTGCCTCGCCTCCTCTACGTCAGGGTACTCATGCTCGTCGCCTCTGATATTCAAAAAAAAAAAAAAGTCAACACGGTCTCCTGTACAATATCTTAGGTTATGGTTACCTATTAGGACGATACTTATCGTGTACATCGTATGTATATGAAAGATGTCATTGAATCTCAAAACTTGTTGACACACTTCCTAAATCTGGCCAGAGTTTTGAGTCTGATTTGAGCTTACATAGGGTTTTGGATGTGGAATCTGATGTTATATTCAGATGACGGGTTGATTCAACCTGACTTCAACTAGAGTGTTCAAACGGTACATATCAGTCACTGCCAACTGGTTAAAGTTACTTCAACGTGAGTTTGATTTTTTGCTTCCAGATAGCTTCACGATCCAGTATTTTCTTTAGTTTACCTTGCATCATCTATGACTGTCAAGCTATGAAATTGGGTCTAACCAGGTTTCTCGTCGCAACACCTCATGTTCAACGACCAGTGAAGAAGAGCTCTGAGTCTTTCAAAGAAGGAATCCGCTTTCGCAAAATTCACCGACAGATACCGCAATAAACCACGTAGACCTTCCAGAATAGGGTGCAGGCACTGGGGCGTAAAACAGGGTAAGTGGAATTGTCAGGGGCTAACGAGCATGTTCGGAGATTTTCATAACCTAGGCAATGTTGATAGAGAAAAATTGTCCAAAAAGGACTTCGCAAGAAGGTCTCCTCTGGTTACAGGGCAATAGAGAACGTTTCATTAATGCTCTCGGAGGCACAGCAAAGTAACACAAATTTCGCAACCACATGGTGATGGACATCGAGGATCCATGAGCAAAAGGGACCACATGAGCCACACAGTGACAGTGAACAGGACTCACCAAGAATATACAGCCTCTAGACCGACAGAGGAAAGTATTGAATCTGCGACTGATCTGCTACTCGCGAGAGCGCATAAACTGCCTTGATTTCGATCAGAAGTACTCTGACTAAATTGAAACAACGTAGGTTAGCTGTTGAACACACTTGAACACATCGCCTGCAGAGTATAGCATTGGCGTTAGGGTTCTGCGACGCACTACGCCGCCGTTGGTTGCTAGAATTGGATCGGATCCAGCAAGGTCGAAAGTGGCTCGTATTTTTCGAAGGTAAAAGAGTATCCGACGGCAAGTGCGTTTGCACGGAGCACTATCCGCACACCGCAGCAGCTGCCTGTAGAGATGCAAAGGTTTCTTTCTGTCATGATGAGTTCGCTCAAATGCAGCAAGGTAGAGCCAGGTGTGGCCAGCCATAACCAGCCATCTAAATCCATCTAAAGTTCAAACGCGTCGGCAAAACGATTGTCGATTGATATAGCAAAAAGAACGCAGAATTTCTAGACGACTGGTTTTTTTTTTTGAACAAATAAAATTCAGGGAAGCTTCTGCTAGTTTGCCCGGTGTACCTGGTGTACCTGCTTGTACCGCGCTGCTGGCGAATGGTATGGTGCAGTTGGCTTAGTCACCACCTATTTGGGACAGGCGCCATTCGGGGTTTGGAAAAAATTTTGAAAATTATAGACGCGCTTTAGGTGTTTTTATGTGCATTTCCAAGAGGAATAAAGCTCATTGATGTATTCTAGAGTCCCTGGCACCCCGATGCAATGTATAGATGATATATCCTGTTATCAGAATGGACAAAAGGGAGCATTGAGCTGACATTGAGACACCCTTAGCTGACCCTTAGTGCAGTAGAGTGTGGTAACCCTAACCCTAATCACTTCCCAATTGGGAAGTGCGCCATTCGTGTGTAACTTACTTGGGCAATTTTTACTTTGAGAGAAATTGCTCTTACAGTTCTCTTTCTGTATCTATTATAAGCCTTTCTGTAAGAGAGATAAGAAAAATACTGAAATTTGAGTGTGTCAGTCCGCTTGTTCAAAACTAGTGGTGACTAAGCCAACTGCACCATAGTCTCTGAGACCTCATGGAAACTTCAACCGAGACTCGAGTGATTTTTTCATCCTTTTCGATCTTTAACAACAGCGACACCAAGATAAGATAATTCGCACAATTGATACTATTGAATAAAAGGAAAAATAGAAAAAAAGAGTTAAATCCGCCCCACACAGGGTCGTCATAGGCACGAAAAGTAATCCACATGGAGAACTGTGGAGCATTTTGTTTGAAAATGCGGGGCTTTGCAGTGTTGCACACGCAGGCATTGATGGCGCATCAAACGACACTGAGAACGGGAGAACTGGAGAAACCGGGGAAGTCTGGGGAACGAGAGGGGAAGGGAAGAGGAATGATACATGATTCTTCATATTCCTATAATAGATACATACGAAATGCTCGGAATAGCTCTGAGAAAGGAAGAAGTGCGGTAGACCCGATACCCATGCTCCGAAGAATTCCGTGCACGGGCGCGCGCCTATATTGTAAACCTTGGTTCTCGGGTGTCCTCATGATATTTATTCTAGGCGGGAAGCTTGTTTGAATTTTGACAGAAGTTCCAAGGGATTTCGCTGGAGCCTCCACTAGCTGTTTGTAGGATGGAAGAAGAAGCACCTTCACTTTCTCGAGCGACGAGGACGAAGAAATTCGGTAAAAGCTGTGTTTCGGCCAAGTTCAACCCCTTAATCAGTAAATCCTGTCACAAAAAAATGGCGGTGCTGTCAAGCGAGCCTGAGTTCCGTATGTATCTGACGTATACCCCCATTGGTATCTCATCAAACCGATCTGAGGTCCTCCGCATATAAAGGGCCTTGATATTCTCCACTTAACTCGTCGTCCCGACTTTCCTCCCATCACTTCTCCATCATGTCCACCGAGAAGGTTCACGACACGGAGAAAGGTTCCGTCGAGGAGCTCCGTGAGGAGCACCATGTCGATCTTTCTAACAATGTTAACGCAAGGTATCTACTTTGTACTAGTTCTCCTCCTTCCTAATACTGATTACTATACGATATCAGGATCCAGAACCCTCTGCATGGTATCCCAAAGGCCAAGCTAATGGCTCAAGTCGAGCAGTTTGCCCGCGAGAAGGGTATGGAAGAGCAACTTCCGTTCTTGAAGAAGGGTGCCCTACTTGCTCAGAATCCGAAGGATTTTGAGAACATCCCCGAGCTCGATGAGGAGGATCGCGCGATTATTCGCCGTGAAGTTACCCGTATGTCATCTCTTTCACATTGTCTTTTCCCGGGTCCTGATGACTTCTCCAGATCGATGGTCCCAGCCAAAAGACATGTACAAAACGGTCATCATATGTTCTATTGCCGCTGCCGTCCAGTATGTTCCCATCTAACCGCTCCGAGTGATCGAATAAACTCATTGACTTACTTTTTCTAGGGGTTGGGATCAAGAAGGTTCAAATGGTGCCAATTTGTCTTTCCCCCAGGTATTCAACATCACCGACGATGCCAGCAATCCTGATGCCGCAAGGAATCAATGGATTATCGGTCTCATCAACTCTGGGTGAGCCCCGTACCCTCTGCGTTCCCAAATGCGAGTTTTAATTTTTTTCAGACCCTACATCGGCGCTGCACTGATTGGATGCTGGCTGACGGACCCCTTGAACACTCGTATGTTTTTATCCAGTACGTTTGCAATTGGAATCTCACGTAACTGTCAAGTTCTTGGCCGTCGTGGAACTATATTTGTGTGTGGTATATTCTGTACTCTCACCGTCATTGGATCTGCTTGCGCTCAAACATGGCCTCAACTCCTTACCACCCGGCTGCTACTCGGTATCGGTATGGGAGCTAAAGCAAGTACTGTTCCTATATTCGCTGCCGAAAATACACCCGCGAGCATTCGAGGAGGATTAGTCATGTCATGGCAATTATGGGTGAGTAGAACACATTACCGCACCAGCTCTTGACTGATTCGACGTTGCTTAGACTGCGTTCGGAATTTTCCTTGGAGTAACTGCCAACCTGATATTGTTCAGAGTCGGCTCCATTGCGTGGCGTTTACAACTGGGTTCCGCCTTCCTTCCCGCTATCCCTCTCGTAATCTGTATTTATATGTGCCCGGAATCCCCCAGAGTGAGCACGGTTATTCTTGATCAAATCGTCTCCATCTTATTGTTTTTTCACAGTGGTATATGAAGAAGGGTCGCTACCAAGATGCCTATCGTTCCCTAAAACGTCTCAGAAACTCCGAACTGCAAGCTGCCAAAGATCTTTACTATGTACACAGACAACTTCAGGAAGAGTTTGCCATCATCAAGGGCTCCAACTACTTTTCACGGTTCATTGAACTCTTCACCATCCCTCGAGTTCGTCGTGCTACACTTGCGTCTTTTGTTGCCATGATCGCCCAGCAGATGTGAGTACACCCTTGAATTAGTTTGGTCGCGTTCTCATTATGATACCCCTTGCACGTAGGTGTGGCATCAACATCATTGCCTTTTATTCATCCACAATATTCGAACAAGCTGGGTATTCTACTGAACAGGCTTTGCTAGCGTCATTTGGATTCGGCTTGGTCAACTTCATTTTCGCTTTCCCCGCCGTTTGGGTGAGTACAATCTCGCATTCTTCTAGGACGGCCACTGATGTAGATTGAAATAGACTATCGACACATTTGGAAGACGCAACTTGCTCCTGTTCACTTTCCCGAATATGGCTTGGACTTTACTTGCTGCCGGATTGTGCTTCCTCATCCCTACTTCCAATGCTGCTCGTGTTCCTCTTATTGCTTTGTTCATCTTCATATTTGATGGTATGTGATCATATCGTCCGCTCTCAGGATATAAACTCATGATGTCGTTGTCAGCATTCTACTCGCCGGGAGAGGGTCCTGTACCATTCACATACTCTGCAGAGGTTTTCCCTCTCACCCACAGAGAAATGGGAATGTCATGGGCGGTCGCAACGTGTCTGTTCTGGGCCGCCGTATTGTCGATGACATTCCCCCGTATGTTGGGAACATTGGGACCTGAAGGATGTTCGTCTACAACCTATTCATCGCAATGAAAGTCTTCTAACCTCTCATTGATAGCATTTGGATTATATGCCGGGTTCAATGTTATTGCATTCTTTTTGATCTTTTTCTTGCTACCTGGTATGTTCACTGATGATGCCGTGGTTCGTTCTGATGCTTATGGTATCTGTCATTTAGAAACCAAACAACGTACTCTCGAGGAACTCGACTATGTCTTCGCGGTCCCTACGTCCAAGCACATTGCTTACCAGGGCAAAGTCTTCCTTCCTTATTGGATCAACAAGTGGGTATTCAGGCGCAAAGATGTGCAACTCCAACCCTTGTACAACTTCGATGAAGTCGAAAGTATCACTGTATTTGAGAAAGGAGCCGGGCACTAACGCGGATTGTGTTTTTTCCCTTCTTAACGCCTGTAACGCTCACTCTTCTAGAATGTTGTATGACACAATAGTAGTATATGTAGTCTACTGTGTAGCCGATCTACGTGAAATGCCTATTATTTAATGCGCCTTAGTGGTGAATGTCATCTATCAGGAGTACATTAGGGTATAAGGGCATATTGAACAGAGAACGAATCAAGTCCCTTTTTAACCGATTACTCCACCAATACACGGATTAGGCTGGATAAGGATGGTGGGTTATAATGGGTCCAAGGCACTGCAGACCTCTGTGATATTTACGAGTGTACTTAAATGTTTGAGGGTTCTAATATCATCCAATCTATCCTGACTGCATCATCCCGCTCGGTGGAGTCTGAGCATACAGCCCGACTCCACCTGACCTCACCTGACTCCACATCTTTTCCCATAAGATATACTATGGTGCAGTTGGCTTAGTCACCACTAGTTTTGAACAAGCGGACTGACACACTCAAATTTCAGTATTTTTCTTATCTCTCTTACAGAAAGGCTTATAATAGATACAGAAAGAGAACTGTAAGAGCAATTTCTCTCAAAGTAAAAATTGCCAAAGTAAGCTACACATGAATGGCGCACTTCCCAATTGGGAAGTGATTAGGGTTAGGGTTACCACACTCTACTGCACTAAGGGTCAGCTAAGGGTGTCTCAATGTCAGCTCAATGCTCCCTTTTGTCCATTCTGATAACAGGATATATCATCTATACATTGCATCGGGGTGCCAGGGACCCTAGAATACATCAATAAGCTTTATTCCTCTCGGAAATGCACATAAAAACACCTAAATCGCATCTATAATTTTCAAAAATTTTTCCAAACCCTGAATGGCGCCTGTCCCAAATAGGTGGTGACTAAGCCAACTGCACCATACAAAAGTCAAGATATGTTTCAACACCTTTACTGGATTTCCGTTCCTCAAAGTTCTAATGACCACGTCTCAAGAAAAACCGTATACCGAGAAGCGAGACAATGCTTCAATATCAATGAACGAGCGCTCAGCTTCTCAAGATGACTCTTTTCGAAATCTAAACGCAAAGCTGGCCAATCCTCTAGCGCACATACCTCGTGAACAGCTCATGGAGGATGCCAGACTGTTCGCAGAGACACATGGCTTGAAGGATCTTGTTTTGGAATTTCAGAAGGGCGCTTTAGTTGCTCAAGATCCATCACAATTCGAAAATTTGCCACAACTTGACGAAGCAGACAAGGCCGTCTTCAGACGAGAACTCACACACAAATGGGATCAGCCTCGTATGTTGTATTACCTTGTTATTCTCTGCTCTATGGCCGCAGCCGTCCAAGGGGTATGTGAATCATCTTCGAAATCCACTTGCACTAGGTCTTAAACACATTTGAAAGATGGATGAATCCGTTATCAACGGTGCCAATCTTTTTTTCGCTACTCAGTTTGGAATCGACGTGAAAGCGAACGATAATGGCAAGAACCAATGGCTTCTCGGACTTGTAAATTCCGCGCCATACCTGTGCTGTGCTATCCTGGGTTGCTGGTTGACCGATCCGGTTTGTTAACAGCTGGTACTACAGCGATTTGCTTCGTTTCTGACTGATTTTTCCTACAGCTCAACAGGTTCCTTGGTCGTCGGGGGACTATATTCTTGACAGCATTGGTTTCGTTCTTGACTTGTATATGGCAGGGCGTGACCAATTCATGGGAGCATCTTTTCGTTGCTCGTTTTGTACTCGGACTGGGTGTGCATCCGGACACTTTCTATTTCACGCATTTCCTGACGAACTGACTCGGAGCTTAGGTATCGGTCCCAAATCAAGGTATTCTATCACCCACTTTGAGTTCTGTTAAGTGTACTTCTCGAGCATTTACCACAGCACCGTTCCTGTTTATGCTGCCGAATGTGCACCTCCCGCCATTCGTGGAGCTCTCGTGATGATGTGGCAGACCTGGACCGCTTTCGGTATTATGATTGGGACCGTTATGGATCTTGCCTTCTACAAAGTACCAGACCCACCTCATGTCACAGGCTTAAATTGGCGTTTAATGCTAGGTAGCGTAGGTGCAATGCTTTTTTCCCTTTCTATCAACCCTCAAGTTTCTACAGGCCGGTATTCCCGCGCTTTTTATCTGCTTGCAAGTCTTCTTATGTCCAGAAAGTGGGTCTTCCATCATTTCTCCGACATTATGCTGCTGTTTATATCGCCACGATAGGCCCCCGATGTAAGCTCGACAGCGCGCAGTACGCAACATGAATGTTTGAACGCACAACGTTTGTTTTTCAGGGTATATCTCGAAAGGTCGATACAGAGAGGCTTACAATTCACTTGCGCGCCTAAGACGTCACCCAATTCAAGCCGCTAGGGATCTATATTGTAAGGGCGTCTTGTAGCAATCCCTTAAGCGTGAACTCATTGCTAACTGAAGACATCCACATTCTCCTTGAGGCGGAGAAGGATATCATGCGTAATCGTAATAGATTCATGGAACTTTTCACCGTCCCCAGAGTCCGCAGGGCGACGTTAGCCTCCTTCATCGTCATGTTCATGTAAGTAAAATCAAATCTAGCACTTATGAGTCCTACTTATTGTCATTATTTTAGGCAACAATTTTGTGGGATCAATGCTATCGCATACTACTCTAGCAACATTTTTTCAGAGGCCAACTTCAGTAATACCCAAGCATTACTTGCTTCCTGGGGTTTCGGAATGATCAATTGGATATTTGCTTTTCCGGCCATCTGGACGATTGATACGTTTGGCCGTAGAAACCTGCTATTGACTACTTTCCCTCTCATGTCGATTTTCCTGTTGCTGGCTGGATTTGCTTTGTACGTCCATTCCACCTTCCCTTGCAATGCACTGACTAAAATCCTTGTTTATATAGTTGGATACCCGACCAGAAAGCTCAAGTGGGCGTCGTCACCCTTGGTATCTATCTGTTCTCGATGGCCTATAGCCCAGGCGAAGGTCCTGTTCCGTTTACTGTGAGTCAAATGTCAAAGTTCTACATACCATTCGTTGATGAATACACTTAGTACTCCGCCGAGGCGTTCCCTTTGTATGTTCGTGACATCGGAATGAGTTTTGCAACAGCAGTTCTATGGTTTTTGTCAGTGTCTTTACCAATACCGGTTTTTCAAGTTTACTTATCCTGCTGATATTTCGTTTTCAGCAACTTCATCATCGCCCTAACCTTCCCCCGACTGATTGGAGCTTTTAAACCCCAAGGTCTGTAATTTCGCATATAATCTTACCGTCAAAGGTTAAGCTGAGTGCCATAGGTGCTTTCGGATGGTTTGCGGGGTGGAAGTAAGCGACCATGATTGATTGCTTTGTCATAAGCTCAATGTTTGCTCAGCGTTATTGGCTTCTTCGCGATCCTACTTTTCGTTCCCGAAACCAAAGCTCTCAGTCTAGAAGAGCTTGACCAGGTCTTCAGTGTGCCATCACACACACACGCTGCCTATCAACTCAAGGCACTCCCTCACAACATCAAAAGGTACATCTTCCAAATGCACGTGCCAGATATTCCTCCTTTGTACGAACACGAAGGTGTTATCGGAGAAAAAACTTATGCTCCTGGAGGGATGGGACATGCATAACAATTCAACCCAGATAAATATCATGTATCCTACTACAAGAAAATGTATTTTGGTCCCTGTATCTACCTTGAAAATTTATTTTTGCAAACTCCTGGTATGTAATTTTTGCCGCGAACCATCGGCTCTGCACTGATAAGATAAGATGACTTAAACTTGGAATAAACCTTCATGACCCAAACTACTCTTCTTCAATATGAAGCACCTTGTGGGTCGTTAGGTTTCATGGATCATACGACTTACTAACAGAACGGATGTACGCTATAGGGCCTATCTATGCGTTGGACTGGTGCAAATCTACTTCTCCAAAGGAACAGATGCGACCCAGATCGTCCTTCCGTCTTGGTATCGGTTCCTTCTTGGAAAACTTTTCGAATCGCATCGCCATAGTCGGCTTACAAGACGAGCATATCTTGGTTGAAGATGACTATACCGACTATCCTGACTTCGTGACTCTTTGCGATGCTCACCATGGTTATCCAGTAACCAGTCTACAATGGCAACCTGTAAGTGCAATATCCTATCAATGGTCGCAGAAATCTCCATCTACGGAGCTTTTGGCTACAACTGGAGACGCGCTGAGGTTGTGGGAATATTCGGGCGACGCGCAGCCCGCGATGTCGAATTTCGTTGGGAGGACTGCAAGTTCAAGTGGTCACAGTCTAAGTCTGAAGACTGCACTATCTGGGGTGCGTCTGTTCTTTGTCTAAAAAAATAATTCCTTATACTTATCATTGGTGCTAGCAATCGAAAGTACAGAACAATTCTAATGGCGCGCCGTTGACGAACTTTTCGTGGAACGAAAAGGCACCTAGCTTGATTGTCACTTCTTCTATAGACACTACGTGTACTGTCTGGAATATCGACACATCTGCTGCGGTTACCCAGCTTATTGCTCACGATCGCGAAGTCTACGACGTCGCTTGGCTCCCAGGATCCACAGACATTTTTGTATCTGTCGGTGCTGACGGGAGTCTACGCGCCTTCGATCTTCGAAGTTTAGAACATTCAACAATCTTGTACGAGACACCTGCACCTAAAAACGTGCCGCCTCCATCTGTTTCACCATCTACATCTGCTCGTCCGCCTACTTCACCTCTTCTTCGCATTGCCTTCAACCCATCAGATAGTAATTACATGTCAACCTTCCATATGGATGGATCCGAAATCCAGATTTTAGACATGCGAAGCCCTGGTCAACCTGTGCTTGAGCTAAAAGGGCATCATAGCCAAATCAACGCAGTAGGTTGGGGGTCTGGCGACCAACCGTTGTTGGCAACTGCTGGTATGTAATGCATCATGCTTGTTCCTCGAATTCCCTCGCTGATTGATGGATTAACAAACTTAGGCGATGATTGCCAGCTCTTGCTGTGGGACCTTGCCAATTATACCGCAGCCTCTGCCAGCATGAACGCTAATTCTCCTAGGAGCGCAAGCTCCCGCTTAAACTCCCCAAGACCAGACGTGAAGAAAAAGCTTGTGACTGAGCCAGCATTCGCATATACAGCACCGAGCCAGATAACAAATTTAGCTTGGTCCCCGACCATTCAAGGTCTAAACATGAGCACGGGCCAGTCGACCGCAGGTGAATGGGTAGCGATTGCTTGTGGCAAGACCGTAAGGGCGCTGAAAGTGTGACACTGTGATAAGGCCTTATGTATTACTATCTCGATTTTATCCCGCACGTCTCAGCTCCATACTTACCGGACCATGCTCTCTAACGCGATTACTCCATCAATAGTGCTTTGACACTCTGTGCGCACCATGCACTACCATGCATTATAGTATCTTTATCGGAACGAATATCAGGGCAATACTTTCGCGATAACCAAAATCATCTACATGCTCCTGGGTCTCTGAGCTTTCCTATCAGCATATATGTAGCAGGCTTATCGCTTACGACATGTTTTAGTGGATCCATATGGTGTAAACCTTCTCGCATTCAAAATCTAATACTTAAAGAAGAATTTGTACTCGGCAGGATTCTCTTCTCAAGCCACCTTCATTACTCCGGGCCCAGCTACTCCAACTATGGATCAACACGGCGATTATGAAGCGCAGAACCTTTCTGAAGGATTGACGCACAAAACCTCTCGGTCCTCGGCCTCCATTGAAAAACAAGCTGCAAAGGATACGGGATCCGTTCCTGTGGGGATTGAAGAGGACGATACGAAAGTTTCCCGCAGTACTCTTCTCTATCAAAGATATCGACCTTTTATTTTGGCGGCGTTGGCGGCGGTCATCATCGGATGGTGGATCAGTTCAACAATCTTAAAGGCAACAAGACATCGGTGGTACGCTTCGGGCATTAATCCGAGCTAACCCCATTACTGAAGGAACCTCGATTAGGATCGTACAGACCCTCTTTGCTTGGTTTTTCGTCCTGTGAGTATATGAGGACTTTAGTCGACAAGTCGCATGTTCAATGTCTGATCTTTCATGAGGGTTATTGCTTTCCGTTTTATCCCGAATTCCGTCGTAGCTCAGCCTGTGGGTGCTGTTTGGGAAGCCTGTGTTCAAGAACCGTTCTATAAGCTACCTCATTATACTCGTTTGGCAATAGGATGGCTGTGCTTGCTTGGCATCGTGTTTGGTTCGGCTTTTGGATTTCCTTTGGAGGAGGCAAGTCAAACAATTACTTCTACTAATTATAAGAAGTTCCTCAATACGTTAACAGAACACCAATTACGGTGATCGTGCAATCTCTGTCCTTGGATTATTTGTATTTCAATGCTGTTTTTGGCTTTCGTCAAAGTTCAGAAGTCAAATTCCCTGGTGACCTCCATCGTCTGTTTGTTCCAGATCTGAATACTAAGATGTCCGCAAGGCCCACTGTGATTGTTGGTCTCTTTCTTCAGCAGGTGGTCGCATTGTTTGTCCTCAAAACTGGCGCTGGGTTCTCCATCTTCACATGGATTGCCACATTGGCCTCTGATTTCCTGGCTCAATCTAAAGCAGGAGCATCGTTCTTTTTCGATGCAGACACGATTGCCAAAAACTGGTTCTTTGTGAACACCGTCAGTTATTCATGGCTATTCGGTATCGTCGGACTACTGAGCTCCCTGTAGCTTGCTGCCATCATTTTCTTCATCGCGTTCGTCCAGATGTTATACTACCTGGGGGTGATGCAATGGCTACTCGGGAAATTGTTCGTTGGCATTTGCGCCATTCTTCTTTTCTTTTTTGTGAGGCTCAATGTTTCTCCTCGAAGTGCCTGGTTCTTCTTCAAACTTCTGAACGTTTCTGGTGCAGAGGCCGTCGTTGCTGCAGCTTCGCCATGGATTGGCCAAGGAGAATCAGCATGTCTAGTTCGTCCTTATGTCGATTGTATGCAAGTCTTCCTCGTCCGTAATTTCCATCGCTGACTCCGTCTCTGTCTTCATAGTAATGACAGAATCCGAACTGCGTGTGTTTGTTTTTTCGAATACCTGCGTAGGTTTATACTGATGGCATTGCCAAGATCTTACCATGGTCTGTCTTCATATTGATTGTATGTGTGTCCCTCTCGCGCGTCGGTATATTACTGACTCCGTTTGTTGTATAGTGATATCCAAATATGAACTTGAACTATGTGCGTCCATGTCGAATGCTTGTGTTACGTTTTTACTGACGATCGCAAAGATTTTACCAGACATCCGGGTTTTCTTGTATATCTGGTAGCGTCATGGCAGCATACATCAACCTGGGAGTTCCTGCAGAAAATATTGTGACCAGCTCCGTCATGAGCATTCCCGCGTCGATCGCCATAAGTAAACTTCGCATCCCTGAAACCGACGAACCAGTCACTCGTGGACATGTCATTGTTGACCGCGGCGCCGCTGAAAAGTATCCCCCAGTACGCTTACTGCTCTCATGACCCCGAAACCTTTAGTTGATTCATTCTGCAGGCCAACGCGTTACATGCGTTCAGTAAGGGTGCTGTATTCGGTCTAGTGGTCGCTGGTCAAATTCTGTGCGTCCATTCCCCCGTGCTCCCATCTGTTATCGATCGGCCTTTGACTTTGAATGATTTCAGTACGAATGTTTTAACCGTCCTATCATTAGTCGCTGCGTATGATATCCTCTGATTACAATGCGCACTTCGCTCAAATTGTTCGTTTAGCATCAACGGTCTACTCACTTGGATAGGTCGTGGCTTCGGGATTCATGCGTTGACGTTGCAACTTGTCCTTGGATATGTGTTCTATCCAGTGGCTTTCTTCCTTGGCGTTCCCCGTGCGGAGATCCTTCGAGTATCCCAAATCCTCGCTACGAAACTGATTGAGAACGAATTCGCTGCCTATACTGAACTCGTCGCTCTTCAAAAAACCTCGGAAGCACTTTCACAGCGTGGTTTCACCATCGCTACCTATGCACTTTGTGGCTTTGCCAACTTAGGTTCCCTGGGCATTCAGATCGGAGTATTAAGTGCCATGGCTCCTTCGAGAGCTAAGGTCATCTCCCGAGTCGCACTGTCGGCTATGATATGTGGGTTCATATCCACCTTGCAAACTGCAGGCATTGCGTGAGTTCTTTTTTCCTACTTGACGTTGATTCCACTTAAGTTCCTTCTAAGCGGAATGCTTGTATGAGATATCATAATATCATACTCGAGATAGGTTGCATCCACCGAGATTCAACATCCTGGAGGGGAAGAAGGGGGGACCTCGGGATGATTAGTATGAAGAGAGAGGAGGTTGGAACATGAGACAGCGGGCACTTTTCATCGCAGAGTGTAGAGTAGTAATTTATATAATGAGCCTCCTTCACATGTGGGTACAGAATCACGATGATTGCAGTTCTAGGTCATCCATGACATGAACAACGAGACGGATCTAAGCATGTTGTAAGAGTCTGTTAGATAATGGCATCGTCAAATAATTTCGAATAGGCTCACTACTCTCCCGAGCTTGGAAAGATCTTCTACGGTTCTTTGTCGGGCATCGCTCTCTGCGGAGGGTAAGGAAGGCCAACAGGCTGTTGCAAATACCTAAGTCTGGCAACGGTTGGATTGACAGTATGTCTAAGTAAGCATATGCACATGCTTCGAATTCGTTAGATGCAATATCGCGCATATGGCAGTTTGGAAGTTGTGTTCACGGGGATATTCAAGTCAAAGAACATGAAGAATATTAATTCGCTTCTGGCACGTGTGTGCAAAATTTGAGATATCGAAACGCGACAAACTTGAGTCTTCGAACGGACACGTGATGTGGTACTTCTTGCTCTTGCCAGTACCGCATCGACGAGTGTACGTCGAAGCCTCGCAGTACTAGTCCCTAGTAGCTCCTTAGTTTCTCTTTTCTCTCGCAAAACAAAACTCTTGTCTTTCAAAATCCTACAAAATGACCGAACGACTGGAGATTGACCCTGCTAAGATACCTGCCCCCAACTTCGCAAGCGGGGCTCACACCTTCATGCGCAACGCGCTAATTACAGACGCGAACACCCCTGAAATCACCACGGACGAGCACGCAGCTCAACGCCTCAAGGTCCAATGGGAGATCCACATCGAAGGTCCCAGAGCTCAATACGAGGTACAGCTACGAGAAGCAGAAACACTGAGAGAACAGAGGAGACAGGAAGCAGCCGACGCCGAGAGACTCGCAGCGGTAGAACAGCAGGAGAAGGAGAAGGAGTTGGCAAAAGAGGCAGACAAGAAGCGTATGCCGATCTACAGTTTCCAGAAAGGGGTCGGGGTGGAATCGATTCCACTACAAGTCCACCCATATGCCAAGAAGATGATAACCGCTCGGAAGTATGTTCCCTTGTGGTACTTCCTTCCCGAAGCAGCAACAGAGGCAAAAGAGCGTAGCAAGGACTCCCTAGTGGGATCTCACACAGTCCGCGCCTCACCAAACGCCATTCCCGACTCCCGACTATCCTGGCCTCAGGTCATGCGCGCAAAAAGCGCCTTCCTCAACACACTAAGGCTAGGGGCCTGGCCTGACGACCACATCTCCATGTTTGCAGCCTTCTACATCAACATGGATATGCACAGCGAGCTTCAGGAGCAAGACGGGGACCGGGTAATGGCCCATTACCATGCAGAGATGCGTCTGGCGTGGTACGACGCAATGGAGAGGAAGGAGCCTTTTGACCTCTCCGTGATATCCAACAGGGTCCTAGCAGAAAGCCGTCGAGAAATCGTCAAACAAAGGCAAGAAAAGAGCTTGAAGGGTAAGCAAACATTTTGCTCCATAAAGAAACACCGTCTAACTATTGATACGTGCCCATTTATCACATCTCTTTATGACCTGAACACATCCCCCCAATTTCAAACCACAACACCGACCGATACCAACGCTACTCTCGCCACCTATGCTACGCTAACGCTACCCGAACTACCGACGCTACACGAATGCTACTCGTTACTACCGATGCTAACGAACAATCTTACCATGCTAATCACCGACGCCAATGCCGCCGACTCATCAACAACAACCACCGACGCTAATTCTCAAACTCCGACATTATTTTGCAATAACGCATCCACCTATCCTACGTACAGATATCCAAGCAGCTACCGCGCTAATGGAGGCCAGAGTCGACGCCAAACTGCAAAAGCTTTCCCAGATCACTTCTACCCCCCCATTCCGAAGCCCACGCCAGTCCTCAGGCAAAGCGCGTCAAGCTCCTTACCCTTCCACTTCACCTCGAAAAGCCAGCAGACAACCGGACAACCCAAACTTCCAACGCTCCTTTCGGGACTCAAACCAAGCCCCGCTCACACGCTGTCACCGATGTCTTGGACGCGACAGGCACGATGTCCGGCACTGCTCACGGACTTCGCTCTGGAACGGGAAACGTGGTGTTACCTGCAACTGGAACAAGCAAGGTTTTCTCGAGATCACCAGTGGAACGAACGCCGGGCTCGAACTCTGTGCTGACTGGCAACGTCCAAACGGCTGCACCAGCAAGGCCCACCCAGAAAAGCACCAGTGCTCGGGATGCACGAGCAGCAGTCACGGAGCTAGCAGCTGCCCTGAAGGTGAATGAGAACCAAGTCAACACTCCTCTACAAGCCGAAGTCTGGTTTCATGCTATATCTGAACTAAATCTAAATGCTAAATATCCTACTCTCGGAGTCAATATGACACGGCTTTAATGTCAGCATCCCGAGAATATACCATACGTTTTTACCACCTAATATGTAAGCTAAACAATCCAGAATTTCAAGCTGCCTTTCAGAGTGTCATGAAAAATGAAATTAGCACTGGGCGATGGCTGGGTCCATTCTCCCGGGAGACCATCGAAGAAGTCCTAGGACCTTTTCAGACATCTCCCATCTCCATGATCCCTAAGTTGGACAAACTGGGAAAATACCGACTTCTCGAAAACCTCTCGTGTCAGATTTCTATATACAGTAATTGATCTCTTGCGTGACAATGGATGTCAGTGGCTATTCGGCAAGATATCGAAGCGCCCCGTAGTGCCCATTTGGCCCTTCTTCAAATTGTGTCCCAACATCCCGCCCTATCCCGCTCCCATCCTGCTCTCATCCCGCTCCATGCAGTGCACAATGTGCATACTGAAAATCTGTCATTTTAACACATTTTATTTTTAGTACTGTACCATCTATCTAAATACACCATAATGAAAACTGAACATTGTCAACACAAAGGAACTGAGCACTACTGAACACCTCTGAGCAAGCTGGTAAGGTGATGATGGACTGGGGGATCAGTGATGGGAATGAACCATCATCATAGCAAGCAGTCTGTCACATCTTGTCACAATTACCTCACATTTTCGTAAGTGATCAATTACTGTGTATAGGAATCTGACACTAGTAAAGTCAGGGCAACTCTATGTAGACACTAGCGAACCCCTGCGGGGCTCAATGCACCTTGCTTGCCTCTGATGTGCCGGTTGCAATTGTCATTTTACAATATTATAACCTATTTTACGGAATATAAGCAGTACATATGATATCCTTCGCTATGTAGGTCACAATCGATAAATCCAGATTTACCACCGTGTTTGGCACCAACCCAGATTCCATTAAGGAGCGCATTGCATGTTCGAAAACGTGTTTTTCAAATTGTTCATCCGCCCTTGCTATTCGTATAACCAGTACGCGAAGATTGGGTAAAACCATGCAGCGCAGAACATGTTCAGTCCAGAGTTCCTGTTGGCGAATTTAACGACAAAGCAGAACAATGCATACGCCACATACCTGAAGTGTTATTGAGCATCTGAAGTCTATCGATAATGCTTCGACAGTATTGCAACTTGCAAGGATTCCAAAGAGCATGTCACCTATGTAACCGCCTTCTTCTTGTAGATCCAAACTCTGTAAGTTCAATGATCGCTCAATGTTGTTACGAAAACATTGAACGGAGTCGCCACTGCTTGGACCACCAACCACTGAAATGGAAACGAGGTTGTGATCCCACCGTGCGATGATAGCGTTAACATTTGCGAGCGTACCCCTGAAATGCGTAAGCAGACGTAGTGAACCCCCCATAGCTATGTCAGGAATTGGATTCAAATCAAACACTGAGCACTGCAGATGTAGGGAATGGAGTTGTGGATGGCGTAGCAAGAAACGATCCACATGTATGTGATACATCAGCTCTTCAAAGGAAAAAATCCGTAGCAATGGCAGCGTGAAGAGGTCATCGTAGAACATGTACGCGAGCGTGTTTGCGCGAGGTGTACCATCTGCCCGCCACAGCTTGGTATGGTTATGGGGTGTGTTAAGTGATAACTTGAAAACCCGGAGGTTGGAGAGACTCGGCATTATCTGGCGAAGCATCTTAGTGATTGTGTATTTGCTCGCTACGGAACTTCATTAGACATCAACAGAAACCAGTGGGGACTACATACGTTGATAATTAAAAGCGGGGAAATGTAGTGTGAGCGAATGTAAATTGGTAGAGACCAGTGCATGCTGTAATGTTTCATTAACTGTTGATGAATACAGAGGCGAAAGCAACATACAATAATGGATAGTGATTTTCTGTCGTGTATGCCAATGAATGGACCGACCAGCGTTAAATCTTGCGGACACAAACGTCCTGGAGAAGATTTAAACGTGTCACTGATACTGAAATTTGAAGAACGTAGGGAGAGTAATCGTGGGTTTGGGCAACGAATATATCAGTCGATGAATGACATTCCGGCCTGTAACGCCACAGCATCCAGGCATGAATTATCTGGTTCTAATGTTATTTGTCTGACATAAGAAGCCAGGAGATCGTCACAAAGGGACGAAGTGAGTGAATCGACGTTCGTGAGCGTATCGAAAGCGTTAGCAGTTATAGAGCGATAAACGAATGGGAAGAACAGTTCAGCGTACGAATGCCTCTTTGAATCAGTAGTGTTCGAAACGGTGGAATCATTGCAGGATGCTGGCCAAGCATGGACTGAGGTAGGGGGCCGAGTTTACCCTCTAATCAAAACACTACAACTGGGTGTTGTACGACCGACTAGCCAAGGAAAACCGGTGAATTTCACAAGTTCCACACATCATTTAACACACTATGTCGAATGGATGTCCAATGTAAAAGAGGTATCCATCATTGACACAGCGATCCATGGTGACCTTTTAACGGCGATCGCGAACATGGCGAAACTGCGAACACTATCTGTGGAACGGGTATTAATCGTGAACACAGTGAAAGAGATCGTTTTCGAAAGCAACGGTATCCAACATCTGCGCTTACTCGATACCACTTGGGATGGCCCACCAAAGGTGGGAACGATGATACGAGCATGCCACGCCCTCCATACGCTATGCATAACATGGCATGATGAGGGGGAAGAAGAAGGCGTCGGTTGGGAGTCATGGACAAATGCTTCGTGCTGGCAGGCGACAGTAGTTTGCAAACCAAAAACGTTGGTGAGCAAGTACGAACGGCAGACGCTGTTAGCTCTTTTGGCGAAGTTGGAAGGCATGACGGACTTACATCTGGAGGGGTCACTATTAGCGTTCACAAAAGGCGATACACTGATTCGACCTTTCTCACAATCGGTGGAGAAGTACGTAGGGCCGATCCATTTTCTGAATGTACATCGACGACTCCCGAAGCTGAAATCGGTAACATTGACTAACATCGGTTTGTTCACAAGCGAAGTGAATGAACTAACAATTGAGATGGAAGAGGTCACTAATTTAAAGGTGAACGTTTTTGGGGGTGATAAGCACACAATGTGCAGGTTGTTATCGGTAACGAAGGAACTGCGCAATTTGGAGATAAACTTCAGCGACGATGTAAACGAGCCTGTAAGCATATTAGCACCAACAAATGCGTTAATATAAGCTGACATAGAATAGGAAGTGTTGTTAGATAGTGTAGCAGACATGTTGGATTTCAATCCACCACTGCGAAACTGATATGTAACCGGTGATGACCCGTTCGAAACAGCCATCAAGCACTTCAGAAGAATGAAGGCGTTGTGCCCAGAACTGGAGGTGATCGGAGTAGACAACCGGAGATGGAGGCATAAGCGAGGTTTATGGATGGAGGTGTTGCCACACATAGGGGACTTATGAAAAAGTGGGGTACAGGCTGATACTCTATGTCAATAGAATGAAGAACATTTACATAGTGAGGATGTGGCGGAGTTACCTACACAGGTACACAGCGAAAACAAAGTGAGCGCTTGACGTGGGAAAAAAATGCACGAGCGCTAGTAAAGACAGGGTGGCGAAGGACCTACACAGGCGCAGCTGAAGATTAGAGTATATCCAAACCTGGTTTTTACCATTAAATTTATCCTTCAGGACTTGGTTGCCGGATAGCCTCGATCCAATATCTGATCATAATCAAAGGTTATGTTATAATTTTGGAACCTGTGATAGTTTTATTCCATCTTTTTGTCGAGACTCCATAATTACAAACCTCAAATGCATCCTCCATCTACCTTCTCTCCATTTGGTATGAATTTATCCATTCTTTGGTTTAAAAATATTACACATGACATCTTGTTTGCTCCTAATTGGCTGATGTATTGCAGGGCAGGTCGGACTTCAGGATATTTTGTTTCGTTTTGTTATTCTCCTCTTCCTCCTTCAATGAACCCACTTTTGGCTTAACATCAACCTCAACTCTAAACAATACTCAACGTTGTACAAAATTGCAAGATTCTACTTCAAGGCTGCAATGAATTCAAGTATGTCAAGGAGATGGATGTGCAAGACTGCAATTCCTAGAAGGCCGACACTGCTATGCCTGAGATTTTTTCGCACTGCCTATTTTATTTCGATTTCCTTGAGTCTGGACTGTAGTGGTTGGGTGGAGTAATAGATATACACTTAGGCTTGATGGGTCATGCAACAAGGTTGTTTACAGGTTAGAGTACACTGTATGTAATAGCATACTCAAGTCGAATGTTTTTTTTGCAATAATTTTCACTCGGCTTATTTCGGAGAACCCCAAAGAATTGAATGGATGGAACCGGGGTTCGAATCCGGGACAATTCTAGAAAAATTCTCAATTTTGGTATCTATCTATCCTCATTCTATCCTCATTCTAAAACCAATCAGGTTGCCCAATTTTAAAAGTGAACCTTTATTGAGTGAATCTATCCGCAAGTATGATGTGAGACACATTTCCTTGATTCTATCCAAATTTTCATCAACTTTGTCCCCTGTGTAGCAAGCAAGGTGATCAAACTGACTCTTAGAGTCTCATTGTTTGCTGGGACCCAAAGGCCTCTGGCCTTCTCCCAATGTACACAAGCTCAGGCTAATAATCCAGGTTTATTTGAACACTGTACTTACTTGATACATGATCTCAGTGAATATAACAAGTGCATCACCAGAGTTCAAAGATACATACTTATGTACTATAATCTATTGACTGTGAGAATTTGTGAATAAACGAACTATTTACTCGGAGTTTCCATTAATCTTTCCCCTTCCCAAGAAAGCCTTTGAGCAGCCCCACACTCTGATCAGCCTTTTCCGCGAGATAGGCTTTATCCGGGAGCCTGGATATCACTTGTTGCAGTAGAGGGCCGCTAGCCTTCGCTCCCAGCCTCCCAATTTCATTGGAATGTTTGTTGACTATGGACTGTTTCGTTTGCTCCAAGTACACACGGAATTGTTTAGAAACATCCACAGCGCGTTTGATGCCAGAAAAGTGATAGTAAGTGTATCCTATCGGTATTATTTGATGCAAATTTAAAAATGGAGTTGACACGATCCTTGACTCGGCTTACCTGCACCGAAAACAGCGAGGCTGCCAATTATGCCTCCCGTCATGCTTGTAGCAAGAAGAATCCACATGTTTGGCCTGCCTGAGGATAGCTGAGGAGGAGGAGGGGGAGAGGCAGGTGCAGGGTGGAGAGAATGTGTCCCCTTGTAAATTGGCTGCCCTCTGAGCTTATTGGCCACAGAACGTCGAAGGAGGGTTCTAGGTAACATTTTGTGCATTACAACCTTGTACAAGGAGCAAGGTGACGGTCCACCCTATCGCCACAGAGCATGATCAAACAGCGTCGTAGACTCCGGCATTGTCATTGCAAAGCGGATCACTCCGGTTGCTGGGTATTAGGCCCTCACACAATTTTCAGTTGTACTTAGTCTCACTAGGAGAGTGTTCACGATTTCACCTTTATGTATGTAGTATAGCTACACAAGGCGGGCATTTTCAAAACCTTTATCTACCACAAGTCAGTAGGCAGGCTCAGTGAGCTTGAGAGCATGTGCATGAGCGCTTGAGCGCTTGCGCAGTACTATTTATTGGGAGTTTCGAGGCCGCAATGACACATGTCAGGGACGTCACGCATCCCAATTCTCACTCTGATGGCCAAGACTTTGGCAATTCTTCTGGTATCTGCACTTCTAGTTCCTATCTGTCTCACCGCTGCTGCTGCATCTCCACGTCCGCTTGTTCTCTGGCATGGCTTGGGTGACTCTTATGCTTCTCCCGGAATGCTTGAATTTGCGTCCATGATCAAGAACGTACATCCGGGCATCTTTATACATTCTATATACATTGAAGAAGAGCTCGACAAGGACAGACAAGCTGGTTTCGTGCGTGTGCAATCAACAAACTGTCTGGGTGCTTATTATCCAAAATCCAGTACGGGAATGTGAACACGCAGCTCGACTTGGTTGCAAATCAATTGGCCAACATTTTGGAACTCAAAGATGGCTTTGATGGTATTGGTTTCTCTCAAGGCGAGTAGTGGACATTATCGACGATTCTCTTGAGCTGAACTCATTGGATAGGTGGCCAGTTTCTTCGTGCATATGTAGAACGATACAACTCCCCACCTGTTCATAACCTTTTAACGTTCGGATCCCAACATATGGGTATTTCAGATATACCAACATGCCGTCCTTACGACTTTATATGCCAGGCCGCACGACGCGCCACTAAAAAGGCCGTTTACAGTCCGTGGGCCCAAGCCAATCTGGTACAGGCACAATATTTTCGTGATCCAGCCAACCTCGAAACCTATCTTACTGCCAGTTCCTTCCTTCCTTCAATCAACAATGAATATCCTCAGAATCGAAATCAAACCTATTCCAAGAACCTAGCTTCATTGAATGCACTCGTGCTTATCATGTTCACTCAGGACAAAACCGTAGTCCCAAAAGAGAGTGCATGGTTTGGAAGTGAAGTGGTTGACAGCTTTTCCTCGTCTCAACGGGTTCTTCGGCCTGTATCCTCCCGCTCTATCATCCCAATGCACCTCCAGCCTCTTTATATAGAGGATTGGATTGGGTTGCGCTCTTTGGACGAAAAGGGCAGCGTGATCTTCGATACATGCGAAGGAGAACATATGCAGATAGGTGATTGCTGGGAAAATTTTGTCAGAAATTGGATCGGGAACTTGGTCGAAATTCAAGTTAATCAATCTGTACCAGCAGTTCCAGTGTCGAACGAGTAGACTAACTATACAAATCTAAGTATTTGATAAAACCATATCAATGTAGAATACTGCATTTCCTAGAATTTGTCCGAGCCAGTGTCCCACAGCCAAGTGCGTTGAGCAGATTCAAGCTTTTCTAGTAACTCCCATACAATCGGGTGATGTCCTATCTTCCGTTCTAGTTTGTGTTCACTGAAATTTATAGCATTAATGCCAGCAACAATGGAAAGTTGAATGACCTGCCTTTCGCCAGAAGCCCAGGAATCTTGCGAATACACAGAGGCAAGTGATGATAACGAAACTGAGGCTACTGGGAACTTAGACTGGTTCTCATCAGACGGTGTGTTACCTGTGCAGGCAACGGCGAGTGGTGTAACATTGATGTCGTAGAGTGTGGGCTCGGAATGGGAGGTAGGCAATCCCATCGAAAAGGACCGAGAATGAGGATGAGCTTCATCATTGACTGCATCTTGGTACACTTGCAGAATCGATTCAAGTGAGTCACTAGAGGTAGATACCTCTTCATGATCAGTTACTTGTGAGTGTAACGAAGAATGTGAGGTTATCATCCCTTCAAGAGCTCGAAGATAATTGCTGGAATTCTTCTCCGCCTTTCCGACATAAAGACTCCGAGTGTATATGGCATGTCTCTTAGAAGGAAGTTCGGATTTGAGAACGGAGCGACGTCCTAAGGGTGGGGAAGGAGTAACCGTGACCGATTCAATACTCTGGGATTTTTCAACGGCTGTGGGCGGTTCAACACATCGAGGGAAGTCATTTCGCACGTCTTGGTATTGGCGTATTCGAGGTGTTTGTAAAAGACGGGGATTGAGGTTGACAATATCCACCGAATGAGTGATTCCGTGTTTAGGTTTGAGCAAGACAGGATCGAGGGTGTGAGGATGGAATGCAAGCTTCAACTTTGAAGAAGGGATACGAGACTCGGAAAGGTTTTCACGAGAAGCGGTGGCGGTCGAGGATGATTTAAAATATTTGGAAGTACAACGCCGGTTAACAGATTCAGTAGTCCTTTGAATGTCTCCAGAAACACGCTTCCTCAAAGTTGGAGTGGCTGACGGTGCCCGTACTACGTCTTTGCTAGCGAAATTGGGAGTACCTAGGGTTGTGACGGTAGTATTGGGGGTAGGAGATTTGTTATGGTGTTGACAAATTGTAGGGGTAGCGGGGTTGGAAACAGTCGTAGGAACTTTCGGGTCGTGGCCAGGCTCAGAAAGTTCGCTAACTTTGAAGTGTTCAGAATTCATTCGCGTACGAGCAGTTGGGAGTTGAGATGTAAATAGGGCATTGCTTGAACGCGACCGTCGACGATGTTTAGATATAGTAGACGTAGACTCTGCGGGACTATTGAGGAAACCGAATGCAGGAAATGCGGAAACAGCAACCGTAGCTGAATCAGTGCGTAGAGGTGCCGCACTGGTGGCTGTAGGAGGTTTAGACACATCCCGTATTACCGCCGGACGGACTGTTGGAGGCCGGATTCCAGTGAGAGGTGGTCCGGATACATCGCCACGCTTCACGATGTTCAGGGGTTTGACGGAAAGATATTGTATAGCAGCTGTGATGGATGTGCACTTGCTACCGATCTGAGAAATCTTGTGCGGCGGTATAGGAGTGGCGGATGGAGTTTCTGGTTTGAGGGAAGTTCGATGTTGAAGGGTCTGCGTGGCGATGTGAACAAGAGCAAATTTCATTTATGCTACAACCTTACCCTGGATATGAACGAAGGCGACCGCGCATCTTTGACAAGCCCCGGCGCAAAAAGCTTGAGCTCGTTTTGGAGCTCCGGACAAGGAGTGAGTTTTCCACCATCAGAAACCGCCAAAGCACCACGAGGAGTCGTCTCCTGGAAATTGGTGACATCTTTCAAGCCTTTCCTCACAGTGGAATTTGACACGGGCGTTGTTTTGTTGGATAGTTGCAGCATAGAATGGGTTTGCTTTGCATCCTTGAGCGGAATTACTTGAAAGCGATGAGGAGTCCTATCGCGGACGGCAACTCGAGTTTTCATATGCGGTGTTGAATGATCTTGAATATCAACAAGCGAAAATGAAGCCATATCCTCTGGATGGTTGTTCGTTGAAGCAAGAACGGGGATAAACTGTTTTTGTAAAGAAGAGGAAAAGACAGATTCTAGATTAAGAGAGGCAACCATGAGAGGAAATGATGGTGGTGGTGGAATAAGAAGCAAACAGACGCCCGGTGCAATCAGTTTCCTTGTTTTCTACCATGGTGTCCCCGCAAACCCCTGGCCCAGCACCAGACTCTCCTCGCTCTTCTCAATCACCAGTGCCAGAGGGTCATCAAGGGAACCTTGAGCTTGAACTGCTGGGACTAGCAAACGCCCTGTATAATCTTGGGACAACTGTTATCAATGACTCTACAAAGGAGCGAGACAAACCTGGCGGCGGCAAGCAGGTCGGTCTACGTGTGTATGTATATTGATATCTCCTTATCCAGCCTTCATAAGTGCTTTGTCTCAGTAACCAGGTGGTCCAACACCTCAGTACTGTCGACAATATGGCCCTCGATACACGGACAATGATACCCATGCAAATCTTGACCGATATCGACAATGCTCGAAATCCAATGCAGCTTACTAGGGAAAGACTGGAACGCACTGCGACTGAGAATCAATTTATGAATGGTAAAATTGCTGCTATTGCTGTAAGTTCTTCCGTAAGATCTCACTTTTGACAACACTCATTCCACTTAGTCGTATCGTGATTACCTGAACGAAGCTCTGTGTCAGAATTTTCCTGAGCTGGAAGAACTCCTTCGCCCTGCATCAGATGCTGTTGTGGCTGGTACGCCCTCACAGCTAGCTCACGAGATTGTACCCGCCATCGCAGAGTCAGTCCCGAACGGGTCCCTTTGAAAATATGTCGAAACGACGCTAAATTGTGAGATAATTGGGGTCATTGGGAACATCGCCCGAGGCGGCACTGAAGAGCAGGCTAGTCCGTGTAGGAAATGATTTTGACCAGTTACCAGTATAACATATCTGATACTCAGTACGTACTAGAAGAAAATAGACGTAGTTGTATAAGCGCCCTCACTACGTAAGCAAAGATATCGAAGGGACACCGATTTCGTTCGCCGAGCCTACTGCCCAACAAAACTCCCCCAACCGACAAGTAAGCCTTAATTTTACCAGTAGAAAGATCGTTGAGACGAGAAGGCCACATTATGGATGGAACAAGTGGAAGTGGCTGGAAAATCCATGTAGAAGAGGCTGGATTGGTTTCAAGCGCGGTGGATGAACTTTGGGCAGTGAACTGACTTGCTTTCTTTCATCCAGCCATGTCTCTCGTTGTACCGGAAGCCCACCAACAATTCCAGGCAAGTGACTGGCTCTAATAATCCTAACATTTATGCTCATATTACGCAGCACATCTTGCGTCTGCTCAACACTAATGTGGATGGAAAGCGCAAAATCATGTACGCCTTGACTGAGATCAAGGGTGTCGGTCGTCGTTACTCTAACATTGTGTGCAAAAAGGCCGATGTTGACCTCAACAAGCGGTGCGCTACCCTTTTACCTGATAGCTCGATATCCATTTGACAATGGTTTCTCTAAAAGTGCCGGTGAACTCAACTCTGATGAGCTCGAGCGAATTGTCACGATCATGCAAAACCCCACCCAGTTCAAGATTCCTACATGGTTCTTGAGTAGACAAAAGGATATTGTTGACGGCAAGGACTACCAGATCCTCTCCAACAATGTTGACTCCAAACTTCGTGATGACCTCGAGCGATTAAAGAAAATCAGGGCACACCGTGGTCTTCGACACTACTGGGGTCTTCGTGTGAGGGGTCAGCACACCAAGACGACTGGTACGTTTCTTGAATCATGTTGCCTTTCAAATAATATCAACCTTTTCCAGGTCGTCGTGGAAAGACTGTTGGTGTGTCGAAGAAGCGTGGTTAAATGTGTATATCACTATGTATTCTTCCCCTATGACAATCTCGTTTTATGGAATGCTTATGCCATGTCCCCGGATGAATCTAACAAACGACGCTTAAAATGATTGGCTTGTCTCAGCTGAGGGGCTCAACGCATGTCTAAATTATTATCCAAACTGTTTTTACATCCCAGAAATTCTACTTGTACATGATGTGCTCTTGGTTATTCCTTTTCAGTTAGCATCGCTATCGCTAGCATTGCTATCGCTCTCATCTTGCCCCCAAACAGCAAATGCGCGATGCCCGACATATTCGCCAGATCTAGTGCGAGAATGCGCTCGCCCGCGACTCCGATTACGAGGATACACTGAGTTTGAGGCTGTAGGTGTTTTCACATCTTCTCTCTCCTTCGGGATCCGACTCTTGGCACTCGCTTTGCGGTGTGCAAAGAGTTCGTCCCGTGCACCGTTTCGCCCGTAGGATTCATCTGACGATTCAGGCGCAAATTCAACGTGGCGAGGGACACTAACAGGAGGGTGTGGAGGCAGTCCAGCGTAGCGACTTGGGGAGTCGATTCCTGACCGCAGACCCGATGGGGAGGCGGAACGTGATCTAGGGGTATGTCGTCGTGGTTTCAAGCCAGAAAGAGATAAAGCTTTATGCAATTGTTCTTCAGCAACAAGTTCATTCGCCTTTTCGTGTCCAACGGCTTGGTCCCGCTTTGATAATACATTGGTTACTTGTCCTGAAATCACTGATGCAGCAGCAGCAGCTTCTGGCGACGAGTCATCAATGTCAAATTTGTCTTCTTCCTCCTCGTCAGAGACCTCGTCCTCTTCTTCGTCATCCAGGGATTCTGCCTCCTCCACTTGTGTGGGTTTGGGCGTCCCATCACGCCCCGTCTTTTCAACTTTCTTTTGTTTCTTAACTTTTTCCGGGCCCTCTTCCACCACCACGAACGATTTTTGTCTCTCGCGTTCATTCCATTTCAAGGTACGTGAGATGGCGTGGAACCAATCCGTCGACTGTTTATCGGCACAGACGGTCGGGAATGGATACTTGGAAGCAGTAACCTTGATGTGATCGCCCTCTGTACAAGAATGTTAACACCAATCATAACCCAATTATGTTACGGTGAAAGACGAACGTTTCAATTCAACTCGACCACGACCATCAAAGGAAGCCCAAGCAGTGCTTCTTGAATTGTAGGGAACACATATGCGGAGTTCCATACTATCGGGCAGAAGCATTGGACGGAAAGAAAGGGTATGGGGACAAATTGGAGTAATCAAAAGGGCTGGTATTTCCGGGTGAACGAGAGAACCTCCCGCAGAAAGCTTTTGAGGGCAATTATATGGCGGATACACAATTAATGCGATTTGACTCACTGAATATGCCGTGGACCCTGTGGGTGTCGATACTGTTAAACCATCAGCTTGAACAGTGGTCATATGGTGTTCATCACCTAAGAAACTGTCAGTTACTGCCTCTGGAAACAGTTCCCGAAAAACACGTACCAAAGAGCTCCAGCAGGCTCACGTAGGGAGAAGGGCCTCTATCGACAACGAGGTCATTTAATACCTCGAAAGTTTCAACAGGTCTAGTGGTAAAACACATAATCTCTTTATCCCTTCCAACTTTGCCGTTTTCTGGTGCAGTGAAGCTTCCGGACCAGCCCCCCTCCAAGGCTTCCCAGCCGTCTTGTTCTATATTGCGCATTAGAATCTCTCCCGTCTCGCCTTTTTTGACGGCCTTCCGTCCTTTGAATTCATTTGTTACTGCACGATAGACAGTACATGTGAATCGCATTCGCAAGTTGACTCGGATGCCAGAATCTATAGCGGAATCCATGACAGCCTGATGGTCTGCAAAATCAAAATTGGTGAGGAAACCCAATGAGCCAAGCGCGAAAGGAAGGACTGGGGGGACGATTCGTTGGAAAAGCCATGATGTGAACAAGACAGTCCCGTCACCTCCAAGCTATATGACAATGTAGGGTAAAAAATTGCAGCGTAGATCAAAGCATGACACGAACGGTTATCACAAAGTCAAATAGATGCGGGCTTTGGTTGCACATTGCACTGGTCCAATATCTAAGCTGTCCTTCGTCCTTGATAGTGAAATCTTCTCTTGATAAGGAAGCAGATGACATAGAAGCCAATGATGCACTGCTGGACGTACGACGATGGGGAAACGGTATGAATAGTTCGGGATGATCGCGTTCGATACCAGCTGCATCGAACCGACGAGAGTGTCTAAGTTGATTGTCTACATAACTGCGATCTGACAAGTCAAGCGATACTCTGACCATATCAACAAATGAAGACGTACACAACAAGGCCACGCTTTTGTGCCGGGCGGGGCTTAAGCATTAGATATAATGCAAGCTGTCGAGTAAGCTTTATCAGCCTATTATCTCGGGCTTTCGTGATTATCAAGATGTTCTGTATGTTGGACCGTATGCGAGCTCGTCCTATAGAAACGATAAACTCTGCAATTTATGGGGAGAATCAGGAATGTGACGTACCGAGCTGTTTACTCATCTCCCTAACACCGACAGCAGTCTCAGCAAGCTGCTTGGTAAGATTACCGCCAAACTCATCCTCGTCGTCTATGCTGGACATGAGCGAGCTTGCTGAAGACATTCCGGAAGTAGATGTTGGAGAAGAATCTTGTAATGACTTTGATACTCCAACATCACTAGATCCATTGTTCAAAATGCCATTTTGCTTGTTGCGAAGCCAGTCGCTAAGAGAAGCCCCCTTATCGAGCTGAGAGTGCACGAAGCAGGGTGAATCAAGGGGACGGTGAGTATGGCCGTTGGCCAAATGCGTTGTAGAGGAAGAAGATGAAGGAATAGAGGGCAACGTGGAAGATGCTCTAGTTGACGTGGTCGATGTTGGAGTAGCAGTCTGGTCTCTCGACATCGAGGACGTAATTGATTGGCCGTTTTCAGGCTTTCTGGTAAGTACCGGGGAGGATTCTTCAACGACAATATCTGGATTCCAGCCTTGGTGAGCAAGTTGGAGTGACGACGGACGACTGCCTTTTCTGGAAAGCGATGGACGAATGGAGGCGTCCTGAAAAGCGAACCCTGGTGTAGTAGGAGGAGTCGAGAAGGTCTCGATTTCAGGAGAAAGCGACATAGAGGACTAGAACGATAGTTATTCGGTCTAGATCAGATCAATGTGAGGTGAGATTTGTGGAAAGAAGTATGGTACCGGTGATGAACAAGGTAAGTACTTTTTATCACAACCGCAGTTGTTGTGGATACCAGCATTTATTTATACTGACATGATATGTACTGTACAGTCAGTTCAATCAATATCATACAGGACGAAGCAACGGCCTGCAACGACTCGTATCTTCGGCAGGGTCGTAATACTAATAGTAGTAAGTGCGCGTGAATAATTCCGATTCCGTTCCGTCAGAAGAATATGGTGTCCCTCAACACGAACCTCTCCAGTCTCCGATAATCTGCTCTGTCCTTTGCAATAGACCATAACCACATATCTAATTCGGTAAGTTGAATATTCTTTCTCCAGCTGGGTTCATTCAATTCGCGAGCCTTCTCAACGATCATTTCACAGGCATCCACAGCCGCCGCACGTAAGATACATGCCTGATCCGTTGTGAGAACTGGTCCTTCATTCGGTGGCGATCCAGATAAGTTTGGCTCTGAAACAGTCTCTGCCAACAGTGAAATTAACGTTTCTGAAGACTTGTCATCTAGAAAGATTGACTGAAACGATGGTGACAGTTCAATGACTCCCAGATGTATGAGCAACGACGGAAGAACGTTGTCGGCAAAAACAGGGACCTGAGAGGTGTTAGGGACCGGAAATGGTGGTGGAGACAAGGATCCAAATCTGATTGTGATGGCATGGACAAGAAACAAAGCTTTTTTGAATAGGTAGACAGCTGTATGATGAAATCAAAGGTGGTCAGTTTCAAAAGCGAAAGGCACATCAAGGAATTAATTCACAATGTCCATTTACTATGTGGCAATCTTGAAAGGCTGGGATGAAACGTATGAGCTACGTAGTAGTGATCAATAACTTGTGCAGATTTATTGAAGCACGAATATCGGATGAAACTAACCCGATCGAGGACAACTTGCACATCACTTGTCTGCTTGGTAACTCGTGCCCCTTCTTTCAGCGCTTCAACGACAAAGGCACCAAGGCTGGGATAGCCAGCTTCTTCGAGAAGTTGTCCAGTCTCGACAAGGACATGAGAGATGAGCATGACAAGCTCATACAATGGACCCCCGAGCTCTCCAACAGTCACGCCAGGGATCTCTGTGTGGGGTTTTTCGATATAAACATTGATCCTCATCAACTCTGCAACTTTGGCTTCATTTAGCTGTTGCATTCCTTTCGCAGATAACAAATCTTCTCCGGATCCTCCGATGAAGATGGAGAAGACAAGGAGCCGGATATTGTCCCAAGCTCCTCGTCCAGTTTCGGTGTGCAAAGGAATTCGGTAACCCGAACCGAAATTGAGCAGTGAAAGTATGGAGATTACATTCAGCTCATCAAGGGGAGACGAGAATTTGAGAGGCAAAGCAAGACCATGTTGGGCCGAGACTCGTTGGAATGAAGTAAGGAAAACAGGAGATTTCAGTAATCGTTCGATTGCTGGTTGAGAAATCTAATTCAAAGATGAAGACATTCAACGATAAAATCAGAAACAAAACTCACTGTTATGTTGGCACTTTCCCGTAGAGCACGAGAAGAAGAACGGATAGCTGATAGTATTGTACTTGGTTCTGGTAGAGGATGAGCCATTAAAGCTTCAGCGCTTCAGCACGGTACCACGTGCCAATTTCTCTTTTCTCTGCTTCTCATGTTGGCGCTCAGAAGCAGGTGTCTCTTGTCCCCTTTTTCACGGAGGGTGTATAGCACTGTAAACCCGGAGTCTTCACAAAAAATACGTGATGTTCTCCAAGCGCGCGTCAAGGATGCAATGCGCGTATGTTTCCGCAGAATTATAACTCAACAAAGCTTCACACTAAATTCACATAGACCAAAAATGTATCTGCTTCAACGACACTTCGTGTCAGTTCCTTCCTGCCTGTCTCGTTATCGCCGTACTAATACTCCTCAGTCTATACTTGCAGAGATAAACGCGGCCGACAAGGCTGCAAACAAGCCAGTGCCATCCTCGAACATCATGTCCATTCTCCGGAAAGCCTCCGCACAAAGGGTAAGTGTATGATGTGTGCGTATTGCAACTGAATCTTACTTGTTCAAATAGCATGATGCGGCTACACAGTATACGCAAGCGGACCGACCTGACCTCGCAGAGAAGGAGCTTGCGGAAGCCTCTCTTCTCGAGCAGTTTCTCCCTCCATTACTGAGCAGCGTGGAAATTGATAAAAACATCCAGGACATTCTCATTTCATTGTCACATACTTCCGGCGACGACCCCAGGAAAGCGATGGGAAAGATCTTCAAGGAATTTTACAACAGAGTGGATCGCTCTCTTGTGGACGCAGAACTCGTCAAAACTCGGGTAAATCTAGCACTCATAGAGAAAATGTAAATAGGTTTTCACCAATGTTCCATGTGTTCTATTGCTTTGCATAAGTTAACACTTCGATACCATACAATCTCCTACGGTTGAACCAAAGCCCATTTGCTCATTCATCCAACTCAGGATTAACCGGAACTTGAGTGGGTATCCGTGTCCTCTGCTGATTCGGCCAGGGTGGTCGCTGCCTGGGATAATTGGGCGCTACTAATATCTCCAAGAGGAGGTAAAGCGCTTCGCATCCTCACGAGATCATCGATACAGCGATATACCGCAGTAGATACACCTTCCAATACTATCAGGCGCTCATCTATAGCCTCCCTAGTAGTTTGATCCATGAGCGCTAGCTGCTGATCACTCAAGGACGCCACCAAAGAAGATGGGCCACTGGGAAAAGCATCATCAGGTGTTGAACGCTCAGTGCGGGACAAGGTGGAATTGAGCTCCAGGCTCTGTGAATCGAAGTCAAATAACGGAATAAGAGCTGGAGCAGTCGGATGTGAGGCCCGTCCAATATTTGAACTATGGTTCACGGAAGCATCCCTATAGAAATCGGAGCCAGTTTTTTCAGTCATACGCCGAGAAGCAGCAAGAGCAGCTGCCTCTCTAGGACTAACGCCCGATTCAACAGATTGAGAAGCCACTGGATCTTCGACGGGAGCATTATCTCGACCGGCTTCACCGATACCAGGTTGAGGCCATGCGTGCCAAATGTCCCTTGGGCCTCGGAAACCTTGCAGTTGAGGAACAGGTTGGAGAGGCTCAGCCTGCGTTTGAGGATTAAAGTGTTGTTGTCCAGGCTGGTAGTGAATGTTGTATTGAATAACTATTCCCCCCGATTGCCCCGTGGCGTTGGTATCATTTGGAAGCTGGGCTCCATCTAGAGCCCTACGCGCTTGCGCTTGAACTCCGAAAAGTCTACCCATGAGGCCTAGAGGGTTGTTCACAGCAACGGCAGGACCATTTAAACCTTGAGCACCTATTCCGCCAGCAAGCTGCCCAGGAGCAGGTTGCTGGGGTGCAGGAGGGACGGGATCATTACGGCCAACTCCCTGTTGGGGATCATTATCGAGAACCGTTCGACGGCTGTGAGAAGAGAGAAAATCAGACATAGAAAATCTCATATAGTGTGAGTGCAAATTATTACCATGTGGGACAACTTTGCTGCCGTTCCAACCATGAGCGCAGACAGTAGAAATGGAAGACGTGTCCACAGGGCAGTTTCTTTGGCGTCATATTTGGACCTTCAGTAGCAGGTGCACCCGGTCTTTGGATCAACATTTCCTCCCGGCAAATAATACAGGTGCGATCAGACATTGCGGCCATTTCTTCCTCGGTAGCGTTTGGATACCTCTGATCCATGTTCCGTGTTGCAGTCTGATACCTATGAAGGGCCCTGAGGCGTGTGATGAATGACCGGGCAGTAATGTAAACATCGCGGACAATGTTGAGAGGGAGCCCATAGAATGTAATGATAATGGTGAAGAATACAAGATATATGGTCAATTTGAGGAAATCTAATTCAGAAGAGTTAGTCTGAATAACGCACATTTCCGTAAAGAACGGTCTCACCGGTGGCGAGTTCGATGTAAAAGACCCACATGCTCTTATTTTCCCATGGAGGTGCGGCTTCCCCTCCTCTTTGACCTGCTCGGCGGAAATCATACGCTGATAGGAGATATTTTGATATGGTATTCGTCACGGTGGCCATCAAGATACCATACTGCAAAGAGTATTGAAAAGTTTAGCGCGTAGATATATGAAGAATATTACCTCGCTTGCGAAAAGGACCATCCCGCCAACCCCATGAGCAAGCGTGTTTTCCACCGCGATCAAGAACATTAGGAGGTCAGTCGACCAAAGGATAGCGAACAAAACGGACATCCGGACGTGGAATAGCAGAGGGGGTCCAGGGTAAGGCCTTTGATCCATCTGAAAGAGCACAAGTCATGAGCAGACTAAAAAGGGCATTGAATTCCATCCATACCCACTCAACCCGATCATTGGCAAGCCAATGAAAGGACTTGACGAAGAGCAGAAAGCCGAACATGATAGCAAAAGGTATATCAAATTCATCCCGGAAAATCGTAAACGCAAGCAGGGACTCTGTGATGAAGAACCATAAGCGCTCGTAAAGTCTCTACCCCTTGAAGTAAGCCCGGATTCGGTAGGGAAAGACACCTTTCTCACCTCAACTTCGTTCGGCCGGAGGGAGCCAAAGAATATTCTTTGAACAACATGACCTCCAACCAACGCCAGTAGAAAGGAGAAATTGGCCAAAATCTATAGGAGTATCGTTAGAGGAGTGTTGGAAGTATTGAGAAGATCTCTAACTAGGATGCTCCGACTGCTTTTGGAAAGGTAGATAGTGACGGAATAGAAGTTGCTGTGGCTTTTGAGTGCATTTCCAATCGTAGCAAGGACTGCGAAGGAGGAAAGAAGGCCATATACTAAGATTCTGTGAGAGGTAACAGATGACAGAAATGCCTGCGAAGTTCGACGGATGAGCGATTCCATCCAGGTGTATGTTCAGTGTTAACGTGTCCCTTGAATTTTTAGGCGCCCGTGTATCTATCCGTGTGCACTGTTCGTCACATGCAACCATTGATTTTTTACGAATTCAATCTTTCTTTCTTTCAATCTTCAAGTACTATGTTTTTCAAGGTGTCCAGAGTTTATATGAATAGATTTGCATTTAGAACAGCCCACTAACGCCCAAATTGAAGAGTGGCCTCATGCTGGTATAATCTAGGCGTCTATGTAATTTTTTTGGACAGGCGTCAAGGAAAGGTGTGCACTGTTGACTTTAAATCGTGATTTAGCGATTGATTCTTTCTCTCTTATTTCCTTCCATGGCTAAGCAGCGCTCTGGCGAGACTACAAAACACGAAGTAGAGACGCCGAGTGCAATGGTAGCTTCCAACTATTTCCTCGATCGTTCCATGCAGTTCTTGGTGGTGGCACTCAGTGTGGCTGCTTTCTTTCTTTTTAGAGGGCGCCTTGATTGGCAGTCGAGCACCAGTTATGTGCTTTGTTCTCCGGAGGACACCGAAAAAATATATACTGTGGATAATGCCAACTCCCGTGTCCAGTGCATGTTAATAAATAACGCCGTCATAACACATACCGGATCTCTCGGTAGGGACTAACTTTTATTGCCACCGTTGCCACGACTTATCTTCGTAGCCCAAGTTCAGCAGCAGTGGCAAGACTCCATTGCTGGGTTTTTCAGCAAATACCGCGCTCTTCCGTCAGTACGGTATATTCAACCTGGTGCCATTGTGGTGCCCGGTCTAACTGGTCAGTGTGTGCACCCGATATTCTTCGGGTTTTCAAAGTTGATTGTATGTTTCAGACTCCCATGCTCACATACTAGAATATGGCGCCACTCTCCAGCTACCTTTGGAAGGCACGAAGACGGTCAACGGTCTGTTCATCTTCTCTCCTGAACCTTAGACCCTCGTAAAATAAAAATAAAAAACAGAAACTGTTGCTCGAGTTCGAAATTACATTCTCTCCAACGCCGATATACATTCAGATAAATCCAAGTTCGTGCTTGGGGGAGGTTGGGACCATACATTTTGGCCCAGTGGAGCTTGGCCAACTGCTGTTTGTACATGATTCAAGATATTTCATCATGGTTTTCACGGTGTTTTGCAGGAAGACCTTGAATTGGATCCTGTCATTCGTGGTCGCCCAGTTGTCCTGCAGAGCAAGGACTGCCATGCACTTTGGCTCTCACAAAAGGCACTAGAGTCCAGTCTTCCTTTTCCTGAAGAGGTTGATGGAGGTCTTATTGTTCGAGATGCCTCTGGAAAACCAACAGGTCGGTTGTTACATTCTTCCTGCAAAATGTCTACTAAACCTGTGTAGGGATGCTTTTGGATAACGCTCAGGAATTGGTCAAACAGCCGAAATTACTCGAGGACGATCTTCTGAGGCGCTTCGATTCTGCGATTCAGAATGCCGTCAAGTTCGGCCTAACATCGATACACGATGCCGGTTTGGATCCTGCTTCGTTGAAGTTCTTCAAACAGTTAGTGTTATCCACTTAAGTATCGCCTGTTCCCCTGTTGAATTGTTCGAGATCAGAGAAGCTCGGCGACGAATACTTCCGGTGACTCACAACTTTATTCTCAAGGGTATGGACTGATGCTAACTTCTCACAGATCCGCATATATGGAATGTCATATTTCGATGAGAATGGTGACTATTGGGGAAACACCTCTCAGCCGCTCATTGCCACCGGAGACGAAAGGTTGACTGCAAGGAGTGTCAAGATTTTTGCAGATGGTAGGTATAAACCATATGCTACGTCACTCGCGCGACATTGACACTGACTTTTTCTGATAGGTGCTCTTCGAACAGGAGGTGCCGCGGTACGAAACCAGTTCATTCTTTCATTCTCAGCTGATTGCTTTCACTCTACAGCTATATGAGCCTTATGCGGATAATTCTATCACGAATGGCTTAATGAGGATAGACAAGGACGTTCTTTTCAAATACATTCCGCTATTTTTGAGAGATGGATGGCAAGTGGTAAGGTGCAATCTTATACCTGTGGCTGTATCCCGATTTTTTCTAGAATGTTCATGCTATTGGTGATCGAGCAAATGGTCTGGTCGTCGACGCTTTCGAAGCCTCTCTGAATGGAGTCAACGTTACTGCATTACGACCTCGATTAGAACATGCCCAATTAATGACCAAAGCAGATATGCATCGTGTCGGCAAACTCGGCGGCAAGTATCTCATCTAACATTCCAGAAGACAGATTACCATCTAATTTGTCTAGAATAGTTATTGCAAGTGTCCAGCCTACTCATGCGTGAGTTTCAGGAACGTTTAATGTTATTAACTCTGTTTGACTAAAGGTACTAAAAGTATCAGTGACATGCTTTTCGCGGAAGACCGTTTGGTTCGTCAAGCTAATGTCTGCATCTAGTCTCTGACTTCTAACTTAAGGGCAGGGACCAGAGCGGGTGAAGAATCTTTATGCTTTCCGGACCTTAATAGAGAGTGGTGCACGGATTACCTTGGGTTCGGATGCGCCTGTAGAAGATCTGAATCCTTTGGCTGGATTTTACGCCGCTATCACTCGTCTTACTCCGGACGGTGACTCGCCTCACGGAACTGACGGCTGGTATGTTTTTTGAACACCGTGCCATCTATATTCTAATCGCAAAATTTTCATTAGGTTTCCTGAACAGCGATTGACTCGGGAGGAAGCACTACGAGGTGCGGTGAACACTCAGTCCAACCTAAGTTGGTCTTTCTGATAGGTAGTATGCTCAATAGGAATGACTATTGATCCGGCTTATGCCTCATTCACCGAGTCCATATTGGGCTCTTTGGAGGTCGGAAAACGAGCAGATTTCGTGGTGTTCTCGCAAGACATTATGTCCATCCCTGTACCTGAAATTCTTTCCACCAAGGTGCTGGCAACGGCTGTGGATGGAAAGCTTGTTTATGGTGCGATTTAAATATTCGGGCAGGGCTTCCAACAAGCCTCCAAGTTCATTCTCTATCCGCATTTCAACATGCGTCTTGATTTTTATGGATTTTTCAATTCTTCCGGTTGCCTATGCTCATCTAGCTTCAAGTTTCAATTTCAAATCTTTGGTTCTTGACTACGTTGATTGAAGGGGATACTTTCAGTTGCGTATCGTCTGTTCTGCGCCTGAAGTCCCGTTCGATTCCCGTAGTATAGTATACCATCCATGCATTCATGTCCTCAAATGTTGTTTGTTTGTTCTTTCAGCAGTCGGTGATTGAAGGGGATAATTTCAGTTGCATTGTCTGTTTTGCTTCTGAAGTCCCGTTTGATTCTCGTAGTATACCATTCATGTCCCTGTATGTTCTTTCAACTTTCGGTGATTGAAGGGGGTTTTCAGTCGCGCTGCGTCTGAGAGATCCCGTTTGATTCTCGTAGTATACCATTGTCATGTTATTGAATGTTCTTAATTGATTCTTTTGTCTTTCGTACGCACGAAGAGAACGATCTCTTTATTCATTCATAACTTGCCCATATATCAGCTATCCTCCCGCCTTATTCTTCTTCCGACGTAGCTTCACCAGCCTCAACAGAGCTGCGTTCGAACAAAAAAGAGACTGTCCCTCCTGGCACTGTACGAGCCGTGAGAGGTTCCATCTCGCCCAAGTTCTCTAGGTCGACGGAATGCAATATCTGCTCGGTGACCGTCCCGGTATGAGTCACCAATTCTTTCTTGGGTCTGACGTACAGCATTCGGCGAAGCAAATCATCTTCAACCTCCTTAAAGGCGTCTTGTTTCAAGCAGTTGATATGTTTCCACTCCTCTAGTGAAGCGAGACTGGTTCTCTTCCTTTCAAGGTACTGCCTCTTGGTGAGTTAAGATAGACAAAAACGGAAGAGATTTACCTCCGTGTCGATCTCGTGGATCTCCCGATGTGAATTGACTTGTGATGCCGCCATGAAGCCCTTTGGACATTCCGATTGAATGACATTCACGTCATCATCCAAGTTGTCGTCCTCCAAGCCATCTTCATTTTCGCAAATACATTCCAGTAGATCATGTGTGTTACTGGACGTATGCGGATGCACTCGGAAGATGTCACGCAACTGATGACGGCAAGTAAGATTTTATGACCATAAAAGAAAACAGACAGCCTACATCTTTTCGAGTGAAGGAATCGGCTTTCGATTTGGCTTTACTGTTATCCTAAATAGATTACTTAGGACGAATATCACTTCCAATGACAATCCACTCACTGAACCCATGAGTGCTGTTACAGAAAACTAATAAATAAAAGGAGGTGACATGCAGAACCCAATTTACCGTTACTGAGACCAAGTTTGATAATCTGACGTTGGTAGATTTTTTCTGTGATATGCAGATCTTCAGCAGAATTCAACGATGCAAAAATCACACTGACCGTCTATAGTTCCAGCGGTTAAGAATCGGTAAATAAATACAGGTCGTTTTTGCCCGTCGCTGTCAAAGGTCGATTGTGAAATCAGGTATAATTTTTACTGCAAGTAAATACCGATGACAACGAGCCATAGCTTGCAGATCATGGCTTTGAGAAAACGATTAGCATAACGATTAGCATATCCGGTTCATTATAGTTGATCCTTAAGGAGGCTTTACCTCGGGTTCCAGTCAGAATCGATGAGGCATAACCGGGAAGCCCCTGCAGATTGTCAATTCCAACTTGTGTTTTCATAGATCATAAGGTCTCACCGATGAGGTTGATTCCAGTTCCTCCAGCTTTCGAACTGAGAAGGAATATGACTATCGTTGGAAGTATAAGCCACTGTTTTACCAGCAAGAAGGTTGAACCCACAGCTCGTTCTTTGATTTGTCTTGTTGAACGTTGTCACGTATTCTTGCCGTTTCGCAGCAGGTGTTTGTCTGGCTCTCAGGTGTGAGAGAGCGGCACAATGTCAGAGAGCAACCACGACTGACCCGTCCAAGCGAAAGTAGCTGTAGTTCTTTTTTTTGCAGAAACTTTCCAATATATTGAGCGTCGATGTGTAGTGGGAGACAAGCACACATTTTTCTTCGCTTTCCTATAAACAAGTCAGTGAACGACTCACTATAAGGTAGCCATACATTACCTGTTTTACAAAGGCCAGTAATTTGGATACGGCAATCATTTTTCCTGCAGATGGATTTTTGATTAGCAGAAAGTTTTTTTCTTCAAAAAATCGAAGCAACTGCAGACCACTCAGAGTTAGGTCCTCGATCTCACAGCTCGAGGGCAACAACTTAAGAGCCTCCTGAATATTGTTATGTCTCAGTCCTTCACTCTTGGGTTTAGATTGTTCTTTATCCATTGTTGCTTTCAAGAGGATGGGACTGCTGCTAATCTTCGTGAGGATATTTATCAAGGCTAGTGACTCAGCGGTGGAGTTGGATTCTACGAAATCGTCGACTTTGTTCGGGTCGAGCACCTTGGCATATATCGACAGTTGCAGTTCGGTAGGCGTCACGAACACAACATATTCATCTAATCAATCCATCATCAGTTGCCAGACCTGTGATTAAAAAAAGGTATATATACGCTTCGGGGGTAGGTAATTGCCCAATATGGACGCTTCACGGCGAAGAACAAAGCTCTTTGCTATGTTAGAGAGCTTGGGAAGTTATCAACGTCACAAATTACTAGTAAAACACAAGCGACAAACCTGAGCAGAGCGCTTCTCACCTAGTTCCAACTCTTTCGTTGTGCATCCAGGAGCACGGCTTTTCATGATCGGCACCTCATATAGCCTACGAAACGCGGAATATTCGTCTAACAGTTCTTCATGACAGGAATTAGCGCAGAAGAGAAAATATGATCATACCTAATAATCCCGGATTGCAAAAATCCACCTAAAAGATGTTGGAAGGAAGCGAGACTCAACTGGGAGCAGCTAGCTTACCATGGAATGAAATTCGCCGAGGTCATTTTGTATTGGGGTGCCGGATAGGATTATTCGGCGAAGAGTACTAAGTTGTTTGAATATAACCGATGTTTTAGCCTTCGAAGACTTGAGTCTATGCCCTAAAAGAAAATGTGTCACTGTGTGTTCTACATTCCTAGTTAGTTGCATCATGTTTGAATCAAACCTTCGTCACAAACAACCAGGCCAACTCTGCACTCGCACATGAGACGCAATTCTACGAAATTTGCCTGGGAAGAGGACTGACCCGCACGTCGCAATCTCCTTCCTTTGACAAAGTGAATCTGAGACCTCCGATTTTTGGGAATAAATGCTTACATTATAGTCCGGAGTCTCTCATAACCCACTATCAAGACTTGCTGCCGTGGCCTATGACGGTCATTCGAAAAATAATTGTAAAGGCTGGAAACCTATCCCAACTTACGAGCTGGCAAATGTTTTTACAGTGTCTGTATTCCTGTCGCATATGCTCACACCGACACGGTCCCGACCTAGCCATTTATGGAATTCGGCTTTCCAATTCTGGCTAGGGGTCAATGGGCGAAGCAGGAGTACGAGCATATAAATACTCACGTTGATTAAAGTGACAGGACAGACAATGAGGACTTTACTGATTGCGGGCCCTGCGCCGGCGTATGCATTTTGCCCTGCCATCAGGATCGTTTTGATATAATTGAATATTATGTCCCAAATCCACTTACGAAGCAAAGTCCAAACTAAGGTGATTGTCTGCAAGAGAATGGTCGATCTTCATATAGACCATATGAGATGAGACACGTACTTGCAGTGTCTTCCCAAGACCCCTGATAGAAAAAGAGATTTTAGCGCATAACCTGTAAGAAGAGGTAACAATGAACATACATTTCATCCGCAAGGATACATCCTTGACCTTCATGTTTCCGAAGACCCATGACGCACTCATACATGAATTTAACACCTAGTTAGGCCACTCGTCAATTCGCGTACTCGCAATCCCAAAGGCGTTGACACACCCTCTCGCTGGTGGGGCCGCAAACGTCGAGCAAGGATGGGATCTAGGACAACTGGCACAACCGGTCGTTGTCTGCATACGTTCAAGGTGAGTTCATCAGTACGATTGACAAAATGGTACACACTTCTTGTTATAGCGCTCCATATGCTCTTTGGTAGGTGCCTTCATGATAACTGCATCTTCAGCGTCGGGGTCATGCCTATAACACTCTGTTCAGCGTCAATGAAGCAGTGAAGAGTCTAGGTACATACAAGGGACCGATAGGCTTTTTCAGACGAGGAGGCACTGCATAGAATGACGCAGTAGGAACACACCGATTTAGAGGTGGAAGAGCGGGGGAAGACGGAGCAGGCGCAGGTTCGTTCTCTACCGGGGCATATTTGTTCGTAAATGGCAAAGCTTCGGCAGAAACTTCGTTCAATAGTACAAGCTCTTTTCCGCCCACAAAGCAACGATCTCCAGATTGGTGTTGATGGTTTTTGCAAACAGATGCGCCAATTCTGTAAATTGACCATCATTTGCTGGTCCAAAATTAACATTGAAACTGAAAACTTGCAATTTGCCTTCCTCTGATAACATGCTTATCTTCTGATTGATACAAGAAATGAACGCGTCTCCTTCCCAGGTGACCTGCTTTTTACTGCTTGACTGTGTTTTACGCCTACGAGAGAATGAACATCAAGGCGAAGAACTGTTGGTCAGACTTACCAATTTACGGCCCAAAACAATGGGCCTGAGGATGATGTTGTTTGAGTCTCGCTTCGATCTTCGCTCTCGTTAGAAGGAGACAGCCTTTGCAAAGAAGACACACGGGGAAGGGGATGCGAGGTGAGCTTTATAGGCGATTCATTTGCTGATTCAGTATTGAGGCTGGGTTTACGCATGGCCGGAGGTTTGAAAACTTTTCCAGCCGTTTGCTTGACAGAATCTTGCGTCGATTGGCTAATGAGTGCTGAGTTCGAGCCAAAGCATATCCCAGAAAGGTACTCTTGCTTTGTGATCTTTCGGTCAAGTCCAACATCTTTGCCACCAACGTTGATGACTTTTTCGTCGAACAAGGGCATCTCAGTTTTCCCGCTACCGATTCTATATGAAAGAGGATTGAGAGAAAAGAACGATAGTAGAGTTATGAGGCGCACTGTCTCCCGTCAGTAGAATCATACAAAGTGGCTCTTGAACCATTGCTCGATACTACAAGTACACCATCTCCTTCCCATGTCTTGTGTTTTTTAGCTTGATGATTCCGCCTACACGAGCTATTCAGCGCTTTCCAAGAGAAGAGCCTCATTGCTCTTACCATTGAACTACCCAATAGCCATCGTCTGCGTTAGATTCCGGTCGACTTTCAAGGCGAAGTCGTTTCGCATTGTTGGAACTGAAAGGTTGGACATTCTCATTGCCGGAGTCGGATTTGCGCTTTCCTGTAGTCAGAGGAGTCTGAAAAGAGGGCATATCCCCCAATGTCGTTGAAGCAAACTTAAGGTTATAGGTGGTTGAGTGTACTGAGTTGTAAGTAGAGCACCGCGTGACAGAGCATGACCTGAAACGCGTCAATGTTACGATATGATCACACAATCTGTGACATTTCGCGCCCGTGAATACATGTGGAAGTAGATATAATGGCTATGTAGATACAGACTAATTTTTTGACATGCTGCAGTGAACGAAATTGCATGCAAAATGAGGTTCGTTCATTGAGACTTGGTCATGTCTTCAGATTTTCACTTGCTCCAATCATTGCAGCACTCGTTTTGGCATCCAAGAAAAGCTCATTCATTTCTCCTACGTCTTCGAGAGAGATCTCGGAACGATCGTTGATGGATGCGATGATAGAGGCAGGCGCGAGTAGTTGTAGTGCGTATCTACAAAAATGAAGGGTGTGAATTCGCGCAGCAGGAGGGAGAGTGTTGAGGGCAAGATACCTCAATGAGATTTTCTCGCCCTCGGTAGCCAGCTTGTCTAGAACGCCTTCGGCGAGCTTTAGACCTTCGATGTTGGCGCGCAATTGGAGAACTTTGGCTACTTGTTCTTTTGCGTATGGTTCTGTTTTGACAATCATACATCTAACGAAAAATAAAATCAAGGACAGAAGAGGATTGAGGAGATAAGTACGGACCGGTCTAGCAAATCAACGGGGATCCCGTGCGGAGCAACGAGGTCTTGAGTACCGCGGACGAGAGCATTACCTCTATTGGTAGCAAGAATGACTGTAGGGGCCATTGGCGACTCTAGGAGAGCGTTTAAATATGTGAAACATTCGATATCCAACATGTGAACCTGCGTAAAAAGGGATTAGCGGAAGGGCTAAAACTACTATGGAAGCAATGCCCACCTCGTCAATGAAGACTACCCCAGGGACCACCTCTGCCACACCTTGATCTACATAACCTTTCACCACCTTGTTCACTTCTTTCCTCAGTTTTTCCGTCACCTCTGTCCTTCCACTCTTGACCAGACTGCCCATAACGCTCATTATATCTTGACCACCCTGGGGACGAGCGTTCGCGGCATCGAGATCTCCGAGAGTTACGTCTTGAACGAGCTCTTTACGTTTATGAACATCGCCTTTGGGAAGAGGAACATAGGTTTCCGACTCGAGGTCGTAAGATGATGCATAAGCGTCTGAGCGACCTACACGCTTAGAATGGTGGATTATTTCCTACAGTGGTGAATGATATGACATTGAGTACGTACCTTGACCGCGCCGCTGTGTTCGATGTAGATGACATCGCCAACTACAATCTTTTCCTTCAACATAGCCTCGTAGATACTAGGATCCAGCCTTAGTTGTTTTGTGCCCTTGACAGATTTGAGGCCGACGACGACATGAGAAATAGTTTTGCCATAGCCGGAGAGAGGGTTCTCCGATTCGGATGGGGTCATCTCTGTGACTTCACCTTCGTACACTTCTTTTGTTTCCTTTATCCGAAGTCCTATGGCTCTTCTGAAGCTTTCGGCTAAAACTTCCGTCTTTTTCACCTCTGTACTATAAACCTCCGAGCCGACCATGGGACAGAAGGGGACTTTGGAGCCGAGTTCATGTGAGACGGCCAAGGCAAGCGCGGTCTTGCCTGTTCCTGGAGCGCCGACAAGAAGTAAAGCGCGTCCAGAGAATCTGCGTGATTTGACGAGATCTACGATGATTCCGCATGCCTGAGGGAGGGATTATGATCCATATTGGAAGAGGTTAAAAAATCATACTTCTCGGGCATTCTCTTGACCAACGAAACCGCCAGCAGCAGTATCAGTAATCGCTCGACCTTCCGAATTTAATCCAAGGCCTTTTATATGGGAATGAGGGGCAATACGTGATGAACGATTGGAAGATGGAGGAAGGGGCGCTTTGTGGGCGACTGGGGCCGAGGACGGTGTAGACGATGTTGATGCTTTCATGGACATGGAGTTGACGCGACGAAGAAAAGAGTATGTACACCGATAAATCCCACGATCAGATTCTTACAAAGTGCAAACTGGATAACGCGATATCAAGTGCCTAACTGTCCAGAACTACACCAGGTATACCAAAGTAGATCCCATCGCCTGCATATACTACAGTCCATATTTGAATGAATTCGTACATGGATACTTATGTGCTGGCATGTACTGTAAGTAGAGATATCAGACGGAATACCCTCCGTTTTTACTAAATGCTGCTAGGACTCGCCTGGCTGAGCTGTGCAGCGCTAAGCTCTTCTGCATTCTAATTTTTCTCCTCACGGGGTGAGCTTGGTGATGATATCAAAGTCCAAAAGTACTTTTCTGCAACGCAAGTCAGTTCGAACAATGTAGAGTTCCGTAAGCTTACCAGTTGCATGATATTGGCCCGATCTTGGGGGGGGTAATAAAGCAAGTTGTTCAGGTGTCATTGACAAGATTTGCATGACCATAACCTGAAAACAATCGAGGAGATTAGGAGCTAGTGTGATATCTCACAAAATATATTGGCCTTTTGATCATCGGGTATTGCGGCGAGAATAGCAGGGTTTATGGCAGGGGCGGGGGTCGACGATGCATAGGAAGGATAAGCACTAGTGGGAGGCTGAGAATAAATAGGAGGAGTCGGTCGATGGTAGGTTTGTGGAGGAGGAGGTTGGGGGTTTGCTTGAGGTTGCGGCTGGGATGCTCCTTGAGAAAATTCTGCTAGCGTTTTCTACAGCAGGTTAGAGAAATGTAGAAGCGAAATTTGGGACCACACAGTATATACCTGGAAGACTTCAAAGTTGACAGCATTCATAGAAACCATGAGAGTCATGAGCGCATAAGCAATCTGAGGCTGGCTGTTCAATATCTGCTTTGCCGCGGCTGGCGTAGTTTTCTTGAGTTGTAGCATTAATTCGATCAACTGCTCAGACATTGTGGTCAATGGAGGAGTTCCATTTCCCACAATTGCTCTTTGATGGACATCTACGCTCAGTCGGTCGTTCCTTCAATTCAAGTCTGCATCTCTTCCTTCTCTAGTTCACCCAAGCACCTTACACTTCTCCCCAGAAAGCGCGACTCGTGTTCAATTCTAAAGATCCTTTCGTACCAAGTTTTGTCCAAAACTCCTTGTTACCGTCGGTAAATCCACAGGAAATATATGCTAGCAGGATACATGGTAGGAGGATACTTCTGGACAATCCCATAGGCAAAGGAGACAAGAAACCGAGAAAGAAAAAGAAGAAACCTACCGCAAATTGTAGCATTCCAAGGATAAGTGGATCTTGGTCTCTGGATGCTCACCAGGCAAAGTAGTTTGGTCTTTTCACTTTGCGTTTCGTTATTCTCATCCCATTTAGGTTTGATCTCTTCGTTCCATTGCACCAGCTCTGGATGGGATACATGTCCGAACTGCTGGCGCTCAATAGTGCTGAACCCCCCTCATCGGCTTCCGCCCACCCGAAACTACTCAAGGCCGATTTCTCTGGGTCATTCATCTCAGGTAACGAACAACAATATGTGTTCCCAAATTCTGATTTGCGTTTTGTGTAGTTCAAGCGAGTAAAAATCCATCCCTCGTCAGTATGCAGGGAATTGTTTTGCACGAGTCCGAAAATACATTTGTGATTATCACCAGAGATAACAAGACGAAGGGTAAGAGATACCTCGCGTTTCACTTGCTCGAGTTCCTGACGTGCCCCAGTCCTTCCAAAACAAAACACTATATTCACGCTGTGTGTTCCGGCTTATTCGATCTCCAACTCCCTTCCTTCAGCCGCCACTATCGTGCTTGACATTCCACATTTGGCCTTTACGCTCTACGGAAACCAATTCCGATTTCGTGCTTCAGATCGTGCTGGTAGAAAATTCAAAAGTAAAGAGACAGTAGAGTTGTGATCATGAAGTGGTGTGTAAATGCTCAAGACTGTAGATAGATGTACACTGTGGGGAAGAACACGTTTTGGCACCTCCAAAATCCATCCATTATCCGTAGATTTTTACCAAAAATTGACTGATTTTGGGATGTCGAAAAGTTTGTATATTTCTCATATAGCTGGCTATAGAATATGAAGTTCATATTGTGCAGTTATTCTGAATTATCTACCAATAATATTGAGGATATAATAATGACTTTGTGCCTCACAATTTGTTAATATTTTTGGCTGCTCGAAATTTGAAATAATTGTAACATAACATACCAGTGAACATGAGGAACATAGTCCGAGCTTATTTGAAACAATCATACAATATTCTCCCATAGATAATTTAAAATTTTTGCGAGATATTCACCTAACAAAAAACATGAGGTTTTTCAAAATAACCTCGCCGAGGTTATGCATACCCGATGTTGGGACATCGAGACGTCAAGACGTCGTTGATATCGGGACATCGAGACACTGGAATGTCGTTGATATTGAGACATCCAAACATAGAAATGTCGCTGGTGTCGGGATATTGAGATGCGTGACATTCAGGAAATTCGGGACATGTTGGAACATGCCAGTTTTCACCTAGTATTAGGTTAGTATTGACCACCACGACCTATGTAGGAATGACATAACTTCTGGCCCCATCCATAAATACACAGAAGGCCCTGAGGAAGGCTTTTCTTATCATTTCACAGAACATAGTGGCTGCCTGTGGCTGCACTGGCACATCCTGAATGTCCTGGATGTCACGCGTCTTGATATCCCGACCACCAGTGATGTTTCTATGTTTGGACGTCTCGACATCGACGACGTTCCGGTGTCTCAATGTCCCGATATCAACGACGTCTTGACGTCTCGATGTCCCAACATCGGGTATGCATAACCTCGGCGAGGTTATTTTGAAAAACCTCATGTTTTTTGTTAGGTGAATATCTCGCAAAAATTTTAAATTATCTATGGGAGAATATTGTATGATTGTTTCAAATAAGCTCGGACTATGTTCCTCATGTTCACTGGTAGGTTATGTTACAATTATTTCAAATTTCGAGCAGCCAAAAATATTAACAAATTGTGAGGCACAAAGTCATTATTATATCCTCAATATTATAGGTAGATAATTCAGAATAACTGCACAATATGAACTTCATATTCTATATCCAGCTATATGAGAAATATACAAACTTTTCGACATCCCAAAATCAGTCAATTTTTGGTAAAAATCTACGGATAATGGATGGATTTTGGAGGTGCCAAAACGTGTTCTTCCCCACAGTGGTAGATACATAGATAAATACGCACAACACGGGGTCTCACCTGGTCTTACAAGGAACAGCTGGGAATGCTATGAATATTGATTGCCACTAACTCCCAACGTGCCTAAATTTCAAATTGATACGCTTCACGTGAATTTATGATCGTGACTCGACCATCGATTCTGCAGTCCTTTGCTGGATCTTTGCGTGCGATTTGCTCTCATCGTCTTCATTCAACTATGACAAGCTCACCATATACTGGTCCCTGGACATCCACCAAAGTTCGGGAGGAATTCTTCGCGTTCTTTAGGTCCAAAGACCATACTTTTGTTCCGTCTTCTTCTACAATTCCTTACGATGATCCTACACTACTGTTCGCGAACGCTGGAATGAACCAGTACAAGTCAATTTTCCTAGGAACAGTAGATCCACATTCGGATTTGTCGAAACTGAAGAGGGCATTTAATTCCCAGAAGGTGAGCGTTCAACCCGTCTCTTCGAATCCAATTGATACTCAGTCGCTTATATAGTGTATCAGAGCTGGAGGGAAACATAATGATCTTGACGATGTTGGAAAAGACTCATATCATCACACTTTCTTCGAGATGTTGGGGAATTGGTCCTTCGGTGATTACTTCAAGGTGATTATGTTGGCCATTCAACCGCATGTTATATACTCATCGATAAAACTCTCCAGAAAGAAGCTGTCGAGTACTCATGGGAGCTGCTGACTGAGGTCTACAAACTTCCCAAAGATCGTCTATATGTCACCTACTTTGAAGGTGATTCGAAAGCTGGTCTGGAACCCGATTTGGAGGCAAAACAATATTGGTTGGATCAAGGAGTACCGGAAGATCACATTCTTCCTGGAAATGCGAAAGATAACTTTTGGGGTGAGTCGCGTTTGCTTTCACACTTTTTACATCTAACAGTGTCCTGAACAGAAATGGGCGCGACTGGACCTTGTGGGCCTTGTAGGTGAGCCCAAATCCCGCATATCCGCACAGACAAAATGAACTTATACAATCGCCAACCCAGCGAAATTCATTATGACCGTATTGGTGGACGCAACGCAGCGCACCTCGTTAATCAAGACGACCCCGACGTCCTCGAGATATGGAATAACGTCTTCATTCAATTCAATCGCGAAGAAGACGGTTCACTCAAATCCTTGCCCTCTAAACATGTTGATACCGGGATGGGCTTTGAACGACTAGTTTCTGTAGTGCAAGACAAACGATCCAACTACGATACGGATGTCTTCACGCCAATATTCGCGAAAATACAAGAGCTCACTGGTGTCCGACCCTATGAAGGCCGCTTTGGTGTTGACGACGAAGATGGCATTGATACCGCATACCGTGTCGTTGCCGACCACGTTCGTACCCTGACCTTTGCACTGAGTGACGGAGGCGTTCCCAATAAGGACGGTCGAGGATATGTGCTGAGACGTATTCTTCGTCGAGGTGCACGCTACGCGCGCAAGAAGCTCGGAGTTCAAATTGGGTCCTTCTTTTCATCCTTGATGCCTGTTATTGTGGAGACTATGGTCCGTCATTGACTCTTCAAGTGCCAAAACCTCTAATATGTTCTCGTTGTAGGGCCATATTTTCCCCGAGATCACCACAAAAACTGTCGAGATCAAAGAGATACTTGATGAGGAAGAAGAGTCGTTCTCTCGAACCCTCGACCGAGGCGAAAAGCTTTTTGATCAGTACAGTGCCCATGTCAAGCAGCAAGGGTCGAACATACTGAGTGGAAAAGATGTCTGGCGCTTGTATGACACGTACGGATTCCCTGTTGATCTGACACGTCTGATGGCCGAGGAACTGGGTCTGGAGATTAACGACGCCGAATTCAACGAAGCTCAAGCAGCATCGAAAGAAGCTAGCAAGGCCACTCTTAAGAAAGGAGCGGGAAACATTGTTAAACTTGACGTCCACGATCTTGCCTATCTGGAAAACGCTGGTCTCCCGAAGACAGACGACTCTGCGAAATACGGTATCTTGTTCTCTGTCTCCACTTAGCCCGTGTAATTTATATGTCCTTCCAGGTTATGGTAACCTCACAGCGACTGTAAAAGCCATTTTCCACTCCAAGTCCTTCCTACAGTCAACCGTGGAAATACCATCAGAGTCCATCTTTGGCATTATCCTTGATAAAACCAACTTTTATGCTGAATCTGGGGGGCAGGAATATGACACTGGTAACATTGTTATAGATGGGCTTACAGATTTCGAGGTTACGAACGTTCAAGTATATAATGGACATGTTCTCCATACGGGTTTCCTCAAGTATGGGCAGCTTGAACTCGGTAATCAAGTAGTGTCGTCGTATGATGAAGTGAGTGACATTCTCGTGTTGATGACTCCTTTTGATAAGAGAATTAGCTACGGCGATGGCCATTGAGAAATAATCACACTGCGACACATATCCTGAACTTTTGCTTGCGCGAGGTTCTCGGAGACCATATTGATCAGCGTGGGTCACTGGTTGCTCCCTCAAAGCTACGGTTCGACTTTTCGCACAAGGCGCAGATCACTATACCCGATTTGACGAAAATTGAGGCCATGTCCATCGATTGGGTTCAAAAGAACGTGAAGGTTTACAGTAAAGAGCTTGATTTACACAATGCCTACAAAATTCCAGGTCTTCGCGCCGTATTCGGCGAGTCCTATCCCGATCCAGTGCGAGTAGTGTCTTTGGAATATGACGTCGATGATATTGCAAAAGATATAGAGAATCCTATGTGGAGAAAGACCAGTATCGAGTTCTGCGGCGGAACGTATGAGCACAATATTTCTTCAATGGGGACGATTCTAAAATGTTCAAAACATATTGCAGGCACGTCGCCAAGACTGGAGATATCAAGGAGTTCGTAATTACAGAGGAATCGGGGATTGCAAAGGGCATTCGGCGGATCGTTGCTGTCACTGGACATGAAGCGCAGGAAATGAATCGTTTAGTTCAGGACTTCAAGTTTCGTATTGATCAAGTTTCTCACCTTTCGGATAAGGAACAAGATGCTGCGTTGAAAGCTCTTAGCGTGGTGAGTAAAGGTATCCTCTGTCCATTTGACAGCCCGTTACCACCGTTTTCAGGAAATCGGTCAAGTTGATATCTCGGTAATCCAAAAGGCTGAGATGAAGGAACGTCTGGGTAAGATGCGAAAGAGTTTCGATAAACAAGTCAAAGAAAAGGAAGCTACTCTCGCGAAAGCGGTCAGTCGATCCCCTTCTCATTAAACACTGTCAATGCCCAAGGGCTCCGTGACCTTCCATTTACAATAGGCACTGGAGAAATTTCAACAATATTTCAAAGAAAACGAAGGTTCAAATGCTTTTGTTGAGGTTTTGGATGTCGGTGGAAATTCGAAGGTTAGCTTAGCACCGATATAAACTTGCAAATTTTTTTTTGTATGAATGCGCTTTGAACTTATTTCAATTCAATCTAGATACTGCAAAACATTGCATTACAAGGTCGCAAAACAGATAAAGCAATCTATGTCTTCAGTATTGATTCCGAGAACGGCAAATTAGCTCATGTCAATTACATTCCACCGTCGATCGTAGGTAGAGGTGCTGATGCGCGTGTTTGGTCTGAAAACGTTACGGATATAATTGGTGGAAAGGTAAGGTCTTTTCTAACATGTCCATTTTTCATCATTTTCTGGCTTTGAGGGTCTTACGGGTTCAGTTTTTCTATTTTTGAGTGTTTCAGTGTTCTAGTTTCCTTTGTTAATGTGAACTTTATAGGCTGGAGGAAGGGAAGACTCTGCCCAAGGGGTGGGTATTTACCCATCAAAAATTGAGGAAGCAGTGGCTACAGCAAGGAAGTATTTATTGTTGTATGAGAAGTCAGGGTAGGATAGAATATGAACTACAGTTAAATATCTCCACTCGGCATAACATTATAGAATTTTGGCAAAAAGTGTAGTGGCTTCTTGCCAACCTGATGAAAATTTAGTCTCCCGAGTCAGACCCTAAATAGATTTGTAATTGAAATTACGCAAGACAGTTGTTGCAATCTAATCTAGAGTCTGATTTCAACCGCGCTACTAAACCCGTAGCTGAGCACTTTACTAAAAAGGGTCATGGATGAGCAATTGTTTTGCCCTTTTTGATCACATGAGGTATCATGTTTCGCGTTTGTTTCGCAGTTTTGCATTTGTTTTGCATTCTGATTCACTCCAAAAGTCTGCACTTGTCAATATTGAAGTCAACATGAGTTTGTATTCATTTCAGCTCAATCAAACCCCATTCTATGCTACCCCTCAGAGTTCCCATCACCGATCTCATGGTCTGAGCTCAAGCCATGTATCCTGTTTTCCCAGAGCCAGTTGGTGTGATAGCCACCAAGTCACTTCCATCCAAGACTTTGCCAACACCTTCAAGCACATAGTCATGCGGGACTGTTAAGATCATGTACACCGAGTAACCGTGCCAAAGCTACAAGGTGCCTAAGTGCGGAAGACGAGTGGGACAGTAGTGAAGTTATTAACAACACCGCCGTTACGCCGTTAGTCCCCGGAGAGCGAGAGTGGAGAGAGAGGAGCTAAGTAGCAGCCAGGTCGGAGCGGCGGTATCGCCGATGACGAGGAGCGGACCAGAGGACGTTAAAGTCCTAAGGTTCAAGGAGGACGTACTTCAAGGCGTTGAGCCAGAAGACTTAGAGAAGAGCTAAGTTGAGAAGGGAGATCTAAGTTGATAATTAAACTGAGGAACTACAGTAGCGTACAGGCAGTATTTATATCTACGGATCGGCGCAGCGGTGCAGAGCGCCAGACTAACTACTAGGAGCTATACGAGTAGTACCTGCAGGGTAAAGTAAAAGACAATAAGGAGAGACTAGAACGAAAGGGTAAAAGACAATAGTGAGAGACTAGAACGAAAGGGTATGTGTAGCGAGAAAGAACAATAAGAGTGAGATAACAATAAGAGCAGATCTTCGGAGTACCGAGCGGCGGAATGGAGGCCCGCGGCATGGACTTGACAGAGTGGGATGTCGGTGAAGCTATTAGCAACACCCTTCACACACTGTTGGTGTCCCCGGGAATTATGGCAAGAGTGCAAAATTGGGATAAGCAGCCTAAATGGGGTTCCTGATGATCCGGGAGTCCGGAAGCAAAGGGTAAAGAAGATATTAAAGACTGGGATAAGATGGTACACTTGATTTCAAGCTTGCCTACAACATACAAAGTATTCTAGCTTATATACATCCCAAATACAGTCAGAAGACCTCGATGAAAGCTCGGAACAATAAATAAATACAATAATGGTCACAAGGTTATTAATCCGAAGTCCGGCCGCTCCGGGCCGGGCCGGGGAGCGTATGGGGTGAATTGCATGCATATGACAGGGCACTCCAGTGTGTTTCAACTTCAACAAGTGCAATCTCCTTCAACAAGAGCATGTCCAGGCAGTGAGTCAAATGAGAAGTGTGAATATTGATTCAGAGCATTCTCTGAGGGTGTATCTGTGTTCATATGCACTTGTCGCAGACGATCGATGCATCAATTTTTTTTTCATTGACTGATAAATTATCGTGAGACTCCGTACAACGCGCTACACGTGATGTACTAAAAAGGAAAATCCCCAGCTATGGTAACAACCCCGCGGTCACAACTAGACTAGAAAATTCATGTATTCCGTAGAATTTGAACTGTTCTTACAGCATGCTAGTCCAAGTGGCAAAAAATTCAGCAGGAATTTTATGGCTTAGCAGAACCTTTTTTTCACCTTACCTGGAATTTATAAGCTCAGCAGGAAACTTATACTGCCAACAGAAAATATACTTTGGATAGCAGAAAACTTATACCTCACAGCAGAAAATTCATACCTTCCAGCAGATAATGTACACCTCTTAGTGAAAAACTCATAAGATGTAGCAGAAAACTTCTTTTACTCAATAGCATTATTACTTTGTATATTATAATCAGAAACGTAGATACATAGTGAATGGCCTAAAGATGGACTTGTGAGAATGAGTGTGTATGGGTAGGCTTGTAGTTATATAACACAATTCATAGCAAAAAGTATAGGGTATAGGGTATATAGGATCTTCAAAAGAGTGCTGACACACCTAAATTTGTTGAGCATACTGTAGTGATAGAACACTTTCTACATACATTACACAGCGCCTCATCACTCCTAGTTATCACTGTAGTGACTTACTTAGTGTACAAAGTACTTACAGATTTCATTTCTTAGTTTTACAACTCATAACTTAGCTATTTCTTTAGTGATAGTATCCTGTAGTTAGTTAGTTTTCATAGGCGAGCACAATTGTGGATACCTATTATCATGCCTCATGCATTTCTAGTACATACAAGACCAAACAAACCTGTATTCCTACTACAGTTGAAAGATACCAATCAATACTCACTCTACATTGATTCTCTTCATTGTTATTGTGTTTGTTGGAGTACTGAGCAACTATAAGACTCTGTAGTCCAACCTATTAGTCTTGTATTAAGGCATTGACAATCTGTGCACTGAGCTGGGTGGCATACTGTTTGGATTAGCTGAAGGGCGCTCCAGTGTGTTTCAACTTCAACAAGTGCAGTCTCCTTCAACAAAATTTTGGCTAGACATCTATACAGTGAATTGTGACACTTTCATGCATAGATTTGTATCAAAAGGACTGTAATTGAGACCCAGCAGTCAAAGTCAATACTGAATCAGTCTAATAGTTGAAGGGACCCTATACCTATACTACCACAAGTTGGTTAGTTTACCCATTCTGTTAAGATCATGTACACCATGTAACCGTGCCAGAGCCACAGGGTGTCTAAGTGCGGAAGACGAGTGGGACAGTAGTGAAGTTATTAACAACACCGCCGTTACGCCGTTAGTCCCCGGAGATCGAGAGTAGAGAAGGGAGGAACTGAGAAGCAGCCAAGTCGGAGCGGCGGTATCGCCGGTGACGAGGAGCGAGCCAGAGGACGTCTAGTCCTAAGGTAGCGCAGAGAATACTTCAAGGCGTTGAGCCTGAAGACTTAGAGAGCACAGAGTGGAAGAGGGAATCTAAGTCGATAATTAAACTGAGGAACTACAGTAGCGTACAGGCAGTATTTATATCTACAGAACGGCGCATCGGTGCGGAGCGCCAGACTAACTACTAGGAGCTATACGAGTAGTACCTGCAGGGTAGAGTAAAAGACAATAAGGAGAGACTAGAACGAAAGAGTAAAGACAATAATGAGAGACTAGAACGAAAGGATATGTGTAGCGAGAAAGAACAATAAGAGAAAGATTACAATAAAGGTAGTGTTGAGCATACTGTAGTGATAGAACACTTTCTACATACATTACACAGCGCTTCATCACTCCTAGTTATCACTGTAGTGACTTACTTAGTGTATAAAGTACTTACAGACTTCATTTCTTAGTTTTACAACTCATAACTTAGCTATTTCTTTAGTGTTACTGTAGTTAGTCAGTTTTCATAGGTGCGCACAATTGTGGACACCTATTATCACGCCTCATGCGTTTCTAGTACATACAAGACCAAACAAACCTGTATTCCTACTACAGTTGAAAGATACAAATCAATACTCATACTATATTGACTCTGGTCATTGTTACTGTGTTTATTGGAGTACTGAGCAACTACAAGACTCTGTAGCACAACCTACTGAGCTTGTATTAAGGCATTGACATTCTCTGCACTGAGCTGGGTGGCATACTGTTTGGGTTAGCTGAAGGGCGCTCCAGTGTGTTTCAACTTCAACAAGTGCAGTCTCCTTCAACAGGTAGATCTTCGGAGTGCCGGGCGGCGGGATGGAGGCCCGAGGCATGGACTTGACACATTCCCAATACTACCTTCGGATAAAAGTCTACCTGTTTGTCAAGCAGGATTATACCAGACTTGGACTACATCTGAAGAATGACCATTCACATATAACATACCAAGGGTATTCTTATTGGACCTTACACAGGAGTTTGGAAGAACTTACTCAAGTGACCATGAGCTGAGGATTGACTCAAAATGACTTTCTAGAACTCAGGAATTGTCAAATACACATTCTAGAACAAGATTATGCATTAATTTAAAAAGACTGCAATTTAGTCTAATAGACCAATCAGGTTGCATGGTTGAGGAAAATGATTAGAAAGATGATCAAAGTACTGCGAGGCTCCAAAGACATATCAAATAAATGTCAAAGAGTCCTGACATAGAAAATATTGAAGAATACAATTAAATAAATACTATGCACAACTCCCTTGATAGAGTATAGACACAATGGGTGTCTATTGAAAGAGAGAAGTAATTAGTTTAATCCAGATGAATCAGATTGATAGGATTCAAAATGAGGAGAGCTGATTTGCCTCCAGATGAGATGACAAATGATTGAAGGACATGTTGAGCATCAATAACAGATGAACACCATTCGAGTCATTCTCTCAAACAATTAAGATTAAATGAATACTGAAGCACCTACCTATTTTTGGAGGTATTAAGATTAAATGAATACTGAAGTACCTACCTATGTTTGGAGGTATACTAGAATCTTGGAACCAATATGGACCAAATAAGAACGACTTTGAGGATTTAACACCCTTGAATTCACCAGTAAAAAATTTTTCGAGGCGGCGGTCACCATCACCAGACCCTACAACAAGACGACAAATTCAGCCATCAGCTCCCGAAACACGCCAGAGACCCATGGCCACACAGCAACCCCTGACCCAGTTTTCCGGGGACCCAGACGATCCAGTCCAGCCGGCGACGTTTCTGCAGGATTTTGAAGTTCGGATGACGGAACTAATGACACCGCGTGCAGACCTGGCTAGTCGTATTAAGCCCTACCTCGAGCGTGATTCCCGAGCCTGGGAATGGTACACGGAGGATCTGACGGCCACTG